GCGACGCGAAACGGCCGGTGCTGGACATTGGCTGCGCCATGGGCGTCGCAGCGCTGGCCGCCCTCGAAACCGGTGCCACCGTGCATGCAAACGATGTCGACGACGAGCATCTGCGCCTGGTCCGGGAAAACGCGCCCGCCGCTTCGCAAGACCGGCTGGTGACCGTCCCGGGCCGCTTCCCCGGCGACCTGCACTACCAGGCTGCCGCATTTGACGTCATCCATGCGTCGAACCTGTTGAACTTTTTGACCGGCCAAGACATCGAAAACGGCTTCGCCGCCATTGCGCGCTGGCTGGCGCCGGGCGGTCTGTTTCTGTCGATATCGGGCTCTCCCTATGCCGGCAACGTTCGCGGCTTCATCCCGGCCTATGAAGCGGCCGTCGCCGCCGGTGCCGACTGGCCCGGCGAATGCGAAGACCTGCCCTCCTATTCGAACGATCCGACTGTCAGCGAACTGCCGCGCTTTCTGCACCTGCTCGATCCGGCGGTGCTCGCGCGATCCGCGCGGCGCGCCGGGCTGACGGTCGAACAGGCGGCGTTCTTCAACCGGCGCGGTACGCCGGACTACATCCGTCTGGACGGCCGCGAAAACGTCATATTGGTCGCGCGCAAGCCCGCCTGAGACGAACGGAGGATCTCAATTGCATCTGTAGCTCAACCGGATACGCGGCTGGAACGGGAAACCCGGAAACTTCGGCTCGCTGATCGTGATTCACCAGGGCATCGTCACGAGAAAGCGGTTCGTATGCGGAACGGCGCCTCCTACGGCTCAAGAGCACCAGCTTTGGGGGCTGGAAGGTGCGGGTTCGAGTCCCGTCAGATGCGCCAAACAAACATCTGCCATTGCCGCGGCGGCGCCGGTGAGCGCCAGCGCCGTTCCGGCGGCAACAAAATCCGACCCGGATAAGAAAGGAGGTGATTACAAATGGCCAAAGTTCCAGCTTTCAACAAAGCTCCAGCGATCGAAGAGATCCGGGCGACGCTCTCTCGAGCAAGCTCGCGCCTCTCGGCGGTTTCGGCGCCACTGGCTAGCCAGTCGGTTCCAGCCGCGGGATTGCCAGTGGCAGGATTGCCACCTGCGGGAATGCCACCTGAAGGCATGCCACCCGCAGGGATGCCACCGCTCAAGGCGGTGCCACTGGCCGATCTCAGGGACGTCGGCGTTCCAGCTGCGCAACCATTCGCACGCGATGCGATGCCAGTTGCCAGCGCTGCGCCAATCGTCTCGAGAGCGCTGGCCAGCCTCGATGCGGTTCCAGCGCGCTAAGCGCGGTGCCGACATGAGGCCCTGACCGACATCCTGGAAAACGGATGAGGATGCCCTGGAGTGATGCCCTGGAACAAAGATGCCCTGGATAGGCCGCGGCGATGTCCGCGGCCTTCTTACTCCCGCCAACCGAGCGCGGCGACGCCGCGCAACAGCACACGCCGCAAAAGCGCGTCGCCCTCGACATCGGCATAAAGCGCGTCGCCCTCGGCATCGGCATCGGGCGCCAGGCGCTCGTCGGCGAGCCGGATGAGCTGACGGACCAGAAGTTTGGGTTCGGCCTTCAAGGCGGCGGTCTCGGTCATGCGTGCGATGCGCTCGTTCTGGAAAGCGAGGAAGCGGACTTTCGGCGTGATCGCATCAACGCCGTTCGCATTGTTGGTTGCGGCGATGGCCCGCGCGATCCGCAACCCCGGATTCAGGTCCTGATCGAGCAAGGCGTCAGGCGAAATGTCGATGCTGTCCTCCAAATCGGCTTCGAGCATCGGTGCCATGACGGCGGCGCGCGCCATGGCGACCGCTTCCTGCGGATCGCCAAAAAAGCCCGACCGGGTCAGGACGGCGTCCACCTCATCGCACAGATCGTCCAGCAAAAGCACCGAGCCTGAACTTGACTTCATGTCCGAGCCTTCGAGGTGAACCAGCTGGTGGGGCACGATCCGGTAGCGTGATGGAAAACCGGTTTGTCGCATGTTTTCCAATGCATCGAGCCGGATTTCGGTGCTCGTGCGCCACTCCTGGCCCATCACATGGACGACAGGATCGGCATCGCTGAACCCGTCGCGCAAACCGTCCCAAAGGGCCAGAGCGCGCAGATGTTCGGTGGGAAAGCCATCGGAGCGCGAAAGCGGGCAGCGGGCGTAATCGGCGCGACCGGTTTCCAGCACGGCGGCGCCTGAGGCCTCGCGAAAGGCCAGCCCCGCGGCGGCCAGCCTGCCGATCGTCGCGTCGGCGCCGGACACGGCATCCGATTCGTAGACAAGCCGCTCAAAACCGATTCCGAGCCGCGCCAGCGTCGCCTCCTGCTCCCGGACCACGCGTTCGATCACCGATTTCCACAGCGCGCGAAGGTCGGGATCATGGGCACGCCAGCGATCGAGCACCATGTCGGCCTCGTCATCGTGCCGCGCGACTTCACGGGCGATCGGCGCGTCGGCCTCCGCCTGGCCATCCGTCGATACCTGAGCGTCGCGCACATAGGTCGCATAGAGTTCGCCAAGGCGCGGGGCCAACGGCCCCGGGGCTGCGAGCGCTGGCCCGGCGCCAGCCGCCATCAGACCCGCCAGTGCCTCGGCAACATTGCGCCCGATGTCGCAGACAACGCTTTGGCATTCCACCTCGGCGCCGAGCGAACGCCAGAGGGCGGCAATGGCACCGCCTATGGCCGCATTGCGAAGATGGCCGACATGGAGCGCCTTGTTGGCATTGGGATCGCAAAAGCACACAACGACGCGGCGCGCGGCATGGGCGCCGGAAGCACGATCGCCACGGGCGTGTCTGTCGAGCAATTCCGATACGAAAGCGTCGGTGAAGCGTATGGCGAGCTTCTGCCTTGCAAGCCGTGCCGTCTCGACCTGCGGGCTCGCCGACAGATCCCGGACAAGTCCCTCGCCCGCGCTCTTGTCGATCTTCGACTTGACGAACACGCTGACATCGAACGGGCCGGCGGCGCCGCGGCGGAAGTCGGTCTGCAGGGCAACCGGGCCCAAGCGGGCGCGCACCTCGGATTCGACGGTATCGAGCAGGCGGCCATCTTCGGGAACGATCTCGATTGCTGCCATGCCGCACCGGTCTTCTTCCATAGCCTTTGCCGGCAGGTCCTGTTTCGAAAAACGCCGACGAGCCTGCAATCTTGGGATGTATTTTGATCAATACAATCCTTGATTGCAAATCCGATGATCGACGCCGGGGATGGGCCGTCTCTCGGGGGCATCAGGCGCAGGCCGGAGGCTGTCTCACACGCAGAAGGAACGCGAGACAATCCGACCGTGCCCGATCCGAATGGCCTTTTCGGGCCGGCACTTGCACAGTCGGTCACTGACACATGTCCGATCGCGTCAACCAAGCGTCGGAATGGCGAATTGAGGCGCGTTGGCTGCATTGGTCGGCCAGCGCGTCGTCGTGGTCTTCATGCGCGTGTAGAAGCGGATGCCTTCCATGCCGTGCATGTTGTGGTCGCTGAAGTTGGACGCCTTCCAGCCGCCGAAGGAATGAAACGCCATCGGGACGGGGATAGGCACGTTGACGCCCACCATGCCGACCTCAATGTCCTGGCTGAACCGGCGCGCCGTATTGCCGTTGGAGGTGAAAACCGCCGTTCCGTTGGCATAATCGTGGCGATGGATCAGCGCGATCGCCTCTTCATACGATGGCCGCCGGACGACCGACAGAACCGGACCGAAAATCTCGTCCTTCCACACGTCCATGTCCGGCGTGACATGATCGAGAAGCGTCGCCCCCTTGAAGAACCCGTTCTCGTAACCCTGCCGGTCCTGGCGGAAGTCGCGGCCATCGGTGACGATCCTGGCACCCTCCTCCTCGCCGCGCCCGACATAGCCGCGAACCCGGTCCAGATGTTCAGCTGTGATCAGCGGCCCCATCTCGGAGGACGGGTCGCTGCCCGGGCCGATCTTGAGCGCCTCGATCTTGGGTACGAGACGCTCGATCAGAGCGTCGGCGACGGCATCGGTGACCGGAACGGCAACAGAGATCGCCATGCAGCGCTCGCCGGCGGAGCCGAAGGCAGCGCCCATCAACGCGTCGGCAGCCATGTCCATGTCGGCGTCCGGCATGATCACGGCATGGTTCTTGGCGCCGCCAAGCGCCTGGACGCGCTTGCCATTGGCCATCGCCGTGCGGTGGATGTACTCCGCAACCGGCGTCGAGCCGACAAAGCTCACCGCGCGCACATCGGGATGATGCAGCAGCGCATCGACGGCCTGCTTGTCGCCCTGAACGACGTTGAAGACACCGTCTGGCAGACCGCATTCGGCAAGCCAGGCGGCCAGCTTGAGCGCCGGGGACGGCACCCGTTCGGACGGTTTGAGGACGAAGGTGTTGCCGCAGGCAAGCGCGACCGGGAACATCCACAACGGCACCATGGTTGGAAAATTGAAGGGTGTGATGCCGGCGCACACGCCCAGCGACTGCCGGATGCTGTGGGTATCGACGTCCGAGCCGACATTTTCCGAGAACTCGCCCTTGAGCAGGTGCGGCGCGCCCACCGCGAACTCCACCACCTCGATGCCGCGTGTGACCTCGCCGAGTGCGTCCGCGTGGGTCTTTCCATGCTCGGCCGAAATCGTCTCGGCAAGCTCGTCGGCACGCTCCCACAACAGCGTCTTGAAACGGTCGAGAATGCGGGCACGGCGCAGCGGCGGTGTTTTCGACCAGTCCGGCCAGGCTTTTCGGGCCGCAGCAACGGCGGCTTCGACCTCGCTGCCATCGGCGAGTGCGACGGACTTGTCGGACGCTCCGACCGCCGGGTTGAATACCGGCACCGTGCGCCCGGACGCGCCGTCGCGCATCGCCCCGTCCAAATAGTGGCCGATTACCGTCATGTTCTGGCTCCTTCATCCTTGTTGGCTGACGGGCTATCATTTCCTATCATCCACAAATATAGATAATGGAAGCGAACTGTTATCTGAATTCGGATATCAAATGGACTGGGACGATCTCCGCCATTTCCTGGCAGCCGCGCGGGCCGGGCAGATCCTCGGCGCCGCCCGGCGGATGGGCATCAGCCAGTCGACCCTCAACCGGCGCATATCGGCGCTCGAAGAAGACCTCGGCACACGCCTGTTCGAACGCTCGACCAGCGGCAGCACCCTGACCGAGGCCGGATCACGGCTGCTCGAACACGCCGAACGCATGGAAGCGGAAACCTTGCGGATCCGGGCAGGCCTTGCCGGCCCCGATGCTCCGCTGACCGGAACCGTACGGATCGGCGCGCCCGACGGGTTCGGCGTGGCCTTCCTCGCCGGGCGCATCGGCACGTTCGCCGCGCGCCATCCGCACCTGACGGTGCAGATCGTTCCGGCATCGCGCAACTTTTCCCTGTCGCGGCGCGAAGCCGACATTGCCGTAACCGTGGGGCGGCCATCCAAGGGAAGGCTGCGCGCCAAGAAGCTGACCGACTACACGCTGGGCCTTTATGCGTCCGCCGACTATCTGGCCCGGATGTCGACGCCCCGCACCCACGACGATCTTCGGAACCATACACTGATCGGCTATGTCGACGACCTGATCTTCGCTTCGCAACTGGATTTCGCCGTCGACCTGCCGGTGAAGTGGCAATCGCGGATCGAGGTGTCGGGCGCCACAGGCCAGTTCGAAGTCGCGCGCGCCGGCGCGGGCATCGGCATCCTGCACCGCTTCATGGCCGAGGACGACCCGGCGCTGGTCCGGGTTCTGCCGGAGATCGCGCTGACGCGCAGCTATTGGGCCGTCTGGCACGAAAGCCATCATGCCAGCCGCCGCGTGCGGGCCGTCATCGACTTCCTGGACGAGGCCGTGCGCGATGCCAGAAGCTGTTTCTGACGCCGACGCCAGCCGCCGCGGCGCCGTCAAACGGGCACGAAAGAACTGACCCGTTTAAGGCAGCGCAGCGAAAAGCTCGACTTGGAGTGCCGCAGACCTGCGATCTTGAACAAACGCTCGCGCAGGAACTCCTCGACACCGCGTGTCCCATCGGCGACGATCTTGACATGGAAGTCGTGATCGCCCGCCATGAGATGGACCTCGAGCACCTCGGGAAAATCGGCCATTGCCTTGCCGAACGCCTCAAGCACGCCGGTTTCGTGCTGGTCGAGCGAGACTTCCACCATGACCGTTTCGCCGACACCGAGGGCTTCATGATTGAGGACCGCGGTGTAGCCGGCGATGACGCCCTTTTCCTCCAGACGTTTGACCCGCTGCCAGCACGGGCTCGCCGACAATCCGACGGCCTTGGCCAGTTCGGCATTGGTCAGACGACCGTTCGCAACCAAGGCCCTGAGGATGCGACGATCGATTTCGTCAATTGGTTTCGACACGGTTGATTCTCATGTTGTTTCCATATTTCGTAAAAGATAATTCTGCGAAAACGTGGAATTGGCAAGCGATAAAGGAACACATTTCTCGTAGGCTCGGCTAACCTTCCGAGACGGAAAGCCCTGCCGGGCACGCATTGGGAGCAGCAGTTTGGACTTCGCGCTTTCCGAGGGGCAGCAAATGCTCTTCGACACGGCCTTCGAATTCGGTCAGGAACAGATCGCGCCGCACGCCCAAGCCTGGGAGCGCGCGGGCACGATACCGCGAGAGCTGCTCGAAAACGCCGGCGCGCTTGGTTTCGGCGCCCTTTATGTGCCCGAACAAATGGGCGGGGCGGGTTTGTCACGCCTTGACGCGACGCTCGTGTTCGAGGCGCTGTCGGCGGCGTGCCCGTCTGTTGTAGCCTTTATCTCGATCCACAACATGTGCACACACATGGTCGCGCACAATGGCACCGACGCGTTCAAGGAAGCATGGCTGGAGAGCATGACCTCCATGCAGTCGATCGCCTCTTACTGCCTGACCGAGCCGGGCTCCGGGTCCGATGCAGCGGCGCTGCGGACCAGAGCAGTCAAATCCGGCGGAGCCTATACATTGAACGGCACCAAGGCGTTCATATCGGGTGGCGGGTTTTCCGATCTCTATCTGGTCATGTGCCGCACCGGCGAGGACGGCCCGCGCGGCATTTCGGCGATCGTCGTCCCCGACGGCGCCGATGGGCTGAGCTTCGGCGCGGCGGAGCGCAAGATGGGCTGGCGCGCCCAACCGACCGCGCAAGTGCAACTCGACGACTGCACCGTGCAGGAGAGCCATTTGCTGGGCGCGGAGGGGGAAGGCTTCGCGCTCGCCATGGCGGGCCTGGACGGCGGGCGGCTGAACATCGCAGCCTGCGCGCTGGGGGGTGCGCAGGCCGCCCTGCGCATGGCGCTCGACTATGTCGGCGAGCGCCAGGCGTTCGGCCGGACCATCGACCAGTTCCAGGGATTGCAGTTCCGCCTCGCCGACATGGAAACCGAGTTGCAGGCCGCGCGCGTCTTCCTGCGGCAGGCCGCGTGGAAACTCGACACGAAGAGCCATGACGCGACGGTCCACTGCGCCATGGCCAAGCGCTTCGTCACCGACACCGCCTTTCGTGTCGCCAACGATGCTTTGCAGCTCCTGGGCGGCTATGGCTATCTTGAGGATTACGGCATCGAGAAGATCGTTCGCGACCTGCGCGTCCACCAGATTCTCGAAGGCACGAACGAGATCATGCGCGTCATCACGGCGCGATCGCTTCTGCGGGAGCGTGGACGCGGATGACCGAAGAACCGGAAATCCTGATCCGGCGGCAGGGCCGCGTCGGCCATATCACGCTGAACAGGCCAAAGGTGCTGAACGCGCTGTCGCCGGCCATGATCGAGGCCATTTCGAATGCGCTGTCCGACTGGGCGCGTGATCGCGACATTGCGATGGTGCTGATCGATGCGGCGGGCGAGCGTGCCTTCTGCGCGGGCGGCGACATCAATGTGCTGTATGAGCGCGCCCTTGCGGGCGATCACGAGTTCGGCCGCGCCTTCTGGCGCGCCGAGTACCGCATGAACGCGCAGATCGCGCATTTCCCCAAACCCTTCGTCGCCCTTGTCCACGGCATCGTCATGGGCGGCGGCGTTGGCGTGTCGCTGCACGGCTCTCACCGCGTCGTTGCCGACACGGTCACCTTCGCCATGCCCGAATGCGCGATCGGGCTGATCCCCGATGTCGGCGCATCGCTGCTGCTCGGGCGCACGCCGGGGCATTTCGGCGAGTTTCTCGGTTTGACCGGGCGCCGTCTGGATGCCGCCGAGATGGTGCATTGCGGTCTGGCCGACCAGATCGTCGCGGCCGGGACGATGGACGATCTGCGTGCCTCGCTGCTCGAAAGCGGCGATCCGGCGGAGGCAAAGAAGTTTGCGGTCGATCCCGGCCATGCAGCCATCGCCGCCGAGAAGTCCTCGATCAACGCGGTGTTCGGTCTTGAGACCATCGAACTGATCCATGAGGCATTGCGCGCGCTGGACAATGACTGGGGCGCAGAGGTCCGGGGTCAACTCGACGCGGGCTCGGTGCTGTCCCAGCACATCGCCCTGTCGACGATCCGCAAGGCGCGCCGGCACGGATCGGTCGTTGCCACCCTCCGGGACGAATTCCGGTTCACGTCGCGGGCGACCGAACGCGCCGAACTGATCGAAGGCATCCGCGCCGCCGTCATCGACAAGGACCGCAATCCGCAATGGCGCTACAGGACGCTGCAAGACGTGCCGGACCCGCTGCTTTCCGAGTTTTCCGAAAAGGCGCCCGGCGGAGACTTTTCCTATCTGGAGCGACCCGCATGAAGATCGCATTCCTCGGACTTGGCAATATGGGCGCACCGATGGCGCGCAACCTCGTCGCCGCCGGACATGATCTGATCGGTTTCGACGCCCAATTGACCGCGGTCGACGGGATCGAACTCGCTGCGTCGGCAACCGACGCCGTCGCCGATGCCGAGGCGGTGATCACCATGCTCCCCAACGGCGACATCCTGCGCCAGGTCTATGCGCACATCGTTCCGGCGGCGCCCGCCGGGAGCCTTTTTGTCGACTGCACGACCGCCGATGTGGACAGTGCGGTCGCCGCGGCCCGTGAAGCCGAACAAGCCGGACATCTGGCGCTGGATGCCCCGGTATCCGGCGGTGTTGCGGGGGCGCAGGCCGGCACGCTGACATTCATGGTCGGCGGCTCGCCGGCCGCATTCGAGCGGGCCGCGCCACTGCTCGACACGATGGGCCAGCGGGCCATTGCCTGCGGCCCGTCCGGCTCGGGACAGGCCGCCAAGATCTGCAACAACATGCTGCTCGGCATCACCATGGCCGGCACCTGCGAGGCGATCGCTCTGGCCGACAGTCTCGGGCTCGACCGGCAGGCCTTCTTCGACGTGGTCTCGACGTCGTCGGGCCAGTGCTGGTCGGTCAACACCTACTGCCCGATGCCGGGCATCGGACCAGCCTCCCCGGCCGACAATGATTACAAGCCCGGCTTTGCCGCCGAACTGATGCTCAAGGATCTCGACTTGAGCCAGAAGGCCGCCGGCGCGTCCGGAACCGCGACGCCGCTTGGAGCGACGGCATCCGATCTCTACAGGGCGTTCGTGGAAGGCACCGGCACGGGCAAGGATTTCTCCGCGATCCTCAAACATATCGAAGCCACGAAGAGGCGGTCATGAGCGGGCCTGCGATCGTCTGGGAACGGCGCGACCGCGTCCTGCTGATCACCCTCAACCGACCCCGGCAGCTCAACGCGCTCAATCGGGACACGGTGCGCGAGCTCAACGCGCTGCTGGTGCCGGCGGACAAAGACCCGGCGCTCGGCTGCGTGGTCATTACCGGCAACGACAAGGCATTCGCCGCCGGCGCGGACATCAAGGAGATGCAGGACAAGTCCTATCAGGCCATGGCGCGCGACGATCATTTCGCCGAATGGGAGACATTTGCCCGCCTGCGCACACCGCGCATCGCCGCCGTCAACGGCTACGCGCTGGGTGGTGGCTGCGAACTGATGCTGATGTGCGATTTCGCGATCGCCGGCCGCTCGGCGAAATTCGGCCTGCCGGAGATCAAGCTCGGTGTCATGCCGGGCATGGGCGGCACGCAGCGGCTGCCCCGGCTGGTGGGTCGCGCGCTGGCCATGGATCTGATTCTGACAGGCCGGATGATGGACGCCGCCGAGGCGCTCGCCGCCGGCCTTGTTGCGCGCCTCGTCGATGACGATGCGGTCGTGGAAACCGCCTTGAAGGCGGCCGAGACCATCGCCGGCTATTCGAAACCGGCCACCCTTCTGGCCCGCGATGCCGTGAACCGTGCCGACGAGGTCTCGCTGTCGGAAGGCGCACTGTTCGAACGCCGGGTGTTTCACTCGCTTTTTGCGACCGAAGACCGGCGCGAGGGCATGGCGGCCTTCGTCGAGAAGCGGAAGCCGACCTTCACCGGCAACTGAGACTGCCCGACCAACTCGGAGGAGCAAGGGATGGACATAGGAGCGAACACCCCTGTCGTCGTTGCCGGCGGCGCGTCGGGCCTGGGATCGGCGGTCGTCCGGCATTTCGCCGGCCTTGGCGCACCGGTCGGCATTCTTGATCGTGACGAGGCTGCGGGCAAAGACCTCGCAGACGAGCTGGACGCCGTTTTCGCGCCGGCCGATGTGTCCGACTGGGACAGCGTGAACGCAGCGCTTTCGGCCCTGCGTGCGGTGAACGGTCAGGAGCGCATCTGCGTCAACTGCGCCGGGATCGCGCCCGCCGCGCGAACGGTCTCGCGCAGCGGCGCGCACGATCCGGCGCTTTTCGCCAAGGTCGTCGCGGTCAATCTCGTGGGGACCTTCAATGTCGCAACGCTCAGCGCAACGGGGATGAGCACGCTCGAGCCGGCCAACGAAGACGGCGAGCGCGGCATCATCATCAACACGGCCTCCGTCGCCGCCTTCGAGGGGCAGATCGGCCAGGTGGCCTATGCCGCTTCCAAGGGCGGTGTGGCAGCAATGACGCTGCCTATGGCGCGCGATCTTGCTGGGGTCGGCATCCGTGTCGTCACTCTGGCACCTGGCATTTTCGCGACGCCGATGGTCTCGGCTTTTTCGACCGAGGTTCAGGACGCGCTCGCCCAAAGCGTGCCGTTCCCGCGCCGGCTCGGCCAGCCAGAGGAATTCGCCCGCATGGCCGCCGCGCTGGTCGAAACGACGATGATGAATGGCGAGGTCGTGCGCATCGACGGCGCCATCAGGATGCAGCCGAGATAGAAAGACGATGACCGATCATCCCCTCAGCCTCCATGTCCCGGAGCCGGGCTGCCGGCCCGGCGACGAGCCCGACTTCTCCGACTTCGAAGTGCCGAAGGCCGGTGCGGTCCGCAGGCCGGCCATCGACGAGGCGCCCGAAAAGATGCGCGACATGGCGTTTTCCATCGTCCGCGTCCTCAACCGCAAGGGCGAGGCGGTCGGTCCGTGGGCCGGCACGCTGTCGGGAGACGAGCTCAAGCAAGGACTGCGGGACATGATGACGCTGCGGCATTTCGACGACCGCATGCTCAAGGCGCAGCGGCAGGGCAAGACGAGCTTCTATGCCCAGCATCTGGGCGAGGAAGCGGTCGCCTGCGCCTTTCGCCGGGCGCTGGAAGACGGCGACATGAACTTTCCGACCTATCGGCAGGCGGGGCTTCTCATCGCCGGCGGCTACCCGCTGGAGACGATGATGAACCAGATCTTCTCCAATGCCCGCGATCCGCTCGAAGGCCGGCAGCTGCCGATCTTCTATTCCTCAAAAGACCACGGCTTCTTCACGATCTCGGGCAATCTGGGCACCCAGTTCATCCAGGCCGTGGGCTGGGCGATGGCGTCGGCGATCTCGGGCGACACGCGCATTGCGGCGGGCTGGATCGGCGACGGGTCCACCTCCGAAAGCGACTTTCACGCCGCCATGGTGTTCGCGTCGACTTACAAGGCGCCGGTGGTTCTGAACGTCGTCAACAATCAGTGGGCGATCTCCACTTTCCAGGGCATGGCGCGCGGCAATGCCGGCACGTTCGCCGCGCGCGGGCACGGCTTCGGCATTCCGTCGATCCGGGTCGACGGCAACGATTTTCTCGCCGTTCACGCCGTCGCCAAATGGGCGGCGGCTCGGGCCCGCGCCGGGCACGGACCGACGCTGATCGAGCATGTGACCTATCGCGCCGGTGCGCACTCGACCTCCGACGATCCCGCCGCCTACCGGACCAAGCACGAATTCGATGCCTGGCCGCTCGGCGATCCGGTCGCCCGGCTCAAGGCGCATCTGGTCACGCTGGGCATCTGGTCGGACGAGCGGCACACCCAGGCCGACGCCGAAATCCTCGACGAGGTCATGGCCGCGCAGAAGAAGGCCGAGGCCTGCGGCACGATGATCTCGGGTCCCGCGCCCTCGCCGCGCAGCATGTTCGAGCGTGTCTATGCAGAGATGCCCGACCATCTGCGGCGGCAGCGTCAGGAAGCGGGGTACTGACATGGCGCAAATGACGATGATCGAGGCCATTCAGAGCGCCCATGACGTCGCCATGGACCGGGACGAACGGGTCGTCGTCTTCGGCGAGGATGTCGGCTATTTCGGCGGCGTGTTCCGCTGCACGGCCGGGCTTCAGGAGAAATATGGCAGCCATCGCTGCTTCGATGCGCCGATCAATGAAAGCGGTATTGTCGGTGCGGCGATCGGCATGGCCGCCTACGGATTGAAACCGGTCGTCGAAATCCAGTTCGCCGACTACATGTACCCGGCTTACGACCAGATCGTCAGCGAAGCGGCGCGCATCCGCCACCGCTCCAATGGGGACTTCACCTGCCCGCTCGTCATCCGCATGCCCACCGGCGGCGGCATCTTTGGCGGCCAGACCCACAGCCAAAGCCCCGAAGCGCTTCTCACCCATGTGTCGGGTCTCAAGGTCGTCATCCCGTCCAATCCGCGCGATGCCAAGGGGCTCTTGATGGCGGCGATCGACGATCCCGATCCGGTGATCGTTCTCGAGCCCAAGCGCCTTTATAACGGCCCGTTCGACGGGCATCACGACCGTCCCGTCGTGCCGTGGAAGAAGCATGCGCTCGGCGATGTCGATGACGGCCATTTCTCGATACCGCTCGGCGAAGCCGCCATCTACCGCCCCGGTTCCGATCTGACCGTCCTGACCTACGGCACGATGGTCTACGTCGCCGAGGCGGCCGCGAACGAGACCGGACTCGACGTCGAGATCATGGATCTGCGGACCCTTTTGCCTCTCGATATGGATGCCATTGAAACATCGGTCGCCAAGACGGGCCGGTGCGTGATCATCCATGAAGCGACGCGGACATCGGGCTTTGGCGCGGAACTGAGCGCCGTCGTCCAGGAAACCTGTTTCTACGCGCTCGAAGCGCCGGTCACGCGCGTCTGCGGCTGGGACACGCCCTACCCGCATGCACAGGAATGGGCCTATTTCCCCGGCCCCGATCGTGTCGCCGCAGCGTTCCGTGCCGTCATGGAGGCCTGATCATGGGTGTCTACACCATCATGTTGCCCGATGTCGGCGAAGGGATCGCCGAGGCCGAACTGGTCGAATGGAACGTCGCCGTCGGCGACACGGTCCGGGAGGACGATGTGCTCGGCACGGTGATGACCGACAAGGCCGCCGTCGAGGTGCCGTCGACGGTGACCGGCCGTGTCGTCTGGCTGGCCGGCCAACCGGGCGACACACTCGCCATCGGGTCGAAATTCATCCAGCTCGATATCGACGGCGAAGGCGACGACGAACCGGCCGGCGACGATGCGCCTGCCGCCGAAGCCAAAGCCGAAGAAGAAGCCGTTCTTGAAGCCGCTTCCGCCGCACCTGCCGAACCCGAGCCGCAGCCGGCTGGACGAGGATCGCCATCCCCGGAACCGCAACCGGTGCCCCGGCGAGCCGAACGGGCGCCCGCGCCGGTCCCGAGACCGCTTGCCGCGCCAGCGATCCGCAAGCGGGCGCGCGAGGCCGGTGTCGATCTGCGGCAGGTCGCCGGCACCGGACCTGCGGGCCGGATCGGCCATGACGATCTCGATGCCTTCATCGCCGGTGGAGGGCGACAGGGCGCTGGCAAGGTGCGCCGGCTTGCGACCGGTACGACGACGCGCAAGGTGGTCGGCATGCGCCGCCGCATCGCCGAGAAGATGGCGCTTTCCAAGAGCCGCATCCCGCACATCACGATCGTCGAGGAGATCGACGTCACCGCGCTCGAGGCGCTGCGCGCCCAGCTGAACGCCCAACACGCGCCCGAGCGCGGCAAGCTGACCGTGCTGCCGTTCATTGCGACCGCGCTGGTGCGCGGCATCGAAGCCCATCCGGGCATGAATGCCCGCTTCGACGATGAAGCCGGAGAGATCGAGGAACACGCGGCCGTGCATATCGGCATCGCCACCCAGACAGAAGCCGGCCTCGCCGTGCCCGTCATCAGCCATGCCGAGGCGCGGACCCTGTGGGACCTTGCCGCCGAGATCGACCGGCTGGCGACCACGACCCGCGACGGCAAGGCGACCCGCGACGAGCTGACCGGATCGACGATCACGATCACGTCGCTCGGGCCCCTCGGCGCGATTGCGACGACGCCGATCATCAACCATCCCGAGGTCGCAATTGTCGGCGTGAACAAGATGGCGATGCGCCCGATCTGGGACGGCGCGGCGTTTCAGCCACGCATGATGATGAACCTGTCCTGTTCGTTCGATCACCGCGTGATCGACGGCTGGGACGCCGCCAATTTCGTCCGCACGCTCAAGACGCATCTGGAAACGCCGGCGCTCCTGTTCATGGAGGCCGGGCAATGAGCGCCGGCACGTGCGGCCTGCTGGTGCTGGGCGCGGGTCCGGGGGGCTATGTCTGCGCGATCCGTGCCGGGCAGATTGGCATCGACACCGTCATCGTCGAGGAAACAGCGCCCGGCGGAACGTGCCTGAATGTCGGCTGCATCCCCTCCAAGGCACTGATCCACGCGGCCAACGAGTTCCACAAGATTACGCACGCATCGGACCAGTCCGCCCTTGGAATCAAGGTGGCCGATCCGACCATCGACCTTGGCAAGACGGTCGACTGGAAGGACGCGATCGTGCGCCGCCTGAATGGAGGCGTCGAAGGCCTTTTCAGGAAGGCCGGCGTGCGCCTCATCCGCGGACGCGGTGAAATCCTCGACGGCAAGACGGTTCGGGTCGTTACGGAGGATGGCGAGGAGACGATCCAGACGGAAGCACTGGTGCTGGCCACCGGATCGGCGCCGGCGGCGCTGCCCACGCTGCCCTTCGGCGGCAAGGTCATCAGTTCGACCGAAGCGCTGTCCCTGGCCGAGCCGCCGTCCGCGCTGGCGGTCGTCGGCGGCGGCTATATCGGGCTCGAACTGGGCACGGCCTATGCCAAGCTCGGCTCGCGCGTGACGGTCATCGAGGCCGAAGAGCGCATACTGCCGCAATATGATGCCGCGATCACCCGCCCGGTTGAACAGAGCCTTGAACGTCTGGGGGCGACGGTCCTGACCCGCTCCAAAGCGCTGGAGCCCACCAAGAAAGGACTTCGCGTCGACCATGCCGCCGATGGTCCGCGCGAGATCGAAGCGGACCGGATCCTCGTTACGACCGGCCGGACGCCGCGCATCCGCGAGGCCGGCATCGATGGCCTTGCCCTGACGATAACGCAAGACGGTTTCATCGCGATCGACGACCGCTGCGCGACCTCCATGCGTGGCGTCTACGCGATCGGCGACATCACGGGCGATCCGATGCTGGCGCACAAGGCCATGGCACAGGGCGAGCTTGTCGCGGAGGTCGTGGCCGGGCATCGCGCGCGGTGGGACCGTACCTGTATCCCGGCGGTGTGCTTCACCGATCCCGAGATCGTCACCTGCGGGCTGCTTCCCGATGAGGCGGCGGAACAGGGATTCGACGTTGCCGTCGGCCAGTTCCCGCTCGCCGCCAGCGGACGCGCCATGACCATGGAGGCTGCGTCGGGCTTCGTGCGGGCCGTCGCCGAGCGCGGCACCGGTCGCATCCTCGGTTTGCAGGCGGTCGGCCGCGACATTTCCGAACTGTCAACGGCGTTTGCGGTCGCCATCGAAATGGGCGCCGTTGTTGACGATATTTCCGGTGTCATTCACGCCCACCCGACCTTGGGCGAAGGACTGCAGGAAGCCTGTTTCGCCATCAGCGGCAAGGCGATCCACGTCTAGCGGACAACAGGGTGCCGCCGGGGGGCGGCGCATCCTGCGTCAGTTGAAGAGCCGGTTTGGCAGCCACAGCGCCAGGTTCGGAAACTCCAGCACCAGCGCGAGCGCAATCAGCTGCAGCAGCACGAACGGAACGATGCCGCGGTAGATGTCACCGATCGTGACCAGATCGCGCGCCGTCCCCTTGGTGTAGAACAGCGCAAAGCCGAATGGGGGCGTCAGGAAACTCGTCTGCAGATTGATCGCAACGAGGATCGCGAACCAGTAGACGGTATCCACCGATGCAACGTGATCGCCGAAATCGAGCAGTTGGACGATCGGCGCGAAGATCGGCAACACGATCAGCGTGATCTCGATCCAGTCGAAGAAAAAGCCCATGACGAAGACCATCAGCATCAGGATGCCAAGGATGCTCCACGGCCCGAGCACTCCCGTGTCGATGAGCGACAGGACAAGCTCCTCTCCGCCGAAGCGGCGGAACAGATAGCTGAACGCGGTCGCGCCGACGAAGATGAAAAAGATCATGGAAACCGTGGTCAGCGAGCGGCCAAGAACCTGGTTGAGGCCGGGCAGGCTCAGACGGCGCCGGAAAAGCGCGAGCGCAAGCGCTCCGAGCGCGCCCACGCCGGCCGCTTCCGTCGGCGTGGCCCAACCGCCGAGGATCGAGCCGAGAACCAGGCCGATCAGAAGCGCGGGCGGTATGAAGCCGGAGGCCAGCTTGCGGGCAAGCGCCCGTTTCTCGTCATCGGTCAAAGGCGTCGATGCGCGGGGCGCAAGCTTGGGCCGCATAAAGCTGATCGTGACGATATAGACCAGGTAGAGCCCCGACAGGATCAGCCCCGGAACGAGCGCCGCCATGAACAGCTTGCCGACCGAGATCGTCAAGAGGTCGCCCATGATCACAAGCATGATCGAGGGCGGGATGAGAATCCCAAGCGTTCCCGATGCGGCGATCGTTCCCGTCGCCAGCGACGGCGCATAATTGTTGCGCAGCATCATCGGCAGTGCCAGCAGGGTCAGCATGGCGATCGATGCGCCGATGATCCCCGTCGAGGCGGCCAGGATGGTCCCCATCAGCGTCACCGACAAGGCAAGACCTCCCGGGACGCGGCGCATCAGCGTCTGAAGCCCATCCAGCAGGTCCTCGGCGATGCCGCTCTTCTCCAAGAGCGTGCCCATGACGACGAACATCGGTACCGCCACCATGACCGGATTGGCGACGATGCCGCTGAATATCCTGTTGATCAGCAGCGGCAGGTGGACGAAGCGGATCTCGCCCATCGCCAGCCCGATCCCGGCAAAGACCAGCGACACGCCGCCCAGGACGACCGCGACGGGCAGGCCCGAGAAGATGAACAGCGCGAGGCTGACGAACATGATGATGGGCAGCCATTCAGCAAACATGCCAAAGTCCTCAGGTGGCGCCGCGAGCGGCTACGGATCGGGATAAAACGGAGTGTCCGGCGTCTTGCCGCCGGATCGCAGCGCGTCGATGCAGCGTGCCAGGATCGACAATGCCGACAGGATCACGAGCGCGAAGCCGATCGCCAGGAACGATTTGATGATCCAGCGGTTGGGAAGCCCGCTGCCGCCGACCGAGCCCTCGCCCGTCGCCCAGGCCCGCAGCGCGTAGTCGATCGAGAAGTGAAGCAGAAACCCGAGATAAGGGATCAGGAACAGGACAATACCGGCCGTTTCAAGCCAGATCTTGGTCCGCTGCGGAAAACTCTCGCGCAACAGATCGACACGGACATGCGCGTCTTTCAGATAGGTCGCGCCGAAACCGAGCAGCATGGCCGCGCCGTGCAGGTGCCATTGCAGTTCCTGCAGCAGGGTCGATCCGGTGTTGAAGAACTTCCGGCCAACCACGTCGTAGCCGATGACGAAGGCCAAGCCGAGCAACAGCCAGCCGCCGACGAAATGGCCCGCGCGCGGAAGGGCCGCACATGTACGCGCAATTGTCTGAAACATGGGTCCGTCCGGTCGCTCGGGGCCCCTCCCGACCGTTCGGCCGGAAGGGGCAGCATGCGGATCAGCGAGGCGTCAGCGCAGATAGCCGAGATCGCGCCAGATGGCGTAGTTCTCTCGGAATTCGCTGTAGGAAGCCCACGTCCGCGCGAAGTCGGCGTCTTCGGACAGTTCATCGACGACCTCGAGCCATGCCGTCCGCATCGCTTCGAGGATCTCCGCAGACCAGGTGTGCAGCGTCACGCCCTGCTCCTGCAACTGCGCCAGCGCGTCGAACTGGATCGCCTCGCCCCAGGCGATCGATTCGGTGACGGCCGAGCGGCAGACTTCGTTGACGATCGCCTGATTGCGCTCGCCCAAATCGTTCCAGACATCCAGATTGATCAGCAGAGAGAAGAGCGAGGTCTGCTGATGCCAGCCCGGGAAATAGTAGTGGGAGGCATAATTGTTCATGCCGAGAGCGAGATCGAGGGCCGGCATCGAGATTTCCGCGGCATCGATCGTTCCCAGTTCGAGTGCCGGAACGGTGTCGCCGACCGGCAGGGTCTGCGCCGAGACGCCGAGCTTTTCCATCACACGGGCGCCAAGGCCGAAGAAGCGCATCTTCTTGCCCTGCAGGTCATCGAGCGTTTCGATGGGTTCGCGGAACCAGCCCGATGCCTCCGGCGGGATCGTCGAGCACAGGACCGGCTTGACGTTGTGGCCGGCGGAGATCTCTTCCCAGATTTCCTGGCCGCCACCGTGATAGTACCAGGCAAGATATTCGGGGGCCTCGGGGCCGAACGGCACGGAGGTGAACATCGCCGCCGACGGAATGATGCCCTGCGCGAAGCCCGGTGAATACCAGGCGGCATCGACGGCACCGGTGGAGACGGCATCCCACGCCTCGGGCGCCGGCACGAGCGCGCCGGGCTCGTTGAAGTTGAGCGACAGGTCACCGCCGCTGATCAGGTCCATGCGCTTGCCGATTTCCTGACCGATCTCGCCGATAATCGGGAATGTGCCGGGATAGACGCTGGTCATTTCCAGCGTCTGTGCGTGCGCCAGTGTCGTTGCACTGACCGCAGCGGCGAGCGCCGCGAGGCGCATGTGTGATTTGATGGACTTCATGGTCTTCCTCCCTTGTTGAAAAGCTGTCGGTGCTATGCCGGAGCACCCGGACTTCGGCCGCCATCGGCTGCGAGCCACTCCTCGATGGCCAGTTCGAACGTCACGCATACGAGGTTCTTGCCGCGCACGAAGCGCCCGCCGCCGATGCGGCCGTCAGGTCCTGCGATCATGCCGTTCAGGACGGCCACCGGTTTTCCGCCGGAGGCCGTCCGGACTTCACCCGCAAGGCCAACCACTTCGACGGCAGGGCCGTAGACCACGGTCTCCGATCCGTCACCGCAATCCACGCAGGCGTCCGTGAGGCTGCCCAGGCTGCCGCGGACGAAGCCATTGAGGACTCCGGCCTCGTCGCAGACCGCCTCGACGGCCTCGACCAAATCCTCGTTTGGCCTGACGCGGCCATAGACCACGCGCCCCACCGAACCCGCCTCGGCGCGTACAAACCCGCCCATCAAGCCGCCTCCCCGATGGTGACGGGCGCAAACACGGCATGGTTGGTTTCGGCGTCGGGCGCCTGCCGCACGTCGATCCGCTCGAAGATGGTCGCGCGCAGCCGCAGCCCCTCGGCGCCGACGATGCAGCGAACCGGGTCGAGATGCCCGCCCCCAAGCGCACCGGTCGCCGGCAGTGAAAACCATGCATGGCTGTGAACCATGCGGGTGCCGTCGACAGACCATCCGATGGTCGCCGAGCCGCCAAGCACCATCGTGTCGGTGAAGCTCATCCAGCCCGAATAGGTCGCAACCGTATGCCCGGTCGCATCGGACGCGGCGAGACAGTGCACGCACTGTGAAAACTCGCCCGACAGGAGCGTGAACACGGCGGCTGGCGCGTCGCCGGCGGCATCGACCAGACCGGTCAGAAGATCGATGCCCGCCGGAAGCGCGACAATGGCCGTCCGCGCCGACGGTTCGCTGGCGGTCACGAGCCGCAATGCTGCGGCAGGACCGGGGTGGCGCATGGAACGCGGCTCAAAGCGCGTGGCGACATCGGCGATCATCGCGCCTCCTCCGCCAGATCGTCCTCGGCCTGCAGTCGCTCCAGAAGCGCCTGCCTGACGAGGTTCTTCGTCACCTTTCCGTAGCCCGATCGCGGCAGCTGTTCGAAGCGCTCGAACCGCTTGGGGATCTTGTAGGATGCGATCTTTCCGGTCAGGTGGGATTTCAGGTCGGGCAGCGGGGCATCCGGGCTGCGCGGCACGATCGCCGCCACGCCGATCTCGCCCCATTTGTCGTCCGGAATCCCGACGACGCTGACCTCGCAGACATCGGGATGGGCGGCCAGCTTCTCCTCGATTTCCAGCGGATGGATGTTCGAGCCGCCCGAGATGAACATGTCGGACTGGCGCCCGGTGATGTACAGGAAGCCTTCGTCATCGAGATGGCCGACATCGCCGGTGCGGAACCACCCGTTCCGGAAGGCGGCGGCATTGGCGGTGTCATTGTTGTAGTACCCGCTGAACACGGCCGGCCCGATGACGCATATCTCGCCGGTTTCGAACGGGCCCAGACGGCGCCCTTCGGCATCCTGGATCTCGATCCGCATGCATGTCCGCGTGTAGCCGCAGGTCCCGATCCGCGCCTCCGGACCGTCCTCGACCGCATGCAGGTGCGGCGGCAGGACCGTGATATTGCCGGTCACCTCGCCCAATCCGAAATACTGGACCAGACAGGGGCCGAGCTTGCGCAGGGCCTGTTTCTGATGCGCTCGCAGCATCGGCGCGCCGGCATAGATGACGTGTCGCAGGCTGGTGTGGTCGAACCGGTCGGCCGCTTCGTGCTCGGCCAATGCGGACAGGATGCTCGGCACGGTGAAGATGTTGGTTATCCGGTACTTCTCGATCACTGCGAACACGGCAGCCGGATCGAGGCTGCCGGGATCGGACAGGACGGTGCCGACACAGCGCGCCACCTGAACCAGCTGGTGGATTCCGGCGCCATGCGAAAGCGGCGCGACAACGAGCGAACGGTCCGCCTCGGTCATGCCGGGCATCAGATCGGCAAGGTGGTTGTTGATCACGAATGCCATCTGGCCGTGGGTCAGCACGCCCGCTTTGGGGCTTCCCGTCGTGCCCGAGGTCAGGAAGAACCAGCAGGGATCGTCACGCTCGACAGGCGCCGCATGGAACCGGTTGCCATGACCCGCGCGCACCAGATCGCCATAACGGTATTCGCCCGGCCGCGGTTTGCCGATACAGATGGCCAGCCTGGCACCGGCCGCAAGCGCCGCATCGGCATGGCCGGCAAAAGCCTCATCGTAGATGACGGCCGACGCGTCGGTTGTCTTGGCGATATGGGCCACGTCATCGGGCACGACGCGATGGTTCGTGGGCACCCAGACGGCGCCGATCTTGAAGATGGCGAACATCGTCTCGAACATTTCGTTCGAGTTGCGCGCGTGAACGACCACCTTGTCGCCACGGCCGATACCCAGCTTGCACAGCGAGTTCGCCGCCCCATCGACGCGGGCGTCCATTTCCGCCCACGTCCAGACGCGATCACCGCTGACGATCGCCTGGCCCGTGGGATAACGGCGGGCCGCTTCGGTGAGCAGGTCACCCAGATTCATCACTCGGTTCGAGACGCGCTGCATGACCGGAGCTCTAGCGAAGACGCTCGAGGATGGAGACGTAATTGGCGACCGCAGCACCGCCCATGTTGAAGACGCCGGCCAGTTGGGGCGCATCGAGCTGCATCTCGCCGGCATCGCCGCATAGCTGCATCGCTGCCATGACATGCTGCGACACGCCGGTTGCGCCGATCGGGTGACCCTTGGACTTGAGGCCACCGGACGGGTTGACCGGCAAGCGCCCGTCGCGCGCCGAAATGCCCTCGTCGATGACGCGGGCTCCCTCGCCCGGCTCGGCCAGACCCATCGCCTCGTACTCGATCAGTTCGGCGATGGTGAAACAGTCATGGGTCTCGACGAACGAAAGATCCTCGTTCGTGACGCCAGCGGCGGTGCGGGCCGCCGACCATGCGCGTGCCGCGCCCTCGAACACGGTTGCCGACCTGAGGCTCAACGGGAGATAGTCGTTGACCTGTTCGGCCGCGCGGAAATGGACGGCCTTGTTTGCCGTGCGCAGTGCCGTCTCCGTGCCGGTCATCACGAGCGCGGCCGCGCCGTCGGAAATCAGCGAGCAATCGCTGCGCCTGAGCGGGTCGGCAACAAGCGGGTTCTTGTCGGACACCTGCCGGCAGAATTCATAGTCCAACGCCTTGCGCATGTGCGCACAGGGGTTTTTTGCACCGTTCTGGTGGTTCTTGGCCGCGATCCGGGCCAGGCTGTCGCTCTTGTCGCCATATTTCTGGAAATAGGCGCGGGCGATCCCGGCAAAGACGCCGGCGAACCCGCCCTGAACGTCCGCTTCCTGCTTGTGATACGATGCGCCGAGCAGGATTTCGCCCACTTCGGAGGTCGGCGTTGCTGTCATCTTCTCGACGCCGACGACAAGAACATGCCGCGCCGTCCCGCTTTCCAGCGCGCGCAAACCCGCATGGATGGCCGCTGAGCCGGTGGCGCAGGCGTTTTCCACGCGAACAGCCGGCACATGGCGCAATTCCGGCACGGCAAGCGCAACCAGCGCACCCAGAAAATCCTGCCGCCCGAAACCGTTGTTGAAGGCACCGACAATGACGGTGTCTATGTCTGCCGGCTCCAGCCCGGCGTCGGCAATGGCCGGACCAGCGACCTCGGCGATCAGCGCCTCGGCATCGACGGCCTCGGACTTGCCGAACCGTGAATGTGCCCATCCGGTGATGCATGCTGACATGTTGCCCTCCCGCCTGTCAGCCGCATGTTATGGTCGGTATGGAGCAAATTCTTGCCTGATTATCTTGATATGCATACTAATTGAACATACTATGTGCTTGATTTTCCAATTATGAGCATGTGCGATGCCTCACATTGACGATACGGATCGCCGGATTCTGCGTGTGATGCAGGAGGACGGATCGTTGACCGTCTCGGAGATCGCGGAGCGGGTAGGACTGTCGCAATCACCCTGTTCCAGGCGCATCAGCCGGCTGACAGAGGAAGGCATTATCCGCGGCAAGGCCATCCAGCTCGACCGCAAGAAGCTCGGTTTCGACGTTATCGTTCTGGTCCGGATCAAGCTGACCGAGCATGGCCGCCAGGCGCTGAACGTGTTTCAGGAAGCCGCAATGCTGATCCCCGAGGTGCAGGTGATCCAGCTCATGCTTGGCGAGTTTGATTTCAATGTTCGCGTCGTGGTGCGCGACATGGACCATTTCCAGACGCTGCTGCGCGAGAAGCTGGTCATGCTTCCCGGCGTCCAGGAAATCCAGAGCACGGTCATTCTCGAGGAGATGAAGTACACGACCTCGCTGCCGCTTTGAGAGGCCCGGGCGTTGTTCGTGCTCTCATGACCAAGCGGTGGGACGCCCTCTTGCCCGGATGCTGCCGTCTGCACATGCGACGCCGCAACCGGCGCCATGGCCGAGCAGGGAACCATAACGCCGGCAATGCGTTTTCAGCGCGTGGCCGATACCAACCAGCAAAAGTTGAGCATGGCGCAACGATCGGCGGTTCCGGGCGACACTGGCCTCGGTGCCGCAGCATCGCTTGACCGGGACGCGCCAACATCGCCGCGCCGGCTCAGCGCGCGCGCATGGTGGTCGGCCCTGAAGGCAACGGCGACCCGGGCGGCCGATATGGATGTCAGCTTGCGGTGTGCCGGCGTGGCGTTTTTCGGCTTCTTGTCTGTCTTTCCCGCCCTGAGCGCGGCGGTCTCGCTGTTCGGCCTGATCGCCAACCCGCTGGCGATCGCCGACGCAAACCTGGCGATCGCCATCGCCTTGCCGGTCGAGATCACGACCGTCATCACCGAACAGGCGGCTGCCTTTGCCGCTCGCGAAACCAAGCTGGGCATCGGGCTGGCCGTCAGCCTGGCGATCGCACTGTGGACCGGTTCGCGCGGCATGAACGCGCTGATTTTCGCGATCACCAAGGCGCATCGGGAAACCGATACACGTGGCTTTGTTGCCGGTGCCGTCACCTCGTTCATCGCGACCGTCAGCGCCTTCGTCACGCTCGGCATCCTGCTCATCGCCGTGACCGTGCTGCCGACGCTTGCGCTCATCTGGCCATTCGCCGAATCCCGCGAAAGCGCCATTTTGTGGCTGCGCTGGCCGGTGGTCGCGGTCGTGCTGTGGGTGGCTGTGCTGCTGCTTTTCCGCAATGCGCCCCACCGGCGGTCGCCCGAAACGCGCTGGGTGGTGCCCGGCGCGATCCTGGCGACGGCGCTGTGGCTGCTCGGTTCGGCCGCCCTTTCCTTCTTCATCGATAATTTCGGCCGCTACGACGCGACCTTCGGCTCCATCGCCGCGGCCGCCGTGTTCATGCTGTGGCTGTACGTCTCGGCCATCGTCCTGGTCTCGGGCGCGGCGCTCAACGCCGAACTGGAATGGCGCACGCGAAAGGACACCACTGTGGGGCCGGACCGGCCGATGGGTCAGCGCAACGCCTATGTGGCGGACACGCTGGCCGCCGATACGGCGGATCCAATGTGCGAGCGAACACATCCGACCAACAATCGACATGAGGAGACTGGCGATGGCCAAACCCGATAGCAAAACGACGAAACTCACCCGCAGCGATCTGGCGTCCGACGAGATGGGCAACAATCGGTTGCAGGCAAAGGATCAATCCGATGTCCGCAACCAGCGCAAGGCGGTCCCCGACGTCAAGCAGGAGACGGACGGCGTCATCGAGAGTTTCCAAAAGCTGGACAAGGATGAACGTGCAGAGCGCGATCTGGGCAAGGGTAACGCCTGAGCAGGGCCGGATCGTTCGTACCAACACCGAGGAAACCGCATGACCCATCGCCTGAAGATCGCCGCCATAACGCCATTGGCGCGCAACGTCTTCCAATACGATCTCGAAAAGCCGGAAGGGCTCGTCTTCGAGCCCGGTCAGGCCGTCGATGTCTCCATCGGCAAGGAAGGATGGGAAGACGAGAAGCGCCCGTTCACCTTCACATCTCTGCCCTGCGACGACCGGCTTCAGTTCATGATCAAGAGCTATCCCGATCATGGTGGCGTGACCGAGCAGCTTGCGCGTCTGATCGTCGGCGACATGCTGATCATCGACGAGCCGTTCGGCACCATCGCCCACAGGGGTGAAGGCACGTTCATTGCCGGCGGCGCCGGGGTGACACCGTTCATCGCGATCCTGCGTGATCTCCAACGGCAGGGCCGGCTGGCCGGCCATCGACTGCTGCTGGCCAACAGGACCGAGCGCGACATCTTCCCGCAGGCCGAACTCGACGCGATGGCCGGCCTCGACGTCACCCACATATTGAGCGAAGAGCAAGGAACGCAGCACGAAACCGGACGCATAGACTGCGCTTTCCTCGAGCGCTCGATCGACGACCTGTCGCAGAAATTCTATGTGTGCGGCCCGCCGCAAATGGTCGAGGATGTCAACGACGCGCTCAAACAACTGGGTGCCGAACCGGACGGGCTGGTCTTCGAGGAGTGACCAGAGGACGGAGGCTCCGTCCTTGCTTTTCATATGTCCGGCCCGGCCTGCCCCTCTCCGCAGCGGGCCCAATCCGCGCCGCGTTCCAACTTCCAAACACCCGAGCGGTTAGGGTGGGCCGTCCCGACCTGCCGGCCACGCATCCATAGGCATTTTTTGCGCGATAACATGAAACCGATGTGGTCACACGGGCGTTTGTTACGCGACGGCAACCACTTCGCGCGGAGGTATATCGCGATGGCGCAAAAAGAACATGACACGACAGTTATTCGCACCGGAGGCGGAGGGGCAGGATGGTTCATCGCCGCCGTTCTGGCCGTGATCCTGCTCCTTGGCGGGTATTTTCTTCTGACCGGCGGCGTCTTCGAGACGCAGCGCTCGGTCGACATCGACGTCCAACTGCCTGCCGCCGAGGGCCAGCAGTAACACCCCAGCCGGAGGCTCCTGCCTTCTGACCAAGCCGGATGCCATCCGGCAATCAATCGAGAGGAAAACTTCGATGACCTTCAAGAACGCCACACTTGCCGCACTCGTGGGGGCCGCGGCCATCGCCGCCACGCCTGCCGCCGCTCAGACTGCCGGCGTGCAACTGGGCCAACTGGTCTGCCAGGTCGATGACGGAACCGGCTTCATTTTCGGTTCGTCCAAGGACCTTTTGTGCACCTTCACGCCGGCCAATGACAGTTTCGCCGAGGAAACCTACACCGGTGTCATCAACAAGTACGGCATCGATGTCGGCGTGACGGGCGAAGCCGTCATCCTGTGGACGGTTGTGGCTGCCGAGGAGGACGTCTACGAGCCCCGCGCGTTGACCGGCACCTACACGGGCGCCACCGCATCGGCGGCCTTCGCCGCCGGCCTGGGCGCCAATGTGCTGGTCGGCGGCTCGGACACGTCCTTCGCGCTGCAGCCGGTCAGCGTTTCGGTCACCGAGGGCGTCAATGTGGCCGTCGGCATTGCCGAAGTCATCCTGAACTGATCGGCAGACCGGCCTGCACGGCGGGGCGCACGCCCCGCCGTAAGCGACCGTACGACAATTGAAAGACCACCAACATGATGATGCAGCCCCCGGACGATCCGAAAATCAAGCGAGACGAGCGGCTGTCCGAACTGGCGACCCTTCAGGTCCGCCACACCGACGCCGCCAACGGGTACGATGCCGGCCTGGAAAACGCCGATGCGACAATGGACCCGGTTCTGCGCCGGCTGTCGGATATGCATCGCGATTGTGCCGAGCAGACGGCACGCATCCTGGTCGCCCATGGCGGCGAACCCGATCCCGACGGGTCCTGGTTGTCATGGGTGCACCGGTCGGTGATGGTGGCCCGCGGCATGATCGACGGGCTGGGCGCGGACGTCATTCCGGGCCTGATCGACGGGGAAAAGCGGGTACTCGAACAGCTCGACCGGGTTCTGGAACGAACCCATTGGACCGACGTCGATCGCAATGCGCTGATCGGCCAGCGTGACCGGATCGAGGCCGAAATCGCCGAACTGAACGCCATGAAAGCCGACACCGGCGGTGCAACATCATAAGAAAGCCGACCAGCCGGCGCAGCCCTCTTTGAAGCTGGCCGCTGGCGCGCCGTCGCGCAACGACGCATCCGTGACACGCCGACCGGCTCCCCGAAGGCGAGCTCGGTCAATACATCGAAACGCTGACGGGATCCTGGCCGGTGCGTTGACTGCTGCTGCTTCCCTGGGATCCGGTCTGACGCCCCGATCGTGTGCCGGTCGCCCACCAAACAAGATTCTGATCTCTGCAGAATGAAAGGACCACGACAACGAAGCCATGCGACCCCCTGGGAGCCGCCTGGGTTCGACCGGCTGTGTTCTGGCACGTCGCCGGTGCGGTCACTCCGCCGCCTGCCCCTGCCGCTGCCGCGCGATGGGCAGCGGTTCCTGCGGCTCGAACAGGAGCTGGCGCTGCGGGAACGGAATGTCGATTCCCGCATCGTCCAGCGCCTCCTTGACGGCCTTGATCACATCGAGCTTGGTCCGGTAGAAATCGTCATTGGTCGTCCACCAGCGGGCGCGGATGTTGACCGAGGAACCGGCAAGATCGGCAACGCCGGCGTCGGGCGCCGGATCGTCGAGTACCGTGTCGAACGAGCCGATGGCATCAAGGATGACCGCCATCGCCCGATCGAGATCGGTATCGTAGGCGACGCCGAACTCGTACTGCGCGCGGATGGTGGGCGTGCGCGTGACCACCGTCATCGCATTGGTGAACACTTCGCCGTTCGGAATGGCGATGTCGCGGCCGTCGAAGGTGCGGATCCATGTCGAGCGTGTCGAGATCGCCGTGACAATGCCCTCATGATCACCAAGCTGGACCCAGTCGCCCCGGCTGAAAGGCTCGCGCAGCAGGATCAGGATGCCCGCGAGGAAGTTCTGCAATATGTCGCGGAAAGCAAAACCGATCGCCACCGAGCCGACGCCCAGGACCGAAAGGAGTTCGGCGGCACCGACGCTTGGCGCAACAATGCCGACAGCGGCCAGGAAACCGGCGAAGACGACGCCCAGATGCGCCAGACGTCCCAGCGCGTTGCCAAGGCCATCATGGTTCTTGGTGCTGGCGACCCTCCGGACAATACGGCGAACGCCCATCGCGACGAGATAGAACAACGCGAACACGACGAGCGCGATCGCCAGTTTGGGGAGCATGGCGAAAAAACCGTCGACCAGCGTTGCCAACGTTCCCCATGCGTTTTCGACTTCGTCGGACAGGGCGCCGACGACCTCGGTATTGCCTTGGTCTTCCAATGATTTCTCCGGAATTCAGGGGTTTATTCGTCGCCTGCCTCGTCTTCGCCGACCAGCCGGCTGGCGAGGAGGAGCCCCGCGATCGCGGCGATGAGAGGCAGCGCGGTGGTGCCCGAACGGCGAATGGCGACGAGGCCGGTGGCGAGCGCCGCGCTCTTGACGGCGGCGGATCGCGAATTGCGGCGACGGGCGCGCGCTGCGAGGGCGGCATTGACGATAACGGCCAGCGCCGCGATCGCCAGGAAGATGGCGGACATGATGACCAGCGCGACCAGCAGATCGTAGCTGCGCGCGATCGCCACGGTTCCGGCGGCCGCGCCGAAGCCGACGGCGAAAAGGCCGGCGATGCCGCCCACCGCATAGAACGCCGCAGCCGAGATCCAGCGCTGCTTGCGGCGCTTGAAATCGGCTGCGGTCAATTGCGTGATCGTTGTCAGCGCGGTGATCATGTTACCTGCGCATCAGGATGGCGGCGAGAAAACCGATGCCCGCGGCGATGCCCAGCGCCTGGATCGGGTGCTGCCGCACGGCGGTACCGGCCTTCACCTCGATCTCGTTGAGTTGGCGCGTCAGGTCGTCGATGAGCTGATCGCTGGTCTTCTGCAAGGCCATCGCGGATTCGTCGCCCCGTTGCTTGGCTTCTCGGACACCGGCACCGGCCACCTTACTCAGGCGGTCCGTCACGGCGGCGACCTCCTCGCGCAAGGCTGCGATCTCGGCGCCAAGATTCTCGGACTTGGTCGTCGAGGCGCTGCTGCGCGCCTTGCTCCGGCCCGTGGATTTGGTAGCGGTTGCGGTCATAGGACCCTCCTTTCGCGGGCTAAACGCGCCGCCCGCGAACGGGTTCCATACAGATTTGCTGCAATGCGCCCATCACGGCGGGCCCGCGGCGTCAGCATGCGGTTGAGCGCCGACAGGGCCTCGACGCGCTCGGCGACGGCATTGAGGACGACGAGCATGGGAATGGAGACCAGAAGGCCGGCAAAACCCCAGAGCCAGCCCCAGAACAACAGCGACAGGATGATCGCCAGCGGCGCGATGTTGACGCGGCGTCCCACCATATTGGGCGTGACGAAATTGGCCTCGATGAAATTGATCACCAGATAGGCCGCTGCCGGCATCAGCATCTGAAAGATCGTGCCGAATTGGACGATACTGACCGCCAGAAGCAAGGCCGCACCGATCGTCGGACCGACGAACGGCATATAGTTGAGCACGCCGACGACGAATCCCCAGAAGATCGGCATCGGCACATCGAGCGCCCAAAGGACGAGCCCGACCACCGTGCCAAGACCGATGTTGATCAATGTCGTTACGAAGAAATAGTGGCTGACATCGCTCTCGACGCCTTTCCACAACCGCGCGGCATCGAGTTTGGAGGCCATCGTGCTTGCAGGAATGGTCGCCAGCGTGAGGAACGGGTTTCGGATGGCGAAGATGAAGCCGAAAATCGTCAGCGTCACCGCGATGCTGCCCAGGCCGCCGGCGAAGTTCGATGCGATCTGCATCCACAGATTGCCCTCGCGCACCACCACCTGCTCGACCTCGGTTGCTTCGCCCTCAAGAGCGCCACCCACCTCCTTGCCGACATCGACGATCGCTTCGCCGACCTTCTGCGCCTCGGCAAGCGATGTCTGGAGGCTGAACACCTTGCCGCGCAACTCGCCGATCATCTGCGGATAATCCTGGATCAGAGTGCGGGCGGGCGCGGAGACAAACAGTGCGAACAGCACCAAAGCGCCACACAGGATGGCGATCATCACGATCGCGGCGGCAAAGCGCGGCAGGCCGGCCTTCTGCAGCGCCGCCAGCGGAAGGTGCAGAAGAATCGCCAGCAAGAGCGCCACGAAGATCGGAATGAAAACGGCCTTGGCCAAAGACAAGGCGGCGACGATGGCGATCAGAAGCGCAATCGTCGCAAGCGAGCGGAACAGGTAGCTGTCATATCCGATCATTGGCAGAACCGCGCCCCGTCAAACGGGGCGCGGCCTCTCTTCTGGTTACATCGCCGGGGCGACCAGGATCACCGCGTCGGGATCGTTCTCATAACCAGAGCGCGAAAATGCCTGATGGCTTTCAAGCTGCTCGGCCGTCAGGCTGGTCTTGATCACCGACCAGTCGAACGCACCTTCGGCGCGCGCGATCATGAGGTTTTCGAGCGACACGGCAACGGGCTTCTCGCCAAGGCCGAGGAATCCGCCCACATCGATGATCACGGCCTGAACCTGGCCGTCGCCGCCGATCAGCACATCGCCGACTTCGCCGACATCCTCGTCGTTGGCGCCATGAACGTCCATGCCGATCAGACGGTCAGCCTCGAACGAGGCCTCGACGATCGGCACATAGTCGCGATCGTCGCCGGCCATCGCGGTTTCGGTGTCGGGCATGGGGTCGCTTTCGGCGGCGGTTTCCGTTTCGGTCATGTTCTCGGCCTCGGCGTTGGCATCGGCCGCCGCCATGGTCTCTTCTTCGGCCCCGCGGTCATCGGTCATCATCGCCTGCTCGCGGTTGGTGAGAACCGAGCGGTCGAAGCCGGGAGCTTCATTGAGCTGCTCGTCGGTCAGATCGCCGACCAGCCAACGCTCGCCGTCCGGTCCGGCCCGCCAGCTCAATTGATCGATGGAGATCGCCACTTCCTTTTCGCCGATGCCCAAAAAGCCGCCGACGCCGGCAATCACGGCCATCACATCGCCGCTCGTCGAAAAGACGACATCGTTGACGTCGCCGATGCTTTCGGCGTCATCGCCGGTGCCGTTGTAGATGTAAGAGCCGATCAGATTGGTGGCGAGCATGTGGGCCGCGTCGGCATCGTAGAAGGTGGACGCGTCTGCCGCCATCTCGCGGTCGAAGACGCCGCGTGTCGCGTCGGTGCCCGCCTCCGCGGCAAAGGCCGCAGCGCTGCCCAGTGTGACCAGGGCGGTGGTAGTGGTCATAAGGCGTTTCAGCATGATAGTCTCCCTTGTGGGTTGCTAAACTCACCCGCCCGGCTGAAGCAATTTCGCGGTTGTGATGCCGGGCGGACTTCTCTTTAACGCCGAGCCTGGCATTTGCGTTCCGCGCCCTCTCATCAGATGTTTCGCAGGGTCACCGGGAACCGTTTGACGGCCCTTTCCGTTATCGACGCGAAGGAGAGCCGAAATGGAAAATGCTGTCTTTGCCCTGTTCATGATGGGATGCGGCCATCAGCTGGACGTGTGCCGCCCGGTCGATACACATGCCGAACTCTTTGAGGATCGGACGACTTGCGAAGCCGGGCTCGAGAGCGCTGCCCGCAATGTCGACACCCATCCGATGGCCGTCGGCAAATGCGTGGCGGTCGATCCCGCCAGCGCAACGGCGGACATGCGGTTCAAATGGTTCTTCGCTGCCAACGGCGAACTGGTCGTCGACCCGCTTTATGGAACGTCGAACGGCACCGTCATCGCGGACCGCGCCGATCGCCTGCCCGAACGGCAGGGTTGATCCGGCACCTAGGAGTTGACGTCGAGCGGGAAGGCGAGCCTTACGCGATAGCCGTCTTCGGTCGGCCCGCGCTCGATCGACCCACGCTCGGCCCCGATCAGCCGGTCGATGAGCTTGGAGCCGAACCCGGTGCTCTGGGCCCGCATGGCGATCTGGTCCCCCACATGGGTCTCCGTCCATTCGATGGTCAGCAGTCCGGCCCTGTCATCGGGCATGCAGCGCAGCACGATCGTGCCGTCGTCGAAACGCAGGGCGCCATATTTGATGGCATTGGTTGCCAGCTCATAGATTGTCAGGGCCAGAGCCTGGCCCAGCGATGGCGTCACGCCGACATCGACGATGTCCGTGCGGATACGGCGGCTCCAGTCGGCCGTATCTGTGAACGGGCCCATTGCCCCCTCCACCGCGGACCGCAGATCCACCAAATGCGTATCGCCTGTCGTGCCGATCGCACGTTGCGCAGCCGCAAGCGCGTCGATCCTGCCCCTGAACCGCTCCACGAACGCATCGACCGCGTCCGTCTCCCGCGCCGTCGCCGCGGCGAGAGAGTTGACCATGGCCAGCGAATTCTTGATGCGGTGGCGCATTTCGCTGACCACTGCCTCCAGCCGTTCCTCGCTCTCCACCAGCGCGGTGATATCCATGTTCAGGCCGATGATGACCGACGCCTTTCCGTCCTTGTAGCGCCTGTGGACCTCGCCGATGCCGCGCAGCCACTTCACGGTCCCGTCCTGGTGCGTGACGCGGAACCGGCAGTCGAACACAACCCCGGTCTCGATCGTCTCGTTCAAAGCCTCGCTGACGCCGAGGCGGTCGTCGGGATGGATGGAGCCGATGAATTCAGTGGCGGTAAAGTTGCCGGTATCCGACAGGCCGAACAACCGGTAGGTCGCCTGGTCGGCGTCCACGAGGTCGGTGCGCACATCCCACGCCCAGGTGGCCAGGCCGGCATAGCGCAGCGCGAGCCGGTGCCTGTCCTCGATCGACAGGCGCTCGAAGGTCGGCGAGGGGGTCATGTCCAGCGATTGCGTTGCGAATGATCCGGCGTCGGGTGGCGAGCCGGCGATCGGGTTTCTGTCGTCAAGACCATCGGCGAGTTGCCCCATGGCACACCTTTCATGAAATCGTGATGCCGCACGACTGACGGAACCCTTCGCCCCATATAGTAGTTGCAGCGGGGTAAAAGGCAATGCGAGGCGCGCGTGTGACGGACGAACTGACCAGTGCGCAACCGCTGGTGACCGCAGAACAGGCCTTCCCGGCCATGGAGGAGCTGGTCCTTGAAGCGCGCGAACGGCTCGACCTGGCGCTGCACATCTTTTCGCCGCGCACCAAGACGCGGTCTTCCGCGGCGCATTCGCGGCACATCGGCGACTGGGGCGCACTGATCGCCGATGCGCTGCGGCGCGGCGTGCGGACGCGGTTGCTGCTCAACGATTTCGATCCGGTGGGCGCGCCGGAAATGCATGCGGCGGTCTGGGAGCGGCTGCGCCTGCTCGCCGACGCCGTCAAGCCGCTGCCGCACGGCGCCCGGACGCATCTGACCGTCCTCGTCGCCCACCCGGGCGGCCAGAGCGGGATGGCGCTCAGGACGCTGATATGGCCTGTGGCACGCGTCAAGCAGGCGCGCATCGTCTCCCAGTTTCGCCGCAAGGGGCGGAACCTGCCGCCGGGACTTGCCGGACGGGCCGACCGGATCCCCCGATGGCCGCCACGGCGCAACTTCACCGCGACACTGCACCAGAAATTCCTGGTCGCCGACAAAAGCCTTGCCATCGTGGGCGGGCTCGACATCGACGAGCGCCGCTATGACGACCCCGATCACAACCGGTCGGCACCGGAAACCTGGCACGATGTCAGCGTCGGCGTCGCCGGCGGCACGGCATCGGACCTGGCGGACCATTTTGACCGGTGCTGGAACATCGTGCGGGCCGAAGGGGCCAGCCATGCGCCGACATTCGTCGCCATGGACCCCGATTGCCCGCTGCGGTTCGCCGCCATCGAAAAACGAAGCGTGCTCCGAACCGGGGAGCCAAAGCCGGCAACGCCAGAGAAGGGCATGGCGGTGGCGGCAACATTGCCCCGGCCAGGCCGGAGCCCGTTCCGCTTCGGCCCGGTGGCCGACCTGTGCCAACTCGAACGGGCCCATCTGGACCTGATCGCCCGTGCCCGCCGCTATGTCTATCTGGAGAGCCAGTTCTTCCGCTCATCGACCATCCGCGACGGCCTGATCGCGGCACTCGGGCGCAACCGCGCTCTGCATGCGATGCTGCTGCTGCCCGGCGCCCCCGACGTGATCGCCTACGAGGGCGAGAAATCGGGCGTCCAACGTTACGGCGAATGGCTGCAGATGCGGTCGCTGAACCGGCTGACGGACCTTTTTGGCGATCGCTTCGCGGCCTATTGCATCACCAACGACCGGACGCGCGAGGAAGAGATCGAGCGCGACGCACTTTACGGCAAGTCGATGGTCTATGTGCATTCCAAGGTCGCCATCGCCGACGACGACACCGCGATCGTCTCCTCGGCCAATCTCAACGGCCGTTCAATGCGATGGGACACCGAAGCCGGGATCGTTGCCCGCGACGCGACCTTTGCCGCCAGTTTGCGCGAAGCGTTGTGGCGCGCCCATATCGGGGGCGATACGCCGACACCCGATCCTGTCGACGATCCCGCAGGCGCGTTCGGACACTGGCGCACCATCGCCGACGCGCGCCGGATAGCTGGTGCCGAAGCCAACGGCACCGGCATCGTACCCTTCCCGCTGGAAAAGACACGGCGCTTCGCCAAGCGCCACATCCTCATTCCGCAGGAAATGGTGTGAACGCGGCGGAACGATCCGCCGGATCATGCGTTGTCTCCTCGTCCGCTCACAGACGGACGAAGGAGTTGTGATGAAAACGATTGATTCTGGTCAAGCACGCCAGGGCGGCCGCGGCCGCCGCGTACTTGTCATCCTGCTCGCCGCCATGGTGCTGGCGGGCGCGAGCGCGTTGGCGCTCGACCTTTTCGACCGTGACCCGGTGAGCGCCGACATCGGCGAACCCGGCGTCTGATCGACGGCCGAATTTCGGCCTCAACCTGCAACAAACTCAAGAGAAGGAGCTGTTTTCATGGCACAAGCTGCCCTCAAACCCGAATTGAGCGATGAACCCGTTTCCACCGGCATCGACGAGGCCGCGCGCGAGAAGATCGCCCAGGCGCTGTCGGCCATCCTGACCGACACCTACTATCTGGTGATCAAGTCGCACATCTATCATTGGAACGTCGTCGGCCCCATGTTTCACGCGATCCACAACATGACCGAGGAGCAGTACACGAACCTGTTTCAGGCAGCCGACGATATCGCCGAACGCATCCGCGCCCTGGGGCACAAGGCGCCGATCGCCGATGCGGCCGGTCCGAACCAGGCGGTGGTTTCGATGGACGCATCGGCCAAGTCGGCACACGACATGGTCGCCGATCTCATCGACGATCACGAAGCGGCCATCCGCAAGATGCGCGAAGCGGCCGACATGGCCGAGGAAATGAGCGATTTTGTCACCCACGACCTTTTGGTCGGGCGGATGACCTACCATGAGCAGGTCGTCTGGATGTGGCGCTCGCTGATTACGGAGTAAGACAGATGGGTATCGAAGTCGGCGGCCTTTTGGGCCTCATCCTGCTGATCGCCATGGTATGGGCGATTTACAGCACCTTTCAATCGAGCGCGTCCACGGGGGCAAAGGCACTCTGGACCGTCCTCATTCTCGTTTTGCCGGTGATCGGCCTGATCCTGTGGTTCATCTTCGGACCCAAGGGCGGACGCCGCGCAGCGGTCTGAGCGGAGGTGACGTCATGTCAACCAATCAAGACCCATCCATCGTCGGTGGCGCCCTGGGCGTCGAGAAGGACCTGACGCCGGAACAGATCGTCGAACGCGGCGACTGGTCGGAGCAGCAGAAGCTGGACCGTCTTGAGAAAATGAAACTCGACGCTATCGAAAAGCAGCGCGCCGCCAACGAAGGCATGGCCGGCGACGAGCCGGCGAATCTGCGGGCCATCGAACTGGCCATCGACGCGGTGAAAAGCGACGCAGCAGGCGGTCCGGAAACGGACGCGATAGCCGGACGGCGACTCGGCTGACCGGCACGACAGGCGCCGAAAACGACGCGCCCGGCGGGGATACAATTCGCCGGGCGTTTTCGTGAGCTTTCATGTGACCTTTACCTGGCGCGGCGGTGACCGCTCTTTGCCGCGGCTGCCCCCCTCACGCCTGCGAGCGCTCTGCGGCGCCGCTCAGATGAACGGCCGCATACCGTCCGGAAGTCCGTCCCATCGCGCAATGTCCTTCAACCTGGCGATGTCGCTGATACGGAAGCCGGCTTCTTTCCAACGGATTGCCTGCCGATCCTGCAGTTTGCGCAGCGTCTTGTTTGTATGCACAAGTGACAAGCCGAGCGTATCGGCCACATGCTGTTGAGTCAGCGGCGAGATCTCCGGTGCGTCCTTGAACAGGCCCACCCGGCTCGCACGGTCGTGCAGGTAGGCCAGAAGATAGGCCGCTCTTTCCAGGGCGCTGCGCTGGCCGACGCTCAGCAGGTGCTCGTCGAGAATTTGCTCCTCGCGGGCAGCCAGCCAGGTGATGTCGAAGCCGAGAGCGGGATTGGACTTGTAGAGGTCGCCGAGCCGGTCGCGCTCGAACATGCACAGCACCATGTCCGAAAGGCATTCGAGCGAATGCTCCATCTCGCCGAGCAGCGTGCCCTGGAGGCCCACCAGATCGCCCGGCAGCACATAGTTCAGGATCTGCCGCCGGCCGTCTTCGAGCGTCTTGTAGCGAAAGCCCCATCCCGAAATCACCGTGTAGAGGTGCGGGCTGTGGCTGCCTTCCACGAAGATCGTCGATCCGGCCTCCGCTGTCAGTTCGCCCCGCTTGAAACCGGAAACGAACGACACTTCCTGTTCGGTGAAATCGCGAAACCGGCCGCTCTCGCGGAGCGGACATGCCTCGCAGGCGATCTTTCGGGTGCGTGAGGGTGCCGATGTGTCGGGTGATGCGCTCATGGCTTTCGTCATTGCTCGCTGCGATATGTCAAAGTTTAAAGACGGGCGGATGCGGAGCGGGTAATGAGACCGCTCCCAGGAACGGTAAGGGGAATGATTCCCCATGTTGAACCCGATCGCCATGCCGCAATTGCTTGCCGACAAGACCGTTCTCATCATTGAGGACGAGATGCTGATCGCCATGGATGTCGAACAGATCGCCAACGATCTGGGCGCCCGTCATGTCCTCGTTTTGCGGGTTCGCGAGGCGCTGCGTCACATGCTGGAAAATGTCGTCTCTCCCGATGTTTGCTTTGTCGACTACCGGTCGGCCGATGGCGAGCGTCGCAGCGTCGCCGAATTCTTTGGCTCAACCGGCGGAAAACTGATCGTCATGACGACGGACGGCGACCCGGAAAAGGACCCCTTGGTGGCAAATGCCGACGCCGTTTTGCGCAAGCCGTTTGGCGCCGAAGAGGTCGGCCAGGCTTTTCGCGATGCGCTCGGCGCCAGATCGAACGACACTTAGGCCGTTTTCGCCATTACATGGGTCGCCACTGCATCCGGACCGTACTCCGACGCGTCATCGATGTCGAGAATGGCCGCCAGGCGGGCCCTGGCGCGCGAAACCCGGCTCTTGACGGTGCCCGTCGCGCAGCCGCAAACCTCGGCCGCCTCCTCGTAGCTCATGCCCGACGCGCCGATCAGGATGATCGCTTCGCGCTGGTCGTCGGGCAGCATCTGCAAAGCCCGCTGCATGTCGGCCAGATCGAGTTTTCCCATCTGGTCGGGATGAACCGCCATGGCTTCGGTCAGCGTGCCTTCCGCATCCGAAACCTCACGCCCCTTCTTGCGCATCTGCGAGTAGAACTCGTTTCGCAGGATGGTGAAGAGCCATGCCTTGATGTTCGTACCGGGCTGGAAGCTTGCCTGCTTGTGCCAGGCCTTGACCAGCGTCTCCTGGACGAGATCGTCCGCCCGATCGCCGGCTCCGGTCAACGACAGGGCGAATGCGCGCAGATTGGGAATGGCGCCCAGCAGATCCGCCTTGAAGTCCGCATGAGCGGTCATTGGTCCTGGCCCTGCTGTCCTTCGGACTTTTCAAGTTCGTCTAACAGGGCCGCAAACCGGTCGGGGACCGGTTCCTTGACGACCTCGTCGAACGATTCCCGTAACTTTTTCCCGATCTGCCGCACAGCCATCTCGTTGAGCGGACGGGCCTTTCCGTCTTTCGATGTGTCCATTGCCAAGCCCATTGATTGCATCTTTCCTCAATCCATCTATCCCGGAACGCCGCGTTGGCAAAAAAGTTCCGAAAAAATGGAACCACTTTGTCTCGCGCGCGTTCAAATACCGTTCATCTCTCAAGAGCCGGCAGGGAGTTCACATGTCGCTAGCCGCACAGATTTCACCCCATGTCCCTCTTTTGCGCCGCTTCGCGCGGGCGCTCACCGGATCCCAGCGCGCCGGCGACACGTATGTCGCCGCCTTGCTGGAGGCCCTGGTGGCCGACCGGGCCAATTTTCCCGATCTCGATGATGTAAAGCTCGCACTGTACAAATCGTTCCTCGATTTGTGGTCCTCGGTCGATATCAATCTGAAGGCGGACCCGGATGTACCGGCCGAACAGGCCCGCGGCGAGCGCAATCTGCAGGCCATCGCGCCCATGGCCCGCCAGGCTTTTCTGCTGACAGCGGTCGAGGGGTTTTCGCCCAAGCAAACCGCACAGATTCTCGGCATCGAGGCCGGAAAGGCGGACGAACTGCTGGAACAGGCCGCTCGAGACATTGCGGGACAAGTGGCGACCAGCGTCCTGATCATCGAGGACGAACCGCTCATCGCGATGGATGTGGAGGCGATGGTCGAGGATCTGGGACACCGGGTCACCGGCATTGCGCGCACCCATACCGAAGCGGTGGCGCTCTTCGGCAAGGAGCGCCCGGGTATCGTTCTTGCCGACATTCACCTGGCCGACGGCAGCTCGGGCCTCGATGCCGTCAACGAGATTCTGCAGTCGGTCGAGGTGCCGGTCATCTTCATCACCGCCTATCCGGAACGCCTGCTGACTGGCGAGCGCCCCGAGCCGGCCTATCTCGTCACCAAGCCGTTCCAGCCGGCCATGGTCTCGGCACTGATCAGCCAGGCACTTTTTTTCGACGAATCATCAAAAAAGGCGGCGTAAGCCGCGCCATGGGCGGAACCCGATGCGCGCTCAAACCGTTAGACAGGTGATCACATCGAAGGAGGATCATCATGCTTGGTTGGGCACTCATGTTTCTTATCGTGGCACTGGTTGCTGGCGTTTTGGGGTTCGGCGGCGTCGCCGGCGCCTCGGCCGGCATCGCGCAGGTTCTTTTCTTCCTGTTTCTGGTGCTGTTCGTCGTCAGCCTGGCTTTCCGCTTCTTCCGGAAAGTCTGAGGCGCGACTGTCTGACAACTGATCAATCGGGCGGGTTTTCCCGCCCGTTTTTCGTCCACTGATTCCATGAACGTCCACGAGCCCGATCACAACAGTCTCGCCATCGCACTGGAAGGATCGCCTGTCACGATCTTCTTTCAGACCGCAGACGGCCGGTTTGCATGGTTCGAGAACCAGCAATCGGTCTGGGCACGCAAAGACCTGGTCGGCCTGAGCGACGCCGATGTGTTCAATGGCGCCAGCGCTTCCGCGTTCGCAACAGCAAAAGATGATGCCCGACGATCGGGCCAGCCTGTGACGCTGGAACTGCAGACGCTGTCGTCGGTCGCCGCGGACGGCAAGGATTGCTTCCTGAAAGTCACGGTGAGGCCGGCCTGTGACGAGGCTGGCCGGACGTCGGGTTTCTTGTGCTCCTCGGTGGAGATCACCGAGGAGAAGATTCGCGAACAAACGCTCAAGACGCTGCTGATGGAGGTGGCCCACCGGTCCAAGAACATGCTCGCCATGGTTTTGAGCCTTGCCTCGCAAACCGCGCGGTCGTCGCGATCCGTGGACGGGTTCGTGCGCGCCTTCACCGGCCGGATCCAATCGCTCGCCAAGTCGCAGAATGCGGTGACGGACAGCGACTGGCGCGGCGCGCGTTTCAGCGAACTGGTCAAGTTGCAGGTGACCGATGTGGTGCCGCTCGGGGCAAGCCGCATCGAGATCGCGGGCGACGATCCCACTTTCTCGCCGTCGGCGGCGGTCCATATCGGGCTGGCCCTGCACGAACTGGTGACAGACGCACTTGTGAACGGCGCGCTCCTCGATTCCCGGGGCACCATCCGGATCGACTGCAACATCCTGACCCAGGAAGGCAGCACTCCTGTCGCCGAAATCCGATGGACCGAGGAACGCCGCGTCCAGCCAGAGGACGCGGAAACGCAGAAAGGATTCAGTCGCACCGTGCTCGAACGGGTGGTCCCGTCCGCAGTCAACGGCGAAGCCCAACTCGACGTGGACAATCATACCGTCAGCTACCGGCTGTCCGTCAATTTTACCGAATTCCGGTAATGCGAGGATCGCTGCGCGCGGGCGTGCTTCAGCCTTGCTACCCTCCCGGGCGCCTGCCTTGGCCAGTTCAATGATTGCGCAATGCGTCGATCAGTTCACTCTTCGACATGTAGGAACGGCCTTCGATGTCGAGTTCGCGCGCACGATCGTAAAGGTCGGCTTTCGACCAGTCCTCATAGGCCTTGGCGGACCCGCCCTTTGCGGACGGGTCCTGATCTTCGGAGGCTTGTGCATTGGCGATGCGCGCCGCCTTTTCCTTCGACGCGCCCTTGTCGCGGAGCGCCTCATAGGTTTCATCGTCCTTGACGGACGGCCCGTGGCTGGAGGCCATGTTCATTTCCGTTTTTCGTTGAGGGTCTCAGGCCGGCGGCTCATTCGGACGCCGTCGCCGACCGCACGCCGGCTTCGCCGCCGGCGCTTGACAGGTTCTCGATCGCATTGTCGACTTCCTCGACCAGCGGAGCCAGGTCGCCGCCATCGGCCGAAAGCCGGGCCTCGAGCTCGGTTTTCATGCTTTTGAGCGCCGCCAGCCGTTCATCGACCGGTTCGGCGGAAATCGCGACGGCCCTGATGTCCCGCGAAGTGATCGACTGGGCCGTTTTGTCGGCATCGTCTCCGGTACCGTCCCCGGTGTGTTTGCGGTCCGACTGGTTCATGTCCTTCATCACTGTCATTATCGATCTCCTCTCTTTACCTTCCCAACGCGGGAACCGGGTTGGGGGTTCCCGCGTTTTCGATGCGGATGGTGGCAGGATCGATGATCGGACGTGCATTGAGGCAGTTGGGCAGCGTCCGGGGGCTGATCACCGTGCCCGGCGCGCTTGCGCTGACACTTTGGCTGAGCGCGTTCATCGCGCTTCGGCTCGACCGGATGCTGGCGCGCAGCGATGCGGTCGAACTCTACCGCATCCTCCAGACCGACTACGAAACGGCGGTCACAATCCTGTCGACGATCTCCGGCGCTTCGATTACGACGCTTAGCCTTGTCTATTCGCTGGTGCTGGTCGTCTTCACCCTGGCCGCCGGCAACATCGCGCCGCGGCTGTTGCGGCGATTCACCGGCGACCGTGTCAATCAGGTGACCGCCGGCCTTCTCGGCGGCACCTTCCTGTTCTCCCTGACCATCCTGCACCAGACCGGCCCCGATACGGTGCCGGGCGTTTCGATCGCCATCGCGTTCTGCCTCGCCGTGATCGCGGTGCTGCAATTGATCTTCTTCGTTCACACCGTTTCGCGCAGCGTGACGATCGACGAGGAGATCGCCGCCATTTCCACCCAACTGGAAGAGCGCCTCACCGGAATCGTCGCCGACAATGATGACAAAGCCCTGGATGCGTCGTTCGACCGGGGTGACGCGGCGGCGTTCGAAATCACCGCCGGCGAAAACGGCTATATTGTCGGCATCGACGAACAGCGTCTGACCGCGCTGGCCGACCAGTTCGACGTGCGCGTCGAGATCGTCGACAAGCCGGGAACCTTCGTCCTCAGGGGGCAGGCTCTGGCCAGCATTTTCAGCGATGCGGGCGATGGCAAACGCGGTGCCATCGAAGAAGCGTTTGCCGGTTCGGTGACCCTCTCCCCGGTGCGCGGGTCGGGCGACGACATCGAGTATGCGATCAGCGTGCTGCTTGAGATCGCGCTGCGCGCGCTGTCGCCGGGCGTCAACGACACGTTCACGGCCATCGCCTGCGTCGATCGGCTCAGCGCAGCCTTCGTGACGCCGGTCTACAGGGGATTGCGCCAGCGCCTTATCAGCGACGGGGACGGCGTCGTCCGCGTCAGCATTCCCGGCCTGACGGTCGAGGACATCGTCAACACGGCATTCCACCCGCTGCGACGCGCGGCGGCCGGCAATCTCCTGATGGTGCAGAACATCGCCGACGCGCTGATGCGGCTGCATGACATTGCCGATGATGAAGTCGGGCCGATCTTCGAGCGGCACGCCATGCTGCTGATGGCCTCGTTCGAAAGAACCGATCCACTCGATGCCGACCGCGATTTTCTGGCAAACCGGCTTGCCCCGATCTTGGGCCGCGACGGCACGACCGGCTGATGCGAGCGACGCTTTTCCGCCGCACAGCAAAAAGCCGCCCCGAAGGGCGGCCTCCTGACTGGCCTGCGCGACGCGATCAGACCGAGTCGGCCCATTCGTCGATTTCGCGTTTGGCTTCCTCGCGGGTCTTGCCGTATTTGGCTTGGATCTTGCCGGCCAGTTCCTCGCGATTGCCCTGCACCTGATCGAGTTCGTCGTCGGTCAACTCGCCCCATTTCTGGCGCGCCTTGCCCTTGAACTCGGTCCATTTGCCTTCGATCTGGTCCCAATTCATGGATAACTCCTTTGCGGTTGATGTCCATGGTGGAAACGCCGGACAGGGCCAGCCGTTCCCTGAAAAGACTCTTGCCGCCCGCCGCAGGCTTCCATTCCCAGCGGCGGCTACGAAGTAGCGTATTTCGGAAAGCCGCGGCAGTTTTCGGCAGTCAGTGCCAACAAGAAGGCTTCGACTTGACGAAAAGACTCGGACGTCCAGCTCATCACGCTCCTTACCGGAGCACATCCATGAGCGCTCCCCAGTGTTTGACCTGTTGTGGCCATCGCTCCTCACCGGTTTTCAATTGGCAGACCCTCGAGTTTTGCCACCGTCAACCGACCATTGCCGGCCAGCCCGATACGGACTTCAGCTCGAGAAATTCCTCGATACCCCAGATGCCGCCCTCGCGCCCCACGCCGGAGAGCTTATAGCCGCCGAATGGCGTGCCCGAGGCTCTCAGATGGCCGTTGATATGCACCATGCCGGACTGCAGCCGGTTGGTGACGTGGCGAATACGCTCGGCGGACCCGCCATGCACATAGGCGGCCAGCCCGTATTCGGTATCGTTGGCGAGCGCGATCGCCTCGTCCTCGTCACGGAAGGCGCGCATGCACATCACGGGACCGAAAACCTCTTCGGCATAGGCGGCCAGCGTGTCATCCGCATCGGCGAAGATCGTCGGCCGGACGAAATATCCGGTTTCGAAACCCTCGGGTCGGCCCGGTCCACCCGCGACGACGCGCCCTCCGGCGGCGACCGATCGGGTGATGAAGTCCTGCACGCGGCTGTACTGCAGCGCCGATGCGACGGGGCCGATATGGCCTCCTGGTTGCCGGGGCGAACCGACGACGGTTTCATTGGCGAAACGTGCCGCGATCTCGACGGCACGCTCGTAGAGGCTTTCATCGACAAGTATCCGCGAGGGCGCGTTGCACGACTGGCCCGAATTGCGCATGCCCTGCTCGACGATGAAGCGGATGGCCGGTTCAAGATCCGCATCCTTCAATACGATTGCCGGATTGTTGCCGCCCAGTTCCAGCGTCATTCGCTTCAGCGCACGCGACGCCGTGGCCGCAACTCCGAGGCCGGCGCGCGTCGACCCCGTAAACGACACCAGGTCGACCTCGTCATGGGCCACGAGAGGCGCACCGCCCCCCTCGCCCGTTCCATTCACCATGTTGAAGACACCGGCCGGCACGCCGGCGTCGTGGAGAATTTCGGCAAAGATGCGATGGGTCACCGGCAGATGCTCCGAGGGTTTGAGAATCATCGTCGCCCCGGCGGCCAGCGCCGCTCCGACCTTGAGCGTCACCTGGTTCATTGGCCAATTCCAAGGCGTGATGAGCGCACAAACGCCGACCGGCTCCTTGAAAAGCATGTCGGTCTTGCTGCCCGCGACAGACGGCGTGCAGAGTTCCATACTCGAAAGAGCCGCGGCATAGGCGCGTAAATTAGACAGCCCGCCCGCGACCTGAGCGCTCCGTGCAAGATCGATCGGAGCGCCGAGTTCCAGCGAGATGGCGGCGGCCAGTTCGGTTTCCCTAGCGGCATATCCCTCGATCACCCTGTCGAGGAGATCGAGACGTTGTTCACGCCCGGTGGCCGCCCAATCCGGAAAAGCCTGACGGGCGGCCGCGACCGCGCGGTCGACGTCGGCGGCGGAACCGCAGGCCACGTGATTGATGACGTTTTCCGTTGCCGGATCGATATTGGCGAGCATCTCGCCTGCCTGCGGCGTCTGCCATTGCCCGCCGATATAGAACGCCCCGTCGTCTGCGTGGGTGTCGCGATCCGGGTGCGGTTCGATGTTCATGGGATTTCTCCAGTCAGGTAGACAACATGTGGTGATGGGGCCTGCTTCTGGGCGACGCGAACGAATTAGCGCCGAATGAGGGCGAGCAGGCCGAGCAGGCAGCACGAGAGCCCGATCGTCACAGTCGCCGCGGCGACCACGGCGGGGCTGATCGATTCACGAATGCCGCTGAAGATCTCGCGCGGCAGCGTGGTGTGTTCCGGGGAGGCCAGGAACAGTGTCACCACCACCTCGTCGAGCGATACGGCAAAGGCGAACACGGCGCCCGACAAAACGCCCGGCGCAATGAGCGGCAGCGTCACCGTGAGGAAGGTGCGCAGACGACCGGCGCCAAGGCTTAGGGCAGCACGGTCGAGCGTGAAGTTGTAGTTTCGCAAGGTCGCAAGAACAGTGACAACGACGAAGGGAAGGCCGAGCGTGGCATGACCGAGAATCAAGCCGGTCCGCGTGCCGACCAGCCCAAGCTTGCTGTAGAAGTAGAAGAGCGAGACCGAGACAATGACCACCGGCACGAGCATCGGCAGCAGCAGAAGCCCGAAGGCGATGCGGGAAAAGATCGAGCGCATATGCACCAGGCTCAGCGCGGCCAGCGTCCCGAGCACCGTGGCGATGGCGGCGCTGCTGACGCCGATCACGAGCGAGTTGACGAAGGCGCGCTGCCAGCGGGCGTCGCTCAAAATCTCGCCATACCATCCCAGGGAGAACCCGGGCAGCGGGTAAATGAAGAACTCGCCGGAGGAAAACGACATCGGAATGATCGCGATCACCGGCGCCACCAGGAAGAAAAGCGTGGCCGCCACGAAGGTGCCGTACAGGATCCTCGAGAGATGGGGCATTAGGAAACAGCCCATTTCTTGCTGGAAAGCGTGCCGCCCACGACAGCGATGAATGCCATGGCGAACACGATCAGCCAGAGCCCGAGCGCGGCGGCGAGACCCCAGTTGAGGCTACGATTGACGAAGGTGGCGACGAGATTGCTGATCATCTGGTCGCCGCCGCCGCCCAGTAGCATCGGCGTCACGTAGAAGCCGAGAGACAGCGTCATCACCAGAACGACCCCGGCACTGAGACCCGGCAGGGTCAGCGGCAGGTAGACGCTGACCAATGCCCGTATTCGGCCGGCGCCGAGGGACTCGGCCGCGTTCATATAGTTGGGCGGAATCTTCTTCATCACGCTGATGAGCGGCAGCACGACGAAGGGAAGCATGATGTGAGTCATCGACACGATCACCGCGAAGCGCGTGCGCAGGAATTGCAGCCCTTCCGACATCAGGCCCGCCTCGATGAGAACGCCGTTGAGAATGCCCTGCCGCTGGAAGATGACCATCCATGCGAGCGTTCGCACCAGAAGCGACGTCCAGAAAGGCAAAAGCACCAACAGCATGAGGATGGCCGCCGTCCGGGCCGGCGCGTTGGCCACGGCATAGGCCAGCGGATAGCCGAGCAGAACGCAGATCACGGTGACCGTCAGCGAGATCGTGAGGGTCCGGGCATAGACGCCCAGAAACAGCCTGTCATCGACGGGTTTGACGGAGACGCCGCCGTCAGGACCCGCTTCGAGGTCGAGGGATTCGAGGATGTTGTAGGTCGTGAACGTGCGCGCGCTCTGCCGGATCACCCCCCAGATTTCCGGACTTGCCCATGCGCCGTTGATCGCTTCGAGCCGCGCGCGCGCATCGCCCCCCAGATCGGCCTCCAGTTCTCTGGCGGCTTGCAGGATGAGGCGTCTGTTGCCCGCTTGCCTGAAATTGAGTTCCCGGGCGAGCGAAGCGACATCCGCCGGCTCGGCTTGTGTCAGATCCCGGACCAGCGCCTCGAAGACATCGTCTTGCGGAAGGCCCACCCCGTCCCAGCCGGCAATCGCCTCGGCCGTTGCGGGAATGACGGAGACGACCGGACGGCCGTTGGTGGCCTGGGAGAGAAACCACAGGATGGGCAGAAGGAACGCGAAGACGACGAACAGCAGCGCAGGCATCAGGGGAAGCGCGATATGCGCGTTTTTGGGAAACATACGGACCGTTCCGACTGCGATTAAGGTCTGAAGACCACTGTCTCCCGGGCGCACGGTGCGCCCGGGAGACAGAAAGCTCATCTCGAGGCCCAGGCGAGGAACCGCTCGTTGAGCGTGTCGAAGTTGTTGAGCCAGAAATTCGCGTTCGGCGGCACCGCATCGTCTTCAAGAGCGGGGTTTCCCGGCATGATCGCGAGCCGTTCCGGCGAGATCAGTTCATGTGCCTTGCGGCTGATGACGCCGTAGTCGATGCCGTTCATGAAATCGGCCTGTTGTTCGGGACGCAGCGCGAAAGCCAGGAAGCCCATCGCGGCCGCCTTGTGCTTGCTCCCCTTGAGGACCACCCACTGGTTTCCGGTCAAGATATGACCGGCTTCCCAGGCCATGGCGAGATCCGCGCCCTCGGTCTTCGCCGCGCTTGCCACGCGACCGTTCCAGGCCGCAGCCATCACATACTCGCCCGAAAGGAGACCCTGGATCTGTTCCGTGCCCGAACGCCACCAGATGATGTGATCGCGCAGTTCATCGAGTTTTGCGAAGGCACGGTCCTGTCCGTCCTTGGTTTCCAGAACCTCATAGACCTCATCCACCGCCACACCGTCGGCGAGGAGCGCGACGATGAGCGTGTCGGTGACCGAAAAGTTGAGCCCGCGACGTCCGGGAAAGCGGTCGACATCCCAGAAATCCACCCAGCTTCGCGGACCCTCGCCTTCGAATTCGGCCGCGTTGTAGGCAAGCACCGTCGAGGCGAGAAGGGACGTGACGGAACAGCGGGTGACATGCGCAGCCGGGATGTCGTCAACGTCGATGATGCTGGTATCGAGCGGTTCGAAAAGCCCCTCCTCGCAACCCAGCGCCGCTTCCGCGAATTCCGGCTCGGCGATGTCCCAAAGGATGGTGCCGCTTTCGACCTGGGCACGGATGTTGCTCAGTTCGCCGTTGAAGGAGTCGTCCAGGATCTTGATGCCGCTCTCTTCCGTGAACGGGTCCCAGAAGGATTTCCTGTGCGCCTCGGAAACAACGCCGCCCCATGACACGATCGTCAGGCTCTCTTCCGCGGACGCAGTGCCGACAGCACCGCCGCATACCGCGAGAAGGGCCATGCCTGCGGCCCCGCTGATACTCTGTTTCAAGATATGTTTCATTCTTCTCTCCTGTCAGGTTGAACTTTTTTGACGCTTTTCAGGTTGCGGCCTCTTCAAGCGGGTAGGCCCTCACGTAATCGGGGAGAAACCGGATTCCGACGTCGGCGCCGATTTCGTATTTCTGATCGGTTGCGTGCTGTTCGATCTTCGCCACGAGCGAGCCGCCACCGCTCGTCGCGATGGTCAGTCGAAGGTGATCGCCGTAGAAAATCCGCTCCTCGACGCGCCCGGGCAGAGTGTCGAAATGCCCTGTTTCGGTGGAACTCTGTCGCGCCTCGACGCAGACATGCTCGGGGCGGACCAGAAGCTTGACTCCCTGCCCCGGAACCATCCCGCCACTCACCTGACATGTCAGCCGGACGCCATTCGGAAGACGAACGCTGCCCTTGCCCTCCGCGATCTCGTCGAGCGTCGCCTCGATGACGTTCGTCTCGCCGATAAAGGTCGCGACGAAGAAGCTACCGGAGCGGTGATAAACGTCCTCGGGCTTGCCGACCTGCTCTATCGCACCGTCGTTGAGAACAACGACGCGATCCGACATGGTCAGCGCTTCGGCCTGATCGTGGGTGACGAACAGCACCGTGAGGCCCAGCTTCTCGTGCAGCCGCTTGAGCTCGATTTGCATGTGATCGCGCAACTGCCGGTCAAGCGCGCTCAACGGTTCATCCATCAGAACGAGGTCGGGATCGAAGACCAGAGCCCGCGCCAAGGCGACCCGCTGGCGCTGACCTCCGGAGAGCTCGGAGGGCCGGCGATGGCCATAACCCTCCAGCCTGACGAGAGACAGCGCCGCATTCACCTTCTCGACCTGCTGATCGCGCGGAACCCGGCGGGCGCGGAGCGCGTATCCCACGTTTTCGGCAACTGTCATGTGCGGGAACAGGGCATAATCCTGGAAGACCACGCCGATGTTGCGCTTGTTCGGGGGCATATGCGTGAAATCCCGGCCACCCACCACGATCGTGCCGGCCGTCGGCTTTTCGAAACCCGCCAGCATCATCAGAAGGGTTGATTTTCCCGAGCCAGACGGACCCAGAAGCGTCATGAACTCACCCTTCCTTACGGAAAGGTCGAGATTGGCAATCACATCGACCCCGCCGGGGTAGCTCTTCTTCACAGCCTGAAAACGAATGAAGTCGTCGTCCCCCTGCGCAATCTCTATGTCGGTTCCGTCGTTCAAAGGTGTTTCCTTGTTTCGATGTCCCGGCGGTCGCGCCGGGACATCCGATCGCCGAGCAAAGCCTCCCATCCTATTTGTCCCTGAAACAGAGCCATTTTTCTGATTTTGGGAGGTCCACTTTATGCGAGGGAGGCTTGGCCCTCCTCCACTTCGTGCGCGACTTCGGCGGCGACCTGGTCAAGCGATGCGCGCAGAGCGCCGAACAGCACCTCCAACTCGTCCTCGGAGATAACAAGCGGCGGGCACAAGTTGACGGTCTCGCGTGTCCAGCGAGTGATAACTCCGTTTTTCTGGAGCGCGCGGCCGATCTTCAGCGTGACGTTTTCCATCGCATCAAAGCGCCGGCGCGTCGTCTTGTCCGCCACGATTTCGAGCGCTCCGAGCAAGCCGGCATTACGCGTTTCGCCGACGATCGGGCAATCGGCGATCGCGGCCAGATGCCGCTCGAATGTCGCAATGGTTGCGTGCAGGTTTGCCCGGAAATCCGCTTGCGCATAGATCTCCAGCGCCGCGCTGGCGACCGCGCAGCCAATCGGATGACCGCCATAGGTCAGCCCATGTCCCAGCAACCCCGATTTGGCGCTTTCAAGCGTCAATGTATCGTAGATCTCGTCGGTCATCAGCACCGCGGACAGCGGGAAATAGCCCCCGGTCAGCGGTTTGGCGAGCGTCATCAGATCCGGACGAAGACCGTATCTGGTCGAGCCGAAAGGCGAATCCAGGCGACCGAGCGCGCAAACCACCTCGTCTGCGATCAGAGCGACATCATGGCGCCGAAGCACCTCGTCGACCAACTGAAAGTACCCCTTCGGAGGAAGGAGACAGCCCGCCGATGCCATGACCGGCTCGGCGATGAATGCCGCCACGGTATCGGGCCCGACCGCAAGGATCGCCGCCTCCAGTTCCGCCGCGCATCGCGCCGCATAGGCCTCTTCGCTCTCGCCGTCGTGGCCGTGGCGGTAGTGGCAGACCTCCGGAATGAAGCTGACATCGGGGGACACGCTGTCCGACCCGAAACGCATGTGGGCCTGCCCGGTGACGGACGCGCTGAGCGTCGTCGAGCCGTGATAGCCGGCATGCCGCGCAATCACCCGTCGCTTTTCGGGCTTTCCGCGGCTGATATTGACGGCGCGGACGATCCTGATCGCCGCGTCATTCGACTCGGAACCGGAATTGGCGAAGAGCACGTGGTTCAGATGCTCGGGCGCCATCGCGCTGAGCTGCCGTGCAAGGCGCTCCGCGGGCTCATGAGACTTCTGCGCGAAGAGGTGATAATACGGCAGTTTCCCGGCCTGTTCCGTCATCGCCTGGACAAGACGCTCGTCGCGGAATCCCAGACTGGCGCAGGACGACCCCGACATCGCATCGATGTAGCGGTTGCCCTCGGCATCGAAGACATGAACGCCCTCACCCCTGACGATTGTGGTCGTTTCGCCGTTTCGATGGGCCTGAAGATCCGAGAACTGGTGAACGAGATCCAATCCGTGTCGCGCCGATGCCGTCATTCGTCGTGCCTTTCGGTTTCTCACATCGAAACCGAGAGCTACCGGCCAACTGGATCTGGAAACAGAGCCAATTATCTGTTTATAATTGGACCACTTCGCGGCCATTCGGTCGCAAAAGAGATCTTCTGCCCCCGCGCGGTGCGGCAAGGCGACAGAATACGAGGACAAGGGGGAGTGCCGTGGCGCGGTTTGTTGGGCTGTTCGAATTCCTCGACCTTGATCGCAACAGCCAGCGCACGCTCGCGACGCAGCTCTTCGACGGCATCCGCGAGGCAATTCTCGACGGCACCCTGTTGCCCGGCACCGATCTTCCCTCGACGCGCAAGCTCGCCAAACAACTGAACCTGTCGCGCAACACGGTCACCGCAGCCTACGAGCAGCTCTGCGTGGAGCAGTATCTGGTTTCGGTTCAGGGCGCGGGCACGAAGGTCGCCGATTTACCGGCGCTGCGGGAGGTCCGCCCCGGCAAGGAAGTCATCGACGAACCGTCCCTTTCACGCATTCGGCTCTCGCGCCGCGGAGAGAGCCTGAGCGACAGTCCGCGCTATCTTCCGCAATACAAGGACAGATCGTTCGCCGCCGGACTGCCGGCGCTGGACCTCTTTCCCCACCAGCTTTGGGCCCGCTACATCAACCGCGCCGCCCGACGGTCCGCCATCAGGCGGTTCGACTACGGCGAAATCGCCGGGACCCTGGAACTCAAGCGCTCCATTGCCGACCATCTGGCGACAACCCGTGGGTTCCGCCCGGAGACGGATCAGATCGTGGTGCTGAACGGAGCGCAGGCCGCTCTCGATCTGCTGGCGCGGGTCACCACCGACATCGGCGATACGGCCTGGATCGAAGAGCCGGGCTATCTCGGCGCGCGCGGCGCCTTTCGCGGCGCGGGTTTGACCATACGGCCGATAGAGGTCGACAGTCAGGGCCTTCACCCCCCTGACGACATCACCCCCGCGCCGAAGCTGATTTATACCAGCCCCTCGCACCAGTGTCCGACAGGCGTGCTGCTCTCACTGGTACGGCGCCTAAAGCTTCTCGATGCGGCGCGGCGCTCTGGAGCGCTGATAATAGAAGACGATTACGACAGTGAATTCCGCTATGCGGGTCCGTCGATCTCCACACTCTGGAGCCTCGATCAGGGACGTTCGGTGGTCTATATGGGCACCTTTTCCAAGACCATGTTGCCCGGGATCAGGATTGGATACCTCGTCGCTCCGCCGCAGCTGTGCGCCGCCATCACCAACGCCCTGCACCACACAGGTCAGGCGGCCAGCAAGGTGGTCCAGTTCGCCCTGGCAGAGTTCATCGACGACGGCCGGTTCTCCGAGCATGTTCGGCAGATGAAGAAGGCCTATCTCGCGCGCCGCGCCACCTTCCTCAGGGAGATAGAGCGCCAGATCGGAGGCGCCGTCACCTACAAGCCGACGAGTACGGGAATGCAGCAGACGGTTTACCTGAACGGAGATCTGTCGGATGTCGCCCTTTCGGCCGCGGCACGCGACAAAGGCGTCGTAGCGCCGACGCTGTCGCGCTTCTATATCGGCCGAGATAAGACAAATGGCCTTTTGCTCGGATTTGCCTCTTCCGAAGAGCCGGAAATCAGGAAAGGCATGGAGAAACTGGCCTCGGCTTTTGACCAGATCACCAGATCGGGGCAAACCACGCGAAGTGCTTGTACCAACGGTCATAACGATTGACCGCCGTGGGCCCATTCACGCATTCCGATGGAGGAGATCGTGCATGGGTTCACCGTCAGCTTGCGCCATGCCTCGCAGACTGCATCTGGTATGGCCTCGTAGTTTTTTGTGCACGCGATTTGAGAGCCAATTGGCGCGCATGTCGAAGCAGGCGAAGCGGTGCGTCATTTTTCCTGGGCAGATGTTTTAATATAGTAAAGAAATGATGCTTCGAACAAAACAGTGTCCCTTTACCTAGCTGATTGATGGAATAATGCCTCTAGCGTTCATAATGAAGAGACTATGCAGAAAGGCGCCAGAAATTCATAAAAAATGATGTAATACTTCTGAATAATGCAAGATATCATACGGCGGCGAGCGCAATGGCTATGCCCTGGCCGACGCCGATGCACATGGTGGCCAGTGCGCGCCTGCCGCCGCGCATCTGCATTTCGAGCGCCGCCGTCCCGGTGATCCGCGCGCCCGACATGCCGAGCGGATGACCGAGCGCGATCGCCCCGCCATTCGGATTGACGTGATCCGCGTCCTCGGCAATGCCCAGATCGCGCAGGACCGCGATGCCTTGGCTGGCAAAGGCCTCGTTCAGTTCGATCACGTCTAAATCCTGCGGCGTCCAGCCGATGCGGGCGCACAGCTTCTTCGTCGCAGGCGCCGGGCCGATGCCCATGATCCGCGGCGGAACGCCCGCCGTCGCCCCGCCGACGATGCGCGCGATCGGCGTCAGCCCGTATTTCTTCATCGCTGCCTCCGAGGCGATGACCAGCGCCGCCGCGCCGTCATTGACGCCGGACGCATTGCCCGCGGTCACGCTGCCATTCTCACGGAACGGCGTGCGCAACCTGGCAAGCGCCTCCATCGAGGTCTCGCGCGGATGCTCGTCCGTGTCGACGATCACCGGGGCACCCTTGCGCTGCGGGATCGTCACCGGCGCGATCTCTTTCGCCAGCCGGCCGTTGTTTTGCGCCGCTGCGGCCTTGGCCTGCGAACGCAACGAGAAGGCGTCCTGATCCTCGCGCGTGACCTTGAAGTCCTCGGCGACGTTCTCGCCGGTCTCCGGCATCGAGTCGACGCCGTACTGTTTCTTCATCACCGGGTTGACGAAGCGCCAGCCGATGGTCGTGTCGTAGATCTCGGCCTTGCGCGAAAACGCCGTGTCGGCCTTGGGCACAACGAAGGGTGCGCGGCTCATGCTTTCCACGCCGCCTGCGATCGCAATCTCGATCTCGCCTGCCTTGATGGCCCGCGCCGCCATGATGACGGCGTCCATGCCCGAGCCGCACAGGCGGTTGATCGTCGTGCCCGAAACGCTGACCGGCAGGCCCGCGAGCAGCGAACTCATGCGCGCGACATTGCGGTTGTCCTCGCCGGCCTGGTTGGCGCAGCCGTAATAGACCTCGTCGACGGCTTCCCAGTCGATGCCGCGATTGCGTTCCGTCAACGCCTTGATCGGGATCGCGCCAAGGTCGTCCGCGCGGACCGGGGAGAGCACACCACCGAAACGGCCGATCGGCGTGCGGATGTAGTCACAGATGTAAGCGTCGGGCATGACATCGTCCTTCAGAGTTCCGGCACGGCGAGGTCCGCGACATCACCGTGGATTTTCAGCTCAGCGCCGGTCACCGACTGAAGATCCTCGAATGACAATTGCGGCAGCTTCTCCCGCAGAACGAAGCGGCCGTCCTCGACATCGATCACCGCGAGCGAGGTGTAGACCCTGGTCACGCATCCAAGCCCCGTCAGCGGCAAGGCGCATCGCTTCAAGAGCTTCGGTTCGCCTTTCCGGGTCACGTGATCGGTGACGACAGCGACACGTTTCGCGCCATGAACCAGGTCCATTGCGCCGCCGACGGCGGGCACGCCGCCTTTGCCCGTCGACCAGTTGGCGAGATCGCCGTTCTGGGCAACCTGGTAGGCGCCGAGCACGGCAAGGTCGAGATGGCCGCCGCGCACCATGGCGAAGCTGTCCGCGTGGTGGAAGAACGCCGCACCCGGCTTGAGCGTGATCGCCTTTTTGCCGGCGTTGATCAGGTCCCAGTCTTCCTCGCCCGCCGCCGGCGCCTCGCCGAAGCCGAGCACGCCGTTTTCGGTGTGGTAGACAACGTCGCGGCCTTCCGGCTGGAACTTCGCGATCATCTCCGGAAAGCCGATGCCCAGATTGACATAGGCGCCGTCTTCCATGTCCTGCGCTGCGCGCCAGGCGATCTGCGCGCTGGACAGCTTGAGTGTATCGAATGCGGCGCTCATGGATAAACGGCTCCCTCGCGGTTAAGGCTCTCTTCCTGTTCCGGATCGGGCACTTCCACGATGCCGTCGACGAAAATGCCCGGCGTGACAACCTGTTCGGGATCGATCTCGCCAGCCGCGACGATGCGCGTGACCTGCGCGACCGTGCGCGTGGCCGCCATCGCCATCAGCGGATTGAAGTTGCGCGCGGCCATCCGGTAGGTGAGATTGCCGAGCGGGTCGCCCAGTTCCGCCTTGATCAGCGCGAAATCGGCCTTCAGCCAGCGTTCCTGCACGTAGTGGCGGCCTTCGAACTCGGCCACCAGCTTGCCCTCGGCGAGTTCCGTGCCGTAGCTCGTCGGGGTGTAAAAGGCGGGGATGCCCGCGCCGCCGGCGCGGATGCGCTCGGCAAGCGTCCCCTGCGGCACGATCTCCAGTTCGATCTGTCCGGCGAGATAGAGATCCGTGAATACCTTGGGATCGGCCGAACGCGGAAACGAGCAGATCATCTTCGCGACCATGCCCTGCTCGATGAGCGCAGCCAGCCCCACATGGCCGTTGCCGGCATTGTTGTTGATGATCGTCAGGTTCTTCGGGCCCGCATCGATCAGGGCGTGGATCAATTCGATCGGTGCGCCGGAACCGCCGAAGCCGCCGATCATGACGGTCGTGCCGTCACCGATACCGGCGACCGCTTCGCTCGCGAAGGCGATTGTCTTGTTCATGTCGCGGATCCCTCAAACGTGGCTTCCGCGGTCGTGATCGGCGGGATAGACAGCCAAGACAAGGAAATTTGTGCGCATATTGACATTTGTTCAATAACTGCACCAGCGTGTGCGCATGGTGAACAACACCGACATAATCGCCTCCTTTGCAAAGGGATTGCGCGTTCTGGAGTGTTTTGGCGCAGAGCATCCGCGCCTGACGATCGCCGACGTGGCCGAAGCGACGGGGCTCGATCGCGCGACGGCGCGGCGGTGCCTGCTGACGCTGCACAAGTTCGGCTACGCCGAGTATGACGGCAAGTTCTTCGGTTTGACGCCACGGGTTCTCAGGCTTGGTATGGGCGCGCTGGCCGCCCTGCCCCTGCCGCAGATCGTGCAGCCCTGGCTGGACCAGTTGTCGGAACAGATCGGCCAGTCTGTCTCCACGTCCATCCTCGACGGCACCGACATCGTTTATGTCGCGCGCGCCGCCCAGCGCCGGGTCATGTCAATCGGTCTGATGCCGGGATCGCGGCTGCCCGCCCATTGCACGTCGATGGGCCGCGTGCTCCTGGCCGCGCTGCCTGAAGAAGAGGCCCGCGCGGTGGTCGAAGCGTCCGATCTCACACCGCGTACGCCGTACTCCCTGACCGACCCGAAAGACATCATGGACACGATCGCCGATGTGCGGGTGAATGGATATGCCGTGATCGACCAGGAAGTTGAACTCGGTCTGCGCTCGCTCGCTGTTCCAGTGTACAACGCCCGAGGCAAGGTGATTGCGGCTCTGAATACCGGGATGGCCGCGATACATTCCGAGACGAGAAAGATCGTGAACGACTACCTGCCGGCGTTGCTGAAGGTTCAGGACGGTCTGAGGCGGATGGTAAACTGATTGACGACCGTCTGCATCCACGAAGGACCTAAACCGACCAAAGAGCGAGGGCAGCAGTTCGGCAAGGACTGGAGTTGCAGTTCCCCCCGTTTGATGGACACTTTTGACTGCGATGGAAAGGTGCTCACATGCCCGGAACGAGAAACCCGTAGCCGGCGGAATTCCGGGAACAGATTGTCGAGCTTCACAGAGCTGGTCGTAGCGCTGATGACCTTGCCCGCGAGTTTAAACCGTGCGTTGCAACGATCCACGGTTGGATCAAGCAAGCCGCACGTGACGATGGCAAGCAGGCCGGCATTCTGAGCAGCACAGAACGAGAAGAGCTCCGTCGCCTCCTTGGAGAGAACAAGCAGTTGCGGCAGGAGCGCGACATACTCTCAAAGGCGGCGGCCTGGTTCGCACAAAACGACACGACCGGTCCGAGGTCTTCGAGTTCATGATGCCGAACCAGGCCGAGTTCCCAGTTCAGACTTTGGCGCGCAGCATGGGTGTATCACGCAGCGGCTTCTATGCTTGGCAGACGCGAGAACCATCCGCCCGGGATATCGCCGACCGGGAACTGACGGAGCTGATCCGCCAGATCCATGCTGCTTCAGGGAAAGCTATGGTGCGCCACGCATCCACGCTGGACTGGCTGAGCCGGAGTCCATGTCGCTCGCAAGCGTGTCGAGCGGAGAACCTGCCACCGGGAGAAGGGGTATTCGAACCCCAAATAATCCTACCATTCAATATGTTAGGAGGTATCGAGATGGGAAAATGCGAGATGGCGCACCCGACAGGATTCGAACCTGTGACCTCTGCCTTCGGAGGGCAGCGCTCTATCCAGCTGAGCTACGGGTGCTTTGCCGGTGCGGCTCTGCCATATCAAAGCGCTGCGCATGCGTCCAACGCAAATTGACCAACGAGGCGGCCCGGCTGCCGGACGGCCGCAAGGCGCCGCCCCCGGCGGGCACGACCGAGCGCCACGGCCTGATGTTGGCGCGCCGGCCAAGCCTGGGCCAGGCGGCAGGCCGCATGACGTAACGTGAGGAAAACCGGGGCACAGTCCCGGTAACCGTTTCATCGGCCCGGGCGACTTGACGGCGCATCCGTTATTCGGTGTTGTCTGGGGACCGCCATCGCAAGTGGCGGCCAAGAAAACAGGGAGTTCGCGCAATGAGAAACAAGATGATAGGCGTGCTGGTTGCAACTGCGACAGCGCTCGCAGCCGGCGCAGCCTTTGCGCAGGATAGTTTTATCGCCATCGGTACCGGCGGCGTGACCGGGGTCTACTACCCCACCGGCGGCGCGATCTGCCGGCTGGTCAACCGCGACCGTGCGGAGCATGGCATTCGCTGCGGCGTGGAATCGACAGGCGGCTCGGTCTTCAACATCAACGCGATCCGCAATGGCGAACTGGAATTCGGCGTGGCCCAGTCCGACTGGCAGTTCCATGCCTATAACGGCTCGTCGCGGTTTGAAGAGCAGGGACCGTTCGAAAACCTGCGCGCGGTCTTCTCGGTTCACCCCGAGCCGTTCACCGTGGTCGCGCGGGCCGATGCGGGCATCGAAACCTTCGAGGACCTGCAGGGCAAGCGTGTCAATGTCGGCAATCCCGGTTCCGGCCAGCGCGGCACGATGGAAGTGGTAATGGAAGCCATGGGCTGGACCATGGACGATTTCGCGCTGGCATCGGAACTGCAGGCCGCCGAACAGAGCCAGGCGCTGTGCGACAACAATATCGACGCCATGATCTACACGGTCGGCCACCCGTCCGGTTCGATCCAGGAAGCGACCACGGCCTGTGACAGCGTGCTGGTCGACGTCTCCAACGACGCGGTGAATGGTCTGGTCGAAGAGCGGCCCTATTATCGCACGGCGACCATCCCCGGCGGCATGTATCGCGGCAATGACGAGGACACGACGACCTTCGGCGTCGGCGCAACCTTCGTGACCTCGGCCGACGTGCCCGAGGAGACCGTCTATGTCGTGGTCAAGGCGGTGTTCGAGAACCTCGACCAGTTCAAGGGTCTGCATCCGGCATTTGCCAACCTGACCGCCGAGGAAATGGCCAATGACGGCCTGTCGGCGCCGCTGCATCCGGGTGCCGAGCGCTACTTCCGCGAAGCGGGCCTGATCGAGTGATCACCCCCGTCATGGACTGATTGGTTTCCGCGGCCGGCGCCCGTCGGCCGCGGATTTTGTTTTTGGGATCGATTTTGCGGGGGCGCGCAATGAGTGAAGCGACCGGTAGCCAAGGCAGGCAATATACCGACGAGGAACTGCAGGATCTGGTGGCCAGTGCCGACAGCGGCGCGCGGGTCCCGACCAACAAGACAGTCGCCGGCCTGATCGCCGGCCTTGCGCTGGTCTGGTCGCTGTTCCAGCTCTGGATCGCGCAGCCTCAATTGTGGTTCGGCGAGTATCTGCCGGTCCTCAACTCGTCGCAAACCCGGCCCATCCACCTGACCTTTGCCGTGGTGCTTGCGTTCCTGGCCTATCCGGCGCTCAAATCCTCGCCACGCCACCATGTTCCCATTCTCGACTGGGTTCTGGCGGCGATTGCGGGGTTTTGTGCCTTCTACGTGTTCTGGTTCTCGGACGAGCTGGCGCTGACCGCCCGCTCCGGCCTGCCGACCCAGGCGCAGGTGATCATCGGCGCGGTGGGCCTTGTCGTCCTGCTCGAAGCCAGCCGGCGCGCGCTCGGCCCGGCGCTGACGGTGGTCGGCTCGCTTTTCCTCGCCTATGCCTATTTCGGGCAAGGCTTGCTGATCCCGGACCTGATCGAGCATGAGGGGCTGTCGTTCACGGCTCTGATCAACGCTCAATGGCTGGATACGGGTGGCGTGTTCGGCATTCCGCTGGGCGTTTCGACGGCGTTCGTCTTCCTCTTCGTCCTGTTCGGCTCGCTGCTCGACAAGGCCGGCGCCGGCAATTACTTCATCAAGCTCGCTTTTGCCGGGCTTGGCCATCTGCGCGGCGGTCCGGCCAAGGCCGCCGTCGTCGGCTCGGCCATGACAGGCGTGATTTCCGGCTCGTCGATCGCCAATGTCGTCACCACCGGCACCTTCACCATCCCGCTGATGAAACGGGTCGGCTTCACCAACGAACAGGCCGGTTCGGTGGAAGTCGCCTCGTCCGTCAACGGGCAGATCATGCCGCCGGTGATGGGCGCAGCCGCGTTCCTGATGGTCGAATTCATCGGCATTCCCTATGTGGAGGTGATCAAGCACGCCTTCATACCGGCGGTGATCTCCTACATCGCGCTCGTCTATATCGTGCATCTGGAAGCGCTGAAAAAGGAAATGCCGGCGCTCGGCGAATCCAAGTCCATGACCGGCATGCTGGCCAAGTTCCTTGCCGGCTTCATCGTTGCCGGCGTCGCCTTCACCGCGCTGATCTACGGCGTCGATGCGCTGGAGACGGCCCTGCCGGACCTGTCGGCGCCGATCATGATGATCGTTCTGGTCGCCCTCTATGTCGGCCTGGTCATGGTCGCGTCGCGCCGGCCGGACCTTGAGATCGACGACCCGAACGAGAGCGAATTCAAGCTGCCGACGGTGGGCGAAGTCTATGCGACGGGCCTGCACTATGTGCTGCCGATCGTCGTCCTGATCTGGTTCCTGATGGTCGAGCGCCAGAGCCCGGCCAAGTCGGCCTTCTACGCCACCTCGCTGATGTTGCTGATCATCGTCACGCAACGGCCCCTCAAGACGATGTTCCGGGGCGAAGGCGGTGAGCTGGTGAACGAGTTCATGGCCGGCCTGGTCGATCTGCGCGAGGGCCTGATCGCCGGCGCCCGCAACATGATCGGCATCGGCGTCGCAACGGCAGCGGCCGGCATCATCGTCGCCACCGTCACCAAGACGCCGATCGGCACGGAACTGGCCGGCCTGGTCGAACAGCTGTCGGGCGGCATTTTGCTGGTCATGCTGGTGCTGATCGCGATCTTCTCGCTGATCCTCGGCATGGGGCTTCCGACCACGGCCAACTATATCGTGGTCTCGTCGCTGATGGCCTCGGTCGTCGTTTCGCTCGGCGCCCAGGAAGGGCTGATCGTGCCGCTGATCGCGGCGCATCTGTTCGTCTTCTATTTCGGCATCATGGCCGATGTGACGCCGCCGGTGGGTCTTGCCAGCTTCGCGGCGGCCGCCGTTTCGGGCGGCGATCCGATCAAGACCGGCTTCACCGCTTTCTTCTACAGCCTGCGGACGGTGGCGCTGCCGTTCCTCTTCATCTTCAACCCGACACTGATCCTTTACGGTGTCGATCTGGGGACATGGGAGGGAATCGCTCAGGCCGTGTTCGTCTTCATAACGGCGACGTTCGCCATGCTGCTTTTCGCAGCGGCGACACAGGGCTATTTCCTCGCCCGGTCGCGCATTTACGAGAGCGCGGCCCTGCTTCTGGTCGCCTTCACCCTGTTTGTGCCCAATGTCTGGCTCAACATGGTGCAGAGCCCCTATCGCGACGTGCCTCCGGTGCAGTTCGAACAGGTGGTCGGCGATGTGGCGGAAGGCGACCGCATCCGGCTTCTGGTGCGCGGTCCCGACTTCAACACGGGCGAAACGGCCGAGACGACGCTGGTCATGTATGCCGAAGGCGCAACGGCGGCCGAACGGGTCGCCAATTCGGGCCTGCTGCTGATCCCCGACGGCGACACGGTGCGTATGGACGAGCCGATGTTCGGCACCACCACCGCCGAGAAGCTCGCCGATTTCGATTTCTATTCCGACACGCCGGTGGAATTGGCCTCCGTGCAAGTGCCCAACCAGCGCATGCCGGCGCAGGTCTTCTACATTCCGGCACTGCTGCTGCTTGGCGTGGTCATCATGTTGCAGCGCCGCCGCCAGACCCAGCCGGCCTTTTGACGATTTGAGGATCAAGAGCCATGTTCAAGACCGTATTGCTGCCCATCGACCTGTCCGCCGACGCCTCCTGGAAGAAGGCGCTGCCCGCGGCGCTGCGGCTCAGCAAGCCGGAAAACCCGGTATTGCACGTGGTCACCGTCATGCCGGACTTCGGCATGTCGGTGGTCAGCGGCTATTTCGACAAGGATTTCGAGGACAAGGCGCTGCGTGAGGTCGGCGAGAAGCTCACCGAATGGGTGCGTGTCAACGTGCCCGACGATATCGAAGTGCACCCGCACGTCATGCACGGCAGGGTCTACGACCAGATCATCACGGCGGCGAACAAGCTGGGCGTCGATGCCATCGTCATGGCCTCGCATACGCCGGAGCTGAGCGATTATCTGCTCGGGCCGAATTCGGCGCGTGTCGTCCGCCACGCCAAGCAGTCCGTGTTCGTGGTTCGCGGGGAGTGACCGATGACGAGCCGGATCTTGGGGCGGGGGGCCGCCGCCCTGCCCGCCGCCGTACGCGGTGAGGGGTGCTACATCGTCGATGAGGCCGGCCGGCGCTATCTGGACGGATCGGGCGGCGCGGCGGTCTCCTGTCTGGGCCACTCCGATCCCGACGTGCGGGCGGCAATTCACGACCAGCTGGACCGGATCGCTTTCGCGCACACCGGCTTTTTCACATCGAAGGCCGCCGAAGAGCTGGCGGACCGCCTGGTGGCGAACGCGCCGGAGGGAATCGGCAAGGTCTATCTTCTATCCGGCGGATCGGAAGCGGTCGAAGCGGCGATCAAGCTGGCGCGCCAATACTATCTGGAGATCGGCCAGCCCGAGCGGCGCCATCTGATCGCCCGGCGACAGAGCTATCACGGCAACACGCTCGGCGCGCTGGCCGCCGGCGGCAATGCCTGGCGGCGCGAGAAGTACCAGCCGCTTCTGGTCGAGACCCATCATGTCGCGCCGTGCTTTGAGTATCACTTCCGTGAAGAGGGCGAGAGCGCCTTCGATTATGGCCAGCGCGTCGCCAACGAACTGGAAACGGAGATCGAACGGCTCGGAGCAGAGACCGTCATGGCGTTCATCGCCGAGCCGGTCGTCGGCGCGACGGCAGGCGCGGTGCCGGCCGTTGACGGCTATTTCCGGCGCATTCGCGAAATCTGCGACCGTCACGGCGTACTGCTGATCCTCGACGAGGTGATGTGCGGCATGGGCCGGACCGGCACCTTGTTCGCCTGCGAGCAGGACGGGATCGCGCCCGACATCGTGACCTTCGCCAAGGGGCTCGGCGCCGGCTATGCGCCGATTGGCGCGATGCTGTGTTCGGACGAAATCTACGGGGCGATCGCGAGCGGCTCGGGCAGCTTCCAGCACGGGCACACCTATCACGGCCATCCGCTGGCCGCAGCCGCCGGCAAGGCGGTGCTCGATGCCATTCTGGACCGCGACCTGCTGCACCGGGTCCGCGCGCGAGGCGAAGCACTGGAAGCGGCCTTGAATGCGGCCTTCGGCCAGCATCCGCATGTCGGCGACATTCGCGGCCGGGGCCTGTTCCGGGGCATCGAACTGGTCGAGGACCGGGCGACGAAGACAAGCTTTGATCCCGCGCGCAAGCTGCACGCAAAGATCAAAGCGGCGGCGATGGCGGAAGGCCTGATCTGCTACCCGGCCGGTGGTACGGTGGACGGGCGCCGCGGCGACCACGTTCTGCTGGCGCCGCCCTTCATCATCACCGAAGACCAGATCGGCGAACTGGTCGGCAAGCTCGGCCGGGCGATCGATACGGCGCTGGCCGCATGACCCGAATTGCCGTCCGAGGAAGGCGCCCGGCCAATCGGCGATTTGGGATCATTCCCACTCGATGGTGCCGGGCGGCTTGGATGTGACGTCGTAGACCACGCGGTTGATGCCGCGGACCTCGTTGATGATCCGGGTTGCCGCCTGGCCGAGGAACGCCATGTCGAAGTGGTAGAAGTCGGCCGTCATGCCGTCGACCGACGTCACCGCGCGCAGCGCGCAGACGAATTCATAGGTCCGGCCATCGCCCATCACGCCCACCGTCTGGACGGGCAGCAGAACGGCGAAGGCCTGCCAGATCGCGTCGTAAAGGCCGGCCTTGCGGATCTCGTCGAGATAGATCGCATCGGCCTGGCGCAGGATGTCGAGCTTGTCGCGCGTCACGCCGCCGGGGCAGCGCAGGGCGAGGCCGGGCCCGGGGAACGGATGGCGGCCGATGAACTGCTCCGGCAGGCCGAGTTCGCGGCCGAGCGCGCGCACCTCGTCCTTGAACAATTCGCGCAACGGTTCGACGAGCTTCATGTTCATGCGTTCGGGCAGGCCACCGACATTATGGTGGCTCTTGATGGTCACGGACGGGCCGCCGGTGAAGGAGACGCTCTCGATCACGTCCGGGTAAAGCGTACCCTGGGCGAGGAAATCGGCGCCGCCGAGCTTGTTTGCCTCGGCTTCGAACACGTCGATGAAGAGCCTGCCGATCGTCTTGCGCTTGGTCTCGGGATCGTTTTCGCCTTCGAGCGCGTCGAGGAATGTGTCGGACGCATCCACATGGACGAGCGGGATGTTGTAGTGCTCGCGGAACATGGCGACGACCTGGGCCGCCTCGTTCAGGCGCATCAGCCCATGGTCGACGAGGATGCAAGTGAGCTGATCGCCGATCGCCTCGTGGATCAAGAGCGCTGCGACCGAGGAATCGACGCCACCCGACAGGCCGCAGATGACCTTGCCGTCGCCGACCTGTTGGCGGATCGCGGCGATCGCCTGATCCTTGTAGGCGGCCATCGTCCAGTCGCCCTTCAGGCCTGCGATCTTGTGCACGAAGTTGGACAGGAGCTTCGCGCCGTCGGGCGTGTGCACCACTTCGGGGTGGAACTGGACGGCATAGTAGCGGCGCGCCTCGTCGGCGGTGGCAGCCAGCGGCGCATTGGGCGACGAGCCGATCACCTCAAATCCGTCCGGCAGTTGCGTGACACGGTCGCCATGGCTCATCCAGACCTGATGCTGTTCGCCGACACTCCACACGCCCTCGAACAGCGGGCTTGGCGCATCGACGGTCATGAAGGCGCGTCCGAACTCGCGATGATGGCCGCTCTCGACCGAACCGCCCAATTGCGCCGCCATCGTCTGCTGGCCGTAGCAGATGCCGAGAACCGGCAGTCCCGACTGAAAGACGATCTCCGGCGCGCGGGGGCTGCCTTCTTCGGGTACGCTCCCCGGCCCGCCCGACAGGATCACCGCCTTGGGTTTGAGACGCTCAAAGCCCTCTTCGGCCGACTGGAACGGCACGATCTCCGAATAGACGCCGGCCTCGCGCACCCGACGCGCGATGAGCTGCGTCACCTGGGAGCCGAAATCGACGATCAGGACAGTGTCGGGATGGGGCGTGTCGGTCATGTTGTCTCGTCGTCCGTTGGCGCGTACATGGCGAAGATTTCGGCGCCGGTGAGCATCTTGGTTTCGTTGGCGAAGGCGTAAAAGTCCGGGGTCTCGTCGGTGAAGACCTGACGTGTGAACCGCAACCCGGACTGGTCGTCAAAAAGGCCCACGGCCATCTGGTAATCGTTACTGTCGATGATGCGATAGAACAGGTTCGAGCCGCACTTGGAACAAAAGCCGCGTTCGGCCCAGTCCGACGAGCGGAAGCGCGTGATGTGCTCCTCGCCCTCGAATCGGACGCCGGCGCACTCGATTTCCATGTAAGGCGCCGAACTCCAGCGGCGGCACATGGAGCAATGACACGCGCCCACATGCGGCTTGTTCACCGTTGCGGAAAAGCGCACGGCGCCGCACAGGCAATGGCCCGTGCGCTGGCTGTCATCGCTCATTGGCGTGGTTCCCTTGATCGGTGATCAGGTCCACCGCTTACGCGAACGCGGCACCGCTTTCAATCGCCGCCTCGATCCGGTCGACCGCGCCTGCCAGCTTCTCGTCGATGACGTGAAGATATTGGGTCCAGTCATCGAAATGATGCAGATCGTCGGCGCCGTCGGAAATGCCGCGCAGGCCGACCAGCGGCACATCGAACATCATGCAGGCGCGCAACAAGGCAAAGGTCTCCATGTCGACCATGTCGGCATCGATGGCATCATAGGCCGCACCCGAAACGATGTTGGCGCCCGTCGACAGGCGCTTGGCCGGTATGTCGCCCATGACCGTCAGCGGCAGCTCGGCGGGCAGGTCGAGAAACGGCGTGCGGCCCTTCTCGAAGCCAAGGGGCGAGGCGTCCATGTCGCGGTAACTGACAGAGGCGACCTCGTACACCTCGGCCTGCTCGAGCGTGCGCGAGCCGGCCGAGCCCAGCGAAATGACGATGTGGGGTCTTTCGGACGCCAATGCACGGGTCAGATTGACGGCCGATTCGACCGGTCCGACACCGCACACCAGCGGCGTGAAACGCGCCTGCAGGTGCGGGCCATATTCCGCATCGGCGGCCATGACATAGAGTATCGATCTCGATCCGACTGTCTTGAGCATCGCCTTGCCCGCCTTTCAAGCCACCCTGGCGCGCCGCCTGACGCGATGTCAGCGCCTGTCAGTTCATCCACCAGATGGCGAGATTGATCAAGCCGGCGAAGGTCACCCACGCCATGTAGGGCAACATCAGAAGGGCGGACGTGCGGTCGGGCTTCCAGGTCAACTGGATGAAAAGAAAGGTCAGGGCGCCCATGACGACGATGACCAGAAGTGCAAGGCCGGGCAGCTGCATGCCGAAAAAGGCCGGCGACCACATGAAGTTGGCGGCGAGCTGAAGGAACCAGAGCTGCATGGGCAGGCCGCGATAGCCGCGCAGCCATGTGCGCCAGCCGGCGATGGCGACCATCACGTAAAGCACCGCCCAGACCGGCCCGAACACCCAGTTCGGCGGGTTGAAGAAGGGCTTTTCCAGCGCCTCGTACCAAGGGCCGGGCGCGGTGACGGCGCCGATCAGCGTTCCGCCGCCCAGCGTGAACGCAATGAACAGCACCAGCGAAAGCCAGCGCCCGCCGGGGCCCGACGCCCCGCCCGTGCCGCGATGGTCGCCGCCGGTCAGATCATCAAGGGAATTGGTGTCGGTCACGGTTCAGCTCCGGAATTGCGGCACAACGCACATCGGGCACGTTCGGCCCGGCCATACGCCATCGGCCGGAAGCCCACAACCGCCAATCACCCCTGCCCCTCGCGCTGCATTACCGCAAAGAAGAAGCCGTCGGTCTGCGTCGCGCGCGGCGTCAGCGTGATGCAGTTGAGATCGGCCGACCAGGGCTGCGGCTTGTCGAAGCCGAACAGATCCTGCCAGACCTCGCCCGCCGACAGGAGCGACCAGCCGGCGTGACGGTCGCCGAAGGCGTAGACCTGCGCCTCGTTCTCCTCGGCAAAGACCGAACAGGTGATGTAGCACAGGTAACCGCCGGGCCGGACGAAACGCGTCGCATCGTCGAGGATCGCGCGCTGTTCGGCGACGCGCTTTTCGAGCTGTTGCGGGGTCAGGCGCCATTTGGCGTCCGGATGGCGGCGCCAAGTGCCCGAACCCGAACACGGCGCATCGACGATCACCCGGTCGAACCGGCCTTCCAGCGGCGCCAGATCCGCATCGGCGGCGTGGACCTGCACATTGCGCGTGCCGGCACGCTTGAGCCGGTCGAAGATCGGCGCAAGGCGCTGCTTGTCGGCATCCCAGGCATGCACCTGGCCCTTGTTTTCCATGGCAGCGGCGAGCGCCAGCGTCTTGCCGCCAGCGCCGGCGCACAAATCGAACACCTGCTCGCCGGCCCGCGCAAACACCAGATCGGCGACGACCTGCGAACCCTCGTCCTGAACCTCGAACCAGCCCTTCTGGAATGCCGGCTCGGCCTGGACGTTGGGCAGGCGCCCTTCCCGGCGCGGCGGCTTGATGCGGATGCCGTGACGGGCGATGGCGGCGGGTTTGGCGCCCGCCTTGGCCAGCGCCTTGAGCACCTTGTCCCGGTCGGCCTTGAGCGTGTTGACGCGCAGATCGAGCGGCGGCCGCGCGGTGAAGGCCTTGGCTTCCTCGACCCATTCCTCGCCGAAGCTTTCGGCCATCAGGTCGCCGCACCAGGGCGCGACATCGGCCTCGACCCAGGGATCGGCAAGCGCCAGATCGTGCTCCGCGATGGCTTCAAGACGCGCCGTCGGCATTTCGGGCGCGAACTTGTCGCCGTCGAGCGCTTCGGCGATCTTGTCCGGCGCCATCGCCCAGGAGACGGCGAGCGCGCCGAAAGCGAGCGAAGCGGGGCTGTCATCATCCATCAGGAATGCAAGCGAGGCGCGCCGGCGCAGCGCGTCATAGACCAGATTGCCGATCGCCGCGCGGTCGCCCGAACCGGCAAAACGGTGCGCCCTGCCCCAGTCGGCCAGGGCCACCGAAGCGGGCCGTAAATGGGTGTCGATGTCGGCGAGCACGTCGATCGCGGCAGCCAACCGTCCGCCAAGGCGCATGAAATCTGTCTCCGGTCTCAGGGCGTGCGGCGCGGCTTAGCCGATGGCGGGCCGATTGGAAAGCACGTCCCTCAGGCACAGCCGAGACTTTGGCGTTCTTCCCTGACGATGGCGATGTTGTCCTCGATTGCGACAATGTGTTGGCTGATTTCACGCAGTTCGTCACGAAGTCGCGGCAGGTCGCGGTCGCGCAGTTGTGCCAGGCGCCGCTTCGCTGCTTACAATTGGGCGCGATTGGCGGCGCCGACAATCCCGACCCCGATACGACCCGGCAGACGTAACAGTCCGCCGGAGCCGGGAGTCAGGGCAAAAGCTTCCCACCAAGCAACTTCGTTTTCTTGCTGCGAGATCTCGCCGCGCTTGCGCGTGATCTGGTTGCGTTTGTCGCTGGCATTCAACTCGGCCCGATGGAGGTCTTGGTTAAATTGCCTCAGGTCAGCGTTCAATTCAGCGCAGCGGCGGGACTTGATATCGAGAGTAGGCATTTCCATACTTTCGTTTAACTCATTGTGTCGTCCGCAATATTGGCATGCAGGGAACCGCGTTGGATAAGTTGTACACGTTCGGCCTGTTCTTCATGATCTTCGCGTGGACGCATGGGGTAGCCGTGGCCGAAACGCGGCTCCTTGAGGTCCCCGATTTTTCCGAGTTTCCCGCGCCCGAAGTCCGCGAACTGAGCCATTCTGTCAGCATCAGACTGCTCCACGCAGACGATTATGGGATGGGCATCGACCATGCGGGCTGCGCGGAACGGATCGACATTCTGCTCGATGTCTACGTCGAACGCTGGCCGCAGTTCGCGCAGTGGGCGGATGATCCCGACTGGCGGAACTATTGGGCCGATTATTTCGGAAAGACCGTCTATCGCGGCGAAATCGGCTGCCATTTCGTCAATCCCATCGTGGCGTTTCTACGCCGGGACGGCACGTATCGCACCGATGTCGAACCGGCCGACCGCATACCGCGCTGGTGCGGCCGCTGGCGGGACGGGCAGCCGACGATCGAAGAGGATCATACGGTCGCCGCGCTCATCGAACTGGCCTTCGAAGACGCCATTCCGGCGGCGGCAAGCGAACTCTATGTGATGTCCCAATCGCACTTCCGGTCCTACGGGCATCTGGTCGCGATGAACCCGGACGTGCTGCTGCTGCTGATGGAGCGGTCGAAAGTGATGGCCGACCGGCGGAACTTCATCTTCGCTTTCAAGCTGAACGAGGAGGATAGCCGCTATGGCATGCTGCACATGGTGCCGGACGCGCGCCGCGCCGCGGTGGAAGAGGCGGCATGGAACGGGGACTGGCGGTCGATCCTTGAGACCACGGGCCCCTGCCGGCCGCGCGATGTGGTGATGCGGGAGGCCGGCCTGCCGCAGCGGCGCTATTGAACGTAGACTTGGCAGGAAGTTCGGGCGGCAATACAAAATCCCACGTCAGCAGCCAAGATCCCTTCGGCGGCGACGCGCGGTATCAATATTGTTCTTGGTCGCGTTGATCCGCTGACGCGTTGTTTTGATTTCGGAATCGAGGATGCCAACGGCGATCTCGGCGCGTCTGATCTTGTCTCGTTCGACGCGGATCGCTGCTGAAACAGCCGCGGACGTCAAAGGAGCGACGATCCGCGCGGTCGGATGTCGAATGTTGGCAGAGCCTTGCGCCGCTCCTCTCATGGCTTCGAGTTGGTTGATGCGGTTCTCGGCTTGCGCAATTTCTCCTCGACGATTGGTTCGACGATTCTTCAGTGCAGATTCCTGCCTTTGCAAGCCGGATAATTCGTCGTTCGAGCGATCAATCGACATTGCAAGGACGCCGCATTCATTGTTTTTTGCTTCGGTTGCTGTAGGTTGCATAATGTAATCCAGTTCATAGAGACAACCAGATGATCTCATGCAACGCAAACCGTTGGATAAACTTGTTCCGATACTTAGTTGGATTCACCATACTGGCCCTATCCCAATCCACTTTGGTCGGCGAGGCAGCTGAAAGCGCCGAAAACCAGCCGCCGCAGTTCTTCCTGCCCTACCCGCTCCAATCCATGTTCGGCATCGACGCGGAGACTTTCGACGCGGTTCGCGAAGCCGAGTATGACGGAGCCGAGCGGGCCTGTGCGGGCAAGGTCGATGCCCATATTGACGGCTATGTCCGCCGCTATCGGGCCTATGCCCCGTTCCGGGACGATCCGGACTGGCGGGCGGCCTGGCTGGAACGCTTTGCGCTGACCACGCTGCGCGAAGAGCTGGGCTGTCATTTCATCGTGCCGCTCCGGCGAACGCTGGAGCGTGCCGAACGGGCGCGGTTCCATTCAGAGGATGACAGCGGCATGCCGGTCTGGTGCGGCCGCTGGTCGGACGATACGGTCGATGCGTCACTCAAGGCAGCCATAGCCGGCCTGGTGCCGCTTGCCTTCGACCATGGCATGCCCTCCGCCGAGATCATCTTCACATCCAGAACGGCATCGGCGAACGAAACCGGGCGCTACGCCACGATCCATATGAACCCGGACGTGGCCCTTTATCTGGTGGAACGCGTCGTCTTGCTCGCGGCGCCTGAATTCGGCGTCCATCCCACGCAGTTCGCCGACGCGGAAGGGCGCGCGCGGCTGCGGCTCGATGCGGTTTCACCCGAACGAAGGGCGGAGGTGATGGCGGCGGTGGAGACGGGCGACTACCAGTCGATCCTAGACACAACGGAACCGTGTCAGCCGCGCGAGGATTTTCCGCCCTCAATCGATGCGCAGTGACCGGCGCTTGCCGGGCCGGGTTTGGGCCATAGATGGATGAGGATCGGGCCACCCTCGGCGCCTCACACCGACCGGTTGCCCACCATGCCAAACGACTCACTGCCATCCCTCGCCCTGTCCGTGCGCCAGCCATGGGCATGGGCGATTATCCATGGCGGCAAGGACATCGAGAACCGCACCGCCGGTTCGATCCGCGCCGGAGGGATGGATTGCCAGCGTATCTGCATCCATGCAGCCTCGGGCATGCGCCAGTCCGAACATCGCTGGGCCGTCCATAAGCTTGCCAAGGTTGGCGTGAGAGCGCCGGCGCCCGACGCATTGGTGCGCAGCGCCATCATCGGCACGGTGGACGTGATCGACATCGTCGCCGAAAGCGACAGCCCGTGGTTCGACGGGCCGTGCGGGCTGGTCCTCGACAATCCCGAAGCGATCGTGCCCATCCCGGCCAAAGGGGCGCTGGGCTATTTCGCCTGGGAACGGGCGGGCGCGGTCGCGCCCACCCTGCCCTGGATGACCGGCTGGGGCCGGGCCGGGGGCGATGATGCCACGCTGGCGCTGTTCGACGATCTGCCGACCGGCTTCAAGACGCCGCCGGCAAAACCGTTCAAGCGCTGACCGGTACCGCTTAAGCCCTTGGCAAGCACTGGGCGGGCACAATGGGCCGACCGCGATCAAGGCCACCGCCCCATGTCCGACATCATTCATCACGGCCCAACGGCCGCTCCATCGACCGCGACGCGGCCCGTCGCGCCCGGGCGCATCATGGCCGGGTTCGGCGCGCTGGCACTGCTGATCGCCGGGCTGATGCTGGCGCTGGCCGCACCCAAGCTGCTCAACGATCCCGACACGCTGTGGCACATCGCTCTGGGGCGGGACATTCTGGCCACCGGCGTCTTCCCCGTCGCCGACAGCTATTCGCACACCTTCGCCGGCGAACCGTGGATCGCCAAACAATGGCTCTCCGGCGTGCTGCTGGCACTGGCGCACATGGCCGCCGGCTGGACCGGCGTGGTGGCGCTGACGATCGGCGCGCTGCTGGCGACGATGGCGATCGTGCACCGGGCGCTGGCGCGGCATCTTAACCCGGTCGCGGCACTGCTGCTTGGCGTCTGGTTCTTTGCCATGGCGAGCAGCACGTTTCTGGCGCGACCGCATGCGCTGGCCTTGCCCGTGGTGGTCTGGTTCATCATCCACGTGTGGGACGCGGCCGCACGCCGGACGGCGCCGCGCTGGGCGGCGCTCGGCGCAATGGCGCTGTGGGCCAACATGCATGGCGGCTTCACACTCGGCTTCGTCGCCGCCGCCGCCGCGTTCGCCCATTTCATTATGAACGATCCATTGTGGCCGCGTTGGCGCAAGTGGACACCGGCGCTGATCTGGCGGCATCGCACGGTGCGCCGCTGGATCGTCTTTCTGGCGCTTCTGCCGGTCGTGGCATGCATCCATCCCTATGGGTGGCAGTCGATCGCCTCGACCTTCGTGATCGCCGACAATCCGGCCCTCGCCCATATTCGCGAATGGCGGTCCTATGCGTTTGGCGAGGACAGGGTGCTGACGCTGCATCTGGTCGCGGCGTTCGTGCTGCTGCTGACGACGGGCCTGCGCACATCGTTGGCCAAGGCGGTGTTCATCGCCTTCCTCATCTATCTGAGCCTGGCGCATATCCGGTTCGTCACGCTTTTGCATCTGCTGCCCGCCGCTCTTCTTGCCGGTGAGATCGCGCGCGCCTTTCCGGCCCTGTCGCTTGACCGTTGGCGCGAAAAACAGGTGCGCGACGGGCTGGAAACGCTGGCCGGCCGTCATCCCCGAGCGCTTATGGCGGCGGCGGTTGCCGGCGTCGTGCTGGCCATGGTGCCCTCGGTCGCAAACGACCGTCTCTCACCGGCGGCGCGCACCTATCCCTCCGCGGCGCTCGAGGCGGTGCGCGATGCGGGGATCGCCGGCAATGTGCTGAACGGCTACGGGTTCGGCGGCGCGCTGATCTTCGAGGGCATACCGACATTCATCGACGGACGGGCCGACCGCCTGTTCGACAATGGCGCGTTCATTGCCGCGCATTTCCAGGAAGCGGGCGATGCGGATGCGCTGGCGGCAACGCTTGTCGATCACGGGATCGGCTGGACGCTGCTGCCGCAAGGCGATCCGGCGATCGCGTTGCTCGATGCGCGCGAGGACTGGGTACGCCTTCACACCGACGAGCATGCCGTGGTGCATGTGCCGGCCGGCTCCTGAGGCGATCAGGTGCGGCGTGCGTGCCGCGACGCAGCCAGGCGGAACACGAACAGCGCGCCCAGCGCCAGCGCGACGAACGCCCATTTGAGCAGCGTGTAGGCGCTCGCAAGCCCGACCGATGCGTCGTTGACCGGCACGGCACCGGTGAGCATGTCGGCGACGAGGCCGTTCTCGAGCACGTCGAACAGACCATAGGGCGCGACCAGCGCAAGCGGCACGGCGATCTGCGTCCAGCGCGGCAGATGCCTGTAACGCGGCAGCCGGCGGAGCGTCTCGCGCATCGCAAGGAAGAGCGCGGCCATCAGCAGCCATGGAAAGACGAACTCCGCAAAGCCCGAATGCCAGCGCAGGAAGGCAGCCTGCCCGTCGGCGCCGAGCGCTGCCTGCCAAGCCGCGAAATCATCGGCGGCATAGCCCAAGGGGCGCGAATCGGGCGCCCGCAATCCGCCGGTCATCGGCTCGAACCAGAACACGTGCATGCCCGCCATGGCAGCGAACCAGACGATGGCGAGCGCGATCAGCGCCTTGGTCTGAATGGACATGGCGGCGGTCAGTTGCCGCCCGGATAGTTCGGGCTTTCGCGGGTGATGGAGACGCCGTGGGTATGGCTTTCGCGCAGGCCCGAATTGGTGATGCGCACGAATGCAGCTCGCTCATGCAGATCCTTGAGCGTCGCCGATCCGGTATAGCCCATCGCCGCGCGCAAACCGCCGGCGAGCTGGTGCAGCACGCCCGAGACGGGGCCCTTGTAGGGCACCTGACCCTCGATGCCCTCGGGCACCAGCTTGAGCGTGTCGCGCACTTCGGCCTGGAAATAGCGGTCGGCCGAGCCGCGCGCCATCGCGCCGACCGAGCCCATGCCGCGATAGGCCTTGTAGGAGCGGCCCTGGTGCAGATAGACCTCGCCCGGGCTTTCGTCCGTGCCGGCCAGAACCGAGCCGACCATCGCCGCCGAAGCGCCGGCGGCCAGTGCCTTTGCCAAATCGCCCGACAGCTTGATGCCGCCATCGGCGATCACGGGAATGTCCTGTTTTTGCGCTTCTTCGGACGCGGCCATCACGGCGGCCAGCTGCGGCATTCCGACGCCGGCCACCATGCGCGTCGTGCAGATCGATCCGGGCCCGATGCCGACCTTGACCGCGTCGGCGCCCGCATCGATCAGCGCCCTGGCACCGTCGGCGGTCGCCACATTGCCGGCGATGATCCGCACCGCGTTCGAGCGCTTCTTGACCTCGCCGACCGCATCGAGCACGCGGCGCGAATGGCCATGGGCGGTGTCGACCACGATCACGTCGACGCCCGCCTCGGTCAGCCGGTCGGCCCTGTCGAGCGCATCGGCGCCGACGCTGACAGCCGCGCCGACGCGCAGGCGTCCCTGCGCATCCTTGGCAGCATGAGGGTTGAGCTGCGCCTTCTCCATGTCCTTGACGGTGATGAGGCCGACGCAGAACCCTTTTTCGTCGATTACGAGCAGCTTTTCGATCCGGTGGGTGTGCAACAGCCGCTTGGCTTCGTCCTGGCCGACATTTTCGCGCACCGTCACCAGGTTTTCGCGCGTCATCAGCTCATAGACCTTCTGGCCCGGGTCATCGGCAAAGCGGACATCGCGGTTGGTCAGGATGCCGACCAGACGGCCCGGCCTCTGGCTGCCGATGCCGGCGTCTTCGACGACCGGAATGCCGGAAATGCGGTGCGCGCGCATCAGCGCCTTGGCGTCGGCGAGCGTCGCGTCGGGACCGATCACGACGGGATTGACCACCATGCCGCTTTCGAATTTCTTGACCTGGCGGACCTCCTCGGCCTGCTCCTCGGGGTTGAGGTTGCGGTGGATGATGCCGATGCCGCCGGCCTGGGCCATGGCGATGGCAAGGCGCGATTCGGTCACCGTGTCCATCGCCGCAGACAGGATCGGCAGGGACAGTTCAATGTCCCGGGCGATGCGCGTGGTGATGTCGGTCTGCGCCGGCATGATCTCGGAGGCGCCGGGCTGCAGAAGCACGTCGTCGAACGTCAGCGCATAGGCGCCGCTCGCTGTATCAATGATCTTGGCCATCGTTGGGGTCCTGGATTGGGGCGCGGAAAGGCGCGCCGCCCGGTCACGTTGGCAGTGGGCCGTAACACGGCTTGAGGGCGATCAAAAGACCCTTGGCACGGATTGACACCGCTTTCATCTCTATATAACTAGATTTCTAGTTTTATAGGAGAACCCCATGGACATAGAGCGCGCCGCGCAAGGCTTTGCCGCCATCGGTTCCGAACCGCGGCTGGAAGTGCTGCTGGCGCTGGTCAAGGCAGGCCCGGACGGCTTGACGGTCGGCGACATTCAGGCGCGTTCGGGGATGGCCGCATCGACGCTCGCCCATCATCTGCGCTTTCTGGCGTCGGGCGGGCTGATCTCCCAGGAAAAGCAGGGTCGCTCCGTCATCAACCGCGCCGAATTCGACCATCTGGAAGAGTTGGGCGCCTATCTGCTGCGCGAATGCTGTGCCGACAGCGCCGCCGGGAAGGAAGAAGCGGCATGACAACGCTCGATACCGCTCAGGAGGCTCGACCAGGCCGGACGACAAACCCGCTATCGGTGCTGGCGACGCCGTGGACCGTCGTGGTCGCGGTGCCGCTGATCATCTCGATCCTCGATCCGGAGCGTTTCGAAGCGATCGTCGGCTTTGCAGCGGGCGCGTTTCTGAGCACACTGCCCTATATCGCGTTTGCCGTGCTCCTGATCGCCTGGCTCAAGGCCGCCGGCGCCGAAGCGAGCATCGGCCGGGCGTTCGAGGGCCGCGAGAATCGCGCCATCGTGCTCGCCGCCCTGTTCGGCGGGCTGGCGCCCTTCTGTTCGTGCGAAGTGATTCCGTTCATTGCCGGCCTTCTGGCTGTCGGCGCGCCTTTGTCGGCCATTATGGCCTTCTGGCTGGCGTCGCCGCTGATCGACCCGCCGACGCTTCTGATCACCGCCGCCGCGCTCGGCTGGCCCTATGCGATCGGCAAGGCGGTTGCCGCAGTCGGCATCGGCCTGGCCGGCGGCTATGCGGTCAAGGCGCTGACGGCGGGCGGGCTGTTCAAAGACGTTGCGCGCGGCGCCATAAAGCGCGGCTGCGGCTGCGGCCCCTCGCCCTTCGATGGCCGCCCGGTCTGGCGCTTCTGGGCCGAGGGCCAGCGCATCGACAATTTCAGTGCCGAACTGCGCGCCAACGCCGCCTTTCTGGCGCAATGGCTGGCGCTCGCCTATGTGCTCGAAGCGCTGCTGGTGACCTATGTGCCCGCTTCGCTGATCGCCGGGCTTGTCGGCGGCGAGGGGCTCGGCCCGATCGTCATCTCGGCGCTGGTCGGCATGCCGGCATACCTCAACTCCTATGTCGCGCCGGCGCTTCTGGCCGGTTTGACCGAACAGGGCATGAGCCCGGGCGCGGCGATGGCGTTCCTGGTGGCCGGCGCGGTCAGCTCGATCCCCGCCATGGCGGCGGTCTGGTCGCTGGTCAGGGCGCCGGTCTTTGCCACCTACATCGCGCTGGGCGTTTCCGGCGCGATCGTCTCGGGCATCGTCTTTCAGATGGTGGTGTGAGAGAGCCATGGAACGGCAGATGACCGCCGATGGCGCGAGCGGCCATGACTTTGCGCCGGTCCCCGGTCACGGCACAGCCGCCGAAGGCACGCGCCAGGCCGCCTGCGTCTGATTGTACCGGCCGGCTTGACATCGCCCTGTCGCACGCAATGCGCTATGCTGAGGCGTCATTTCGGGTGAGGAGGATGACATGGGCGAAGACGTCAGTTTGCCGGAGCCGGTCCAGGAGGTCTTTGACGAGATCGAACGGATCAAGAAGAAGATCGAGAAGCTGGGCGAGATCGACGCGCCCGCCGCCTTGATCGCCACGCTGAACGATGCGCTGAAAAACGCCATCAATGCGGTCAACGAGCATCTGGGAACCGAGGCCAAAAAAGAAATCGGCGCGCTGGGTGGCATGGCGCAGCTCGTCGGTCAGGGCCTTGTTGCCGATGGCGCGGTCGAGAAAAACGAAGACCTTGAGGACCTCGGCGAGGTCGACGATGAAAAGAAGAAGATCGCCGAAAAGCTCAAGGTTGCCCGCAAGCACCGTGATGGCGTTGAAGACGAAAACGACATCCGGCAGGTCGAAAAGGGCGTCGATGAACTGGACGACGCCATTCGCGAAGCCGCCATCGAGGCGGCCAAGCGCGAACTCGATGCGCTGAAGAAGAAGATCGACAAGATCAAGAAGGGCGAACCGGACAAGGACAAAGGCAAGGGACCGGGCGCCAAGCCGACCCCGCCCAAGCCAGACGACAAGAAGAAGGATGGCGGGGGCGGCAAGCCCGACGAAAAGGAGGACGACAAGGACGAGGACAAGAAGAAGGAAATCAAAGCGCCCAAGGTTCACACAATCTATGTGCGCGACCAGACCACCGTCTGGGCGTGGAACCCGAGGACAGGTGAATGGGTGCCGATGGATTTCGGCGGTGAGATCGTCGAGGTCAAGCTGATCAAGGGCGGCATCCTTGCCTTCAGCGCCGAGCGCGCCGCGATCTATGACAGCTATGTCGGCATCTGGCTCGAAGCGCTCGATGTTCCGGGCGGGGAGTTGGTCAAAGGCGATGCCAAGACGGACGACTAAGGCCGGTCAGGAAGCGTCGGGGCGGCCCTTGAAGCCCTTGGCCAGCAGATAGAGTTCGACCGACTCCGCCCGGCTGGCGGGCGGCTTGATGTGCATCACCTGCGCGAAACTGGCCTTCAGCCGGTCGAGCAGCGCCTTTTCGGTTCCGCCCTGGAACGTCTTGGTCAGGAAGTGCCCGCCGGGCCTGAGCACCTCCATGGCGAACTCGGCGGCGACCTCGACCAGATACATGGTGCGCATGTGGTCGGTATTGCGGTGGCCGACGGTGGGCGCGGCCATGTCGGACAGCACGATGTCGGGTGCGCCGTCGAGCGCCGCCATCAGCTTTTCGGGCGCATCCTCGTCGAGAAAGTCCATTTCCAGGATCGTCACGCCCGGCACCGGGTCCATGCCCAGATAGTCGATCGCGGCGACAAGCGGTTTTTCGGGCGTCGAGCCGGTGCGTTCGACGGCGACCTGGCACCAGCCGCCGGGCGCGGCGCCCAGATCGATCACCCGCTTGCCAGGGGCCAGAAGACCGTGCTTGTCGTCGATCTCGACGAGCTTGTAGGCGGCGCGCGAGCGCATGCCCTCGCGCTTGGCGCGCTGCACATAGGGGTCGTTGAGCTGGCGTTCGATCCAGCGGCGCGAGGACGGCTTGAGCTTCTGCTTGCGCCGCACATGCTGGTTGATCGACCGGCCGCCGGGCTTTGCCGATTTGCGTTTCATGGCCGCCCCCTCATCACCGCTCGCCCGGCCCGCCGGCGGGGCGCGGCTTGGGCGCCGTGTCAGGCCGTCCGCGCCGGTGACGGCCGCGGCGCCAGACGCCGTCGGCGGCCATCATCTCGGTCAGAAGGCCCTCGCGCAGGCCACGATCGGCCACTCGCAGGCGTTGCGCCGGCCAGACATTGCGGATCGCCTGCAGAATCGCACAGCCGGCCAGTACGAGATCGGCGCGGTCGCGCCCGATGCAGGGGTTGGCGACGCGCTCGTCGAACGACCAGGACAGGATCCGGTCGTTGATGCGGTCGACCTCGTGGTCGCGCATCCAGAGGCCATCGACACGCCGGCGGTCGTAGCGGGCAAGGCCCAGATGAATTCCAGCCAGCGTCGTCACCGTGCCCGAGGTGCCGATCAGGTGGAAGGCATCGTCGGAGACGCCGTTGCCGCCACGCCGATGTTTTTCGGCGAACTCGCCCAGAAGCGCCTCGGCATGGGCGACCATCGCCGAAAAGCTCTCGGCATCCACATGGGTGCCGCCGAAGCGCTCGGCCATGGTGACGACACCGACCGGCAGCGACGTCCATGCGACGATGTTGTCGGAGAGGTTGCGGCGGCCGGCATGGGGCAGATCGATGACGGCAATCTCCGACGATCCGCCGCCAATGTCGAACAGCACGGTCGAGCGCGCCGACCGGTCGACCAGAGATCCGCAGCCCGCAACCGCCAGACGTGCCTCGGTCTCGCGGTCGACGACTTCCAGTTTCAACCCGGTCTGGTCGCGGACGCGATCAAGAAATTCGGCGCCGTTTTCGGCCGAGCGGCAGGCCTCGGTGGCGATCAGGCGGGTGCGGCCGATCGGCCGGGCGGTCAGCTTGTCGCGGCAGACGGCGAGCGCGCCGACCGCGCGGTCCATCGCCTCGTCCGAGAGGCGGCCCGACGCGCCCAGCCCCTCGCCCAGACGCACGATGCGCGAGAACGCATCGACCACGCGGAACGACCAGGGCTTGGTCGGCACGGCAACCAGAAGGCGGCAATTGTTGGTGCCAAGATCGAGCGCGGCATAGGCGGTGGGCGCCTCGCGTTCCCGGCGGATGGCGGGCGCCGGCGGCGACGGCTTGTCCTTGCGCTGGCCGCACGGCGTTCCGTGCTGGCCGGCTGTCGTCGCCATGGCGTTATTGTCGGATCGGGCGGCATTGCGCTTGCGGCGGCCGCGCCGGCGCTTGCCGCGACCGGCTACCGGCTTTTCGTCGGCCGCGCCGGCCGCACGGTCACGCCCATCGTCGGGCGTGGTGTCCGGTGCGGCGCTTTTCGCCGCGCCATTGCGGTCGCTGCGGCGGCGGCGGCGTCCGCGTTTGGAGGGCCGTTTGGCGAACGGATCGTGATCGTCCGGGCGGGCGGCCTCGTGGCTCGGCGACGTTTCCCGGTTGCCGTCAGGCTTTGATGTGGCGGAGCGCGGCGCCGCATGGGCGCCCGTCTCGACAGGGCCGTCACCGGGTCCATCGGCGGCTGTCTCGCCACGGACATGGGGGCCTGAGTGGGACACGTCAGTGTCCGGACCAGGCTTGGTCACATCATTTCTCCCGCGCGGCGCAGCCTTGGGGCGCAGCTCGCGCGCTGTGTGTGAAGTTGAGCAAAGCGTATCAGGGGCGCGGAAAAACGCCAAGGCAAAATGCGCGCAAGACAATTGCATTGGCGCGCCAAACGCCATATATCGGCGCCTGTCCGCCTGTTCGGTCAGCCACCGGCGCGGCCTGTTGGGGAATAGGTTAACGGTAGACCCACGGACTCTGACTCCGTTAGTCCTGGTTCGAATCCAGGTTCCCCAGCCACCTCTCCAAATCTTCAAGCGTCTTGCAGGTCGCCGGTCTCGCCGAGCGTCCGGTTTTGAAGGGCCAGCGCCCGATCAGAGCGCTTCGGCCTTGACCAGCGAATGCACCGCATCGACGCGCGCCGCGTCCAGATCGTCCTCGCCGATGCCGAACGACTGGCCCACAAGGTCTTCGATGCCGCGCACAAGGGCGAGCGCGTCGAGCCCGTAATAGCGCATCAGATAAGCGCGCGATCCGCCATGGGCATAGGTGTCCCTGAGACCAAGCCGCACCAGACGCTTGCCGACGCCGGCATCGGCCATGGTTTCGGCGACAAGGCTGCCGACGCCGCCCTCGGTGACATGGTTTTCCAGCGTGATCACGCCGTGCCGCACCGAGCCGATATGGTCGAGCAACGCTCCATGGTCGAACGGCTTGATCGTGTGCAGATGAAGGTGGCGGATCGACAGGCCGGCCTTTTTAAGCGCCGAGCGGGCACGCAGCGCCTCTTCGGTGCAGATGCCGGACGTGACGACCAGAATGTCATCGCCATCCGCCAGTTCGCGCATCTCGCCGACGCGGATGGGAGTGTCGAACAGGCGCGGCACCGACCCGCGCAGAACGCGGCACCAGACCGGGCCGTCAATGGAGTCCGCAGCCTCGCAGATGCTTTCGACCTCGGTGGCATCGCCCGTCTCCAGGATCGTCATGTTCGGGATCGAGCGCATCACCGAAATGTCCTCGATCGACTGGTGGGTCATGCCGCCCGGCGTGGTGACGCCCGGCAGGAACCCCATCAGCCGGACTTTGCGCCTTGGATAGGCGATCGAGGCCATCAGCTGGTCGTAGGGCCGGCGATACATGAAGACGCCGAATGTGTGGATGAAAGGCCGGAAGCCGGCCAGCCCGAGACCGCCGGCAAAACTCATCATGTTCTGCTCTGCCATCCCGAGAGAGACGAACTGGTCGGGGTGCCGGTCGCGGAAACCGTCGATCTCGCAGGACGATGTCAGGTCGGCGGACAGGCACAAAATATCCGGATTGCCGGCGGCGAATTTCTCGAAGGCCGACGCATAGGGGCGGTTCACCATCTCAACCATGATCGCGCTCCTCAATGCGTATAGTTGATCGGCTCGACGCCGAGATCGGCGGCGATCGATGCGTTCATGCGCGCACGTTCGTCCTCGGACTTGAAGCGCACATAGTGAAGGCGCGGAAACCGTTCCTGGAGAATGCTCATCGTGTGGAACGGGCTGGTGTGCGCCAGAATGATCAGCGGTCTGCCCTCATGCGGCTCGCGCACCGCATCGCGCATGGCGCCCAGATCGTGGCCATCGATCTCGACGCAGGCGGCACCAAAGGTGAGGAATTTCTGACGGATGTCGCCCACTTCCATCACCGAATCCATGGCGCCGTCGCATTGCTGGGCGTTGACGTCCATGATCGCGTAGAGATTGTCGATGCCGTGATGGGCGCAGGCCTGAACCGCTTCCCATGTCTGCCCCTCCTGCACCTCGCCGTCGGACATGAAGACCCAGGTGCGGCCCGGCTCGCCCTTGCGTGTCCGGCCCCAAGCGAGGCCGGCGGCGGTCGACAGGCCGATGCCGAGCGTGCCGTTGTGCACCTCCATGCCCGGCGAATGTTCGGCGCCGATCATTTCGACCGATGAGCCGTCCTTGTTGAACATGTCGAGACCCTCGGGCGCCATGCGGCCGACCTCGATCAGCGTCGCATAGGCGACCAGCGCATAGTGGGCGGGCGCGATGAACAGCCGGTCGTAGCCGGGTTCGGCAGGTCCGTTGTAGCCGGCGCCTGTGTGATAGCCCGGATTGCCGGCAGAAGGCACGCCGCCGAACGGCTCGGGAATGGGCGGAAGTGTCGGCGGCCCGAGATTGAGCTCTTCATTGTAGAGCCAGGCCAACTGCTCACCGGCCGAACAGGCCTGCGACAAATATCCGCCATTGTTGCGCATGGCGTGCTCGAAGACGCGCCGCCGGATTCCCAGGGCGACATCCTCGGACGATCGTTCATTCCGCATGAGAACCCTCCTCATGACCTTACATATGTCACTGCCCTTGTCACATGTAAACTCGATTTCGCCGCAAAGCCTGTGTGCACCACGTATTGCAGGCCATAACCGGGGCAAACGGGCGGCGGCACCGCATCGCCGGGAAGGTGCGCTCAACGCCTTTGATCCGGCTGACACTTGCGATTGCCCGAAGGGCGCGGTCTGTGCTTTCGTCCAGCCTGAACGCGCCGGCTTCCGGCGCCGAAAGGGGAGGCCCCACGATGGCGCAAGACTGGATCGAACCGGTGCTGGACTTCTGGTTCGGCGAACTCGAACCCGCCCAATGGTTCAAGCGCGACGATGAAGTCGACGAGGCCATCCAGACCCGGTTCGCCGAGACCTATGAGGGCTTGCGCGCCATGCCTTCGGCCGAACTCGTAACCGATCCGCGCACGACGCTCGCCGCGGTGATCGTGCTCGACCAGTTTCCGCGCAACATGTTCCGCGACAGCCCGCGCGCGTTCGAAAGCGATGCCCACGCGCGCGCCGTCGCCGATAGCGCCATTTCGGCGGGTCACGACGCGTCAATGACCGGCGACGAACGGCATTTCCTCTACATGCCGTTCATGCACTCGGAAGCGCTGGCCGACCAGGATCGCGCGATCGAACTCTTTCAGGCGCTGGGCAAGGAGGACGGCATCAAGTATGCGCACCTGCACCGCGACGTTATCGTCCGCTTCGGACGTTTCCCGCACCGCAATGCGGTTCTGGGCCGGCAAAGCACAGACGAAGAACAAAAACATCTCGATGTTCACGGCGGATTCTGACCGGCGCGAAGCGGGCCAGAAGTCGACATGGTGACATTGACGTATACGTTAGAATTGCTTGCGACTTTCGGCTAAGTTCATTATGACCGATCCATGACAGATTCCCGCCATGCGGGAAGATCGGGCGGCCGGACGCGGCACCCGAAACCACAATGTGGTCCGGCATCGCGGTGCTGCGTGTCACATCACAGTCTGGGAGGACACCATGGCAAAACCTGCCGCCGAGCGCGCACCCGCACCAACAGATGCGGACAACGACCGCATCTGGCTGAAATCATACCCTGACGGCACACCGGCCGAGATCGGCGCGCTCAGCCACACATCCATCGCCGCCCTGTTCGACGATGCGTTTGCACGCTACGCCGAGCGCCGCGCGTTCTCCTGCATGGGCAAGGCGATCAGCTATGGCGAACTCGACGCCGCCTCGAACGCCTTTGCCGCACACCTGCAGTCGCTGGGACTTCAGAAGGGCGACCGCGTCGCGCTGATGATGCCCAACATATTGCAGTATCCGGTGGCCATGGCCGGCGTGCTGCGCGCGGGCATGACGGTCGTCAACGTCAACCCGCTCTACACGCCGCGCGAACTGGAGCACCAGCTCAACGACAGCGGCGCCAGGGCGATCGTGATCCTGGAAAACTTCGCCAACACGCTGCAGCAGGTGATCGACGACACCCAGGTCGAGCATGCCATCGTCGCCACCATGGGCGACATGATGGGATTCAAGGGCCATATCGTGAATCTGGTTGTCCGCCACGTCAAGAAGATGGTGCCAGCCTGGCACATTGACGGGCACAAATCGTTCAAGGCGGTTCTGGCAGAGGCAAAGGGCAAGACGCCGAACCGGCCGGAGATCGGACCTGAGGATGTCGCCTTCCTGCAATATACGGGCGGCACGACCGGCGTCTCCAAGGGCGCCACGCTGACCAATGCGAACATTCTGGCCAATATCGAGCAGTGTTCGACCTGGCTCGATGTGGGCTACCGCGCCAAGGGCAAGCCGGACAGCATCAACTATGTCTGCGCGCTGCCGCTCTATCACATTTTCGCGCTGACGGTGAACGCGTTCGTCGGCATCAAGGAGGGCGGGCACAACATCCTGATCCCCAATCCGCGCGACATTCCGGGCTTCGTCAAGGAACTGGGCAATCACGAATTTCACTTCTTTCCGGGCTTGAACACGCTGTTCAACGCGCTGTTGAACAATGACGACTTCCACAAGCTCGACTTCAGCCATCTGCGCATGACTTTCGGGGGCGGCATGGCTGTGCAGAAGCCCGTTGCCGAACGCTGGCGCGAGGTGACCGGCTGCATGGTCACCGAAGGCTACGGCCTGTCGGAGACCTCGCCGGTTGCCACCGGCAACCGGCTGGACGCGACCGAGTTCACCGGCACGATCGGCCTGCCGATGCCGTCGACCGACATTTCGATCCGCGACGATGACGGCAAGCCGCTGCCGCTAGGCGAAGTGGGCGAGATCTGCATTCGCGGCCCGCAGGTGATGGCCGGCTACTGGAACCGGCCCGACGAGACCGAAAAGGTGATGACCGGGGACGGCTTCTTCCGCTCGGGCGACATGGGCTTCATGGATGAGGGCGGCTACACAAAGATCGTCGACCGCAAGAAGGACATGATCCTGGTCTCGGGCTTCAACGTCTATCCCAACGAAATCGAGGAAGTTGCGGCCGGCTGCGAGGGCGTGGTCGAAGCGGCGGCCGTCGGCGTGCCGGACGAGCATTCGGGCGAAACGGTCAAGCTGTTCGTCGTACGTGCCCATGACGGCGTCACCGAAAAGGACGTCAAGGATCACTGCGCGCAGCATTTGACCAACTACAAGCGGCCCAAGCACATCGAGTTCCGGGACGAATTGCCGAAGACCAATGTCGGCAAGATCCTGCGCCGCGAACTGCGCTGACGCCCGGCCGCACGCGCTGGCCAAACGCACGGAAATCGCGATAGGTGGCGGGCCGGAGGGCCCGCCATGTCGTTGAACTATCTGCTTCCCATCGCCGTCGTCGTCTTCGGCGGCATGCTCTTGTCCACGCAAGGGCCGATCAATGCGACGCTCGGCCGGCTGGCCGGCGATCCTGTCGCTGCCGCCGCGATCTCGTTCGGTGTCGGCTTCGTCATCCTGACCGCGGTCACAGTCGCACGCGGGGGCGTCCCCGCCGGATCGGCACTCGCTGCCATGCCGTGGTGGGTGTGGACCGGCGGATTGCTCGGCGCCTATTACGTCTTCGCCATCCTGTGGGCCGTGCCCAAGCTTGGTGTCCTGACCGTCGTTAGCGCGACGGTGTTCGGCCAGTTGGTCGCGGCGCTGGCGCTCGATGCGATCGGCGCCTTCGGCGTCCCGGTGCAGCCGATATCGCTGGCACGGATCGGCGGCGTCATGATGGTGTTCGGCGGCGTTTTGCTGTCGCGCTTGTGACGGGATTGTCACGCCAGGGCCGGTGACCTCCGCGCGCCCTTTTGCTAAAGCGCTGTGCAACAAGGGGACACCGCCATGACCAGCAAGACCGACGCCATCAAGGCCCTCAAGGCGCACGCCGCGACCGGCGCGCCGACCGACATGCGCGCCGCGTTCGCCCGCGACGCCAACCGGTTCGAGACCCATTCCGCCCGGCTCGACGACATGCTGCTCGACTGGTCCAAATGCCGGGTCGACGGCGAGACGGTGGCCTTGCTCGAAGCGCTGGCGGACGCCTGCGATCTCGATGGCCGACGCGCGGCGATGTTCGCCGGCGAAGCGATCAACACGACCGAGGGTCGCGCGGTCCTGCACACCGCGCTCCGCAACCGGTCCGGCGATCCGGTCATGGTCGACGGCGCCGACGTGATGCCAGCCGTCAATGCCGTGCTCGCCGCGATGGCCGATTTCTGCCATGGTGTGCGCGACGGCGCGATCCGCGGCGCCACCGGCGAACCGATCGCCGACGTAGTCAATATCGGCATTGGCGGCTCCGATCTGGGACCTGCGATGGCGGTGCGCGCGCTTTCGCCCTTCCATGACGGACCACGCTGTCATTTCGTCTCCAATGTCGACGGCGCCGACATTGGAGACACGCTCGCCGGGCTCGACCCGGCCCGCACCCTTTTCATCATCGCCTCGAAGACCTTCACCACCATCGAGACGATGACCAATGCGGCGACCGCCCGCAAATGGCTGGTCGGCCAGCTTGGCGAAGATGCCGTCGGGGCGCATTTCTGCGCGGTCTCCACGGCGCTCGACAAGGTGGCCGATTTCGGGATCGGCGCCGACCGGACCTTCGGCTTCTGGGACTGGGTCGGCGGGCGCTATTCGCTGTGGGGCGCAATCGGCCTGCCGATCATGATGGCGATCGGACCGACACGGTTCGGCCGTTTTCTGGACGGCGCGCACGCCATGGACACCCATTTCAGGACCGCGCCGATGCGGCAGAACCTGCCCGTCATGGCCGGCCTGATCGGCTACTGGAACAGGGCGATCAGCGGCTACCCGTCCCGCGCGGTGATCCCCTACGACCAGCGGCTGGCGCGTCTTCCGGCCTATCTGCAGCAACTCGACATGGAAAGTAACGGCAAGGGCGTCGCGCTCGACGGCACGCCCATTGCCGGCGTGTCGGGGCCGATCGTGTGGGGCGAGCCGGGCACCAACGGCCAGCACGCCTTCTTCCAGCTGCTGCACCAGGGCACCGACATCATCCCGGTCGAGTTCCTCGTCGCCGCCAACGGGCACGAGGACGATCTGGCCCATCATCACCATTTGCTGCTGGCCAACTGTCTTGCCCAGTCCGAGGCGCTGATGAAGGGCCGCACGCTGAGGGAAGCGACCGACCAATTGCTGGCCAACGGCATGGAAGAAGCGGCGGCCAATGCGCTGGCGCCGCACAAGGTGTTCACCGGCAACCGGCCCTCGACCACGTTGGTCTATGACCGGCTCGACCCCTTTACGCTGGGACGGATCATAGCGCTTTACGAACACCGCGTCTTCGTCGAGGCGCAGCTTTTCGGCATCAACGCGTTCGACCAGTGGGGTGTGGAACTGGGCAAGGAACTGGCGACCGCCCTGCTGCCGGTGGTCGAAACCGGCGACGGAGCCGACCAGCGCGACGCGTCGACCGCCGCGCTGGTGGCCCATGTCCGGGCTTTGCGGGCGGGCGGGCAAGCCGACGCTTGATCGGCGTCCCCTTTGCCCATACCGGTAGGGCAAAGGGGAACGCATATGAACAGCAAGCGCACCACCAGACTGCGCAGCCAGGCCTGGTTCGACAATCCGGACAATCCGGACATGACCGCGCTCTATCTGGAGCGCTATCTGAACTACGGCATCACGCGCGAGGAGCTGCAGTCGGGCAAGCCGATCATCGGCATCGCGCAGACGGGTTCTGACATCGCGCCATGCAACCGGCACCATATCGAACTGGCCAAGCGGGTGCGCGACGGCATCATCGCGGCGGGCGGCGTGCCGCTCGAATTCCCGGTCCATCCGATCCAGGAGACCGGCAAGCGGCCGACCGCGGCACTCGACCGCAATCTGCAATATCTGTCCTGCGTCGAGGTCCTGTACGGCTACCCGATCGACGGCGCGGTTCTGACGATCGGCTGCGACAAGACCACGCCTGCCCTTCTGATGGCCGCCGCGACCGTCAACATCCCCGCCATCGCCCTGTCGGTCGGCCCCATGCTCAATGGCTGGCATCGCGGCGAACGGGCCGGGTCGGGCACCATCATCTGGAAGTACCGCGAAAAGCTCGCTGCCGGCGAGATCGACTATGACCAGTTCATGGACGCGGCGGCGGCCTCAGCACCGTCGGTCGGTTATTGCAACACGATGGGCACGGCGACGACGATGAACTCGCTCGCAGAAGCGCTCGGCATGCAGTTGCCGGGATCGGCGGCGATCCCCGCGCCCTATCGCGAGCGCGGCCAGGTGGCCTACGAGACCGGGCGCATGGCGGTCGAAGCCGTGCTTGAGCGACGCACGCCGGCCATGATCATGACGCGGGAAGCCTTTGAGAACGCCATCGTCGTCAACTCGGCGATTGGCGGGTCGTCCAATGCGCCGATCCATCTGAACGGGTTGGCTCGGCATCTGGGTCTCGAACTGACGCCGGACGACTGGCAGCGGCTCGGCCATGCCGTGCCGCTTCTCGTCAATCTGCAGCCGGCCGGCGAGTATCTGGGCGAGGATTATCACCGCGCCGGCGGCGTGCCGGCGGTGGTGGCCGAACTGATCCGCAACGATCTTCTGCCGCATCCGGGCGCGATCACCGTCAATGGCCGGACGATGGCCGACAATTGCGCCGATGCCGAGAACCGGAACGAAGACGTCATCCGGACGGTCGCGACCGCGCTGAAGAGCGAAGCGGGCTTCATCAACCTGAAAGGCAATCTGTTCCGCTCGGCGATCATGAAAACCTCGGTCATCTCCGAGGACTTCCGCAAACGCTATCTGTCGAACCCTGACGACCCGGACGCGTTCGAAGGCAAGGTGGCCGTTTTCGACGGGCCGGAGGACTATCACGGCCGCATCGACGATCCGGCCGAAGGCATCGACGAGAACACCATACTCGTCATGCGCGGGGCGGGGCCGATCGGCTACCCGGGCGGGGCGGAAGTGGTCAACATGCGGCCGCCGGACGCGCTGATCAAACGCGGCATCACCTCCCTGCCCTGCATCGGCGACGGGCGCCAGTCGGGCACGTCCGGTTCGCCCTCGATCCTCAACGCCTCGCCCGAGGCGGCAGCTGGCGGCACTCTTGCGCTGCTCGAAAATGGCGACCGGCTGCGGGTCGATCTGAAAGCCGGCACGGTGAACGTTCTGCTCGATGATGCTGAACTGGAAGCGCGCCGCGCGGCGCTCGACGCGAAGGGCGGCTATGCCTATCCGGCGTCCCAGACGCCGTGGCAGGCGATCCAGCGCTCAATGGTCTGCCAGTTCGACGAGGGCATGGTGCTGGACCCGGCGGTTGAATTTCAGCGCATCGACGAGACCAAAGGGCTGCCGCGCGACAGCCATTGACGGACTGCTAGCGGACCGGCGCGCCCTCCCACATTCACAGGGACGGCGGCTTTATCCCGGAGATGGGCGTCAGGCCGCTTCCTTGGCCTCGGCCTTGCGCGCCATGGACTGGCCGTCGGAGTCGAACAAATGGAGCTGTTCGGCATCGGCGGTCAGGGAAATGGCGGTTCCGCGCTCGACCTGATGGTAGCCGGGCAGCTTGGCCAGCACGGCTTCCTCGTGACCCTCGACCTGCACATAAAGCAGCGTGACTTCGCCAAGCGCCTCGACAATGTCGATCGTGCCGTTGACGATCGGCGTTTCACCCTTTCCGGCGATGCGCAGATCCTCGGGCCGGACACCGAGCTTGACGGCATCGCCGGCCTTGGCGCCCGCTCCGGCGATCGGCACCGTCGCCTTGCCGCCGCTTTCGACGTCGACGGCGATCTTGCCGCTCGAAGCCGAAGCGACCGAGCCATCGAGAATGTTCATCGCCGGCGAACCGATGAACTGCGCGACGAACAGGTTGGCGGGCTTGTGGTAGAGGTCCATCGGCGCGCCGACCTGTTCGACATAGCCGCCCCGCAGGACGACGATCCGGTCGGCCAGCGTCATCGCCTCGACCTGGTCGTGGGTGACGTAGATCATCGTCGTGTCGGGCATGGTTTCGTTCAGCTTGGCGATCTCGATGCGGGTGGCAACGCGCAGCGCGGCATCGAGGTTCGACAAAGGCTCGTCGAACAGGAACACCTTGGGGTCGCGGCAGATGGCGCGGCCAATGGCGACCCGCTGGCGCTGGCCGCCCGACAGCGCCTTGGGCAGCCGGTCAAGGTAGGGTCCGAGCTGCAGGATGTCGGCGGCGTTCCTGACGCGATCCTCGATCTCCTGCTTGGACTTCTTGGCCAGCCGCATGCCGAACGCCATGTTGTCGTAGACGGTCATGTGCGGGTAAAGCGCATAGGTCTGGAACACCATGGCGATGCCCCGCTCGGACGGCGGGATGTTGTTGACGACGCGCCCGTCGATTTCCATCGTGCCGGCCGTGATCCGCTCGAGCCCGGCGATGGTGCGCAAAAGGGTCGACTTGCCGCAACCCGACGGGCCGACAAAGACGACGAACTCGCCGCTCTCGATTTCCAGATCGATGCCGTGCAGCACCTCGACATCGCCATATGACTTGACGATCTTCGTCAGTTTCAGGTCAGCCATAGTCTCCTCCCGCCGGCAGCCGGTTGCGCCGGTTCCTATGCTTCCATGGTCGCGAAAAACGCGCCAAAGGGCGCCAATTCGAGTGTGTCGCCCTCGCGCGGCACATCGCCGTGCGGGCTGTTCTCGACGGCCTGCCAGCCCTTGTCGTCGAGTTCGACCGAACGCGGCCGGTCGCTCATGTTGATGACGACAAGCATCCTGGTGCCCTGATGCTCGCGTACGAACATCAGCACATTGTCCGGCGCATCGGCAAAGGCGATCGAGCCCTTGGCGAAGACCTGATGGCGTTCGCGGAAGGCGAGCATCCGGCGATAGTGCTGCAGAATGCTGTCGTCGTGCTCCGCCTGCAGGTCGGCCGTGCTGGTCAGGTGTTCGTAGGGCACCGGCAGCCAGGGCTTGCCCTCCGAAAAGCCGGCATTGGGCTCGTTGTGGCTCCACACCATGGGCGTGCGGCAGCCGTCGCGCCCCTTGAAGGTCGGCCAGAACTGGATGCCGTAAGGATCCTGCAAATCCTCGAAATCGAGCACCGCCTCGGTCAGTCCGAGTTCCTCGCCCTGGTAGAGACACACCGATCCGCGCAGCGTCAGGATCAGCGTGGCATTCATCTTCAGAAAGCCGTTGCGGTCGACGACATGGTCGGCCCACCGGCTGCCGTGGCGGACCACATCGTGGTTCGAAAACGCCCAGCAGCACCAGCCTGTCGGCGCCGCATCCTCGAACTCCTGGACGACCTCGCGCACACGTTCGGCTGTCAGCCGGGTCGAGGACAGAAAGTCGAACGAATAGCACATATGCATGCGGTCGCTGCCGGTAGTGTAGTCGGCGACGATCTGCAGGCCGCGCTGCGCATCGCCCACCTCGCCAACTGCGGCAGCGGCGGGATATTCGTCCAGAAGCGCGCGGAAGCGTTCCAGGAAGGCGAGATTCTCCGGCTGGCTCTTGTCGTACAGATGGTCCTGATGATTGTAGGGGTTGACGTCCGGCGCGATAGTGGCGTTGCGCAATTCGGGCGCCAGCGGCGGATTGTTCTCAAGTCCGGTCGAGTGAAAGTAGAAATTCACCGTGTCCAGCCGGAAGCCGTCGACACCGCGATCGAGCCAGAAGCGCACATCGGCCAGCAGGGCTTCCTGCACGTCGGGATTGTGGAAATTGAGGTCCGGCTGGCTCTTGAGAAAGTTGTGTAGATAATACTGCCGCCGGTTGGTGTCCCACTCCCAGGCCGAACCGCCGAAAATCGACAGCCAGTTGTTGGGCGGCGTGCCGTCATCCTTGGGATCGGCCCACACATACCAGTCCGCATAGCGGTTGGTCTTGTCCATGCGGCTGTGGCGGAACCAGTGATGCTGGTCCGAGGTGTGCGACAGAACCTGGTCGATCATCACCTTGAGGCCGAGCCGGTGCGCCTCGGCGATCATCGCGTCGAAGTCGGCGAGCGTGCCGAACATCGGATCGACGGCGCGGTAGTCGCTGACATCGTAGCCGAAATCGTCCATCGGCGACTTGAAGAAGGGCGAGACCCAGATCGCGTCGACACCGAGCGAGGCGACATAGGGCAGCCGGCGCGTGATGCCGCGCAGATCGCCGATGCCGTCATTGTTGGTGTCCTGGAACGACCGCGGATAGATCTGGTAGATCACCGCGCCGCGCCACCAGTCGCGGTCGGTTTCGTGGCTCGTGACAAGTCCGGGGGCCTTTTCGGCCGGCATGTCGTATATGACGTTCACGGATCGATTTTCCTATTTCACCGAGCCGGCCAGAAGGCCGCGCACCAGATAACGTTGCATGGCGAAGAAGACGGCGAGCGGCACCGAAATCGAAACGAACGCGGCCGTTGCGAGGATTTCCCAGTTGCCCCCGCGCGTGCCGAGCAGTTCGACGATCTGCCGGGTCATCACGGTCGTCTCGCCGGTCGCATCGATCAGGAAGACAAGCGCGACGAGCAGGTCGTTCCAGGTCCACAGGAACTGGAAGATGGCGAACGAGGCGAGCGCCGGGAACGAAAGCGGCAGGATGATCCGCACGAAGATCTGGAAGTCGGTCGCGCCGTCCACGCGGGCGTTTTCGATGATGTCGCGCGGCAGGCCGACCATGTAGTTGCGCAACAGGTAGATCGCCAACGGCAGGCCGAAGCCGGTGTGCGCCAGCCAGACACCCAGGTAACCCTTGCCGATGCCCACCGCATTGTGAAGCTGAAGGAGCGGGATCAGCGCCAATTGCAGCGGCACGACGAGTAGCCCGACGACCGCGGCGATCAACAGCGCTCTTCCGGGAAACTCCATCCATGCCAGCGCATAGGCGGCGAAGGCGGCGATCAGGATCGGGATGATCGTCGCCGGTATCACCACGGTCAACGTGTTGAAGAATGCCTTTGCCATATTGTCCTGGCCGGTGCCGGAGAACAGTACGGTCTGATAGTTCTCGGTCGTGAAATCGGGCGGCAGAAGCGCAGTGACGAAGACGCGCTGGCCGCGACGGCCCGGCTCCTCGACGCTGGTGTAGAGATAGGTGCCGTCGGCGTTCAGGATCAGCGTCTCGCCGTCACCGAACTCCGCCGTCTCGCCGATCTCATAGGCACTGACCGCGCGCGAGGAAACGCCATAGCTGACCAATTCAACGGCGCCGGGCGCGTCTTCGGCATCGGTCAGAATGTTGCCCTCGACGACGAACACACCATCTTCCTGCCGCGCGGCATCGCGGCCGCCGGTGCGCACCTGGATGACCTGCTCGGAGGTCGACAGCGAGGCCCACCAGCCCGATGCCGAAATCTGGTCGGCGGTGCGGAACGAGGAGATCAGCAGGCCGACGGTCGGGAACAGCCAGAGCAGCACGAGCGCTGCCACCGACAGGTGAACGGCCCAGCTCAGAGCGGATTTGGTGCCGACGGTGTCACTCATCAGCGCATCTCCTTGCGGGCGTTGTAGACGTTCCAGACCAGGATTGGCGTCACCAGCAGCATGATCACCATCGCACTGGCCGAACCGACGCCCCAGTCATTGGCGCGGAACAGCTTGTCGTACATGTAGTTGGCGAGAACCTGTGTCTCCCACTGGCCGTTGGTCATGGCGAACACGATGTCGAAGACCTTGAGCACGGTGATGGTGATCGTCGTCCAGACGACGACGATGGTGCCCATGATCTGCGGGATCTTGATCTTGAAGAAGATCTGGAACGGATTGGCGCCGTCGATGATCGCCGCTTCGATGGTCTCCTCGGGAATGCCGCGCAGCGCCGCCGACAGGATGACCATGGCAAAGCCGGTCTGGATCCAGATCAGCACGACCATGAGGAAGAAATTGTTCCAGAAGGGCAGCGTCAGCCATTGCTGCGGCTCGCCATAGGGCGGCTGGGCCGTCCAGACGCCGACCAGGGAGGACAATGACATCCAGACCAGCCAGACGCCGAGCAGCGCACCGATCAGCCGCAACGGGATGAACGGCACCGCCCTTCTGCCTTCGCGGTCGATGATCGGATTGACCAGCAGAAAGGTCGTGTAGCCGACAATGCCGGCGAACCCGAGCAGCACGATGGTCGGCAGCAACTGAAGCACGAACAGCGAGCCGAAGCCGCCGTCGAACTGCATCCAGATGGCGTTCAAAATGCCGATCTGGGCGGTTTCGGCCGGACGGGCGTCATAGATGAGCTTGAAGATGACCGAGGCGCCGACAAAGGAGATCGCCATCGGCATGAAGATCAGCGACTTGGCGATGTTGCCCCAGGAGATGCGGTCGGTGAGCTGGGCGACCAGAAGGCCGAAACCGGTGGATGCGGCGGGTACGACGATCAGCCAGAGCATGTTGTTGCGGATCGCTTCCCAGAATTTGGGCTCCGCCATCATCTGGTTGTAGTTGGCAAGCCCGACGAAGGCGCCGCCCTGGGTCCTGTCGGTCAGCGACAGACGCAGCGTTTCGAAGACGGGATAGCCGAGATAAAGCCCGAGCGCGAAGATGGCGGGAAACAGGAACAGCCAGGGGCGCACCTGGTTGGCGCGGTTGATGTTGTCGCCGGCTTTCGGTCCCTTGGCGGGAAAGATCACCTTGTCGAGGATCTGGTTGGAAAAGTAGAAATATCCGACGCAGCCGCCGACGCCCACCAATATCGTGATGAGACCCTGCAATGCTGGGTTCATGGTGCCCTCCCGGCGCTGGACGACCGGCGCGATGTCCGGCGTGCGCTCGTTGTCTTTGGCGGCGGGAGGCGGCGAACCGCCCCCCGCCCAGCTTAGGTGGATGCGGCGCTTATTTCAGCGCCTCCCAACTGGCCTGGATCTCGTCGGCCACGGCCTGGGCATCCTTGCCGCCCGTATAGTCGACCATGCCGGTCCAGAAGGAACCGGCACCCACGCCGCCGGGCATCAGGTCGGACCCGTCGAAGCGGAAAGTGGTGGCGTTGACGAGAATCTCGCCCTGCCCCTTCAGCGCGTCGTTCATGTAGGTGTCGGCATTGACACCCTTGTGCGGCGTCAGGAAACCGGTCTGCGCCATCATGATCTCATGGGCGATCGGCAGCTTGAAGAACTCCATGAGGTGGTTGGTCGCCTCGGAGGGATCGGTGATCGACATCAGCGTGCCGCCGCCCAGAACCGGGTTGCCCAGATCCTTTTCGGCAAAGGCGGGGAAGTAGAAGAAGTCGACATCTTCACCGAACTCGATGCCCTCGGGGAAGAAGGCCGGCACGAACGATGCCTGGCGGTGCATGTAGCACTGCGGCGGCGATGCAAACAGACCCTTCGGCGAATCGCGGAAGTCGGTCGAGGCCACCTGGCCTGCACCGCCGGAGACGAAGTCGTCATTGCGGGCAAACCAGCCGAATTCCTCGATGGCGGCCACCACGCGCTCGTCGTTGAAGGGAATTTCGTTCGTCGTCCATCCGTCATAGACTTCCGGCGGCTGGGTGCGCAGCATGATGTCCTCGACCCAGTCGGTTGCAGGCCAGCCAGTGGCGGCACCCGAACCCAGACCGATGCACCAGGGCGTTTCGCCGTCGGCGGCGATCTGCTCGGTCAGCGCCTTGAGCTCTTCCATCGATTCAGGGACTTCATAGCCGGCATCCTCGAAGTTCTCCGGCACGTACCAAACCAGGCTCTTGACGTTGACATTGTAGAAGAAGCCGAAGAGCTGGTCGTTGCCGTCCTGGTCGGGATAGGTGCCCAGATCGACCCAGCTTTCGCCGGCACCGTAGTTCTCGGCAACCCACTCTCCCATGCCTTCGGGCAGCGGAGACAGAAGGCCGCGCGAGGCCATGTCGGCGGCAAGGCCCGGCTGCGGGAAGACCGCAACGTTCGGCGCAGAGCCGGCCTCGGCATCGATGACGATCTGCTGTTCGAACGAATCCGAGCCCGTGTAGATCGCCTCGGCGCCGGTGGCGGCGGCAAAATAGGCGATCGCCGAACGGAACACCTCGTCCTCCGGCTGCAGCCAGGGGCCGGCGATCGTCACGGTCTGGCCGCTCAGATCAGGCGCCGATTCAGCCCATTCATTGTAGCTTTCCCAGCTGAAATCGCCTTCCCCAACGGGGAAAACGAGGTCCTGAGCCTGGACGCTGCCGGCGGCCAGCACGGCAAGACCGGCCACGCCGGCCAGAAGAGTTCTTTTCATCGGTGATCCTCCCAGATCGATGTCGCGCATTGGTACGATACGAACAACCACGCGCAGTCAAAGCGCTTTGGCTTGCCCGACTTTGGTCGTGGAAGCGCAGCGAGTCAAGCGCTTTGTCCCGCCTGCAAGTTCCCTTGCGGCAAACGTGACGGGTCGGCCGGCCGCGAAGTAACCGCGGCGTACCGGCAATTGCCGCAACAGGCTTGCCTAACGCGCCAATGTGCGTCTTGATATCGACCTCAAAGCCCTTTGAGCCGATGATCGGGAGGAGATGTTGGCCAATTTGAAGGAGCTTTCCGAGAAACTCGGGCTCTCACAGACGACCGTCAGCAGGGCGCTGAACGGATATCCGGAGGTCAGCGAGACAACGCGGCAGCGGGTCATCGATGCGGCGCGCGAGCACAATTACGCGCCCGATTCAAGCGCACGCCGGCTGGCAACCGGCAAGACCCGGACGATCGGCCATGTGGTGCCGATCTCCAAGCACGACATGATCAATCCGCACTTCACCGATTTCATCGCCGGCGCGGGCGCGGTCTACAACCGGCGCGGCTACGACATGCTGATTTCGGTGGTCGATGCGGACAAGGAGACCGAGACGTACCGCGCGATGAAGCGCAATCGCCGGGTCGATGGCGTGATCGTGCACGGGCCGGTGGCCAGCGATGCCCGCCCGGGGCTCCTGCACAGCCTGGGCCTGCCGTTCGTCGTGCATGGCCGCACCCTGCAGGACGACGACAGCTATAGCTGGGTCGACGTCAACAACCGCCGGGCCTTTGCCGAGGCGACACGATATCTCATCGGCCTGGGACACCGGCGGATCGCGCTGGTCAATGGCTGGGAGCACATGGTGTTCGCCCGGCGCCGGCGCGAGGGCTATGAGGAAGCGCTGCGCGAGGCGGGCATCGCCGTCGATCCGCTGCTGATGTCGAGCAACGAGATGATCGAACCTGTCGGCCATGAGGCGATGACCGCGTTTCTTGCCAGCGACGATCCGCCGACAGCGGTTCTGGTCGCCAGCGCCCTGTCGGCGCTTGGCGTGATGGGCGCGGTGCGCGAACACGGCCTGGTGCCCGGAACGGATATCTCCATCATCAGCTATGACGACAAGCTGTCGTTCCTCGACATCGGACCGGACGGGATGGGTCTGACCGTGATCCGCTCGGGCATCGGCGAAGCGGGCCGCCACTGCGCCGACATGCTGATCGACATGATCGAGGGGCGGCGCGGCATCGTTCACATGCTGCTGGAGGCAAGTCTGGTGCCGGGCACGAGCACCGGGCCGCCCGCCGGTGTCGCGGTCTCGGGAAAATCCGCGGCGGGCCGTTGACAGGCGGCGCGCTTCCGGCTTTACCCCGTCTTCATCGCGGCCAGGGCACGAACGGGCCGACACGTTGGGGCGTAGCCAAGCGGTAAGGCAGCGGTTTTTGGTACCGCCATGCGCAGGTTCGAATCCTGCCGCCCCAGCCACCTACCGCCACTGATCGGGTTTGCCGCCAACTGGGGCCATGTGGGCGTTCAAGCCCGTGATCGGACAAGACCGGCGGCCGGTCGAGCGGGCCTGGAGGCGGAACGGCTTTCGCCAAATCCGCCCCTTGGGACGCGCAAAAGGCGTCAGTCGTCGATCTTCCATTCCAGGACCTTGCCGGTTACCGGATGGATGTCGATGTCGATGTCGCGCCCGTCGGCATCATACAGATCGACATCGTAATAGCCGTCGTCGTCGAACTCGATCTCGTCGACCCGGTAGCCTTCCGCCTCGAGCTTGGTGATGACTTCTGACATGCTCATCCTTTCGCCGGTTGCCGGGATGCCCTGGAGAGCCTCGCCGCCGGACGCCTGTGCGGTCACGGCGAAGCTGCCAAGGGCGAGGATTGCGGCGGTTGCAAAGAGGGTTGTGTGTTTCATGATCGATATCCCTTTCCGAGGTGCGGCGGTTGCCGCGTTGACGGTCCGCTTTTGCACCATCGGCCCTGATGGCGGCCTGACGGGCCTTGTCAGCGAATTGTCAGCACGGCCGGTCTAGAGTTCCCCATGCGCAAGATTTTGCTGCCGCTCCTCGTCGCGATGGCCGTCCTTCCCGGGACGGTCGATGCCGACGATCAGGATCGCGCGCTTCAGGCCGTCGAGCTCGGCGAAATCCTGCCGCTCGCCAAAATCCTCGCCATCGTCGACGAACGGTTCGGCGGCCGCGTGATCGAGATCGAACTGGACCGGGACGATGGCGTCTATGTCTACGAGATCGAACTGGTCAGCGCGCAGGGCCGGCTCTACGAGGTCTATGTGAATGCCGCGAACGGGCGCATCATCGAACTGGAAGCCGAAGACGAGTTCTACGACGACGATTATGATGATCATGACGATTACGATGACTGGGACTGATGCGGGCACTCGTCGTCGAGGATGATCAGCGGATCGCTGCGGATCTCGACGCGGCGCTTGGCGCGGCGGGGTTCGTCGTCGAAACCTGCGCGGACGGCGAGGACGCCTGGTTTCTTGGCGACACGGAAGACTATGCGCTGATCGTGCTCGATCTGGGCCTTCCGGCGATGGACGGTCTGAGCGTGCTCAAACGATGGCGGGCGAACGGCCGCAACATGCCGGTGCTCGTGCTGACGGCGCGAGGCGCGTGGATGGAGCGCGTCGAGGGCATCGAGGCCGGCGCCGACGATTATCTCCCCAAACCGTTTCGCATGGAGGAACTCGTCGCAAGGGCGCGGGCGCTGGTGCGGCGCTCGGCGGGGCAGGGCGCGGCGGTACACCGCATCGGGGCGCTGACGCTCGATACCAACCGGATGAGCGTTGCCCTTCGCGGCGTTCCGGTCCGGGTGACCGCGCTTGAATACAGGCTTCTGGCCTATCTGGCGCTGAGCAACGGCCGCGTGGTGCCGCCCGGCGAACTGCTCGAACACCTTTACGGCGATGACGACGCGCGCGAGGCCAACGCGCTCGAAGCCGTCGTCGCGCGGCTGCGCCGCAAGCTGGGCGCCGGTGTCATCGGCACGCGGCGCGGCTTCGGCTATTTCCTCGAAGGGTCGGTGGCTTGACGCGGCTGTCGCTGCGCTGGCGCCTGGTGGTTGCGGGCGCAGCCGCCATTATCGTCGCGCTCGGCCTTGCCGCGGCCGGACTGGCCGCGCTGTTCGCCGGCCATGTCGAACGCCGTGCGATCGCCGAGCTGGAAGTGCATCTGGACCAGGTGCTGGCCGGGCTGACGCGCGACCAATCCGGTCGTCTTCTGGTCGCGCCGCCCGCCGATCCGCGCTTTCGGCGCCCGTATGGCGGGCTCTACTGGCAGATCGATCTGGCCGGCGACACGCTGCGCTCGCGGTCGCTTTGGGACCACCGTCTCGCCCTGCCGCCGGACGAGGTCGCCGACGGAGCCGTCCATGTCCACAGGATCGGCGGGCCCGGTGACGCGCCGCTACTGGCGCTGGAACGCATGGTCTCGCTGCCCGCGCCGCTCGGCGGCGGGCGCGTCCGCGCGGCGGTGGCTCTGGATGCGGTCGAACTCGATGCCGCGCGCAACGCCTTCCTCGCCGATCTGGCGCCTTATCTCGGCCTTCTGGCCGCCGCGCTGATCGCGGCGGGCTGGGTCCAGGTCGGTATCGGCCTCAGGCCGATGCGGCGCATCGGCTCACGCGTCGCCGCCATCCGGACGGGCCGCGCGCACAGGATCGGAGAGGACTGGCCCGCCGAGGTGCGGCCGCTCGCCACCGAACTCGACGGTCTTCTTGCGGCGCGCGAGGCCGACATCGTGCGCGCCCGCGCCCGCGCCGGCGATCTGGCGCATGGTCTGAAGACGCCGCTGCAGGCGCTGATGGGCGAGGCCGGGCGCCTTTCGCAAGCAGGCGATGCGGCGCACGCCGAGAGCATCGAGGCGATCGCGCGCGCCATGCAGCGTCATGTCGACCGCGAACTGGCGCGCACGCGCGTCGCCGCCGGAGCAGCCGCCTCCCGGTGCGATCCGGCCGAGGTCTGCGGGCGGGTCATCGAGGTGGCCCGGCGAACGGCTGCCGGCGAGCGGCTGGCATGGCATCTCGACGACGTTGGCCGAATCCCGATGGTGGCGATCGATGCAGCCGACCTCGCCGAGGCGCTCGGCGCGCTGGTCGAGAACGCGGCGCGCCACGCGAGCAGCCGGGTCGAACTGGCGGTGCGCCACGCTGACGGAGAGGTGAACGTTGCGGTGCGCGACGACGGGCCGGGGATCGAGCCCGATCTGCTCGAAAAGGTCACCGCGCGCGGCATGCGACTGGACGAGGCCGGCACGGGGCTGGGGCTGGCGATTGCGGCCGACATTGCCGAGGCGGCCGGCGGCAGGCTGGCGCTCGCCAACCGGCAGAAGGGGCTTGAGGCGAGTCTCGTCCTGCCAGCAGCGGGATCCTGAGTTCCTCTGACGGGTTTCGTCAGCGGACTGTCAGCAAGGGGCCGTTAGAAGGATCGCACACCGGCGCCGATCGGCGGTGCCGGAACTCTCATGGAGACAAGGATGGAACAGATCGACGTGACCCCGAACGGCAACGAACCGCGCCGCCCGATGGACTGGCTCAAGGAAGAGCTCACCGTGTCGCTTCCGCGCTACTGGCTGGTGCTGGCCGCAGTCGCCGCGCTGGTGCTCGTCGCCGTGGCGCTCGACTGAAAGGCCGCGCGCCGGCGGCAAGCGGTCGGGGCGCCGCTCACGCCAGCGCGTAGAAATCGGCGATCACTGCCCAGGCTTCGTCGGCGGTGTCGACAAACGAGATCAGTTCGACATCGCCCGGCGAAATCGTGCCCTGTTCGGCGAGAAAGTCGAGATCGATCGCGCCGCGCCAGAACGCTTTGCCGAACAAGAGGAACGGCACGCGCTCCATCCGGCCGGTCTGGATCAGCGTCAGCGCCTCGAACAGTTCGTCCATCGTTCCGAACCCGCCCGGAAACACCGAGATCGCCTTCGCCCGCAACAGGAAGTGCATCTTGCGGATCGCGAAATAGTGGAAGTTGAAGCACAGTTCGGGCGTGACATACTCATTGGGTGCCTGCTCGTGCGGCAGGACGATGTTGAGCCCGATCGAGGGCGCGCCGACATCGGTCGCGCCGCGATTGCCCGCTTCCATGACGCCGGGTCCGCCGCCGGTGACGACCACGAACTCCTTGTAGAGGCTGGCGGCCGAATGGCGAGAACACTGGCGGGCGAATTCGCGCGCCTGTTCGTAATAGACCGCGTTGGCCTCGAGGTTCTTCTTCTGCGTTTCGTTCTTGGCCGCCCATGCTTCGCCGCCCGGCTCGGGAATGCGCGCGCCGCCGAACATCACCACCGTCGAGCGGATGCCGCGCTCTTGGAGCAGCATGTCAGGCTTGAGCAGTTCGAGCTGGAGCCGCACCGGGCGCAGTTCCTCGCGGCACAGGAACTCCGGATCGTCGAAGGCGAGCCTGTAGGCCGGCGCGCGCGTCTGCGGCGTATCGGGCACCTGCTTCGCCCGCTCCATGTCCTTTTCGGACGGAACCAGCGGATCCCAGACATCGTCGCGGCGGCGTGCGCTCATCGCGTTTTCCCTTCCCCTGCGTCCGGACCGGCATTCAGACCGGCGCGATTGACCTTCATGCCCGGTCTCGCATAGGTCTTGCTCCGATAAACGCGATCGCCGGGCGGTGCCTGATAGCACCGTGCCGGCTGCCCCACAATCAAAGGATGCACCATGTCCGGCCACGACCTCGCCGCCCTCGAACAGACGATCGAAACCGCCTTTGACGCGCGCGAAGGGGTGAGCACCGAGACACGCGGCGAGGTCCGCGAGGCGGTCGATGAGGCGCTGAACCTTCTCGATGCCGGCAAGGTGCGCGTCGCCTCGCGCGAGGCGGACGGCACATGGACCGTCCATCAGTGGCTGAAGAAGGCCGTTCTGCTGTCGTTCCGGCTCAACCCGATGGAGATCATCAAGGGCGGACCTGGCGATGCCACCTGGTGGGACAAGGTGCCATCCAAATTCGACGGCTGGTCGGCCTCCGAATTCGAGCGCGCGGGCTTCCGCGCCGTGCCCAACTGCACCGTGCGCCGGTCGGCCCATGTCGCCAAAGGCGCGGTGCTGATGCCGTGTTTCGTCAATCTGGGCGCCTATGTCGACGAGGGCACCATGGTCGACACATGGGCGACGGTCGGCTCGTGCGCACAGATCGGCAAGAACGTGCATCTGTCCGGCGGCGTCGGCATTGGCGGCGTGCTGGAGCCGATGCAGGCCGGCCCGACCATCATCGAGGACAATTGCTTCATCGGCGCCCGCTCGGAAGTGGTCGAGGGCTGCATCGTGCGCGAAGGCTCGGTGCTCGGCATGGGCGTCTTCATCGGCAAGTCCACCAAGATCGTCAACCGCGCGACCGGCGAGATTTCCTATGGCGAAGTGCCGCCCTACTCCGTGGTCGTCGCCGGTTCGATGCCGGGCAGACCGTTCCCGAACGGCGAGCCGGGCCCGAATCTTTACTGCGCGGTGATCGTCAAGACGGTCGACGAGAAGACCCGGTCCAAGACCGGCATCAACGAGCTTTTGAGAGACTGACGATCATGAGCGGCGCGCCCGACCATCCGCTGACGGTGAAATGGGTCCTGTTCGGCTTCAGGGGCCGGATCGGACGCAAGAGCTTCTGGCTCGGCGCGCTCGGCATGATCCTGATCCAGGCGGCGATCGTCGCCCAGATCGCAGCGGCGCCCGAAGACAGCCCGAGCCTGGCACTCTGGGGCCTTGTGATGCTGGCGGTTTGGATCGCGTCGGCCTGGGCGGCGCTGGCGCTCGCGGTCAAACGGCTGCATGATATCGGACTGCCGGGCGCGCTGGCGGTGTTGCTGCTGATCCCGGCGGTGGCGTTCTTCACCTTCGTCGTTCTGGCCGTCTGGCCATCGGCACAAGAGGCCAACGAGCACGGCCCGCCGCCCTTTCCCCGGCCGAACTGAAGAGAATCGATCAGCGCAGCGTAACGCGGGCCGGATCGCCGGTGCGGCCGGTGACGCGCACCCATTGCGACGCGTCGGTCGCCGATTGCAGCTTGGCGAAGCGCATGCGCGAACGGTTCACCGGCAGAACCTCGTCGGTGTTGTTGTCGAGCACGAAGTCGCCCTGCGTGGTGCGCACGACCAGCACGGCATGGACCTCGCCGCGGCTGCGGCCGACCGCGATGCGCAGATGGCCGGGCTTGAAACCACGGCGCAGCAGCTGGTTGCGCTTGGCCAGAACATAATCCTCGCAGTCGCCGGCGCGCGTGCTGGCAAGCCAAATCTCGCGTATGCCGTGCGCCTTCTGGTCGGACATGGGCTCGATGGACCGGTTCACGGCAAGATTGACCTGGCTCAGCGTCGACAGCCGTGCATCGGCGAGCCCGCTGACGCCGCCGTGGCGTCCGCAATCGTTGCGGTTGCGCTTGCAATATTCCATGTGTCCGAAGGGAATGGAGGCACTGCGGCCGGTGGTCAGCCACGAGGAAGCGAGAGCGGTGGAGGCGATAAGGGGCGATAAGAACAAAGCGATCGACAATCCGGCCTTGATCAACATCGTCCTACCCCCTGCAGGTTGACCCCGTTAAGGGCTTTTCCAGCAAAACATCGCACCTGCATTAGGTAAAGTGTCCGGCCCGGTGGGTGCCAATCACATTCGGGTTACTGCGGGACCGCGCGCCGGGGTGGAGCGTGCGGTCCCGTCTTGGAAGGCCCATCAGGCGAGCCGTCAGTTGTAGACGGGCGAGCCGTCGCCGAGGCGCAGGCCCAGTTCTTCCGAAGCGCCGCCGATCGAAGCGGTGGCGCGGAAGTCGATGCCGCGGGCTTCGCTGGTGAAGACCGGCGAACCGTCGCCCAGACGCGGGCCCAGCTCTTCGCTCATGCCGTTGCCGATGCCGGCGGTGGCCGAGAAGTCGATGCCCGGCTGGCTGACTTCGGGGGTGAACACGTCCAGCGCTGACGACTGGGCGAAGGCGCCCGTGGTGGCGGTGACGGCGATGGCTGCGGCGAGAAGGATCGTTTTCATGTCATTTCTCCTGTGAGTTCGGTCGGTTGGTGTTGGGAAATCAGTTGTAGACGGGCGAGCCGTCGCCGAGCCGCGGGCCCAGTTCTTCCGGAGCGCCGCCGATCGAAGCGGTGGCGCGGAAGTCGATGCCGCGGACGTCGTTCGTGTAGACCGGCGAACCGTCGCCCAGACGCGGGCCGAGCTCTTCAGTTGCGCCGTCGCCGATCGAGGCGGTGGCGGAGAAGTCGACGCCGGACTGGCTGACTTCGGGGGTGAACACATCCAGAGCGGACGACTGGGCGAAGGCGCCGGTGGTGGCGGTGACGGCGATGGCTGCGGCGAGAAGGATCGTTTTCATGTCAGGTCTCCATTTGGTCCGTTGTTGATGCGGCCCCTTCCGGGTACCGGGCTTCGGCGGAGCGTTCTGCGTTGCCGCCTTGGCTGACCGGAAGATGGGGGACGGGGTGCGGTAACTGCCAATTACAAAAACGTAAGCAGACTCACGCAGCTGTGATCTTGAAGGGTGTGAAACAGCACCCTAGAGCCATATTTTTTTCAACATTTTCATATGCTTACAGAAACAGAACGATTCACGTGTTCCGTGATCGAAGCGCCATTGTTCACGCAGTTGAACCGCTGCGTTCAGGGACGTGTGAACGATGGACCGGTTTTCGTGACCGGCTGAGGGTCAGATTTCGATCCCGACGGCGTTGCGACGGTAACCCCGCCGCGCCGATCTCACGCGTTTCGTGAGGTTTGTGATCGCAGTTTGCGACCATGCCGCCCGGTGCGACGGACGATTCCCCGCCGCGCAATCCCTCAAATCAGCGGGCGTGACAGGGTCTGCGTCATTGGCTAAGTGCGCTGCATGACCCGATTGCCCACAGACCCGGCGGCGAATCTGGCCGCGCTGATCCAATGCCCGTCCGTGACCCCGGACGATGCCGGCGCGCTCGACGCACTGAGCGCGATGCTGGCGCCGCTCGACTTCGTCTGCGACCGGCCGGTGTTTTCCGAGCCGGGCACGCCGGACATCGACAATCTCTATGCGCGGCGCTCGGGCAACGGCCCGCATCTGATGTTTGCCGGTCACACCGACGTGGTTCCGCCGGGCGATCCGGACGCCTGGACCCACGATCCGTTTGGCGCATCTGTATCGGGGGGCGCCATGTATGGGCGCGGCGCCGTCGACATGAAGGGCGGCATCGCCTGTTTCGTCGCCGCCCTTGCCCGGGTTGTCGAAAGCGGGCGGCCGGTGCCGGGTTCGGTGTCGCTTCTGATCACCGGCGACGAGGAAGGGCCGGCCATCAACGGCTCGGTCAAGCTGCTCAAATGGGCGGCCGAGAAGGGCGAAAGCTGGGACGCGTGCCTTCTGGGCGAGCCGACCAATCCCGATGCGATGGGCGACATGATCAAGATCGGCCGGCGCGGATCGCTGTCCGGCACGATCATTGTCGAGGGGACGCAAGGGCATGTCGCCTATCCGCATCTGGCCGACAATCCGGTGCGCTCCATCGTCGCCTTGTGCGCGGCGCTGAACGCGACGCCGCTCGATGCGGGCACCGACGATTTCCAGCCATCCAATCTCGAAGTGACGACGATCGATACGGCCAATCCGGCGGTCAATGTGATTCCGGCGCGCGCGTCGGCCAGCTTCAATGTTCGGTTCAACGACAGTTGGACGGAAGAGACACTGAAGGCGGAAATCATGGCGCGGCTCGCGCGCGGCGCCGCGTCCGGCCGCGACGATCGCCCGCCGGCGCGTTTTGGCGTCGATTGGAAAGAACCGGTGAGCCAGGTTTTCCTGACCCGCAACGAAGCCCTGACCGGGGCGCTGGCCGCCAGCGTGACCGCGGTGACCGGGCGCGATCCCGTTCTTTCGACCTCCGGCGGCACGTCCGATGCGCGGTTCATCAAGGATTACTGCCCGGTGGTCGAATTCGGCCTCGTAGGCAAGACCATGCACATGGTCGACGAGCATGTCGCGCTTGCGGATCTGGAAACACTGACGGCGATCTATGCCGACTTCATCATCCGCTGGTTTGCGGGAAAAGCGGGCCGATGATCAATCTCGACTACGCCTTCCACCATGTCGAATGCGTGGCTGCGGCGATCACGGGGCGGCCCGGCGCCATCGAGCGGATGGACATTTCGGCGGACGGGTTCTGGCGCTCGTTCACCGCGATCGCCGTCGCGCTGCCGGCCATGTTCTTCGTCTGGGTGATGAATGCGCGGGCCAACCAGGCCGAAATGCCGTCAATGGGCGTTGCGCCGCTCGTTGCCGGCGAAGCGGTGTTCGAACTCGTCGTGTGGCTGCTGCCGATCCCGGTCTTCGCGCTCGTCCTGCGCCCGCTCGGGCTCGGCCACCGTTTCGTGCATCTGGTGATCGCGCGGAACTGGGCCAATGCGCTGTTCAGCTATGTGATCGCCGCGCTCTATGTGCCCTATCTGGTCGTTGCCGACGACAATGGGGCGATGATGATGCTCGGCGGCGTGCTGATGGTGCTGATCCTTGTCGCCGCCGTCCGGCTGACACGCGCCGCGCTCGACAGCTCCGTGTCGCTGGCCATGGCCTTCATCGCCGGCGAGTTCATCGTCAGCATCGCGCTGGCGATCGCCTATCTGGGCATGCTCGGGCTTTGACCGGCGAGCCTACCTGATCGCGCCGATCAGCGCCTTTGACGGAAAGCATGTGGGCTGCCGGCCGTTCTTTTGCTGCCAGTCGCCGATGGAGCGGCGGGTCTTGAAGCCGGGCAGCCCGTCGGCGCCGCCGACATCATAGCCCTTGCCTTCGAGCACGCGCTGCATGGCGGCGATCTCCGAGCGGTAGAGCGTGTCGACCCGGCCCCAGGCGGCCTTGAACCGGCCCGAGCCCCATTCGATTCGGTCGCCCGCATGGCCGACGAACAGGGCGTAGAGATCGCTCTCATTATACTGTTTGAGCACGTAGAAGTTCGGCGTGACGATGAAGGCCGGGCCGCTGCGGCCGGCGGGCATCATCAGATAGGCCTCCAGATCCATCTCGTGGGCCGGAAAGGGGCGGCCGGAAATGCGGGTGATGCCCATCGCCGCCCAGTCGCGGATCTTCAGGCCCTGATCCGGCCCCTCGAAGCTGCATGAGATGTCGGCGGGCACACTGACTTCGAACCCCCAGTCGCGTCCCGAAACCCAGCCGAAATGATCGAGATAGGCGGCGATCGAGCCCAGCGTGTCGGGCACGGACGTCCAGATGTTGGGCTTGCCGTCGCCATCGATGTCGACGGCGTGCTCAAGGAATGATGTCGGCAGGAATTGCGGCTGGCCGAGCGCGCCCGCCCAGGACGATTTCATCTGCGCGGGGGTGGCGTTGCCGCGCTCGACCATCTGAAGGGCGGCGACCAGTTCGGTACGGAAGAGTTCGGGGCGGGTCGACATGAAGGCCTTGGTGCCAAGCACCTGGAAGGCATCGTGCGGAATATCGACGCGGCCGAAGGCGCTCTCGCGGCCCCAGATGGCCAGAATGATGCGACCGGGCACGCCGTAGCGCCGCTCGAGCGCCGCCAGGGTCGACGCGTGCTGGCTGGCCAGACGGCGGCCCTGGCTGACGATGGCGCCCAGATTGTTCTCGTTGAAATAGCGGGCGGGCGCGGAAAACTCCGCCTGGCGAATGCGTTGCGGCGTCGTCTGGCCGGGTCGGACGAGGCCGGGAATGTCGGTGTTCAGGCGTTTGGTACCCATTGCGCCGTCGAACGTCGCGCGCGAGACGCCGGCGGACCTTGCCTTGGGCCACATCGTGTCTTCCAGAAAGCGCTCATACTGGCCCTGGAGATCGGCGCGGGCTGCGCCCGTCAAGGCGAGTACGCAAACAAGGACAAGGGCTGCAAGGCGGACCATCTGTCGTTCCCCGATCAAAGCGGTGGCGTCACGCTAGCAGGTGATTCTGGTGTGAAACAGGGCGCTGGTTCAGAAGTTGGTGCGCGCGCGCAGGGCAGCCGACAGCGTGCCCTCGTCGAGATAGTCGAGTTCGCCGCCCACCGGAACGCCGTGGGCGAGCCGCGTGATCTTCACGTCCGTGTCCTCGAGCTGTGCGGTGATGTAGTGGGCGGTCGCCTGCCCCTCGACGGTCGCGTTGACCGCAAGGATCAGTTCGTGCACGGCACCCCCCGCAACCCGATCGATCAGGCCTGAAATGTTCAGATCGTCAGGGCCCACGCCGTCTAGCGGCGACAGCGTGCCGCCAAGCACATGATAGCGGACGTTCATTTCAGCGGCGCGTTCGAGCGCCCACAGATCGGCGACATCCTCGACAACGATGATCGTTGCGTCCTCGCGGCGCGGATCGGTGCACACCGAACAGGGATCGGCGGTGTCGACATTGCCGCAGGTCGAACAGATGGTCACCTTGGCCGCCGCCTCGGCCATCGCACCGGCGAGCGGCTCCAGCAGTTGCTCGCGCTTCTTGATCATGTGCAGTGCCGCGCGCCGCGCCGAGCGCGGGCCCAGACCCGGCACCTTGGCCAGAAGCTGGATCAGCCGTTCGATCTCGGGGCCTGCGATTCGTTTCGATGACATGGCATTGATTTAGGCCGTCCGGCCCGGCGTGCAAAGCCGGAACGCCAGCGCGTCAAGAAACGGGTGGCGGGCGACGCGGCTCGGCATTAGTGGAGATCGAATCCGCCTGTCGCCAAGAATGCCCCGCATGTCGCAGCCCGCCGCCGTCAACGTCGCCATGTCGCCCGCGCAGTGGGCGATGCTGATCACGCTTTCGATCGTGTTCGGCGGATCGTTCTTCTTCAACGGCGTGATCGTGCGCGACCTGCCGCCGTTGACGATCGTGTTCTTCCGGGTCGCCCTCGCCGCCGTCGCGCTGCACCTCTATCTGCGGGCGACCGGCCGTGCGTTGCCGTGGAGCGGCGCCGTCTGGCGCATGTTCTTTGCGATGGGCGCGCTGAACAATGTCATCCCGTTCACGCTGATCGTCTACGGCCAGACGCAGATCGCGTCGGGCGTCGCCTCCATCCTCAACGCGATGACGCCGCTCTTCACCGTCGTCGTCGCGCATTGCTGGACCGACGACGAGAAACTGTCGGGGCCGCGCATCGCCGGCGTCTTTGCGGGCCTTGGCGGGGTGGCGGTGATGATGGGCGGCGCCACGGTCGGCGGCGGCTGGGGCACGGTGGCGGCCTATCTGGCCTGTCTGGGCGCGGCGCTGGCGTACGGGTTTGCCGCCGTCTATGGCCGCCGCTTCCGCAAGGCGGCGATCGATCCGCTGGCGGTCGCGACAGGACAGGTGACCGCATCGAGCGTCCTGATGCTGCCGCTTATGCTCGCGGTCGACCGGCCATGGACGCTCGCCATGCCGGGGGTCGACAGCGTACTGGCGCTGATCGGCCTTGCGATCGTTTCGACCGCCTTTGCCTATCTGCTCTACTTCAGCATCCTGTCCGGCGCGGGCGCGACGAACCTGTCGCTGGTAACGTTCCTGGTCCCGGTCAGCGCGATCCTGCTGGGCATCGCCTTTCTCGACGAGGTGCTGCTGCCGCGCCACATGATCGGCATGGCACTGATCGGCGTCGGGCTGGCGCTGGTCGACGGGCGGCTGTTCCGGAGGCGTATCCCGCCGGTGCCATGATGCCGAGCGCGTTGCGGCTCAGAACGGCAGTTTCATGCCGGGCGGCAGGGGCAGGCCGGCGGTCATTTCCTGGGTCTTTTCGGCGACGATCTGCTCGATCTTGGCCTTGGCGTCCGAATGGGCGGCGATAATCAGGTCTTCGAGGATCTCGACATCGTCTTCGGAGAACATGGAGGGATCGATTTTGAGGGCCTTCATCGCGCCCTTGCCGGTGAGCGTGACGGTGACCATGCCGCCGCCGGCCGTGCCGTCGGCGGTCATCTCTTCCATCTCGGCCTGCATGGCCTGCATCTTTTCCTGCATTTCCTTGGCCTTGCTCATCAGGCCCATAATGTCGCGCATGATTGTCTCCAGATCAGTCGGAATCGGTCGGATCGTCGGGGTCGGCGACGACGTCGCTCGCATCCATATCGGTATCGCCGGCGATAACGTCCAGCGGGCCGGCATCGTTGACGCGCACATCGACCACGCGCGCGCCCGGAAAGGCGCCCAGGATCGCCGACACGTCGGGATCGCGCGCGGCATCGGCGAACAGCGCGTCGCGTTTTTCGCCATCGACCTCCTCCAGCGTCCGTCCGCCGGGTTCGCGGCTGACCGACACGATCCAGCGCGTGCCGGTCCAGTCGCCGAGCTTGCGCGACAGATCGCCGAGCAGCGTCGCCGGCGCATCCTCGGTCAGGTTGACCGACAGCCGGCCCGGTTCGATCGAGACGAGCCGCACGCATTTGCGGATGTTCACCTTCATCAGCGGGTCGCGATGCCGGTCGGCGAGATCGGCCAGATCCTGCAGGCCGGCAACGGGTACGGATGGCTGTGCCGGCTCGGGCGCGGCCATCGGCGGCTGGGCCGCCGGCGCCGGCCCGGGATTCTGCGAAACAAGCCGCATGGCCGATGCACCACCGCCTGGCTGGGTATGCGCGGCGGTCATCGTCGTTGCCGGCTGAGGCGGTTGCGGCGCCGGGTCCGCCGAACCGGCCGGCGCCATCGCAGGAGCCGCGTCAGTCGGGGCTGGCTGCGAGGATACCTTTGCACCGCCTTGCGGACCGTTTGCGGATTGCGCCGGGCCGGCCGGTGCGCTGTCGAGCTTCTTCAAGGCCTCGTCCAGCGTCGGCAGCGTCGATGCATGCGCGAGCCGGATCAGCAGCATTTCGGCGGCCGCGAAGGGCCGCGCCGCGCTCTCGCATTCGCCGATGCCCTTGAGCAACATCTGCCAGGCACGGGCCAGCACCGTGACCGGAAGCTTTTCGGCAAAGGCGATGCCCCGCTCGCGCTCGTCGGGCGACAGGGACGGATCGTCGGCGGCGGCGCCGGGCACATAGCGCAGCCGGGTGACCAGATGGGTGAACGAGGCCAGATCGTTGAGGACGACGACCGGGTCGGCGCCAGCCTGATAGAGCGACGAAAACCCGTCCAGCGCCTCGGTGACGCGGCCGGCCATCAGATGCTCGAACAGGTCTACGACGCGGGTGCGGTCAGCAAGGCCGAGCATGTCGCGCACGGCGCTCGCATCGACCGTGCCGTTGCCGTGGGCGATGGCCTGATCGAGGATCGACAGCGCGTCGCGCACCGAACCCTCGCCGGCGCGGGCGATCATGGCCAGCGAGGTGTCGTCGACGGCCACCTCTTCGGTGTCGGCAATGGAACGCAGGTGCGCGGTCAGTTCGGCGATCTCGATGCGGCGCAGGTCGAACCGCTGGCAGCGCGACAGGACGGTGATCGGCACCTTCCTGATCTCGGTGGTCGCGAAGATGAACTTGGCGTGGGGCGGCGGCTCTTCGAGCGTCTTCAAAAGCGCGTTGAACGCCTTTTCGGACAGCATGTGGATTTCGTCGATGATGTAGACCTTGTAGCGGGCCGACACCGGCGCGTAACGCACCGAATCGATGATCTGCTTGATGTCGTCGATGCCGGTGTGGGACGCCGCATCCATCTCGACCACATCGACATGCCGGCCCTCCATGATCGGCTGGCAATGGATGCCCGGCACGGTGAGGTCGATCGTCGGCTTGTCGATCGTGTCGGACTGGTAGTTGAGCGCGCGCGCCAGGATGCGCGCCGTCGTCGTCTTGCCGACACCGCGCACGCCCGTCAGCATCCAGGCCTGGGCGATCCGGTCGGCGGCGAACGCGTTGGTCAGCGTGCGCACCATCGGCTCCTGCCCGATCAGCGCGGTGAAATCGGCCGGCCGGTATTTGCGCGCGAGCACGCGATAGCCGGCATCTTTCGGGGAAGCATCGCTCATGGAGAAGATGTAGCGCAGTTGCGACCGGCTTGACCAGCGAAGCGGGCGGGATTCGACGCCTGATGCAAAAGGAAAGGCGGGAGGCTGGCACGGTGACCCGTGCCGGATCTCGTTAGGGCTGCTTCCTTCCGGACCTGACCCGGTTGGCGAGTGGCGCGTCCACCACCAACCTCCCGACCCTCATATCGACCTTCGGCCTAGCATTTGCAAGTCGCTTTCGGGGGCAAACCTGCTATCGTCGCCCGATGACGGACTTCGAACTCGATCCGACGCTCGAACGCGACAGCTTGTTCGTGACCGATCTGGGGCTGACCCAGTTGCGGCTGATGAACGATTCGCGCTTTGCATGGCTGATCCTCGTTCCGAAGCGTTCCGGCATTACGGAGATTCACGAACTGACGCCGCTCGACCAGACCATGCTGACCTTCGAGACGACGCAGATCGCCCAGGCGCTGGCCGATGTCACCGGCGCCGACAAGATCAATGTCGCCGCGCTCGGCAACCAGGTGCGGCAGTTGCACATGCATGTCATCGCCCGGCACCTGGGCGATCCGGCCTGGCCCGGTCCGGTCTGGTGCGCCGGAACGCCGACGCCTTACCAGAACGGTGCCGCCAAGGCCTTTATCGAGCGGTTCTCAAACGCGTTCTGAGGCGGTAGGTAGTCGGCTGAAACTGCCCCCTTCGGAGCCCTCATGGCCGACCTTTTTTCCGATGCTGCCGCGCCCGAACCCTCGGCGCTGACCGGCTTTGCCGGCAACCGGCTGCAGCGCTGGTCGGAAAAGCGCAGCGAGACATCGGTGCCCGAGGCGTTGGCCGATCCGCGCGCCCGGCTCTTGCTGGTCGGTGCGGGCCGCGCCGTGCTGCGGCCCAACGGAACAACGGCCGATCCATGGTTCGATGTCGCTTCGGCGAACACGCTTGGCGCGGACACCGACGGGGCGGTGCTGCTGGGCTACGAGGATGACGGCACGCCGGTTCTGGCGGCCTATGCCGATGTCGAGGCGCTGCCGGACGATCTGAAGGCGATCGATTATCGCTCGATCTATGTGCAGGGCCTGCTCGACGCGCCCGCGCTCGGCGCGCTGGCGCAGGGCGCCGCTCTGATATCCTGGCACGACACCCACCGCTTCTGTTCGCGATGCGGCCATAAGAGCGCGATGGCCGATGGCGGCTACAAACGCGTATGCCCGCAATGCGACGGCCAGCATTTCCCGCGCACCGATCCGGTGGTCATCATGCTGTCGGTGAGCGTAGACAATCAGCGGTGCCTGCTCGGCCGCAGCCCGCATTTTCCCGAGGGCATGTATTCGTGCCTTGCCGGCTTCGTCGAGCCTGGCGAGACGATCGAGAACGCTGTGCGGCGAGAGACCGAAGAGGAAGCGGGCATCACGATCGGCCGCGTGGCCTATCATGCCAGCCAGCCATGGCCGTTTCCGCATACGCTGATGATCGGCTGCTATTGCGAGGCTTTGACCGAGACGATCCGCATCGACGACGAACTCGAGGATGCGCGCTGGTTCACGCGCGGTGAGGTTCGCAAAGTGCTGGACGGGCGTGGCGGGGACGACTTCAAAATGCCGCCGCGCGGCGCCATCGCGTCACTGCTCGTCCGCAACTGGGCCGCGGCCGGTTAGCCTGGCCGGCTTTTCTGACGCTGGTCGGCGCCACGATAGACGCCCAGAACCCGGAAATGGTCAGAGAAGAAGCCGATCTCCTCGAAGGCCAGCTTCACATTGTCATCGTCCGGATGCCCCTCAATGTCGGCATAGAATTGGGTCGCGACGAACGCGCCGCCGATCTGGTAGCTCTCCAGCTTGGTCATGTTGACGCCATTGGTGGCGAAACCGCCCATGGCCTTGTAGAGCGCGGCGGGAATGTTGCGCACGCGGAAGACGAATGTGGTGATGATCAGTTCGTCGTCCGAGCGCCGCGCCGGGATGAACGGCGCCTTGGACAGGACGACGAAGCGGGTGATGTTGTTGGCCTGATCCTCGACGTCGCGCTCGAGTATGCCCAGGCCGTACATCTCGGAGGCCAGTTCGGGCGCCAGCGCCGCCATGGCCGGATCGCCGCTCTCGGCGACCAGTTTGGCAGCGCCCGCCGTATCGCCCGCGATCACCGCTTCCCAGCCATTGCTTCTGATGTACTTCCGGCACTGTCCGAGCGCGTGAATGTGACTGTGGACAGTGCGGATCGCCGAGCGGTCCGTGCCCGGCAGCGCCATCAGGTGAAAATGGATGGGCAGAAAGTATTCGCCGACAATGTGCAGATCGGATTCGGGCAGCAGATGGTGGATATCGGCCACCCGGCCGGCGATCGTGTTCTCGATCGGGATCATCGCCAGGGCGGCCGCGCCCTTGTCGACCGCGGTGAACGCATCCTCGAAGGTCGGGCACGGCATCGGCGTCATCGCCGGATACATGTTCCGGCATGCCGTGTCGGAATTGGCTCCGGGCTCGCCCTGAAAGGCGATCAGCGTTCTGGCGTTCTCGTCCATAGGTTTGGTTCTTCCTGTTCGCGCTCACGCCAAAAGAGTGCGCGCCCGCTCCAGATCGCGCGGTGTATCGACCCCGAACGGCACGGTGTCAACAAGCCGGGCATGGATGGTCATGCCCGCCTCGAGCGCGCGCAGCTGTTCGAGCCGCTCGCGCTGTTCCAGCGCCGAAGGAGGCAGGCCGACGAAACGGGCAAGCGCCGCGCGCCGATAGGCATAGATGCCGATATGGTGGTAGAGCGGGCCGTCGCCCCAGGGCGCCGTGGCGCGCGTGAAATAGAGCGCGTTGAGCGTATCCCGGGCCACGGGCGTACCGACGATCTTGACGATGTTGGGATCGGTCTTTTCGCCCTCGTCGGCGATTTCGTTGCCGAGCGTCGCGATGTCGCAGGCGGCGTTTTGGAGCGGGGCGATCGCGGCACGGACCATGGCCGGATCGAGCGTCGGCAGGTCGCCCTGAAGATTGATCACCACATCGATATCGCCGCTTGGATCGACCGCCTCCAGCGCCTCGAAGATGCGGTCCGAGCCCGAAGGGTGATCGGGCCGCGTCATCACCGCGCGATGGCCATGCGCGGCGACCGCTTCGGCGATCCGCTGATCGTCGACGGCAACCACGACATCGGCGCAATCGGCGTCGCGCGCCCGGTCGGCGACATGGACGATCATCGGCTTTCCGGCAATGTCGGCCAGCGGCTTGCCCGGCAAACGGGTCGAGGCCATGCGCGCGGGAATGAGGATGATCGGTGTCATGAAGGCCTGAACCGGGGGTCGGAATGGTGGCAAAACGTCTCAGCGGGTTCGACCTTATAGGTGTTGCAAGCCCCGGACAAAAGACATAGGAAACGGCCACTTTGCGCGTGCACGAAAGGTGCGCCGGCGGCTGATGATCGGGTAGAGGCTTTTTATGAACACCACCATGTATGCAGGCGCGTTCCTGGGGACCGTGTTTGTCGTGATGACCGTCGGACTGGCGAGCGACGCGATCTTTTCGCACCAGGCGCCCGAGCAGGAAGGCTTCGCGATCATCGTCGAGGAAAGCGAAGGCACCGCGGTGGCGGTCGAAGAGGTGGACGTGCCGATCTCGGTTCTTCTCGCCAGCGCCGATGCGAGCAATGGCGAAGGCGTCTTCCGCAAGTGCCAGTCCTGCCACAACATCGAAAGCGGTGCAGGCCACAAGACCGGACCGAACCTGTGGAACATCGTGGGCAAGGAAGTGGCCCTTTATGACGAGTTCCGCTATTCGCAGGCCATGCAGGACTATGCCGAAGGCGGCACGGTGTGGGACTTCGACTCGCTCAACAACTTCCTGGCTGCCCCCAAGGATTACATCGACGGCACCTCGATGAGCTTCGCGGGCCTGCCCCGCGACGGCGAGCGCGCCGACCTGATCGCCTGGCTTGCAACGCAGAACGACAGCCCGGTCGCGCTGCCCGAGCCCGAAGCGGCCCCGGCCGAAGAAGCCGCCGCCGAGGGCGATGCGGCTGAAACGACGGCGACCGAATAGGCCCAACTGACGCACAAGTGAGCCAGGTCGGCCCGGTTTTCGCCGGGCCGATCGTCGTTTGGGGCTTTGAATCGCCGCAAACGCCCCTACTGTGATTGGCAAGATCAATCGCGGAGGTGCCCATGAAGTTGCTGATCGCCAGCGCCGCTTGCCTGATGACCATGATCGCAATCGGCGATGCCGAGGCCCAGGAGGCCAGTGGCTGGGTGACCACCAGTTCCCTGATCGAACCGAGCAAATATGACGACGACTTCCGGCACTATGACCATGCCGATCCCGATGCGCCCAAGGGCGGCACGGTGAACCTTGCCGTTCAGGGCACGTTCGACAGCTTCAATCCCTACATCATCCGCGGGACGCCGGCTGCCGGCCTTGCCGGGTTCGGCGGCGGCCTGCTCTACGACACGCTTCTGTCGCAGTCGATCGACGAACCGTCGACCAGCCATCCGCGCCTTGCGGCGGCCTATACCTTTCCGCAGGATTATTCCTTCGTCGTCTACCGGCTCGATCCGGACGCGCGCTGGCATGACGGAGAACCGGTCACGCCCGACGACGTCGTCTGGACGTTCGACGTCCTGACCGAGCACAGCCAGCTCTATCGCGAGTACTACAAGAACATCACCGGGACCGAAATCCTCAACGCGACCGACATCAAGTTCTCGTTCGACCAGACCGGCAACCGCGAACTGCCGCAGATCATTGGCGACATGCCGGTCCTGCCCAGGCACTGGTGGGAAGGCACCGGTGCAGACGGCAACCCGCGCGACGTCAGCCAGCCGACACTCGAGCCGCCGCTGGGTTCCGGCCCCTATCGCATCGGCGAGTTCGACGCAGGCAGATCGATCACCTGGGAGCGGGTCGAGGACTATTGGGGCGCCGATCTGGGCGTCAATCTGGGCCGGAACAATTTCGACCGCATCGCCTACACCTATTTTCTCGATGCCACGCCGATCTGGGAAGCCTTCAAGAAGGGCGGAATCCAGGATTTCCGCACCGAAACACGGTCGTCGCGATGGGCCGGCGAATACAATTTCCCAGCCTTCGAGGAAGGCCAGGTGAAGAAGCGGGCCTTTCCGACGACCAGCCCGAAGCCCATGCAGGGCTTTGCGATGAACATGCGGCGCGACAAGTTCGCCGACCGGCGGGTCCGCCAGGCGCTGGCGCACCTGTTCGATTTCGAGAGCATCAACCGATTGCAGCTGGCCGGCCAGCGTACGCGCACCGACAGTTTCTTCGAAGGCGGTGAGTTGCAGGCGTCCGGCGTGCCCGAAGGCCGGGAACTGGAAATCCTGGAGGAGTTCCGTGACGAACTGCCGGCCGACCTGTTCACGATGCCGTTCGAAAATCCGGTCGGGGGCGACAGGGCGAAAAACCGGGAGAACCAGCGCATCGCGGCGGGGCTGATGCGCGAGGCGGGCTGGGAGCCGCGCGATGGCGCATGGGTCAATGCCGAAACTGGCGAACCCTTTGCCATCGAGATATTGGGCGCCTCTGAAACGACCAACATCATTGCCGGCCAGTTCACCGAGGATCTGCGCCGCTTCGGCATCGACGCGCAGATTCGCATTGTCGATGCCAGCCAGTACATCGCCCGGCTCGAAGAGTTCGATTTCGACATGACGACGGTCGTTCTCGCCCAGTCGCTGTCGCCGGGCAACGAGCAGCGCGACTTCTGGTCGTCTGCGGCGGCAGACAGTTCGGATTCGCGCAACATGTCGGGCATCGAGAACCCGGTCGTCGACGCGCTGATCGAAAAAATCATCTTCGCCGACGACCGTGACGAACTGGTGGCGGCCACCCGCGCGCTCGACCGCGTGCTCTTGTGGAACCACTATTACATCCCTCAATGGCACTCGGCGGACGAATGGATCGCCTGGTGGGACAAGTTCGGTTTCGTCGACAGCCAACCGGCCTATGCCGGTGTCGACTTCCAGTCCTGGTGGGTGAGGCCGGAGGCGATGCAATGATCATCGACCGGCGGCGGTTTCTGGCCGTCGCAGCAGGCGGCTTTGCGGCCTCGGCGATGTTTCCGAGACTGTCTCCGGCGGCCAATGCGCGCGGCACGCCCCTGCACGGCCTGTCCGCCTTCGGCGACCTGAAATACCCCGCCGGATTTGCCCGGTTCGACTATGCCAACCCGGACGCGCCGGCGGGCGGCGTGTTCAACTTCCAGCCCTGGTACTGGTACTTCAACCAGAACTACCAATCCTTCAACACGCTCAACACTTTCGTGCGCAGGGGCGATGCGCCGCCGCGCATGGAGATGTGTTTCGACACGCTGATGGTGTCGGCCCATGACGAGCCCGACGCGATCTACTGCCATGTCGCCGAGACTGTGACGATCTCCGAGGACGGGAACCGTTTCACCTTCCGGCTCCGGGACATTGCGCGCTTTCACGACGGCGCGCCGATCACCGCCGGCGATGTCAAATTCACCTACGATAGGATCAAGGCGCAGGGGCACCCGGACCTGTCGCTGCCGCTGCGGCCGCTCGCCGAGGTGATCGCCGAGAACGCGCGGACCGTGACGCTGGTGTTCGACGGCACACAGTCGGCGCAGGCCATCCTGACGATCGCATCGACCTATCCGATCCAGTCGGCGGCCTATTACGCCGACCGGACGTTCGACACATCGACGCTCGAGCCGCCGCTCGCGTCCGGCCCCTACAAGGTCGGTCGCTTCAATGCCGGCAGCTTCATCGAGTTCGAGCGCGTCGAGGACTATTGGGCCCGGGCGATCGGCACCGGTGCGGGGCAGAACCATTTCCAGACGATCCGCATCGAGTTCTTCACCGAGCGGCAGGCCGGGTTCGAGGCGTTCAAGAAGGGCGAGGTGACCTGGCGGCGCGAGTTCACGTCCAAGACCTGGGCGACCGAATACAATTTTCCGGCGATCACGGACGGCCGGGTGGTCCAGTCCCTGATCGACGCCGATGTGCGGCCATCCATGCAGGCCTGGGCGCTCAACCAGCGGCGCGAACGGTTCGCCGACCGGCGGGTGCGCGATGCGATCGCGCTGTGCTTCGATTTCGAGTGGACCAACCAGAATCTGTTCTACGGGCTCTATGAGCGCAGCCATTCGCTGTTTGCCGGATCGCAATATGAGGCGTCGGGCCTGCCGGACGTTGCCGAAACCGCGCTGATCGACAAGCTTGCAGCCGATCACGACCTGCCCGAAGGCATCCGTGATGAAGCCCACATGCAGCCGGTCGCCGACGGGTCGGGCCGCGACCGGGCGCGGCTGCGCGAGGCGACCCGCCTTCTCGCCGAGGCCGGCTGGAGGGCGGACGGCGAGGGCCGGCTGCGCAATGCCGGCGGCGAGACGCTGGACGTCGAGATGCTGATCCGGTCGTCCATCTTCGAGCGCATTTACGGCCCCTATGTGCGCACCATGAACCTGGTCGGCATCAATGCCAGCCTGCGACTGGTCGATCCCGCGCAATATCAGGCGCGCACCAGCGACTTCGATTTCGACATGGTTGGGCGCGCCATTGGCTGGACGCCGACACCGACGCAGAGCAGCCTCGAGGGCGTGTTCGGCGCAGCATCGGCCGACCTGCCCGGCTCGCGCAACTGGACCGGCGCGGCCGATCCGCTGGTCGACGCGCTGATCGCCGAAGTGGGCGCGGCCCCCGATCGCGACGCCTACCGCACGGCGATGCGTGTTCTGGACCGGGTGTTGCGTTTGCGGCGCGACTGGATTCCAAATTGGCGCGCAGCGAATCAGTTCATCGCCTACTGGGACATGTTCGGTTTCGACGACAAGCCGGACTATTTCTGGCCGATCGAGGCGCTGTGGTGGATCGACGAGGAAAAGGCGCGCGCGATTGGCAAGGCATGAGGCGATAACGATTCCGACCCTCGACCCGCGCGCGCGGAGACGCTGAGCAATGGGCGCCTATATCCTTCGCCGCATTCTGCTCATGGTTCCGACCATTTTCGGAATCATGGCGATTTCCTTCGTCATCGTGCAGTTCGCGCCGGGCGGGCCGGTCGAGCAGGTCATCGCGCAACTGACCGGCCAGGGGGGCGATGCGACCGAGCGCTTCACCGGCGGCGGCAGCGAGGTTTCCGGGGCCGATGAGTTCGGCAGCAGCGTCGAAGGCGGCGGGGCCAGTTCGCGCTATCGCGGCGCGCAGGGGCTCGACCCCGAGTTCATCGCCGATCTCGAGCGCCAGTTCGGCTTCGACAAGCCGCCGCTCGTCCGGTTCGGCAACATGATCTGGGACTATCTGCGGTTTGACTTCGGCGAGAGCTATTTTCGCGACATCACCGTCATCGACCTGATCCTCGAAAAGATGCCGGTGTCGGTGTCGCTGGGGCTCTGGATCACGCTGATCTCCTATGCGATCTCCATTCCGCTCGGCATCCGCAAGGCGGTGTCGGACGGTTCGCGCTTCGATGTGTGGACGTCGGGCGTGATCATCGTCGCCTATGCCATCCCCGGCTTCCTGTTCGCAATCCTGTTGATCGTCCTGTTCGCCGGTGGATCGTTCTTCGACTGGTTCCCCCTGCGCGGGCTCGTCTCCGACAATTGGGCCGAACTGTCATGGCCGGAACGGATCGTCGACTATTTCTGGCACCTGACGCTGCCGTTGACCGCAATGGTGCTGTCGGCGTTCGCGACGACGACGCTTCTGACCAAGAACTCGTTCCTCGACGAAATCCGCAAGCAATATGTGATCACCGCGCGGGCCAAGGGCCTGACCGAGCGCCAAGTGCTTTACGGCCATGTGTTTCGCAACGCGATGCTGATCATCATCGCCGGCTTTCCGGCGGCGTTCATCTCGGCCTTCTTCACCGGATCGCTCCTGATCGAGACGATCTTCTCGCTCGACGGGCTCGGCCTTCTGGGCTTCACCTCGGTCGTCAACCGCGATTATCCGGTGGTGTTCGCAACGCTCTACATCTTCTCGCTGATGGGACTGCTGGTCAGCCTTCTGTCGGACCTGATGTATACGTGGATCGACCCGCGCATCGATTTCGAAAGCCGGGAGGTCTGACATGGACCAGACGGTTGACGAACCCACTTTCGGACGGGACGGCGCCATACCGCGACGGCGGCGACCGTTCCTCTCGCCGCTCAACCAGCGGCGCTGGCAGAACTTCAAGGCCAACCGGCGCGGCTACTGGTCGCTGTGGCTGTTTCTCGTCCTGTTCGTCCTGTCGCTGTTTGCCGAATTCATCGCCAACGACCGGCCGATCCTGGTCTCCTACAAGGGCGAACTTCTGACGCCGGTCTTCGTCAACTATCCCGAGGAGAAATTCGGCGGGTTCCTGGCGCGCACCGACTACACCGACCCGTTCATCCAGGACGAGATCAAGGCCAATGGCTGGATGGTCTGGCCGCCGATCCGCTATTCCTACAGGACCGTCAACAAGGAGGTGCCGACCACCGCGCCCTCCAAGCCGGCCTTCATGTTCGACAGCCGCGAGGAGTTGTGCGCGCGCTATGCCGGCGGCATCGACGATCCGAACTGCCACTGGAGCAATTTCAACTGGCTCGGCACGGACGACCAGGCGCGCGACGTCCTGGCGCGGACGATCTACGGCTTCCGCATATCGGTCCTGTTCGGGCTGATCCTGACGATCGCCTCGGCGGTGATTGGCGTCACCGCCGGCGCGATCCAGGGCTATTTCGGCGGCTGGACGGATCTGATCTTCCAGCGCGTGATCGAGATATGGTCCTCGATCCCGGTCCTCTACATACTCTTGATCATGGCCGCCGTGCTGCCGCCGGGCTTCTGGGTGCTGCTCGGCATCATGCTCATCTTCTCATGGGTCGGCTTTGTCGGCATCGTCCGTGCCGAATTCCTGCGCGCACGCAACTTCGAATATGTCAACGCGGCGCGCGCGCTCGGCGTGTCGAACCGGACGATCATGTTCCGCCATCTCCTGCCGAACGCGATGGTGGCGACGCTGACCTTCCTGCCATTCATCCTGAACGGGTCGATCACCACGCTGACCTCGCTCGATTTCCTCGGCTTCGGCCTGCCGCCGGGATCGGCTTCGCTCGGCGAACTCATCCTTCAGGGCAAGAACAACCTCCAGGCGCCGTGGCTCGGCTTTTCCGGCTTCATCGTCATTTCGATCATGCTGTCGCTGCTGATCTTCATCGGCGAGGCGACGCGCGACGCGTTCGATCCCAGGAAGACGTTTGGGTGATGCGACAGGCGTGCTATATGAAGGTAGAATTCTACCTCGGAGACCACGATGGGTCTGAACATCAAGAATGAGCGCGTGCATCAATTGGCGAAGGAACTCGCCCTCAAGCGCAATTCCACCATGACGGCCGTGATCCTTGACGCGTTGGAAAGCGAGCTGGAACGAGATCAAGCTCGCTCCGATGAGGCTCAACGGCATCGGATCAAGGCGCGAGAGCAGTTTCTCGCACACCGCGATTCGATGAAGGAACTGCCGGCAGGCTACACCAGCAGTCATGACGACCTTTATGATGAAGACGGCTTTCCGGCATGATTGTCGATGCGTCAGCGATCGTGGCGTTTGTCATGAAGGAAGAGGGCAGCGGCATCTACGAGCCTTACCTGTTCAGCGACACGGTTCCGCTTTTCATATCCGCCGTCAATTGGTGGGAGGTCCATGCCCGCATAACCAGGCATGACAAGCCCGACGTCACACGATCATTGCAGTTCTTTCAACGAGGAACGCGCTTGAAGTTCGTCGCAGTAGACAAAGACCAAACCAACATGGCTATCGAAGCGTTCCGCCGCTTCGGCAAGGGACACCATCCCGCCAAACTCAACCTCGGCGATTGTTTCGCCTACGCTCTGGCCAAGGTTCGAAACGAACCGCTGCTCTTCAAGGGGAACGATTTTCACCATACCGATGTGCGGGCCGCGCTGTGACAGAACCACTCCTGTCCGTCCGCGATCTTTCCGTCGACTTCACGCAAGGCGGCCATGTCACCCATGCGGTCAGAACGATCTCGTTCGACATCGGTGCGCGCGAAACCGTGGCGCTCGTCGGCGAGAGCGGGTCGGGCAAGTCGGTCTCCGCCCTGTCCGTGCTCAAGCTGCTGCAATATCCGGCCGCGTCGCACCCGTCGGGTCAGATCATGTTCGGCGGGCAGGATTTGCTGGCGGCGTCGGACGACGAACTGCGCACGGTCCGCGGCAACGACATTTCGATGATCTTCCAGGAGCCGATGACGTCGCTGAACCCGCTGCACCCGATCGAAAAGCAGGTCGGCGAGGTGTTGCGGCTGCACCAGGGCATGGGCGAAGCGGACCAGCGAGCCCGAACGCTCGAACTGCTCAACCAGGTCGGCATTCGCGAACCCGAAAAGCGCCTTGGCGCCTATCCGCACCAATTGTCCGGTGGCCAGCGCCAGCGCGTGATGATCGCCATGGCGCTCGCCAACACGCCCAGGCTGCTGATCGCGGACGAACCGACGACGGCGCTCGATGTGACCGTTCAGGCGCAGATCCTCGAACTGCTCGACGATCTCAAGCGGCAGCAGGACATGTCGATGCTGTTCATCACGCACGATCTGGGCATTGTGCGGCGCATCGCCGACCGCGTCTGCGTGATGACCGATGGGGAGATCGTCGAGACCGGGCCGACCGAGGCGATCTTCGGCGACCCGCAGCACGTCTACACCCGGCACCTGCTCGCGGCCGAACCGAAGGGCCAGCCGCCCCGCGCCGACCCCGACGCGCCCGTCGTGATGGAAGGCGACCAGATCAAGGTCTGGTTCCCGATCAAAAAAGGCTTCCTGCGCAAGACGGTCGATCACGTCAAAGCGGTCGACGGGATCGACGTGACGGTGCGCGCAGGCCAGACGCTCGGCGTCGTCGGCGAGAGCGGGTCGGGCAAGACGACGCTTGGGCTGGCGCTCAGCCGGCTGATTTCGTCGGACGGCCGTATCCGGTTTGCTGGCGAGGCCATCGATGCACGCTCGTTCCGTCAGATGCGGCCGCTTCGCAAGGATCTGCAGATCGTCTTCCAGGACCCGTTCGGATCGCTGAGCCCGCGCATGTCGATCGCCGAGATCGTCGCCGAGGGCCTTGCGATCCACGAACCGGGCCTGAGCCCCGACGAACGCGACGATCGCGTCGTCGCCGCCCTCGACGAGGTCGGGCTCGATCCCGAGACGCGGTTCCGCTATCCGCACGAATTTTCCGGCGGCCAGCGCCAGCGCATCGCCATTGCCCGGGCGATGGTGCTCAAGCCGAAATTCCTGATGCTGGACGAGCCCACTTCGGCGCTCGACATGAGCGTTCAGGCCCAGGTGGTCGACCTTCTGCGCGATCTGCAGAAGAGGCACAATCTGGCCTATCTGTTCATCAGCCACGATCTGAAAGTGGTGCGGGCGCTCGCCAATCACGTCATTGTCATGCGCGGCGGCCGAATTGTCGAACAGGGGTCGGCCGACACCATTTTCGACGCGCCGGAAACCGATTACACAAGGGCGCTGATGGCCGCCGCCTTCGACATCAAGACGAGCGCGGCCGGCGTCGTCAGCCAGTAGGCATTTTTGGCAAGCGAGTTCGCACGATGGCACCCTCCCCCGGCTCGATCCTTTTGTCCGTCACCGGCTTCGATCCCGCCGTGTGGCGTGACGAGATCGAACGGGCCGCACCCGGCCGGACGGTTGTCACCGAACCGGACGGGCCCGAAGACGCATCCATCCATTACGCGGTCGTGTGGAAGCAGCGGCCCGGCATTCTCAACCGGCTGCCCAATCTCAAGGCGATCTTTTCGATCGGCGCCGGCGTCGACCACATCTTCGCCGATCCCGATGTTCCGGACGTGCCCATCGTGCGCGTCGTCGCCGACGACCTGACCGAGCGGATGAGCGAATATGTGGTCTGGCAGGTGCTCGACCATCACCGCAAGGGGCCGCGCTACCGGCGCCAGCAGGCGGAGAAAATCTGGCATGAAGACCGGATGCAGCCGGCCGCGCGCGACGTGACGGTGGGCATTCTGGGTCTCGGCGTACTCGGGCTCGATGCGGCGCGCAAGCTTGCCGCGCTCGGCTTTGAAGTCGCGGGTTGGAGCCGGACGGCAAAGAAAATCGAAGGCGTAGCGACCTTTGCCGGCGATGACGGGCTCGACGGTTTTCTGGCCATCAGCGACATCGTCGTGTGCCTTTTGCCGCTGACGCCGAAGACAAAGGGCATCCTGTCAAAACCGCTGTTTGCGAAGATGAAACGGCGCGGACCGCTGGGGCCGGCCGTGCTGATCAATGCCGGCCGCGGCGATCTGCAGAACGAGGCCGACATCCTTGCGGCTCTGGAAAATGGCTGGCTGGGTGCGGCCAGCCTCGATGTGTTCCAGGCCGAGCCGCTGCCCGAAACCAGTCCGCTCTGGACCCATCCGCGCGTGACGATCACGCCGCATGCGGCGGCCACATCGGTGCCCGCCGCACTGATCCCGCCCATGATTGCCCAGATTGAATCACATGAGCGCGGTGAACCGCTGACCAATCTGGTCGATCGCGACGCCGGCTACTGATCGCCGTCAGGGACGCCGATAGCCGGTCGGTTGCCCGTAGAGAGCCGCGATGCGGTCGATGGCCTGAACGAGCGGTTCGCTCGAAACCGCCATCGCATTGGCGTTGGCATGCAGCAGCGTCTCGGCGTCACGCATGATGCCGACATGGCCGATCCAGAAGACGAGATCTCCGCGCCGAAGACCGTTTGCGGGATCGGCCGGTTCGCCCAGTTCCGCTTCCTGCATGTCGCTGTCGCGCGGCGCCGCCCGGCCGGCCATCAGCATGGCCAGTTGCACAAGGCCCGAACAGTCGATGCCGAAGGCGGACGTTCCGCCCCACAGATAGGGCGTGTGAAGCAGCGTTTCGGCGGCGGCCGCATAGTCCGGCTCATGGTCATCCGCCTCGCGGATGTGCCCTGCCGGGCAATAGCGGCCGTCGTCGAGGCGCGCATAGGCTACATTGCGGCTCTCGACGAATTCAGCGACCGAAACCAATGAGCCCATCGAAAGGCAGTCGGCCGGGGGACGCTTGAAATCCGGCTCATCGAAAAGGAACGTCCGTGGCGCCGCGATGCGGTGGGTGCCGGACGCCGTGCCCAAGGGTCTGCTCAACGCACGCTGAGCGACATAGCCGACATATCCGTCCCGCTCGGCCTGAACCCAGGCCCAGCCCTCATCGGACTGAAACATGCGAACCCGGTCGCCGTGGAGCAGTTGTGTGCCCAGACCGGCCTGCGGCATCGGTTGCGTGCGCATATCGACCACGGCGTCCCGGACGACCAGCTCCTCGCCATCAGCGAAATGGTTGGCATCGACCAGACCGCGCAACCGGGCGTCGGCCAAGTCGCGGCGAAAGGCGTGCAGGCGCGGATCAAGCGGCTTTTCGGTCATGCGGGCAGTTCCCTCGCCTTGGCGATGATGACGTCGGCGAACCGTTCCAGATAGAGCGCGCCGTCAATGGTGCGGGCGATGACCACATTGCGCCGATCCCGCGGATCGCGATGCCGGGTGACCAGCTTCATGGCGCCCATCGTGTCGAGCGCGCGCGTGATGACCGGCTTGGTGACGCCGAGATGGGCGGCCAGCCCGCGCACCGAATGGGGCGGCGGTTCGAGGTAGATCGTCAGAAGGATGGCAAGTTGGCGCGTCGTCAGGTCCGGCGCGCTGTCGCGCACCTCGGCAAGCGATACATGGTGCCAGAGCGCGAGCGCCTGGCTGGGCCTCAATGTGACCGTCATCGTCCGCTGGTCGCACACAAACGTTTCGGAACCGTTTCAATATGACGGTCCGAGCCGTGGCACACAAGGGCGAGGTCACCGGTCGCCGTAACGATGTTCCAGAACCGCGAACAGGGCGCGGATCGCCTGCGCCTCGCCGCCGACCGGCGCGTGCAACTTCGGCTTCGGCGTCCACGCGAACAGGTCGAGATGGACCCAGGGCGTCTTGTCGGCCACGAACTTCTGCAGGAAGAGCGCGGCCGTCACCGATCCGGCGAACCCGTCGGCGGTTACATTGGCGCAGTCCGCCACCGTCGATGACAGGTTGCGGGCGTATGGCTGCCAGAGCGGCATGCGCCAGAGCGGATCTCGCTCGGCTTCGGCGGCCCTTGCCAAAGCGCCGGCCAGCGCATCGTCTCCCGTGTAGAAGGGCACGATATCGGGGCCGAGCGCAACGCGCGCCGCACCCGTCAGCGTTGCCATGTCCACGATCAGATCCGGCTCTTCCTCATCGGCCAGTGCCAGCGCATCGGCCAGCACCAGCCGGCCCTCGGCATCGGTGTGGCCGATTTCCACGGTCAGGCCCTTGCGCGTCGGATAGACGTCACCGGGCCTGAACGCATTGCCGGAGATCGCGTTCTCGACAGCGGGGATAAGCACACGCAGCCGCACGCCCAGTTCCATCGACATGATCATGGCGGCCAGGCCCAGAACGTTGGCCGCGCCGCCCATGTCCTTCTTCATGTTGCGCATCGAGCCCGAGGGCTTGATGCCGACGCCGCCGGTGTCGAACGAGACGCCCTTGCCAACCAGTGTCAGCTTCGGTGCGGTCTTTTTTCCCCACCTCATGTCGATCAGGCGCGGCGGCGTTGCCGAGGCACGACCGACCGCATGGATCATCGGCAGCTTCTTGGCGATCAGTTCCTCTCCGGCGATCACCTTGACGACCGCCTTGTGGCCGGCTGCCAACGTCCGGGCGGCCGCCTCGATCGCCGCCGGCCCCATGTCGTTGGCCGGCGTGTTGACGAGATCGCGGGTCAGCGAAACCGCGCCCGCAACCGCTTCGAGACGCGCGCGATCGACCGCTTTGTCGGGCACGAGCCGGATGCGTTTGGCCGGCGGCGTACGGTACAGGTCAAAACGATAGGCGCCCATGCAGAAACCCAGCGTCGCCTTCCCGATATCGGTCTCATCGGGATTGGCGACGAACCAGTCACCCGCCGGCAGCTTGCCGGCGAGCGCGCCAAGCGCGAACGGATCGGCCGGTTCGCCCAGGGCGATGGCCGCCCCTGCCACGCCGCCGCCGTCCGGCGCGGGCACGAGGGCGACGGCCCCGGCCTCGGCTTCGAAGCCCGTTGCCTCCAGCCATGCCGTCACCTGTGCCGGACTGCTTTTTGCGTTGTTTCCGACAATCCAAATGGGCCGCGCGTCGGTGCGCGCTTCGTCAGGAGCCAGCATTGTCAGTCGATCAGCCATCATGTCCTCGGCGCCGGGGATTAACCATCCGTTAGGGTTAACAGATTATCGCTGGTTAACAGAGGTTAATGCGGAGTTACGCCCGCAAAAGGACGCATGCCGCGTGCCGGCCCTGCTTCGTGGAGTATCGCGATGTCCAAGCCCATCGGTTCATCGAACCTGCACCGGCCCGCCCGCCTCGGTGTCGCTGTGCTGCTGGCCGGTCTTCTGGCCGGGTGTGCCAACAGCAACCTGACGACCGGATCGATCGGGCCGGCGGGCAACAAGCCGATCGCGCAATTGAGCGGCACGGAACTGCAATCGGCGCTGGCCAGCCACCGCCGCCAGTACGAACGCAACCCGAACGACAAGTCGGTGGCGATCGCCTATGCATCCGTGCTGCGGATGAACGGCGCGAACGAGCAGGCGCTGGCCGTGATGCGCAAGGCTGCGATCACCCATTCCCGCGACAAGCAGGTTCTGGCCGCCTACGGCAAGGCACTCGCCGGTGCCGGTCAGTTTCCGGCCGCGCTCGACGCGATCCAGAGGGCGCAGGACCCGACGCAGCCTGACTGGGAACTGCTTTCGGCCGAGGGCGCGATCTACGATCAGACAGGGCGTCCGGACGAGGCGCGCCAGCGCTATGAAAAAGCGTTGCAGATCCGCCCGAACGAACCCTCGGTCCTGTCGAACCTTGCGATGAGCCACATGCTGCAGGGCGATCTGCCGACAGCGGAACGGCACTTGCGCACGGCGGTGCAACAGCCCGGCGCGGACAGCCGCGTGCGGCAGAATCTGGCGCTGATCGTCGGTCTTCAGGGCCGGTTCGCCGAAGCCGAGGACATTGCCCGCCGCGAGATGACGCCCGACCAGGCCGAAACCAACATCGCCTACCTGCGGCAGATGCTGGCGCAGCAAAATGCCTGGAACCTGATCGAGCAGGAAGACCGGCAGAACGCCGCCAACTGACGATCCGTCCGCCCGCCCCCCGCGAACGACCGCAACCCCCGACAAAAAACCCGCCATTTGGCGGGCCCTTTTTGTCGTGTCGGGCGCGATGCGATCACCCTCCGCCGAAGATGCCGCCCTGTTGCGAGACCTGGATGCCGGCCGGGCCGAGAATCACGCCGAACAGGACCGGCAGGAAGAAGACGATCATCGGAACGGTCAGCTTGGGCGGAAGCGCGGCCGCCTTTTTCTCGGCTTCGGTCATGCGCTGTTCGCGGCTTTCGTTGGCCAGAACGCGCAGCGCGGAGCCGATGGGCGTGCCGTAACGTTCGGCCTGGATCATCGCCTGGGAGACGGCCTGGACCGAGTCGAGGCCGGTACGCTTGGCCAGGTTTTCGTAGGCTTGCCGGCGTTCGCTGAGATAGGACAGTTCCGCGCCGACCAGCACCAACTCTTCGGCAAGCGGCACCGATTGCGTGCCGATCTCCACGGACACGCGCTTGAACGCGGCTTCCACGGACATGCCCGACTCGACGCATATCAGCATCAGGTCGAGCGCATCGGGCCAGGCCTTGCGGATGGAGTTGCCGCGCTTGCCTGCCAGGTTGCTGACATACAGATTGGGCGCATAAAAGCCCGCATAGGCAGCGCCGACGCACATGAACGAACGCATCATGGTCGAGTGTTCGCTGAAGTTGCCCAGGCCGAAAATGTAGAAGATGGCCACGGCCAGAAACAGAAACGGCAGCACGAAGCGGGCGAACAGGAACATGTTCAGCGGCTGCTGGCCCCGGAAACCGGCCATCCGGAGCTTCTTGACCGTCGCATCGTCGGCAAGCGCCTTGCGCAGATCGAGCCGGTCGACCACGCCTTTGATGCCGGCGAACCTGGACTCATCGACGCGCAGCGACCCCTTGCCCTGAACCTTTTCGGTGGCCAGCCGAGCGCGCTCGCGGGCGCGAATCTCGTCGCGCTCGGTTGCGACCATCTTCATCCGGCTCTTGAGCTGGCTGCCGCCGGTCACCGCCGTGAGCAGCGTGAGGATGGTGGCGAACACGGCGACCGAAACGAGCACGGCGAAGACGAACTGCGGTGACGTGGCGGTCTGGACAATGGTCGATATCATGGCCGGACCTCACACCTCGAAATTGATCATCTGACGCATGACGAAGATGCCGATCGACATCCAGACAAGCGACACGCCGAGAATGAACAGCCCCGTATCGGTCGTGAACAGCAGCATGATGTACTCCGGGCTCGTCAGATAGACGAGAAACATCACGACGGGCGGCAGGGCACCGATGATGACGGCGGACGCCTTTGCTTCCATCGACATGGCGGCGACCTTGTTCTTCATCTGCTTGCGCGCCCGCAGCACCTTCGACAGGTTGCCGAGCGCTTCGGACAGGTTGCCGCCGGCCTGCTGCTGGATCTGGATGACGATCGCAAAGAAGCTGGCCTCGGGAACCGGCATGTGGTTGTACATGCGCATGCACGCTTCGGGCGTCGGCACACCCAGTTGCTGCGCCTCGACGATCCTGCCGAACTCCGTACGGACCGGCTCCTTGGCCTCGCCCGCGATCAGGCGGATCCCGTCGTTTAGCGGCAGGCCCGACTTGATAGCCCGGACGATGACGTCGATGGCATTGGGAAACTCGTCGAGAAACTGCTTCATGCGGCGCTTGCGCAGAAACGCGACGATCCAGCGCGGCACGCCAAAAGCGCCGGCGAAAAACACGGCCGGCACGTAGATGAGGCCAAGGCCAGCCACCAGCGCCATGACCGCCAGGGCACCGCCGAGGCCGGCCGACATCAGATAAAAGGTCCGCATCTCGATATTGAGGCCGGCCTGCTTGATCTGCATCTTCAGCGACGGCTTGGTGATGTGCTTTTCGCGATCCTTGTTCCGTTTTTCGAGATCATCAAGGGATTCGCTGACCTGCTTGCGGCGCTTCTGGCCTTCATTGAGGCGTTCGACCGCGGCCTTGCGCACCTTGGTGTCGGAGCTGCGACTGCTGATGGCGGCAAGGCGCTTGCCGGATTTCTCCTCGATCTGCACCCTGTTGTACAGCAACGCATAGAGCACGCCGCCGACACCGAGGGCGGCGAGCGCGAAGATGGCAATCACGATGACGGGAATGCCCATGATCGTCATGGCTGCCTATCCCTGCCTGCTGTCCACTGCACCATCAGTTCTGGACCGTTTCCATGGAATCGAGCGCCGCCGCCAGACGCTGCTCCTCATTGTAGTAACGGGCCCTGTCCCACATGGCCGGACGGCCGATGCCGGTCGAGCGGTGCTTGCCGAGGATCTTGCCGTTGGTGTCCTCACCCTGCATGTCGTAAAGCATCAGGTCCTGGGTGATGATCACGTCGCCTTCCATGCCGACCACCTCGGTGATGTGGGTGATCCGGCGCGAGCCGTCGCGCAGGCGTGCCGCCTGAACGATGACGTCGACCGAGCCGACGATGATTTCGCGCACGGTGCGCTGGGGCAGCGAAAAGCCGCCCATGGCGATCATCGATTCGATACGGCTGAGACATTCGCGGGGCGAGTTGGAGTGGATGGTGCCCATGGACCCGTCATGGCCGGTGTTCATGGCCTGCAGCAGGTCGAACACTTCCGGTCCGCGCACCTCGCCGACGATGATCCGCTCGGGACGCATGCGAAGGCAGTTCTTGACGAGATCGCGCATGGTGATCTGGCCTTCGCCCTCGAGGTTGGGCGGGCGGGTTTCAAGCCGCACGACATGCGGCTGCTGCAGCTGCAGTTCTGCCGAATCCTCGCAGGTGATGATGCGCTCATCCTCGTCGATGTAGCGCGTCAGGCAGTTGAGAAGCGTCGTCTTGCCCGAGCCCGTGCCGCCGGAAATCACCACATTGCAGCGCACCCGGCCTATGATCTGGAGCAGCGTGGCACCCTCAGGCGAGATCGATCCGAAATTGACCAGCTGATCGAGCGTCAGCTTGTCCTTCTTGAATTTGCGGATCGTCAGTGCGGTGCCGTCGATGGCCAGTGGCGGGGCGATGACGTTGACGCGGCTGCCGTCGGCGAGACGCGCGTCGCAGATCGGGCTCGATTCGTCGACACGCCGGCCCACCTGGCTGACGATCCGTTGGCACACGGAAAGCAATTGCTGGGCATCGCGGAACTTGACGTCGGCGTGTTGGACCTTGCCGTCCACTTCGATATAGGCGCTGTCCGGCCCGTTGATCATGATGTCGGCGATATCGTCGCGGGCCAGCAGAGGCTCGAGAGGGCCGTAGCCCAGAACGTCGTTGCAGATGTCCTCGAGCAGCTCCTCCTGCTCGGCGATCGACATCGCATAGTTCTTGATCGCGATGATGTCGTTGACGATGTCGCGGATTTCCTCGCGCGCACTGTCACCATCAAGCTTGGCGAGCTGCGACAGATCGATCGTTTCGATCAGCGCGGAGAAAACCTGCGTCTTGGTGTCGTAATATGATTCGTTGCGCTGGGACTGGGAGCGCGCAGCCGGCTTGGCGGGCGTGACGGCCGGTGCCGGCTCGGGCTGAGCCGCAGGCCGCGCCGGTGTCTCAGGCTCGGGCGCGGGCGCGGGAGCTGTCGCGGCCTCGACCGGTTCGGGTGCTGCCGGGCTTGTCGGGGCGTCGTGCGTCGATCCCGCCGAACCGGCCCGTCCGGCCGTTCCCGCTGTGCCTCTCTTGCCGAACATCAATATGCCCCCGTGGTCGAACGCGTTGCCGTCATGACTTCTTCAGCCGCGCCAGCAGCGCCTGAAGTCCGGGCTTGTGTTTGGGCACGGACACCGAGCGGCCCGTCACCAGATGAGCGAGTTGGCCCAGCGTGGCCACCACGGGGCTCGCGGCATCGGTTTCGGCCAGCATGCGGCCCGAATTGGCGGCGTTGCCGAAAAGCTGCGCGTCGAACGGAATGACGGCCGCCGGCTCGACCTCGAGCGGATCGCTGAAGTCGCCAACGGAGATTTCCGGCCGCTTGGGCACGCCGACCTGGTTGATCACCAACCGCGGCGGCGAGTCGTTCGGACGCAGTCCGCGCAACGTGTCGATCAGGTTCTTGGTATTGCGCAGATTTGCCAGTTCCGGAGCGGCGACGATCACCACTTCATCGGCATGGGTGAGCGTCGCCTTGGTCCAGCCGTTCCAGCCGTGCGGCACGTCGAGAACAACCGCCGGCGCGGTGCGCTGTGCGATGTCGATCAGGTTGCCGAAGGCATCGGCGCCGAAATCGTAGGAACGATCCAGCGTCGACGGCGCCGCCAGAAGCGACAGGTTCTCGGCGCAGTTGGCGAGCAGCCTGTCCAGATAAACCTCGTCCAGACGCTCGGGCGAGAAAACGGCTTCGGCAATGCCCTGCGCGGGATCCTGGTCGAAGTTGATGTTGGCTGTCCCGAAGGGCAGGTCCATGTCGACGACCACGACCTCGTTCTCGAACAGTGTCGAGATCGCCCAGGACACATTGTGGGCGATGGTCGAGGCGCCGACGCCGCCCTTGGCACCGACAAAGGCGATCGACCGTCCGATCGGATCGGCTTCGGGATCGGCGAACAGACCCGAAATCGTGCTCATCAGATCGGCAAGCGAGACCGGCGCGACCATGTACTCGGAAATGCCCGCGCGGATCAGCTCGCGGTAGAGCGCAATGTCGTTGTGATGGCCGATGATGACGACGCGGCTGGAAGGATCGCAGACATCGGCCAGTTCGTTGAGCCGCGCCATCAGTTCGTCGCGGCCGCAGGCGATTTCAATAAAGATCAGATTGGGCGTGGGTGCGGTCTGGTAGAATTCGACGGCCGCGGCAAGACCGCCCATGTAGACGCGCGTCTGCGCCTTCGACATCCGCCTGTCTTCGGCCATGCGCTCGATGGTCGATGCCACGGCCTGGGTCTCGCAGAACGCCTGCACGGAAATGCGCGGCACCGGCCGCACCTGCTGAAGCGCATCGGCCTCTTCGGGCGCCGCCGCCAAGGACTCGGCATCTAGATTAAGAGCGGTATCGGACATGTCACTTGCTTCCGCTTCGGTTTCTGGTCTGTCCGGCGTTCGCGCCGGCAGCATTTTCTGTCATCGTCAATAGGCGACCTCGGAGGCCTTTCCGGTCGGCCCGCTCTGATAGGTGCCGATCACCACACCGCGCTGGGCGGCGTCGATCGGCGACATCGCACGGGGCCCAAGAAGGTCGTTCGGATTGTCGATCTGAGCGGCGAGGTTTTTCTGGGTGGAGCAGCCGAAATCGCTGTAGTGGCGGTTCTGCGCGGTCTCGGCCAGGTTCCCGGTCCACTGACCGCAGGGTTTCGGAACGTCGGCGGTGACACCGTGGAAGGACAGCCGGACCGGAGCGGCGGCGCCATGCCCGCTGGCATCATAGTGCTGGATCGACACGTCGTTGCGGCTGGCGCCGCCTCGCTCGATCGCATCGATGATGGTTTCGCGCACACGATCGGCGGCGTGCTCGTTGGGCGAGTTGGACGGCAGCAGGACATGCAGAACGCCGGTCCGCGACTGTTTGAAGGTGCGGGCGAAGGCGGTGATGTTGCTTTGCGTCGCCGGGTTGAGCGTGCGGGCGCCGCTGGCCACGGCCACGTCGAGCGTCTGCTCCCGCTCCGAGATGACGATCGGATGGTTGGTGCGATAATCGTCCGAAACCGAACTGACGGCGATATTGTCGGTGCCGGTCGCGCAACCGGCCAAAAGGCTCGCCGCGACCAGAAGTCCGCCGACCGTTTGAAGCTGTTTCAAGGACATGGCTGGCTGAACTCCGGTCACTTGTAGATGAAGCCGATCGCGCCGTGGTAGCGGCCGGGCGGCGGTTCTTGGGACTGGCTGCCATAGATGCGGTTGACACGGGTCAGCAGTGCGGCCTGGGCATCGGATGGCGGATTGAAATTGTCGGTCGGACGCGCAAGTTGCGATGCGGCGACCGGTCGCGACAGATAGGGCGTGACAACGATCACAAGCTCGGTTTCGGCGCGGATATAGTCCTGGCTGCGGAACAGCGCGCCCAGGACCGGCACCTTGGACAGTCCGGGAAAGCCAGAGACGACCTGGCGGACATCGTCGCGCAGCAGGCCGGCAATCATCATCGAGCCGCCCGACGGCAGCTCGACGGTCGTGTCAGCGAGCCGCTTGCGCAGCGAAAGGACGCTGACATTGCCGGCAAGGCCACTGACCGAGCCTTCCGAGGTGGGCTCGGAGACCGAGGTGCGGATCTGGAGGCTGATCCGGCCCGGCGACAGGACGACCGGCGTGAATTCGAGGCCGACACCGTAGTCGATCTGCCGGTAATTGACGATGACGCGGCCATCGTCGTCGACGCTGGAGCCATTGACGATGTTGTATTCGCCGCCGGCGCGGAAGATCGCCTTTTCGCCCGACACGGCGGTCAGGGTCGGTTCGGCGAGCGTCTTCATGACGCCGGCCTCTTCCATGGCGCGGAACTGGGCGTTGAGATTCACACTGCCAAAGCCGCCGCCGCTGAAATTGCCGCCAAGGCTCAGTCCGTTGCCGTTCAACGGCTTGCCGTGGGCACCGTAGCTGCCCTCGTTTACGACGCCGAAGGTGATGTCGCCGCTCGAGCCGGTCACCGAAAGGCTGGTGCCGAGCTGCTTCATGACCGAACGCTGAATTTCGGCCACCGTGACCTTCAGCGTCACCTGGTCTCCGCCGGTGATTTCGAGCAGATTGACGATCTGGCTGTTGCCCAGCCGGCCGAAGAAGAAGCCGGTTTCCTGGGTGGTGGCATCGCCGCCCTTGACGAAGATTTCCGCAAGCTGGGCCGCCTTGGCAGCGTCCTGCGGCGTCTGGACCGTGCCGGTCAGGACGATATTGTCGTTGATGATCTCGGTCTTGATGTCCGACCCTGCAATGAACCGCTCCAGATAGCGGTCGAGCCCGGCGACATCGCGTTCGACGCGCAGATCGAGACTGACCAGCTGTTCGCCATTGCGGTCGAAGACGAAGATGTTTGTTTCGCCGACGGACTTGCCAAAAAGGTAGATGCGCCGCGCGGTCCGGGAGACCGCGTCGGCGACCGCCGGATTGGCGACCAGAATGTCATGGGCATCGGCAGGCAGGTCGATCACCAGCGACTTGTCGAGTCCGAGCATGATGCGCTCGCTGCCCGAGGTGTTGCGGCCGACGGAAACCACGCTCTGCGCCTGTGCCTGTGCAAGGCCCGGCAACCCGGACTGGCCAGTCGGCGAAAGCAGCATGGCGACGGCGGCGGACGCCACCAGCAAGAATTTGAACGGATGAGCGGCCATGAGCGGATGCCTGTCGGTTCGTGTCACGTATGCGCGGTCGTTCCGCGCGCGATTGTCGTGGGGAGATGATTTGGTCATGGCGCTGACGTCACTCTCTGGCCGCCCTTGATGACGGTGATCGTTCCGCCCGGACCCGCGCCGATCAGATGGTCGGCGGCGTTCTCGGCCTCGGCCGGGCTGACATCCTTCACCGAGCGCAGCGCAAGCGTCAGCCGGTCGGCCATCTGTCGCGCAACGGTGATGATCTCGGCCTGTTGGGGCGTCAGTTCCAATGTGGCGGTCTGGCCAACCTGGACGAGCCGGCCTTCCTCATCCTCGCGAATGGTCTGGTCGATGGCCAGGATGCGGATGGAGTTCAGAATCGTTTCCGTCCGGAACCCGCCATCGTTCTCCCGGCTGACCATGATGACATCGACATAGTCGTCCGGAAGGATGAAGCCGCCCGCCGATGTGTCGGCTGCGATCTCGGTGGCCACGGCGCGCTTGCCGGCCGGCAGGATGGACGACATGAAGCTCTGATCGGCGCCCAGCAGCTTGATCGGGCGGATCGGCTCGCCCTGAGAGATGGTGGCCCGAACGACGGAATCAGAGAGTTCGCTGATGGCGTCGGGCCGGCTCGAGCGGGTGATGAAGTCGGGCGAGAGCGCGCCGGTCGGCCAGTCTTGCCAGCGGATTCGGTTTTCCACCCGAGCGCCGGTCGTCAGCGTCTCGGTGGCGACCAGAACCTCGTCGAGCTCGATGGCCGGGGCGGAGGGCGCGACCACGACAGTCTCGGTCGGGCCGGACGCTCCCATCATGTTCATCGCCAGGAAACCCGCGGCACCGGCCGCGAGCACCGCAACAGCCATAATCACAAAACGCATCGACATGAGCACACCCGATCTCTGGACGGACCTCGCCGCCATGGGGCGCATTTTCGGTCGTCAATGGTGTACTTATGGTTAACGGTCGCTGCAGCGGTATGCTTAACAAACGGTGAAGCGGCGAAGTGCTCTCGTCATGCCTGGCCGAGTGCCCAAACCATGGCCGGCGACAGGCCGAAAGAGGCGAGCCCGCCGACGGCCAGCGCAATGCCGTAGGGAATGTCCTTCTCGTCGATGATCCGACGGAGCACGCGCACCTCGCCCGCATAGGTGGCAAGGGCCGACTTGCGGAAGACCATCAGGAACAGCGTCAGCGCTCCTCCGGCAACCGTGGCGATCAACAGATAGTTCATCAGCGCCGGACCAAGCCCGAGCCACAGAGCCGTCGAGGCCATCAGCTTGGCATCGCCACCGCCCATCACGCCGACAGCGAACAGCCCGAACGTGACCGTCAGGACGAGGGCAAACGCGGCCAGATGCGTGGCGAACTGCATCCACGTCAGCCCGATGAACGGTGCGATGGCGAGAAATGTCACGATCAGCAGCAAGGAGATCCGGTTGGCGATCGTCATGGTGAACATGTCCGACAGCGCCGCGTAGATCATCGCGAAAGGAAAAACGACAAAGATGATGGCCGAGATCATGACGGTTTCCGTGGCTCAATGCATTGCATGGGCCAAGGCTAACACCGCCTCGTTAAGACTTCCTGAGGCGCGCGGGGCCTGATCCGGAAACGCATGGTTAATGCTTCCTTCACGATTGTCGCCGAAGATGGACGCGGAAAGATCAATGGTCCGGAGTCCGATCATGGCCCTGCGTGTTGCCGGTGTTGTTGCCCTGTCGCTGATGTTCGCTGCGCCTTTGGCGGGTCCGGCAAACGCCGAACCTGCAACCGATGCCGGCGTCGAGGTCGTGCTCAACCAGGCCAAGGTGCTCAAGCTGTCCAGGGCTGCCTCGACGGTGATCATCGGCAATCCGGGCGTCGCCGACGCCACGGTGCATGATGCCAACACGATCGTGTTGACCGGCCAGGGTTTCGGGCGCACGAACATCGTCGTGCTCGACGGTGCCGGCACGCCCATTCTTGACGAACAGGTCGCCGTCGTCCGCGACGATTCGTCGACCTTGCGCATCTACCGGCGCTCGATCGTCGAGACCTTGTCGTGCGAGCCCTTCTGCGAATGGGCCTATCAGACACCGGCCGAAATCGAATCCACCCGCGAGCGCGCCCGCGTGAATGCCATGTTCGAGGCTGGTGCCGGAGGCGACGCAGACCTGTTCGGCAACTAGCCCGCCAATGCATCCATCAGGCCTGTTGGCAGCCGATCATCGCAGCGCCGACACGCTTCGAACCAGTTCGATTGCATAGTCGTAGTCACCCGGAGCCGTTGGCCGGAACGCACCGGCCAGCGATGGCGAGATCGCATCGAACGCCGCCGGCGAAGCCTCGTCGAGCACCACCAGCATCGAAGTCAGCGCCTGCCTTACCTCTTCGGGAACATCGTCACGCACGGCATGGGGCCCGAACGGCACCACGCCTGATCGCCAGGTGATTTCCGCAGCGCCGTCGCCGAGCGCAACCACCGTCGCGGCCAATCCGCCGCCGGGCCGGGGCGCGCCGTCGGGTGCGGCATAATCCCACGCGAAAAACGCAACAAGGTCACCGGCGACAAACGCATCGCGCGCCGTCTCGAAACTGGGTTGGACCGACAGATCGAGGCCAGCCTCGCGCAGCGGCTTGCCCCCAAAGCGGAACGATACCATCGGCGCCAGATCGCCGGTCAGCGATCCGGTGGGGCCATGGCCGACAGGACCGCCGGCCAGTGCCGTCCGGCCATCGCCCTCCCCCGGCCTTACGACGAGCGTTGACTGGACACCAAAGGCGCCCGAAGCGGCGGTCGGCGCGGCCAGCGGCACCAGGCACGCGCACGTCTCCTGGGCCGTCGCAAAGCCAAGCGCCGAAAGGACGGCATATTCGATGCGGCCGGCGGTCTGGGCGTCGATCAGGCTGGGCGCATCGCGCAGCAGCAGAACCTCCACCGGCATTCCGATGGCCGCACTGACCGCATCGCGGAACGGCGCATAGTGTTCCGGCGACCCGTCGCCGGCGCCGCTTCCCACCACTCCGACACGAAAGACGCCGGTTTCCGTGCGCCAGTCGGCCACCGCCGGAGAAGCGGACACAAGCAGAGCCAGCGTCACAGCCAGCCTCGACAGATGTTTCATCTTGCAGGCACCCCAACCCGTCAACGACATGGACCTGGACCACACTCAAGCTTATAAGACGCCGTTGGCGCAAGCGGCATGCCCGATCACGGCCGTGCTGAGGCTGCGGCAACCTGTGGCAAGCGAGGCAGGCACATGGCGCGCGCAATTCTGGTGGTTCTGGATTCGGTGGGCATTGGCGGTGCGGCCGATGCGGCGTCTTTCGGCGATGAGGGCGCCAACACGGTCGGCCACATCATCGACAGGGCGGCCGCCGGCGAAGCCGAAAATGACGATCGCAGCGGCCCGCTCGACTGCCCGAACCTGGCCCGGCTTGGCCTCTTCCACGCGGCCGAACTGGCGTCCGGCCATGCGGGCGCGGCCGCGCTGAAGCCGGCGCGCGTGGACGGCTTCTGGGGCGCCGCGCAGGAGGTCTCGCACGGCAAGGACACGCCTTCCGGCCATTGGGAAATCGCCGGCGTGCCGGTTCTTTTCGACTGGGGCTATTTTCCGCACGAGGTGCCTGCTTTTCCGCAATCCCTGCTCGAGGCGATCTACGCCGAAGCGGGCATTGAGGGCTCGCTCGGCAACCGGCACGCATCGGGCACCGAGATCATCGCCGACCTGGGCGAAGAACACCTGCGCACAGGGTTGCCGATCTTCTACACATCGGCCGACTCGGTCTTCCAGATCGCCGCGCACGAGACCCGGTTCGGACTCGACCGGCTTTATGCGCTCTGCGAGACCGTCCGGACGCTGGTCGACGATATGAACATCGGCCGGGTGATCGCGCGGCCGTTCGTCGGCGAGAACGCAGCCAGCTTCGAGCGGACCGGCAATCGCCGCGACTATTCGGTCCTGCCGCCCGCACCGACCCTTCTCGACCGCACCGTGGCGGCTGGCGGACGGGTGATCGCGGTCGGCAAGATCGGTGACATCTTCGCCCATCAAGGGGTCAGCGAGGTGCGCAAGGCATCGGGTAACGCGGCGATCGGCGAGACCACGCTGAAGGCCATCGACGACGCCGGCGACGGCGACCTGGTGTTCGCCAACTTCGTCGATTTCGACATGCTGTACGGCCATCGCCGCAACGTCGCCGGCTATGCGGCCGCACTCGAGGCGTTCGACCGGTATCTGCCGGAGCTGACCGGCAAGCTGCGCGACGGAGACCTCTTGCTGATCACCGCCGATCACGGCTGCGATCCGACATGGAGCGGCACCGACCATACGCGCGAGCGGGTGCCGATCGTCGGGTTCGGACCGGGCCTTGCCGCGACCGGCGTCGGCATCCGCCCGACATTCGCCGACATCGGCGAAACGCTGGCCGACCATCTGGGCATCGGCGCCGATGACGACGGCACCTCGTTTCTGGGTGAGCTGACGGATCGTGCCTGAGCTGCCCGAGGTCGAAACCGTCCGGCGCGGCCTGCAGCCGGCGATGGAGGGCGCACGGCTGGCGAGGCTCGAACTGCGCCGGGCCGACCTGCGCTTTCCCCTGCCCCGCGATCTGCCGGCGGCGCTCGAAGGCCGGACGATCACGTCTGTCGGCCGGCGGGCGAAATATCTGACGTTGCATTTCGACAGCGGCGCGGTGCTGATCAGCCATCTGGGCATGTCCGGCTCCTACCGCGTCGAGGACGGCGCGGACGCCGCCATCCCGGGGATGTTCCACCACGAGCGCTCGAAGCTTTCCGCGCACGACCATATTGTCTTTCATCTGACCCGCCGGGACGGGACCACCCGGCGCGTCACCTACAACGACCCGCGCCGCTTCGGCTTTGTCGATCTCGACCGCGCCGAGACGCTGGCAGAGAACCAGTACCTGCGCGGGCTGGGGCTCGAGCCGACGGGCAACGCGCTCGACGGCGACCGGCTGGCGGTGATGCTCGCCGGCAAGGCGGCACCTCTGAAAGCCGCCCTTCTGGACCAGCGGCTGATCGCGGGCCTGGGGAACATCTATGTGTGCGAGGCGCTGTGGCGTGCGCGGCTTTCGCCGCGACGCAAGGCCAGAACGCTTGTCACGCGTGCTGGCCGACCGACGCCCCGCTGCCACTCCCTGGCCGACGCCGTGCGCGACGTCATCGCCGACGCGATCGCCGCCGGCGGTTCGTCGCTGCGCGACTATGTGCATGCCGACGGATCGCTGGGCTATTTCCAGCACAGCTTCGCCGTCTACGGGCGCGAGGGCGAGCCCTGCCCGCACGAAGCGTGCGAAGGCACCATCCGGCGCATCGTCCAAAGCGGGCGGTCGACATTCTACTGTCCGGCATGCCAGAGATAGCCGGCCATCAACCCCGATCCACGGAGCGCATCTGCCATGGCCTATGACACGATCATCGTCGAGAAGCGCGGTGAAGCCGGTTTGATCACGCTGAACCGGCCAAAGGCCATGAACGCGCTCAACAAGGCGCTGCTGGACGAGATGATCGACGCTCTTGCGGCGATGCGCGACGATGCCAAGATCGGCGCCGTGGTGATCACCGGCTCGCAAAAGGCGTTCGCCGCCGGCGCCGACATCAAGGAGATGTCGGAGTTCGCGTTCGCAAGCGCCTACATGCACGATGCGCTGGGCGGCTGGGAAACCGTGGCCGGGTTTCCCAAGCCGATGATCGCTGCCGTCAGCGGCTATGCGCTGGGCGGCGGGTGCGAGCTGGCGGCCATGTGCGATTTCATCATCGCCGGCGAGAGCGCCAAGTTCGGACAGCCGGAAGTCACGCTCGGCATCATGCCGGGCATGGGCGGCACACAGCGTCTGGCCCGCTCGATCGGCAAGGCCAAGACGATGGATCTGTGCCTGACGGGCCGGATGATGGACGCCGAGGAGGCCGAACGGTGCGGGCTCGTGGCGCGGATCGTACCGGACACGGAGTTGATCGAGGAAGCCATCAGCGCCGCGCAGAAGATCGCCAGCTTCTCATTGCCTTCGGTGATGATGGCCAAGGAGACCATCAACCAGGCGTTCGAGACGGGCCTCGCCGAAGGGCTGCGGTTCGAAAGGCGGCTGTTTCACGCCATGTTCGCCCTCGAGGACCAGAGCGAGGGCATGGCCGCGTTCATCGACAAGCGCACGCCGAGTTTCCGCAACCGGTGAGGCGGGGCAAAGCGCCATCCGCCGTTGACTGGCAGAGCATTTGAGATTATAGCCACGCAATCTTGGCGGCAGATTTGCCGCCATAATTGTTCAAGGCCGTCCAGCGATCGTCCATCCGGTCCGGCGGCCGCTTCCGGGTTCCGGACCAGATCGAGAGAGGCAAGCATGGCCAACACAAGGTCAGCCAAGAAGGCAACGCGCAAGATCGAGGCGCGCACCGAAGTCAACACCGCGCGCCGCTCGCGCGTGCGCACCCACATCCGCAAGGTCGAGGAAGCCATCGCGGCCGGCGATCAGGCGGCTGCAACCGAAGCTTTGAAAGTCGCGCAGCCTGAACTTATGCGTGCAGCGTCCAAGGGCGTGATGCACAAGAACACGGCTTCGCGGAAGGTCTCGCGCCTGGCAAGCCGCGTGAAGGCAATCGCCGGCTAGTTTTGCTTCGTCGGCTCAGCTTTTGAACAACCCGGCCTCGGCCGGGTTTTTTCGTTCTCCGGCTAACAAGAAAATTCCCGTTGGGCGACAGCCATTTAGCGTGGCTGTCCGATATCGAACGGACCTGCCGTGCCGCGGCGGCGACAGCGGATTTGCATGGCGCTGCCCAATATTTCCCTTTGTTTTCAATACCTTACGAAACAACGCCTCCGAGAGGCCACCGCGCTCCCGCGAAACGGAATCTGCGCAAGAGTCAAGCCTTCACATGCGAAAAAAAATTTGCCGAAAGCTGCATTTTTTGTCGTTTCGAAAGAAGCTGTGGAATCCCAATCGCTTATCTTTTGCAAAGCGAATCGGGACACATTTTGTTCCCGAAATCCGAGGCGCAGCTCGGTTAAAAATGCCCTAACGGGCCTTGTAACAACGGCTCGGATGGGGCTAATTTGTCCTCACTGAACGGGCGCGCGTTCCTGCTGAAAATAGCGAGCCGACAAGCCGATTGCGACTATAAGTTGCATTCGCGGCGGGTGCGTGCGTCCAGCGGTCCCGGGGCAGGGCCAATTCGGGAGTTGAGCGATTGCGCAGTGACGGGACCCTGCGGTTCCGGCAGCGGGGGAGTATTGCCCGGATTTGAGAAGGTGTCCGTGGTGGCGACAGATCGTCGCCATGTCCGCGGGCGTGGATGAAGACGATGGCGGCCAGCGGCCGGCAGACATTGATTGCGGGACATAACCGACGCCTGTTTGTGTTTTGCGTCGGTCCACACGGGGCACATGACCGTCATGGCCCGCAATGTTGAAAACAGGGCGGCCTTGGCGTGTGCGCATGCCGTTGCAGGTCAGAAGGAGGCGAACATCGACATGCGAGGGGAAGCCAGCAGGGTGGCGCAATCAACGACGCAGCCCGCACCACTGTTTCACACATCCGAACGAGATCCGTTTCCCGATCGACAGCCCGGCCAGCAGCCGGTTGCACAGTCGAGAAAGGGGAGCGAGATCGTGAGCAAGAAGAAAAGCGAAGAAGGCGGCAGGGCGGGCCAGCCGACCGGAGACGGCAGGACGACATTCGACAAGGTGTGCCAGCAGCTTCGCGCCAAGCTGGGCGGCGAAGTCTACCAAAGCTGGTTCAAGCGCCTCAAGCTTGAGGACGCCTCCGGCCCGGTCATTCAGCTTTCGGTTCCGACACCGTTCCTGCGCAACTGGATCAACAACCACTATCTCGATACCATCCTCGACTTCTGGCGGGAGGCAGACGGCAACGCGTTGAAGATCGACGTGGTCGTTCGCAGCGCCACGCGCGGCGCGGCCGTCTCGGAACGCGCCGGCCAAGTCGCGGACGCCGCCCGAGCCAGCGCGGAGAGGGCCAAGGCCAATGCAATGGCCAAGTCGGACCGCACGCCTGCGGCGGCGGCCGCGCGCCAGGGCGTTGCCGAAACCGGCCGCAATGGCGAGATGCTCGGATCGCCCGTCGACAGCCGCTACACGTTCGACAGTTTCGTGGAGGGCCCGTCCAACCGCGTATGCCTTGCGGCCGCCCGGGCCGCGGTCGAGCAGGGGCCGAACGCGGCGCGTTTCAACCCGCTCTTCTTCCATTCCAATGTCGGGCTGGGCAAGACCCATCTGCTGCAGGCGATCGCCAATGCGGCCAAGGCGAAGGACCCCACCAAGCGCGTCGTCTACCTGACGGCGGAATACTTCATGTGGCGGTTCGCCAGCGCGATCCGCGACCAGAGCGCGCTGCGCCTCAAGGAGACGCTGCACGAGATCGACCTTCTGGTGATCGACGACATGCAGTTCCTGCAGGGCGAGAAGATCCAGTCCGAGTTCTGCCACCTGATCAACACGCTGCTCGACAGCGCGCGGCAGGTGGTCGTTGCCGGCGACCGGCCGCCGTCGGAGCTGGAATCGCTCGACCCGCGCGTGCGCTCGCGCCTGCACGGCGGCGTTGCGCTGGAGATCCAGGCGCCGGACTACGACATGCGGCTGTCGATGCTGCAGCGGCGTCTCGAGGAAGCGCGGCGCGACGACACCTCGCTCGACATTTCCGAGCAGGTGCTCGCCCATGTCGCCCAGACGGTCTGTTCGAGCTTCCGTGAACTTGAAGGCGCGTTCAACCAGCTCGTCTTCCGCCATTCGTTCGAGCCGGACATCGCGCTCGACCGGGTCGACGACATTCTGGGCCATCTGGTGCGCATCGACGACGACAAGAAGATCCGCATCGAGGACATCCAGAAGACGGTGGCCAACCACTACAATGTCGCGCGCGGCGAGATGCTGTCGAACCGGCGCACCCGTTCGGTCGTGCGGCCGCGGCAGATCGCCATGTACCTGTCCAAGACCATGACGCCGCGCTCGCTGCCTGAGATCGGGCGACGGTTCGGCGGCAAGGATCACACGACGGTCCTGCATGCGGTCCGCAAGGTCGAGTCACTGATCAAGGACGACCCGAAGCTGGCCAAGGAAATCGAGCTTCTGCGGCGGCTGATCAAGGAATAGGCCTGCAGCAAGCGCCTCGCACACGGCGTGCGCTTTATCCCCAAAGTTTGCCGTGGCCGGCCCGCAAGGGCCGGCCATCGCACTTGCATTTCGACGTTCGAGCCGCCACATTCGCGATCCCGAGGGGACGACGATTTGCGGACGGACAACCGGCCGGAGCGGCGCCCTTTCCATTCGCCGGCCTCGTGTCTCCGGGCCGGCCTTCTGATATGCCAGACCGGATCATTCGACCATGCGCGTGACCCTTGAGCGAGCCAACCTTCTGAAATCCCTCAATCATGTGCATCGCGTCGTCGAGCGGCGCAACACGATCCCGATTCTGTCGAACGTGTTGCTGAAAGCCGATGGCGGAAGCCTCGCCATGACTGCGACCGACCTGGACCTTGAGATCAACGAGGCGGTGCCGGCGCATGTGGAACAGGCCGGTGCGACCACCGTCCCCGCGCACCTTCTCTACGACATCGTCCGCAAGCTGCCGGACGGCTCGGAGGTCATGCTGTCGACCGATGCGGACGGCGCTACGATGAGCGTCGTCACCGGCCGGTCGCAGTTCAAGCTGCAGTGCCTGCCCGAATCCGACTTCCCGCAACTGGCGGCCGGCGAATTCGACCACAGTTTCCGACTGGACAGCGCCGTGCTGCGCCGGCTGATCGAGGCGACCCAGTTCGCCATCTCGACCGAAGAGACGCGCTATTATCTGAACGGCATCTATCTGCACACGGCCGAAGCCGACGGCGACATCGTGCTGCGCGCGGTTGCCACAGACGGCCATCGCCTGGCCCGTGCCGAAACCAAGGCGCCGGACGGCGCCGAGAGCATTCCCGGCGTGATCGTGCCGCGCAAGACGGTGGGCGAACTCCAGAAGCTGGTCGACGATCCGGACGTGTCGGTGCAGATCGAACTGTCCGACAGCAAGGTCAGGTTGACCATTGGTTCTGTCGTGCTGACATCGAAGCTGATCGACGGCACCTTTCCCGATTATCAGCGCGTCATTCCGGTCGGCAACGACAAGGACATGGTCATCGACCGCAAGGTCTTCACCGAGGCCGTCGACCGCGTATCGACGGTCTCGTCGGAACGGGGCCGCGCGGTCAAGCTGGCGCTGTCGGACGGGCAGTTGACGCTGGCCGTCAACAACCCCGATTCCGGTTCGGCGACCGAGGAGTTGCCGGCCGGTTACGACGCCGAGGCGATCGAGATCGGTTTCAATGCGCGTTATCTTCTCGACATCGCCAGCCAGCTCGGCAGCAACGAGGTGAAGTTCTCGTTCGCCGATGCCGGCTCGCCGACGCTGATCGAGGACCCCGAGGACAAGAACGCGCTCTATGTGCTCATGCCGATGCGCGTCTGAAGGCGCTGCGACGCCGGCGCCACGGGCGGCGGCACGCCGATGAGCACGCTTGTCCGCCTGTCGGCCCTGACGCTGACCGATTTCCGCAACCATGAACAAACGACGCTTGCGCTCGACGGGCGCCATGTGGTGCTTTCGGGCCCCAATGGCGCGGGCAAGACAAATCTGATCGAGGCCGTGTCGCTGCTCTCTCCGGGGCGCGGGCTGCGCCGGGCCAACCTGTCCGACATGGCGCGCAAGGGCGCCGACGGGTTTTCGGTGTTCGCGAAGCTCGAACGCGACGGCGATGGCTATGCGGTCGGCACCGGGACGGCGGGCGTGACGCCAACGGAGAACGGCGCGCGGACAAGGCGGGTGCGCATCAACGGAACCAATGCGGCCAGCGCCGACGAACTGCTCGATCTGGCGCGCATTCTCTGGCTGACACCGGCCATGGACGGGCTTTTCACCGGCCCTGCGGCGGATCGGCGCCGCTTCACCGACCGCATGGTGCTGGCGATCGATCCCGGGCACGGGCGGCGCGCACGGGACCATGAAAAGGCAATGCGGCAGCGCAACCGGCTGCTGGAGGCGCCGCCGAACGCCCAGAACGATCTGATGCTCGATGCGATCGAAGCGCAACTGGCGGCGCTGGGCACGGCAATCGTCATCGCGCGGCAGGAGCTTGTCAGCCTGCTGGCCGCGCTGATCGCCGAAACGCCGCAGGGCGCTCGTTTTCCCATGGCGGACCTGTCGATGGCGGGCGAACTCGAGGCGCGGCTGGCGGACGGCATGGCCGCCGGCGACCTTCAGGCTTGGCTTGAAACCGACATGCGCGGCAAGCGCGGGCGCGACCGGGCGGCGGGCCGCACGCTGACCGGGCCGCACCGGGCCGATCTCGTCGTTGAGCACCGGCAAAAGGCCATCGCCGCGTCGCTGTGTTCGACGGGCGAGCAAAAGGCGCTCCTGATCGGCTTGCTGCTCGCCCATGCGGCGCTGACGGCATCGGTCAGCGCGATGACTCCGATCCTGCTGCTCGACGAGGTCGCTGCCCATCTCGACCCTGAACGCCGCGCGGAGCTGTTCGACCGGGTGCACGGGATCGGCGGCCAGGCCTTCATGACGGGCACCGACCGGAACCTGTTTGACGCGCTCGGAGACCGTGCGCAATATCTGCGGGTCGAAGACGGAACCGTCACCGCCGATGGCTGAGCCCCCTGCCCTGGATGCCAAACAGATCGAACGCTATGCGCGGCACATCGTGCTGCCGGAGATCGGCGGCGCGGGCCAGCAAAGGCTCGCCGGTGCGCGCATCGCCATGATCGGCGCCGGCGGCCTCGGTTCGCCGGCACTGACCTATCTGGCCGCGGCCGGTGTGGGGACGCTGACCGTCATCGACGATGATGCCGTGTCGCTGTCAAACCTGCAGCGGCAGACGCTGCATATGACCGACGCGGTCGGGCAACCGAAGGCGCAAAGCGCCGCTGCGCAGATTGCCGCGATCAATCCGCATGTTCGGGTCGATGGCCGGGCCGAGCGGCTGGCACCGGACAATGCCGAATCGCTTCTTTCCGGTCACGATGTGATCATGGACGGGTCGGACAATTTCGAAACACGCCGCCTTGCCGCCGATGTGGCCGAGCGGCTCGAAACGCCGCTCGTTACCGGCGCGATCCAGCGCTTTGACGGATCGGTCACTGTGTTCGCGCCTTTCAGGAACGATGAGGACGGCAAGCCGTTGCCGCGCTATCGCGATCTTTATCCCGACCTGCCCGCGCCGGGAACGGTGCCGACATGTGCCGAGGCCGGCGTTCTGGGGGCGCTGGCCGGCGTCATCGGATCGCTGATGGCCACCGAAGCGATCAAGCTGGTGACAGGGGCGGGAGAACCGCTTTTCGGCCGCCTGCTGCTTTATGATGCGCTGTCGACACGGTTTGAGACGATGCGATATGGCCGGCGCGCTTGACCGGGATCGGCGCGCGCGTCATTAGGTCTTCAGACGGATGTTGTCACGGCGCCGGGACGTTTCCGGGCGCGTGTAGAGCAAGGGGGCCTTCGATGTTTCTGTTCTTCATACTGGTTTTGACCGCAATCGCGATCGCGATCGCTGTCTGGCTTTACCTCTACCTGTCGCGCCGCGCGCTCGACAAATCCATGTCGGGGGACAATGCGGCCAAACCGCTGGTCCGTTCGCCACGCACCGCCGGCGGCAAGGCGTGGGAAAACCCCGTCTCCGCCGGTCCAGGCTCCGTCGCGGCGCCGGCGGCCGGCGTCGCGCCAGCAACCAGCACAAAACCGGCGGCGTCGAAGGGGGCGGCTGCGGCAACCGGCTCGGCATCGACCGCGGCGGGCGCAAAAGCGCGAAAGGCCGGCAAGCCATCGAAGTCGGGCACCAAAGCGGCTGGCGCCAGTTCGGCTTCGACCTCCACCGCGGCAGCGGGCAGCGTGTCCGGCAAAGGCAGCGTGTCCGGCAAGGGCCGCGGGTCTGGCAAGAGCGGCGGCAAGGCGTCCAAGTCGGGCGCCACGGCCACAAAGGCAGCCGCAGCAACCGGATCATCGACCGCCTCGTCCGCATCCCGCAAGGACGGCAAAGCAGGAAAAGCGGCAAAAGGCGGCAAGTCCGAAAAACCCGGCAAGCCGTCAAAGGCCGCGTCGGAGACGCCGCCCAAGGCGCCTGACGGCCCACTTTTCGCCGCACCCTCCGGCACCAAGGACAAGCTGACCGACATCAAGGGCATCGGCCCGGTCGCCGAGCGTCAGCTCAACGAGCAAGGCATTACCACCTTTGCGCAGATTGCCGGGCTGAGCGCATCGGACATCCAGCGCATCGACGATTACATGCCGTTCAGCGACCGGCAGATCCGCGACTGGCAGAAACAGGCCAAAAAGAAGGCCTGATGCCCACCGACGGGGCCGGCGTCGTACCGCCGGCCCGCTGCTTCACACCATCGATGGCAGGATGCGATCGGGCGGCCGATCTCCGCTCGCCACCATCCGGATGTTGATGATCACCTTCTCGCCCATCTCGATGCGGCTTTCGATGGTGGCCGAACTCATGTGCGGCAGAAGCACCACCTTGCCCTGGGCGGCCAGCTTGCACAGCCGGTCGTCGACCTTGGGCTCATGCTCGAACACGTCGAGCCCGGCGCCGGCGATGCGGCCGTCTTCCAAGAGCCTGATCATCGCATCCTCGTCGATGATCTCGCCGCGCGCGGTGTTGACGATAAAGGCGGACGGCCGCAGCAGTTCGAGCCGGCGGGCCGACAGCAGATGGAAAGTCGCCGGCGTATAGGGGCAATTGACCGAGACGATGTCCATATGGGCGAGCATCCGGTCGAGGCTTTCCCAATAGGTTGCGCCCAGCTCCTTTTCGATGACCGGCGCGGCCCGGTTGCGATTGTGATAGTGAACGGCCAGTCCGAATGCCTTTGCGCGGCGCGCAACGGCGATGCCGATGCGGCCCATGCCGACAATTCCGAGCCGCTTGCCGTGAATGCGGCGCCCGAGCATCCATGTCGGCGACCAGCCGTCCCAACGGTCTTCGCCGAGAAGATAGCCTGCGCCCTCGACGATCCGGCGCGGCGCGGCGAGAATGAGCGCCAGCGTCATGTCGGCCGTGTCTTCGGTCAGGACGTTCGGTGTGTTGGTGACGAAGATGCCGCGCTCATGGGCGGCGGCGATGTCGATATTGTCGACGCCATTGCCAAAATTCGCGATCAGCTTGAGGCGCTTGCCGGCGCCCGCGATCAGGTCCGCATCGATGCGGTCGGTAACGGTCGGCACCAGCACGTCGGCTTGGGTCATGGCGCGCGCCAGATCGTCGCGGCCGAACGGCTTGTCGTCGCCGTTCAGGCGTACGTCGAACAGCTCCCGCATGCGCGCCTCGACCCGGTCGGGAAGACGGCGCGTGACGATCACGGTCGGCTTTGTGTCCAAGACGTGGCCCTTTCCCCTGAATGTTCCGGCCAACCCGATACCGACGCCCGATGGCCGGGCAAGGGTGTCCGTTGATCGCTCGTTAACCAACAAATGCGACGGTGTGAAAAGCCGTGCGGACGCATCATCTCTAGCAAGCGCGCCCGCCGGTGCAAAGGGGTCTCGACGGCCGCGGCCCTGGTCGCGCGCCATGGTTCGCGCCGCCGCCGGCCGACAAACGGACAGGTGACACATGCGTTTGGTACTGGCCGTGGCACTGGCATTGACGATGGTTCCGGCAGGCGGCGCCCCGACGGCGTCCGCGCAGACGACGAGCTCGGTCTCACGCGGCCCCAGCGGCCTTCCGCTGCCGCGCTTCGTTTCGCTGAAGGCCGAGCGGGTCAACATGCGGGTCGGACCGGGCAAGCAATATGCGGTGGCCTGGCGCTACGTGAAGACCGGTCTGCCGCTGGAGGTCATCCAGGAGTATGACAATTGGCGCCGGGTCCGCGATTCCGAAGGCGATACGGGCTGGATCCACGGCTCGCTCCTGTCGGGCACGCGCACGGCGATCGCAACGCCATGGCGCAATGCCCGCGATGCGCGCAACGTCATCACGCTCTATGCGGAATCGCGCGCCGGCGCGGAAGCGGTCGCCAAGCTGCAGCCGGGCGTGGTCGGCAAGATCGAGCGTTGTGACGGCGCCTGGTGCGAACTGGAAGTTCGCCACAAGGACCGGACGCTGAGCGGTTTCGTCGCGCAGGCCGACCTGTGGGGTGCCTACCCCGACGAAATCATCGAATAGGGGCGAACCGACTCGAACGTTCGGGGGCGGGCGATATCGCCCGCGCGGTCAGCGTGCCTTGCGCGTCGGACGCAGCCGGATCACCACATCCACGTTGGCGATCTCCATGCCTTCGGGCGGCGTGGGCAGATCACCGACCGTGACCGTACCCTCGGGCACGTCCATCACCACGTTGCTCTCCTCGATGAAGAAGTGGTGATGATCGGACGTATTGGTGTCGAAATATGTGCGCTGGCCCTCGACGGCGAGGATGCGCAACAGCCCCGCATCGGTAAACTGGTGCAGCGTGTTGTAGACGGTCGCCAGCGATACCGGAATGCCGGCGTCCAGCGCCTGCCGGTGGAGATCTTCTGCGGCGATGTGCTGATCGTGCTCGCCGAACAGCATGGACGCCAATGCAACGCGCTGCCGGGTCGGCCGAAGGCCGACCGACTGGAGGAGATTGCGTGTGTCGGAGCTGTGTGCCCCGGCGCTTTCAGTGCGCGCCATCTTCGATCCCAAAAACAGCCGTGAACACAGGGATTTTCCCTGTTGTTGCAACTCATTTTCATATATTCGCATTGGCGCTGAATGGCAATAGCTCCGCCCGGCGCGACCGCAGCGTCAATTTGACCGGGCCGCAGGGGATCAATAAACAGACGCGGCCGGCGCCAAGGCTTGGGCCGGCAGTCAAGAACGCGGAGGACGCCCACCGGCATGGCCGAGCAGAAATCAAGCTACACCTACGAGGACATCCTGGAATGCGCGCGCGGGGACCTGTTCGGCCCGGGCAATGCGCAATTGCCGGCGCCGCCCATGCTGATGCTGCATCGCATCACCGACATATCCGAGACCGGCGGTGACCATGACAAGGGTTATGCCCGCGCCGCGTTCGACATCACGCCGGATCTGTGGTTCTTCGAGTGCCACTTCATCGGCGACCCGGTGATGCCGGGGTGTCTGGGCCTGGACGCGCTGTGGCAGCTCACGGGCTTCTACCTTGGCTGGCTGGGCGAACCGGGCAAGGGCCGGGCACTGTCGACCGGCGAAATCAAGTTTACCGACATGGTCACGCCTTCGGTCAAGCTGCTCGAGTTCGGCATCGATTTCAAACGCGTGCGCCGCGGGCGGCTGGTGCTTGGCATCGCGGACGGCTGGATGAAAGCCGACGGCGAAACCATCTACCAGGCTACCGACCTCCGCGTCGGGCTCTTCAAAGCCTGACGCAAAACAACGGGAAGCGAACATGAAACGCGTCGTCGTCACCGGCATGGGGATCGTCTCGTCGATCGGCAATGATACGGACGAGGTGCTGACCTCGCTGCGCGAAGCGCGGTCGGGCATCAGCCATGCGGCCGAATATGCGGAGCTGGGCTTCAAATGCCATGTCCATGGCGAGCCGACGCTCGATCCGTTCACGGTTCTCGACCGGCGGGAGTCGCGGTTCCTGGCGCGCGGATCGGCCTGGAACTACATCGCCATGCGCCAGGCCATCGCCGATGCGGCGCTGGGCGACGATCTGGTCTCCAACGAGCGGACCGGCATCATCATGGGTTCGGGCGGCCCGTCGACCCGCACCATCTTCGAGGCGGCGCTGCTGACCCAGAAGAACAACTCCCCCAAACGGATCGGGCCTTTCGCGGTGCCCAAGGCGATGTCATCGACCGCTTCGGCAACGCTCGCAACGCCGTTCAAGATCAAGGGCGTGAACTATTCGATCTCGTCGGCCTGCGCGACGTCGAACCACTGCATCGGCAATGCCTATGAGACCATTCAGATGGGCAAGCAGGACATCGTCTTCGCCGGCGGCAGCGAGGATCTGGACTGGACGATGTCGAACCTGTTCGACGCGATGGGCGCCATGTCAACCAAGCACAATGAAACGCCATCGACCGCATCGCGCGCCTATGATGCCAGCCGCGACGGGTTCGTCATCGCCGGCGGCGCCGGCGTTCTGGTGCTCGAGGAACTCGAGCATGCCAAGGCCCGAGGCGCGAAGATCCATGGCGAGGTCGTCGGATACGGCGCGACATCGGACGGCTATGACATGGTCGCTCCGTCCGGCGAAGGCGCGGTGCGCTGCATGAAGATGGCGCTCGCCACCACCGAAGGCTCGGTCACCTATATCAACACGCACGGCACCTCGACGCCGGTGGGCGACGAGCGGGAGATGGAAGCCATACGCACCGTCTTCGGCGACGCGCTGCCGCACATCTCCTCGACCAAATCGCTGACCGGCCACTCGCTGGGTGCAACCGGCGTGCAGGAGGCGATCTACACGCTTTTGATGATGAACAACCGGTTCGTCGGCGAAAGCGCCCACATCACCGAGCTCGATCCGAAGTTTGAAGGCATGCCGATCGCGCGGCAGCGGATCGACGATGTCGAATACGACATCGCCATCTCCAATTCGTTCGGGTTTGGCGGAACCAATGCGACGCTGGCGTTCCAGCGGTTCGCCGACTGATGCGGCCGAGGGAAGGGACACGCCGATGACAGGACTGATGAGCGGCAAGCGCGGCCTGATCATGGGCGTCGCCAACGACCATTCGATCGCCTGGGGAATAGCCAAGGCCGTTGCCGAGCAGGGAGCCGAGCTCGCCTTCACCTATCAGAGCGAAGCGCTCGGAAAACGCGTCAAGCCGCTGGCCGGAGAACTCGGCTCGTCGCTGGTCATGCCCTGCGATGTCGAGGATGTCGGCACCGTCGCCTCGGTGTTCGAAACGCTGGGCAGCGAATGGGGCAGTCTCGATTTCATCGTCCATGCGATCGGGTTCACCGACCGGTCGCAGCTCAAGGGCCGCTATGTCGACGTGACGACGCGTGAGAACTTCACGCGGACCATGGTCATCTCGGCCTATTCGTTCACCGAGGTCGCGCAGCAATCGATGGCTCTTCTCAACCCCGGCGCCTCGCTTCTGACGCTGACCTATGGCGGATCGACACGGGTTATGCCCAACTACAATGTGATGGGCGTGACCAAGGCCGCGCTGGAAGCCAGCGTGCGCTACATGGCGGCCGACTTCGGCGCCCAGGGCATCCGCGTCAACGCGCTTTCGGCGGGTCCGGTACGGACGCTGGCCGGCGCCGGCGTGTCCGATGCCCGGCTGATGTACAATTTCCAGCAAAAGAACTCGCCGCTGGCCCGGGCGGTCAATCTGGACGATATCGGCGGCGCCGGGCTTTACCTTCTGTCCGACCTTTCCGGAGGCGTGACCGGCGAAATCCACTATGTCGACAGCGGCTACAACATCATGTCGATGCCGCGCCTCGACGAGCTCAGGCGCACCGACCAAAAATAACCCACACGAGGCCGCAACCACAGCGTGCCGCAATGCTTCATTTCACCCCTTTTTAGGGTTTTGCTGCGAATTTGCCCGCAAGGGGGCAAAATGAAGCGCAACAAAGTACCCAAGCAGACCCGCGTCTTCCGCGCACTGACCATCTTCTCCAGCGGCATGGGCGCGGCAATGCTGGCGCTTTGGGCGCTGGACATGGCCGGCATGACGCTGAGCAGCTATCGCGAAGCGGCAACCTTCGGGGCCATCGTTCTGGGCCTGGCGTCGCTCGCGGGCGCGGGCACGGCACACGCCTATTTCGCCGGCGGCGACGATGCGAGCCAGACCTACGAGGCCTTGCTGAGCGTCGATTCGGTGACCGGCCTTTTGTCACGCAGCGGCCTGGCGGAAAGCCTCGACGGCTATGTCTCGAAAGGCGGCGGCCCCAGCCGGATGAACCGCTTCTTCCTGATCAGCCTCGACTTCGATTCCCTGCGCGATTTCAACGAAACCTATGGTCTGGAAACTGGCGACTCGCTTTTGCGCGTGTTCGGCGACCGGCTGCAGCGCGTTGTCGGCGATACCGGCCTTGCCGCACGCACAAGCGGCGGCGAGTTCGTGATCGTCCTGGCCGCCAATCATGACGACCGGGAGCTGCGCGCGGCGACCGAAGCGCTACTCGGGATCCTGTCGCTGCCGGTACGTGTCGGCAATGCGTCACATTCGGTCTTCTGGAACGCGGGCGTCGCCGAGATTCACAAGAACAACCCGCCGATGGAACGCATCCTGCGCCATGCCAATCTGGCGCGCACGACATCGCGCGCCACCGGCCGCGGCACATGGTCGATCTACCATCCCGAGATGAGCCAGGTCGCCGCCTACCGCCACTGGATCGAAGCGGAATTGGGCGGAGCCCTGCAACGGGACGAGCTGATGCTGCACTACCAGCCCAAGGTCCACGCCGTTACCGGCGAAACGGTTGGCTATGAAGCCCTGTTGCGATGGAACCACCATCAGAACGGCTCGATCCCGCCATCGGAGTTCATCCCGATCGCCGAACAGTGCGGGCTGATCCAGCAGATCGGCGACTTCGTCCTGCGCCGCGTGTGCGAAGACCTCGAGCAGCTGCCCGACAACATCTCCGTGTCGGCCAACGTTTCGCCGGCGCAGTTCAACCGGGACGATTTCGTGGCCAATCTCGGCCGATTGATCAACGGCACCGAAATCCGGCCCGACCGGCTGGAGATCGAAGTCACCGAAACGCTTCTGATCCGCAACCACAGCGAGGTCAGACGGCTGCTCGCCCAGCTGCGCGAGCTCGGCATCCTGCTGGCGATCGACGATTTCGGGACCGGCTATTCAAACCTTTCGACACTGAACGAGCTGCGCTTCAACACGCTGAAGATCGACAAATCCTTTGTCGACCGTCTCACCGACAAGGACCCCGCCGCCAGCACCATGGTTGCATCGATCGTCGGCATGGCGCGGTCCATGGGAGCATCCGTGGTTGCCGAAGGTGTGGAAACCCAGGACCAGGCGACACTCTTGCGCGCGGCCGGATGCACGATCATGCAGGGCTATCTGTTCGGCAAGCCGCAGCCGCTGTCGGCCATCAAGCATCATCACCGCGACAGCGAAGCGGGGCCGGCCGGCGCGCTGCCTGCGGTGCCTCAGCCCGAGTTTCTCGCGGCAGCATCCTGACCGCCGGTTCTGCGTGGCCGGGATGCCTCGATCAGCTTGAAACCGTCGCGGACCTCGCCTTCCACAAAGGCTGCGAAGCGATCCCGAAGTGTTTGCTCATAGGGCAGGCGCCGATTTGCGACCAACAAAAGCCGGCCCGAAGGCTTCAACGCCCGCGCGGCGGCCGCGATGAAGGCGCGGCCGAGATCGGGTTCGCTCGCACGACCCGTGTGAAAAGGCGGGTTCATCACGACCCAGTCGAACGGTCCGGGCAGCGGCTCGGTCGTCACGTCCAGCCAGCGGCCGGTGACGGGTACTTCGCCCCTGAGCGGTGCGAGATTGGCAAGTGCCTGGTCGAGCGCAGGCCTGTATGCTTCGACCAGATCGAGCGAAGCCGGCCTTGCCTGCGTCAGAACCGCGCCGGACAAATAGCCCCAGCCCGCTCCGAAATCGGCGACGGTGCCGGCGATGCGGCCATCGATGTGCTCGGCGAGCAGCGCCGACCCGATATCGATGCGGTCGGACGAGAACATGCCGGGCGCTGCGGCAAAACCCGGCGCCGGTTCGGTTACGGGCAGCGCAACGCCTGCAAACGCATCTTCACTGGCCGGGAACCAGAACGCGATGCCGTGATGCTTGGCGAGCGAGCCGCCTAGCGTCACCTGCCCGCCGGCCCATTTGCGAGCGCTGGCCGCCCCCAGCGCCTTGTCGCCCGCGACGAGGACCGATCCGCCGGGACGAACCGCATCATTGGCCTCGGCGATCATCGCCTCATTGAGACGCCGATGCTTGCCGAGCAGGACGAGCGCGCCGTCAAACGGATCTTCAGGCGCTTCGGGCCAAACCTCGTGGCCGGCCCGTTCCAGTGCCAGAAACGCCGGACGTGACGGCTGCACGCAGCAAAGCCGGGCCTGTGCGAACAGATCGCCGGCGGAACCCGGATCGGCGGCATTGAGGAACAGCCACGCGCTTCCGGTCTCCGGCAACGGGACCTCACCCGCCTCAAACGGCGCAAGCAGCGTCTTTACCGGTCGATCCATGACAACGCCCCAAACGAAAAACGCGGGGCCTGGAATGCATCCAGCCCCGCGTTTCCGGTTTCATTGGCCGATGACGATCAATCGTCGGCCTTTTCCTTCTTGCGCTCGATCTCCTTGCCGGTCTCCTGATCGACGACCTTCATCGACAGGCGGACCTTGCCGCGCTCGTCAAAGCCCATCAGCTTGACGAAGACCTTGTCGCCTTCCTTGACGACATCGGTGGTCTTGCCGACGCGTTCAGACGCAAGCTGCGAGATGTGAACGAGACCGTCCTTGGGACCGAAGAAGTTGACGAAGGCGCCGAAGTCGGCGGTCTTGACCACGGTGCCCTGATAGATTTCGCCCACTTCGGGCTCGGCAACGATCGTGTGGATCCACTGCTTGGCCGCCTCGATCTCCTTGCCCGAGGACGATGCAATCTTGACCGTGCCATCGTCTTCAATGTTGATCTTGGCGCCGGTCTTTTCGACGATCTCGCGGATGATCTTGCCGCCCGAGCCGATCACGTCACGGATCTTGTCGACCGGGATGTTCATCACCTCGATGCGCGGGGCGAACTCGCCCAGCTCCTCACGGCTTTCCGACAGCGCGTTGGCCATCTCGCCCAGAATGTGCGCGCGGCCGCCCTTGGCCTGGTCGAGGGCGATCTTCATGATCTCCTCGGTGATGCCGGCGATCTTGATGTCCATCTGCAGAGAGGTGATGCCCTCGGCGGTGCCCGCGACCTTGAAGTCCATGTCGCCCAGATGATCCTCGTCACCGAGAATGTCCGACAGGACAGCGAACTCGTCGCCTTCCAGGATCAGGCCCATGGCGATGCCGGCCACGGGCGCCTTGATCGGAACGCCGGCATCCATCAGCGCCAGCGAGGTGCCGCAGACGGTCGCCATGGAGGAAGAGCCGTTGGATTCGGTGATCTCGGAGACGACGCGCAGCGTGTAGGGGAATTCTTCCGCTTCCGGCAGCACCGGATGGACGGCGCGCCAGGCCAGCTTGCCGTGGCCGATCTCGCGGCGGCCCGGCGATCCCATGCGGCCCGCTTCACCGACCGAATAGGGCGGGAAGTTGTAGTGCAGCATGAAATTCTCTTTGTAGGTGCCGGTGAGCGAATCGACGAACTGCTCGTCCTCGCCGGTACCCAACGTGGCAACGACCATGGCCTGGGTTTCGCCGCGCGTGAACACGGCCGAGCCGTGGGTGCGCGGGAAGACGCCGACTTCCGAAACGATCTGGCGGACCGTCGACAGGTCGCGTCCGTCGATGCGCGTCTTGGTCTTGAGGATGTTGCCGCGCACGACCTTGGCCTGCAGGTCCTTGAAGACGGACTTGATCTGCTCGGGGTTCCAGGCCGGGTTCTCGGCGCCTTCGGGGTAGAGCGTCTCGAAGACCTTGGTCTTGGCGGCGTCGATGGCGGCGTAGCGAGCGCCCTTGTCGGTGATCTTGTAGGCCTCGGCCAGTTCGTCGGAGATCAGGCCGCCCATCGTCGCTTCAAGTTCGCTGAGATCCTCGGGGGCATAGTCGCGCGGTTCCTTGGCAGCCACTTCGGCGAGCTTGATGATCGCGTTGATGACCGGCTGGAACGCCTGCTGGCCGAACATGACGGCGCCGAGCATGGCTTCCTCGTCCAGTTCCTTGGCTTCCGATTCCACCATCAGAACGGCATCGGCGGTGCCCGCAACGATGAGGTCGAGATCGGATTCCTCCATCTCGTCGACATGCGGGTTGAGCACGAATTCGTCATTGATGTAGCCGACGCGGGCGGCGCCGATCGGGCCCATGAAGGGCACGCCGGAGATGGTCAGCGCGGCCGACGCGCCGATCATGGCAACGATGTCGGGATCGTTTTCCAGATCGTGCTGCAGAACGGTGAGGACGACCTGCGTCTCGTTCTTGTAGCCGGGGGCGAAGAGCGGGCGGATCGGCCGGTCGATCAGGCGTGAGGTCAGCGTCTCTTTTTCCGACGGACGGCCTTCACGCTTGAAGAAGCCGCCGGGAATCTTGCCGGCGGCAAAGGTCTTTTCCTGATAGTTGACTGTCAGCGGAAAGAAGTCCCGGCCCTCACGCGGGCTCTTCTCGGAGACGACGGTGGCCAGAACGACGGTTTCGCCATAGGTCGCCAGAACGGCGCCGTCGGCCTGCCGGGCGATCTTGCCGGTTTCGAGCGTAAGCGGGCGACCGCCCCACTCCAGTTCCACTTTGTGGTGATCGAACATGTCTTGTCCTTCAATAAGGGCGCAATGCCGGCCAAGGGCCAGCGCGCCAGGCTTGGGTTTTCGAACCTGGGCCCGGGCAAGACGACTGGATGCTTGTCTGTGGTCGGCGCGGCATGTGCGCCCTGGTCCCTGCAAGCAACCGGCAATCCTGCCCCGCGGCTCCAACGCGGTTCTCGGGCGGCCGGCGCGCCGCTGTCTTCAACGTTCGCGCCGGCCTGACAGGCGAAATGTCCCCCGCCTGAATGGGGCAAGGGCGGACCCTTCAAGAGCCCGCCCGAATTCGTTCAGCGGCGGATGCCCAGTTCCTTGATCAGGGTCTGGTAGCGCGCCTCTTCCTTGCCGCGCACATAGTCCAGAAGCTTGCGCCGCTGGGAAACCATCTTCAGAAGGCCACGCCGTGAGTGGTTGTCCTTCTTGTGGTCCTTGAAATGCTCGGTGAGGTTGTTGATCCGTTCGGTGAGGACCGCGACCTGCACTTCGGGCGAACCCGTGTCGCCGCTTTTGGTCGCAAACTTCTGGATAAGCTCGGCCTTGCGCTCGGCAGTGATCGACATCGTGTTTCCTTTCACAACTTACAAGGGGTTTGAAGACGCCCGCTGCCGGGATGTCGTCCAGCAGGGGCCGTTGGCGCGGCCGAAAATGGGCGGCGCTGGCGGCGCTATAATCGAAAAGCGCTGCGAACGCAAATGCCATTCGTTCAATCGAGCGCCAGCGTCATGAAGTAGGAATGCGGGTCGGGGCCGTAATCGCCGAACGGTCCTGTATCCTCGAAACCGAAGCTGCGGTAGAGCTGCTGCGCCGGCCGGAAATGCTCCGTCTTGCCCGTTTCGAGGCTGAGCCGTTTCATGCCGCGGATGCGCGCCTCATCGATCAGGTGCGCGACCAGCGCCCGGCCGATGCCGGCGCCGCGCCGTTCGGCCACGGTATGGGCCGATTTGATCTCGCCATGGCCGCCGCCGATGTCCTTGAGGGCGATGCAGCCGACGAGCTCGCCGTCGAGCCAAGCGCTCCAGAAGGTGATCTCCGGTACGCGCAGCGCGTCGAGATCGAGCGCGTAGACGCTGCCCGCCGGCGTGATGGCGAACATGTGGTCTAGATGCCGCCTCAGCAAGGCGGCGATCTCCGGACCGCGCAGATCGTCCTGTCTGATCTCGATGGCCGGCATGTCAGTAGCGCTGGCTGAGCACCTTGACCTCGGTGAAGTCCTCAAGACCCCAGACGCCGCCCTCGCGTCCATTGCCGGACTGCTTGTAACCGCCGAACGGATGGCCCGCCGAAAGCCCGGCGCCGTTGACGCGCACCATGCCGGCGCGCAGACGGCGCCCGACGCGGTCGCCCTTGTTCGCGTCGCCGGTCCACAGATAGGCGGCGAGCCCGTAGGGCGTGTCGTTGGCGATGGCGACCGCCTCGTCCTCGCCGCCCGAGAACGGAATCATCGTCAGGACGGGGCCGAAAATCTCCTCGCGCGCGATGGTCATCTCGTTGGTGACATCGGCAAAGACGGTCGGCCGCGCATACCAGCCGCGGTTGAAGCCTTCGGGCCGGCCCGGACCGCCGGTGACCAGGCGCGCGCCCTCGGCCATGCCGGTCTCGATCAGGCTTTGCACCTTGTCGAACTGGGCGGCCGAGGAGAGAGGGCCGATATGGCCGCCCGCATCGCGCGGATTGCCGACCTTGACTGCCTCGGCGGCTTCCTTGGCCAGTTCGACCGCTTCGTCATAGACGTCCTGCTCGACGATCATGCGCGAGGGCGCGTTGCAGGATTGGCCGGTGTTTTCCATCATGTGGGTGACGCCGCGCCTGATCGCCCTGGGCAGATCCGCATCGGCGAAGACAATGTTGGGCGACTTGCCGCCGAGCTCCAGCGTGACGCGCTTGATCGAAGCGGCCGAACCGCGCATCACCGCGCTGCCGGCGCGCGTCGAACCGGTAAAGCTCATCATGTCGATATCGGGATGGTTCGACATGGCTTCACCGACCGTCGGCCCATCGCCATTGACCAGGTTGAAGACGCCCTTCGGGAAGCCCGCCTCGTCCATCAGTTCGGCCCAGACCATGGCCGACAGCGGCGCGATCTCGGACGGTTTGAGCACGCAGGTGCAGCCGGCGGCGACCGCCGGGATGACCTTCAGCGCGATCTGGTTGACCGGCCAGTTCCACGGGGTGATCAGGCCCACCACACCGACCGGTTCGCGGATAATCGTCTCGCGGTCGGTGAACTTTTCTTCCCACGCGAACTTGTCCATCGCGTCGAGAAATCCCTTGAGGTGCCACGGGCCGGCGCCGGCCTGCTCGCCCCTGGCGAAATCGATCGGCGCGCCCATTTCCAGCGAGATCGCTTCTGCCAGATCGTCATGGCGGACCTTCATGACGGCACCCAGACGTTCGAGCACGGCCCGGCGTTCGGCGACCGGCGTTGCGGCCCAGCCCTCAAAGGCCGCCTTGGCGGCGGCGACGGCTTTGTCGACATCGGCGGACGATCCCAGCGAAATCACCGCGCAGACGTCCTCGGTGGCCGGATCGTGGACTTCCAGATCGTTGGCCTCGGCCGCGTCGACCCACTGGCCGTCAATGTAGAATTGCCGCTGTTCGCGCATCGGGCGCTCCTGTCATATCGGAATGGTTTTCGGCGACGTTGGCGCCAAGATCGAACAAATGCAATCACCCTTGCGGGCTAAACTTGTCACCGTGTCAAAGGCGGAAGACGCGGCGCGGGCGGAAGGCGCCCTGCGCGATCTCGCCGATCGCTACCAGGCGCCCGCGATGGAAGGCGCAGGCCTCTTCCTCGGCGACCGGCGCGTCGCGGCCGCGCAGGATCGCCGGGTTGCCAAGACGGATGCGGTGCGCCTGCTCGTCGCCCAGATCGACACGCGGAAACCCGTCCATCGCCTCGCCCGTGTCGAGCAGGAACGCATCGAGCGCCCCATGGCGCGCCGCTTCGTCGTCGCCGGCGGCCTCGACCGCGGCTTCCAGTTCGGCAAGGGTGACGGCGTCTGCCTCGTCGAACGGTTCGACGAAGGTTCGGCGCAACGCGCTGACATGGCCGAAACAGCCAAGCTCCCGCCCCATGTCGCGGGCGAGCGAGCGGACATAGGTGCCCTTGCCGCATTCGACTTTGAAAATGGTCGTGTTGCCGTCATGGGCGATGATGGTGAGCGCGTCGATCTCGACATCGCGTGCCGTCACCGCCGCCGCCTCGCCCTGACGGGCCAGCGCATAGGCGCGCTCGCCATCGACCTTGACGGCGGAGAATTGCGGCGGCGTCTGGCTGATCGTGCCGGTGAAGCGTGGCAGAAGCGCCTCGATCACGGCGCGGTCGGGCCTCAGGTCGGACGTTTCGGTGGCCGCGCCCTCCAGATCGTCAGTCGTCGTCTGTGCGCCCCAGCTTACGGTGAAACGGTATGCCTTTGTGCCATCCATCACGTAGGGAACCGTCTTGGTCGCTTCACCCAACGCAATCGGCAGGATGCCTGTCGCCAGCGGATCGAGCGTTCCGGCATGGCCGGCCTTTTGCGCGCCGAACAGCCATTTCACCTTGGAGACGGCCTTGGTCGAACCCAGCTCAAGCGGCTTGTCGAGCACCAGCCAGCCGGAAACCGGCCGGCCCTTCTTCGTGCGCTGGCGCGCCATCAGTCCTGGTCTCCGTCCAGATCCCGCGCCACATGCGGCGATTTGAGCAGCGCGTCCACCTTCTGGAAATTGTCGAAGCTCGTATCCGCGCGAAAGCGGAAATCGGGCATGTATTTCATCTGGCCGAGTTCGCGCGACAGCCGGCCGCGAATGAACTTGGCGTTGCGCGCAAGCGCCTTGACCAGCGGCGCCATGTCCTCGTGCCCAAAGGCGGTGACATAGGCGGTGGCGATCTTCAGATCGGGCGACATGCGCACCTCGGTCACCGACAGGACGACGCCGTCAAGCTCCGGATCGGCGACTTCGCCGCGCTGCAAAAGCTGCGTCAGCGCATGCCGGACATGCTCGCCAACGCGAAGCTGGCGCTGGGAGGGGCCTTGGTCGGCCCCGGCAAAACGGGACATGGTTCCATACCTTTCTCGCGACGGGCGGGATGGGACCGCGCCGTCCGATCGGTGGCCGTGGCCATTGGCCACGGCATATTGAGATTGTGCCCTAAAGCGTCCGCGCGACTTCCTCGACGCGGAAGCACTCGATCACGTCGCCGGCGCGGATGTCTTCGTAATTTTCGAAGGCCATGCCGCATTCCTGTCCGACGGGGACTTCCTGCACTTCGTCCTTGAAGCGCTTGAGTGTCTTGAGCTTGCCCTCGTGGATGACGACGCTGTCGCGCACCAGACGCACGCCGGCGCCGCGCTCGACCTTGCCTTCGGTCACCTGACAGCCGGCGACCTTGCCGACCTTGGTGATGTTGAAGACTTCGAGGATCTCCGCATTGCCCAGGAACGTCTCGCGGCGTTCGGGCGAGAGCAGGCCTTCCATCGCCGCTTTCACATCATCGAGCAGGTTGTAGATGATGTTGTAATAGCGGATCTCGACGCCGGCCGCTTCGGCCGCATCGCGCGCCTGCTTGTTGGCGCGCACGTTGAAGCCCATGATCGCCGCACCGGTCGACTCGGCCAGCGAGACGTCGGTTTCGGTGATGCCGCCGGCACCGGAATGGATGATCCGCGCCTTGACCTCGTCGGTGCCCAGCTTTTCGAGCGCACCGAGGATCGCTTCCACCGATCCCTGCACGTCGCCCTTGACGACCAGCGGGAACTCGGCGGTTTCGGCGTCCTTGGCTGCCGCCATCATCTGTTCGAGCGAGCCGCGCGCGCCGGCCTGGCGTGCCACGGAAATCTCGCGCGTCTTGCGCTGGCGATAATCGGAGACCTCGCGGGCGCGCGCCTCGTTTTCGACCACTGCGACCTTGTCGCCGGCCTGCGGCGTGCCGTTGAGGCCGAGGATCTCCACCGGCAGAGACGGTTCGGCTTCATCGAGGTTTTCGCCGCGATCGTTGATGATGGCGCGGACCTTGCCCCATTCGTCGCCGGCGACGACGATGTCGCCCGTCTTCAGCGTACCGGCCTGGACCAGCACGGTTGCCACCGCGCCGCGGCCCTTGTCGAGCTTGGCCTCGACGACGACGCCCTCGGCGGTGCGGTCGGGATTGGCCTTCAGTTCGAGGATTTCGGACTGCAAGAGGATCGAATCGAGCAGGCCGTCGAGATTGGTGCCCTTGAGCGCCGAGACCTCGACATCCTGGGTTTCGCCGCCCATGGATTCGACGAACACTTCATGCTGCAGAAGCTCCGTGCGCACCTTGCTGGCGTCCGCTTCGGGCTTGTCGATCTTGTTGATCGCCACGATCATCGGCACGCCGGCCGCCTTGATGTGGGCGATGGATTCGATCGTCTGCGGCATCACGCTGTCGTCGGCGGCAACCACGAGGATGGCGATGTCTGTCGCCTGGGCGCCGCGCGCGCGCATGGCGGTGAAGGCGGCGTGGCCGGGCGTGTCCAGGAAGGTGATCTTCTGGCCGTCCTTTTCCACCTGATAGGCGCCGATATGCTGGGTGATACCGCCGGCTTCGCCGGAGACCACATTGGCGTTGCGGATCGCATCGAGCAGCGACGTCTTGCCGTGATCGACATGGCCCATGATGGTGACGACCGGCGGACGCGGCTTCATGTCCTCGGGCTTGTCGTCAATGCCGAACAGGCCCTCCTCGACATCGGATTCCGACACGCGCCGCACCGTGTGGCCGAATTCCTCGGCGATCAGTTCGGCGGTGTCCGCATCGATCAAGTCGCCGGGCTTCATCATCTGGCCCTGCTTCATCATGAACTTGACGACATCAACCGCACGTTCGGTCATGCGCTGCGCCAGTTCCTGGATGGTGATCGTCTCGGGCAGGCGCACCTCGCGCGAAATCTTCTCGCGCGGTTCGGACATGCCCATCTGGGCACGCTTGATCTTCTCCTGACGGCGGCGCATGGCCGACAGCGAGCGCGAACGGCCCTCGCCGTCGCCGGTCACGTTGGCGAGCGTCAGCTTGCCGCGGCGGCGATTGTCGTCACGGCCGCGCGACGGCTTGGGCGCGGCATCGGTCTTGGCCGGTCGCTTGGCGGCGGCGCCGCGGCGGGCATCGCCATCGTCGGTACGGCCCGGCGCGGCCTTTTCGGCCGGTGCGCGGCGCGCGCCTTCCTGTTCGGCCTTCTGGGCGGCCTGCGCCTTGGCTTCGGCCTCGGCCGCCAGACGCGCCTGTTCGGCCTGCTCGGCTTCCTCGCGCTCGGCCATCTCGCGCTCGCGGCGCGCTTCATCTTCCTTACGCCGCTGCTCGTCGGCCTGGAACTTCTCGCGGTCGTCAGCCTCGCGCGCCTTTGCTTCCTCGAGCGCGCGGCGGCGCGCCTCGATCTCGCTCTGCGACAGTTCCTTGAGCACCGCGCCGCTGCGGTCGGCGGCCCCGGCATCCTGCGCGGGCGCGGGGGCCGGCGTCGGCGCTTCGGCAGCCGGCTTCGCGCGCGGCTTCAGGCCGCCCGCAAGCGATCCACCTGCCGGCTTGTCGCCCGGCTTGGTGAACTTGCGCTTGCGCGTTTCGACGACGACGGTGTTGGTGCGCCCGCCGCCCATCTTCTGGCGAACGGTGCCCGTGCCGCTATCGCGCCTCATCGAGAGCGTGCGGCCAGCCGTCTTCTTGTCGTCCGAACTTGTATCACTCATTCCTGATCCGTTTCCTTCGCGGTCACATGCCCGCCGGCCGTTCCGGCCAAAAGACCGGCGCCTGCGTCCGGCGAAGCCGGTCGCATATCTGGCCCAGTCCTGTAGTCGCGCAGCGCTTCAAGCCGCCGCAATGCGGCATGGCCACCCCTGCCGTCAAGCACGGCTGCATGTATTACATTACCGCCCCCGAATGCCAAACCCATTTGTTCGTCATCAAGGAGCATGAAAACCGGCACGTCCGGGCCGCCCAGATGCACCGTGGCGCGGCGCGCCTGGTCGAGCTTGCGGATGCCGTCGGGCGCCGCATGCAGGGCATGCAGCAATGCGGTGGCACGGCCCGCGCGCACGGCCTTGTCGACCTGCATGGCGCCCGAAACGAGCGCGCCCGCCTTGCGCGCCATCGACAGTGCACCGGTTGCCTGCCTGACCAGCAGACGGTCGACCAGAGCGCCCAGATCGTCTGGCACGTCTACCTTGCGGCGCAGCGCCCGGGCGAACAGCTTTTTGGACACGGCCTTGTCGACCATCGCCCGCCGGGCGGTCACCCAGCAGCCGCGGCCCGGCAGGGTGCGCTTGAGATCGGGCACGACCATGCCGTCGGGCCCGGCAACGAAGCGGATCAGCCCGTCAGCGTCGGCGCTTTCGCCGGTCACGATGCAACGGCGTTCGTTCATCGCGATGTCCGCTTCGTTCAAGGTCATGCCGGGGTGCCATCCTCGTCACGCCGGCGTTACGCCGGAGCTCCCGCGGGGGCATCGGCGTCGGCGGCAACGGCTTCAGCCCCTTCGGCCAGTTCCGCGCCTTCCTCTTCATAATCGGCGGCAAGGTCTTCTTCGGTGATCCAGCCAACGGTCAGACGCGCGGAAAGGACCATTTCCTCAGCTTCGGCACGCGTGGTGCCAAACGGCGTGAAGATGCCGTCGTGGATCTTGGTTTCGCCCTCGACGCGCTCGCGCCAGCCGACAAGATCGTCGACCGCGCATCCGGCAAAATCTTCCATTGTCTTCACACCGTCCTCGCCGAGCGCGACCATCATTGCGGTGGTCACACCGGGGATTTCGCGGATTTCGTCGACGACGCCCAGTTCGATGCGCTTGGCGTCGTTCTCGGCCTCGATGCGTTCGAGATATTCGCGTGCGCGCGTCTGGATCTCGGCGGCGGTGTCCTCGTCAAAGCCCTCGATCGACGAGACTTCCTCGGCATCGACATAAGCCACTTCCTCGATTGACGAGAAGCCCTCCGACGCCAGCACCTGGCCGACCATCTCATCGACGTCGAGCGCTTCCATGAAGAGTTGCGTGCGCTCGGTGAATTCCTTCTGGCGGCGCGCGGACTCCTCGTCCTCGGTCAGGATGTCGATGTCCCAGCCGGTCAGTTGCGAGGCAAGGCGTACATTCTGGCCACGGCGGCCGATGGCGAGCGAAAGCTGCTCGTCGGGCACCACCACCTCGATGCGCTCGGCATCCTCGTCGAGCACAACCTTGGCGACTTCGGCCGGCTGCAGCGCGTTGACGATGAAGGAGGCCGCATCGGGCTGCCAGGGAATGATGTCGATCTTTTCGCCCTGCAACTCGCCGACGACCGCCTGGACGCGGCTGCCGCGCATGCCGACACAGGCGCCAACCGGGTCGATGGCGCTGTCGCGCGAGATCACCGCGATCTTGGCGCGCGATCCGGGGTCGCGGGCGACCGACTTGATCTCGATGATGCCGTCATAGATTTCCGGCACTTCCATCTGGAACAGCTTGGCCATGAATTGCGGGTGCGTCCGCGACAGGAAGATCTGGGGCCCGCGCTGCTCGCGGCGCACGTCATAGATGAAAGCGCGGACGCGGTCGCCATAGCGGTACATTTCGCGCGGGATCAGTTCGTCGCGGCGGATGATACCCTCGCCGCGTCCGAGGTCCACGACCACGTTGCCATATTCGACGCGCTTGACCGTTCCGTTGACGATCTCGCCGACGCGGTCCTTGAACTCTTCATACTGCTTGTCGCGCTCGGCCTCGCGCACCTTCTGGACGATGACCTGCTTGGCCGACTGGGCGGCGATGCGGCCGAAATCGAGCGGCGGCAGCGGCTCGGCGATGAAATCGCCGATCTGGGCGTCCGGGTTCTTGGCGCGCGCATCTTCGAACGCGATCTGGTTGTCGGTGTTTTCGAGTTCCTCGACCACTTCCATCAGGCGCTGCAGCTTGATCTCGCCGGTCTTGGCGTTGATGTCGGCACGCACATTGGTCTCCTGACCGTAGCGCGATTTCGCCGCCTTCTGGATCGCGTCGGCCATCGCGCCGATCACGATCTCCTTGTCGATCAGCTTCTCGCGCGCGACCGCATCGGCGATCTGCAGGAGTTCGAGCTTGTTTGCACTGACTGCCATCTTGGTCTCCCTCAGGGCGTTTCGGCATCCGGCGCATCGCCGGAAAAATCGTCATGTTCGGTTTCAAGTCCGCGTGTGGCGCGGGCGGCCTTGTCGGCCGTCAGCGACGCGCGGATCAATTCGTCGGTCAGGATCAGCCGCGCATCGGCGATCGCCGAAAACGGGATCACATTGGTGTTCTCGTCGGCCATGGACGGCTGGTCGCGGAACAGCGTGACCGTATCGGTATCGACATCGGTGATGGTGCCGCGGAAGCGCTTGCGGCCGTTGACCAGGACCGATGTCTCGAGCTTGGCCACATGACCGCGCCATTTGGCGAAATCGGTCTTGCGCACAAGCGGCCGGTCGATGCCCGGCGAGGACACTTCCAGATGATAGGCGCGGTCGATAGGGTCTTCAACATCGAGGATCGGCGAGACCATCCGGCTCAGCGTCTCGCAATCCTCGACGGTCATCGTTCCGTCGGCGCGCTCGGCCATCACCTGCAAGGTCGCGCCGTTCTGACCGGACAGGCGCACACGCACCAGCCGGAAGCCTTCGGAATTGAGCACAGGCTCGATCAGCATGGCGACACGGGCATCGATCCCGGTCTCGGTGACCAGGCGCGGCTCGTCTTCGGTTATGGGCGCGAATTCGCGTTCGTTCGTCGTCAATTCCGTCTCGAATATAAAAAAGAGCGGGTCCGGCGGGCCCACTCTTCGTCTACGACCAAGATTTGATTGTCATATACGCCCGCCGACAGCCGGTTGCAAGGGGCGACGGTCGTCCAGGGCCGGCCCGAGGGCTCGCACTTCGTTAACCATCGCCGTTTACCATAGCGCGCAGATACTCTTTGTACTGCGTGGTGTCTCCGATGGCCGCATCCTTGCTGCGTCGCTTTCTGCCCTCCTTTTCCCTGCTGATGGCCGTGGCCGCTCTTGGCGGGTGCGCATCGCTCGCGCCATCGGCCGATCGCGACGCTGAAACCACGCCACAAGCGGTGGCCTTCGCACCCAGCGCGTCGGACCGGTCAAGCCTGCGTGAAACCGCCGGCAGCCTGCGCCGCACAGCGCTGACCGGCCGCGTCATGCGGGTCGACACGATCGACGACATCCGTCTCGGTCCGAAAGAAGTGATCCTCACCTTCGATGACGGGCCCGCGGGCCAGAACACGCGGCGCATTCTCGATGCGCTCGATGCCAAGGGCATCAAGGCGACCTTCTTCATGGTCGGCGAGATGGCGCGCAACAACCCGGCGCTTGCCCGAAACGTGATCGCGCGCGGACACACGGTCGGCAGCCACACCCATCGCCATCCCAATCTTGCGGCGATGAGCCATGCAGACGCGGTCGCCGAAATCGCACGCGGCGAACGGGCGCTGCGCGAGGCCGGCATCCCCGATCTGCCCTTCTTCCGCTTCCCCTATCTCGCCGACACGCCGGCGCTTCGCGGCCATCTCGCCGCCCGCGGCATCGTCGTGGTCGATGTGGATATCGACTCCAAGGACTATTTCCGCATCAGCCCGGTGCGCGTCGCCACGCGCACGATGCGGGACCTGCGCCGGCGCGGCTCGGGCATCATCCTGTTTCACGATCTGCATGCGCGCACGGCATCGATGCTGCCGACCTTCCTCAACATGCTCGAGCGCGAGGGCTACAAGGTGGTCGCCCTGCAACCGGCGCGCGGAAACCCGGCGCTGGTCGCCTCGGCGCGCTGACGAAATCGGAACAGGCTACGATCTGGCGAAGGTCAGGTAGACCGGCGTGCGGCCCTCGCGCAGGGCCTTGGCCTCGTAGCGCGTACCCGGCCAGTGCGGATAGGGATTGCGCCAGTCGGCGGCGCGGCGGGCGGTCCATGCGAAATCCGGATGCCGGTCGATGTGCTGCAGCGTCCAGTTGACATAGCTGTCAATGTCGGAAGCGAAACGGAACAGGCCACCGGGCTTCATCACCCGGGCGAACCGGTCCAGATTGCGGTCGCTGACGAACCGGCGCTTGAAGTGTTTCGGTTTCGGCCATGGATCGGGATAGAGCAGGTCGATCTGGTCGATCGAGGCGTCCGGCAGCCAGTCAAGCAGTTGCGTGGCATCGTCGTCGTAAAGCCGGATGTTGCCGGCCGGATGCACATCCAGCGCCGTGACCAGCTTGGCCATCGAATTGACGAAGGGCTCGACGCCGACAAAGCCCACCTCGGGCCGACGCCGGGCATGGGACAACAGGTGCTCGCCGCCGCCAAAGCCGATTTCAAGGACGATGGTCTCCGGCGTGTGTGGAAACAGCGTTGCCGGGCTGGCCGGCGCCGGCGCTTCCAGATCGATCAAAAGATCGGGCAGCAGGCACCGCATCGCCTCGGCCTGCCGGCCGCGCAACGTCTTGCCGCGCCGCCGGCCATAAAAGGCCTCAGTGGCGCGCGTCGGATGATCGGCAGCCATGACGGTCGGCGGGTCAGGCGGCCTGCTTGACCGCCTGCTTGAGCGCCTTGACCAGATCGACCTTTTCCCAGGAGAAGGAGCCGTCACGGCCGGGCTTGCGGCCGAAATGGCCGTAGGCGGCGGTCTTGGCGTAGATCGGCCGGTTCAGATTGAGGTGCCTGCGGATGCCCGACGGCGACAGGTCGATGACATCGCGGATGGCGTCCTCGATCGCCGCATCGGCGACCGTGCCCGTGCCATGCGTGTCGACATAGACCGACAGGGGCTGGGCAACGCCGATCGCATAGGAAAGCTGGATCGTGCAGCGGTCGGCCAGCTTGGCCGCCACGACGTTCTTGGCCAGATAGCGCGACACATAGGCGGCCGAGCGGTCGACCTTGGTCGTGTCCTTGCCGGAGAAAGCGCCGCCGCCATGGGGCGAGGCGCCGCCATAGGTGTCGACGATGATCTTGCGGCCGGTCAGGCCGGCATCGCCATCGGGACCGCCAATGACGAACTTGCCCGTGGGGTTGATGTACCAGTTGCAGTCGTCGGCGATCGGCAGGTCGCCCAGCGCCTGGCGGATATAGGGCTCGACGACCGAACGAACCTTCCTGGAATCCCAGCTGTCGTCGAGATGCTGCGTCGACAGGACGATGCTGGTCACCTCGGACGGCATGCCGTCGCGGTAACGCACCGTGACCTGCGACTTGGCGTCCGGGCCGAGCCGGGCGGCATCGCCCTCGCCGCTCTTGCGCGCGTCGGCGAGAAGCTCGAGAATCTTGTGCGAATAATAGATCGGCGCCGGCATAAGTTCGGGCGTTTCGCGGCAGGCATAGCCGAACATGATGCCCTGGTCGCCGGCGCCCTCGGCGCCCTGCGCATCCGATGCACTGTCGACACCCTGCGCGATGTGCGCCGACTGGGCGTGCAGCAGCACGTCGATGCGGCATGTCTTCCAGTGGAACCCGTCCTGCTCATAACCGATGTCGCGGATGGCGCGGCGCGCCGCTGACCGAAAGCGGCCGGGCGCAATGACGGGTTCGCCCGCATCGTCCGTGACCACATTGCCGGCCTTGTCCTTCTTGAAGAACGTATCCGGGACACGCACTTCGCCGGCGATGACCACGCGGTTGGTCGTCGTCAGCGTTTCGCAGGCAACACGAACCTTCCAGAGCGCGTCGTCGCCCTGCTTGCGCGCCTCGCGGTAGATCATGTCGACGATCTCGTCGGAGATGCGGTCGCAAACCTTGTCGGGGTGGCCCTCGGACACCGACTCGCTGGTGAAGAGATAATTCTGCCGTGCCATGATCTCGCCCTGCTGGCTGGATTTGGAAAGGAAGACCGCCGGGCGGTCAAACGGACGCGCTGTCGTTACGGGACGAGGCCGGCAACGTCAAGCAAAGACACATCAATAGAAAGATATAAGCATAAGTGCATATCCTGCCACGGGCTTCCGACGCCATTGACGGCCGGAACCGGCGAGGACAGCGGGCGTCAAACCCCGGCATCGTCCGGATAGTCCACCCGCAGCAGATAGAGCCCATGCGGCGGCGCCAGGGCGCCGCACTTCTGGTGGTCGCGCGCTTCGAGTGCGGCTTGCACGTCGTCTGCCGTCCAACGGCCCTCGCCGACCAGCTTGAGCGTGCCGACCAGCGAGCGGACCTGATTGTGCAGGAACGAACGCGCCGAGACATGCACGTCGATCCGCTCGCCATCGCGGGAAAAGGTGATCGCGTCGAGCGTCTTGACCGGCGATTTCGACTGGCACTGGGCGGCGCGGAAGGTCGTGAAATCGTGGGTGCCGATCAGGATCTTCGCAGCGGCATTCATCGCATCGACGTCGAGAGGCCGCTTGCACCACCAGGCCCGGCGATGGTCGAGGGTCAGCGGCGCCGGCCGGTTGTGGATGCGGTACAGATAGTGCCGTGCTTGCGCCGAAAAGCGGGCATGGAACGTGTCCGGCACCTTTTCGGCATCCACGACGCAGATGCGTTCCTCGTCGAGCACAAGATAGGCGTTGATCGCCTCGCGCACCCGGACCGGATCCCAATCGCGTTCCAGATCCACATGGGCCGTCTGGGCGATGGCGTGAACGCCGGTGTCGGTGCGGCCGGCCACCTGCAGCGTCACCTTCTGCTTGGAGAACTCCAAGACCGCTTTTTCCACAGCTTCCTGAACCGCGTGACCGTTGGTCTGCCGCTGCCAGCCGACATAGGGCGTGCCGTCATATTCGATTGTCAGGCGGTAACGGGGCATGGTCGTCCGGTGCCGGGAACGGGCGGCTGCTTAAGCCCGGAGGCTGGCCATGTCCAGCCGTCACGACACGGGCCGATTGACGCCGGAGGCGAAAACTCCGATGAGGCGGAACCATGAACGATGCCGCCTCGTCATCGCCGGAACCCCGTTCCACGGACACCGATGCGCCGCTGGCGTACTGGACACGACCGATCGTCGTCGCCGGCTTCGTTTGCGTCCTGATGGCGATCAAGCTGGTCATGGCGGGCACGACGGAGCTGATCCGCGACGAAGCCTATTACTCGCTGTGGGCATTGCATCCGCTGCAGGCGAGCTATTTCGACCACCCGCCTGCGGTCGCCTGGTTCATCAAGGCCGGCTATGCGCTGCTGGGCCCGAGCGAGTTGGCGGCACGGCTCCCTGCGGTCCTGTCGGTGGGGCTGGTGTCGCTGGCCGTCTTCCGGACTGCCATGCTGGTTTTCGGCGATCGCCGCATCGCGGCCTATTCGGTCTACGCTTTCAATCTGACGCCCGGCGCCATGCTCGGCCTTCTGGTGATCACGCCCGATGCGCCGTCCATGCTGTTCTGGATGCTGTCGATCTGGTCGGCTGCGGAACTTCTGCGCTCAAACGACGGACGATGGTGGCTCGTCTTCGGCCTGTTTGCCGGCCTGGGGCTCGCAGCAAAATATACGGGCCTCTTCCTGGGTGCCGGCGTGGTGCTCTGGCTGCTTTTCGACCGGCGCAACCGGCACTGGTTCACCTCGCCCTGGCTTTATGCCGGCGGCGCCGTCGCTCTGGCGATTTTCGCGCCGGTTATCGCATGGAACCTCAACAACAGCCTTTCATCCTTTGAATTCCAGTTCGGCCGCTCCGCGCGCGGACTGCAATGGTTCGACTGGACCGATACGAAGCATCTGCCGGAATTCCTGGCGGGCCAGATCGCGCTCCTCCTGCCGGGCCTGTTCATCATGGGCGCCGCAGCCCACTGGCGGTTTGCGCGGCATCGTTCCGAACGCGGCAATCGCGGCTTTGCCCTGCTGATCTGGACCGGCATTCCGGCGCTTGTCTATTTCATCACCTTCAGTCTCCACTCGGTTACCCAAGGCAACTGGACGTGGCCGCTTTACGCGCAGTGGTCGATCATCGGCGCCTGGGCCATTTACGCGTGGAAGCCGGAATGGGCGTGGCTGCGAACCATTCAGCGCTGGACAAGGCGCGCGCAGGTTCCTGTCGGCGCACTGGTTGCTGCGGTGATCTTCGCGCAGGCGCAGTTCCAGCCTGTCCGGCTGCCGTTCGCCGACCAGACGCTCACAATGCACGGATGGACCGAGGTCGCATCGAACATCGAAACCGAGCGCCGCCGTGCCGGTATCGGTACGATTCTCGCCCGCGGATATGGGCTTTACGGATACCTCGAGACGTATGGCCGTTTCGCCGGGCACGGCTACCGCGTCCTGCCGCTGGACGAATTCCACCGCTACGGGTTCGTCGACTTGCCGGCCAGCGACGACGCGGTCGACTGGCCCGTGCTTGTCGCCGTTCACGTCAGCGGCACCGAGCCTCCGACCGGACCGCCGGCGGCCATCGCCAATGCCAATCCGCCGGCCCAGTGGTTCACGCGGATCGTGCGGCCGGCGGCCGACGGCGCGCCCGCCAGCGCCATCGATCTCTACCGGCTGGAACGGCCGGAGACGCCGCTGTTCGGGTCCGACTAGCGCAGGTCGCCCTCGGACAGCGGATTGCCGCGCAGGAACGCTTCGGCGTCGAGCGGCTTGCCGCCCGCTTTCTGCAGACGTGTCAGCCGCACGGCACCGGTGCCGCACGCCACGGTGATCGGCGCGCCGACTATCGGCGCACCCGGCTTGCCCGATCCCGGCGCCTGGGTCGAGGCCAGCAGCTTCACCCGCTCCCATTTGCCGCCAAAGCGCATTTCGCACCAGGCACCGGGAAAGGGCGACAGGCCGCGAATGTGATTGTGGATGTCGGCGCCATCTCCCGCCCAATCGACGCGCGTTTCGTCCTTGGCGATCTTGGCGGCGTAGGTGACGCCGTCGTCCGGCTGAGGCACGAGTTCCAGAACACCCTGCTCGAGGGCGGCCATGGCGCGTACCATCAGGCTCGCCCCTCTCTGCGAGAGGGCGTCGTGCAGTTCCCCGGCGGTCATGTCGGGGCCGATGGCGACCTTTTCCGTCATGGCGACCGGGCCGGTGTCCAGCCCCTCGTCCATCTTCATGATCATCATGCCGGTTTCCGTATCGCCGGCCATGATGGCCCGCTGGATCGGGGCGGCACCGCGCCAGCGCGGCAGAAGCGATGCGTGGCCGTTGAAGCAGCCAAGGCGCGTGCCTTCCAGGATGGGCTTGGGCAGAAGAAGGCCATAGGCGACGACGACCGCCACATCGGCGCCAAGCGCGGAAAAGGCCGCCTGCTCATCGGCGGCCCTCAGCGTTTTGGGGGTGCGCACTTCGATGCCGAGCGCTTCGGCCGCCTCGTGGACCGGCGATTTTCTGAGGCTCAGCCCCCGCCGGCCGGCCGGCCTCGGCGGCTGGGTGTAGCAGGCGGCGATGTCATGGCCGGCGGCGTGCAGCGCGCGGAGCGTCGGCACGGAAAAGTCCGGCGTGCCCATGAAGATGATGCGCATGATCCTGCGGTTCCGGAAACGCTAGGCCATCACGGGGCCGTCGCCGCGCTGTTTGGCGAGCTTGCGGAACTTCTTGAAGACCATGTCGCGCTTGAGCTTGGAGATGTGATCGACGAAGAGGACACCGTCGAGATGGTCGATCTCGTGTTGCAGGCATGTGGCCAGAAGCCCGTCGGCCTCGAGCGTCTGATCGGCGCCGTCGCGGTCGACATAGCTGACGGTGATCGCCGCCGGCCGCTCCACATCGGCGTAATAGTCGGGGATCGACAGGCAGCCTTCCTCGTAAAGGCTGCGCTCGTCCGAGCGGGCGACAATGGTCGGGTTGATCAGGACGCGCGGGTCCCTGCCATCTTCCTCCTTGGCGACATCGGCGACAAGCATGCGGACCGGCTCGCCGACCTGGATCGCCGCAAGGCCGATGCCCGGCGCGTCATACATCGTCTCCAGCATGTCGTCGGCGAACGCGCGCACGGCACCGTCGACGCGTTCGAGCGGTTTCGACGTCTCGCGCAGGATCGGGTCGGGAATGAGAACGATCGGTTTGATGGCCATGACGCCTTCCAGTTAGGAAAGACCGCACGATGCGTCAATCGGCATGGCGACCGCGAATCGTCTATGCTGGGTTCATGGAACCCGCATTCAGCCTCGATCAAACCGCCTTCATGTTCGCCGGACGGGCTGTCTCGATCGGCGAGAGCTTGGCGGCCGGCGCGCTGATCCTGGCAGCGCTTGTGCTGCTTGCATTGCTGCTGGTCTGGCGCAACGGCGTCGCCGGGCGGCGCGATCTTCGGCAGGCGCATGAGCGGGCCGAGCGCGCCGAAGCGCGGGTCGATGACATTCTGAAAGCACAAGCCGACATGCAGGGCCGGCTTTCGGCGATGACCGACATGTTCGGCGCGCGCCACACGGAGATGAGCACGACGCTGTCGCAGCGGCTCGATGCGATGACCTCGCGCATCGGCCAGTCGATCAACGAACAGCAGAAGTCGGCCCATGCCAATCTGAGCAAGCTGCACGAACGCCTCGCAGTCATCGACACGGCGCAGAACAACATCCAGCAGCTCGCCGGACAGGTGGTCGAACTGCAATCGATCCTGTCCAACAAGCAGACGCGCGGCGCCTTCGGCCAGAGCCGGATGGAGGCGATCATCGAGGACGGGCTGCCGATGGGCGCCTTCGCGTTCCAGACGACGCTGTCGAACGGATCGCGGCCCGATTGTGTGATTTCCATGCCCAACGGTGCGCCGGATCTGGTGATCGACGCAAAATTCCCGCTCGAAGCCTGGAATGCGGTGCGCGAGGCCAAGAACGAGGCGGACGCAACGGCGGCCGCCAAGCGGTTCCGCGCCGACATGGACGTGCACATCAAGGCGATCGCCGACAAATATCTGATCGCCGGGGAAACTCAGGACACCGCGTTCCTGTTCGTGCCCTCCGAGAGCATCTTCGCCGACATTCACGAGCATCACGAGGCGATCGTGCAGAAGGCGCACCGCGCCCGCATCGTGATCGTCTCGCCGTCGCTCCTGATGCTGTCGATCCAGGTGATCCAGGCGCTGCTGAAAGACGCCCGCATGCGCGAGCAGGCGCATCTGATCCAGGGCGAAGTGATGCGCCTGATGGAGGATCTGGGGCGACTCGACGAACGGGTGCGCAAGCTGCAAACCCATTTCGGGCAGACGGCCAAGGATGTTGACGACATCCTGATCACGACGGGCAAGCTGACCAAGCGCGGCCAGAAGATCGAAGGGCTGGAGTTCGACGAGCGGCCGACCAAGGAGGACGCGGCGGAACCGGGCGCCGAAAGCAAGACCGGCCATCTGCGCCTGCGGGTCGTCGATGGCGATCCCGACTGATCAGCGCTCGGTCGGCGGATCGAGCACGACGGCGGGCATGGCCGCGGCGGCCGCGGTGCGCAACCGCGCCATGTCCGCGTCGCTCGTGGCGGCGTTGGTGATCAGCGGCAGGCCGGGCCGCTCCGCCGTCCATCCGATGACGTGCACCTTTTGCGCGGCGGGCTCATGGTCTTTGGCGATCTGCCAGGTCACGCAGTCGATTGCGGCGCAGGCCGCTTCACCGTCCGCGACGGCGCGGATCGAGGCCCGGTGCGATCCGGTCCAAAGGGTCGGTTCGGGGAACAGCCGTCCGGCGCGCGCCATATCCCGTCGCAGCGCGACAAAGCCCGACATTGATTCCGGTGCGTTCGCGGCCAGAGGACCTTCCAGCGATGTGGGCAGGATCGACCCGGCATTGGCGGGTGGCGCCGCATCGTCTCCCCTCCCCCGCGCGACGATCACGCTGCGATAGGTGCCGTGGCCGCAGCCCGGCGCGTCATGGATCGGTGTCGCGACATAGCGCACGCGGCCCCGGAGCACGGTTTCGAGCGGATAGGAGCAGGTCTCGCCGACAAGGAGGTCCGGGCTCAGCCATGCCCCTTCGAGATCGCCGGCGCGGGTCAGCGCGTCGGGTGCATCGAAGCCTTCATCCCTGAGCGCGTCGCGCAGACGGGTCCAGAGAGCGTCGGTCTCGGCCCGGCGCTCGGGCCAGTCATACATGGGCAGACATGCGATCATGACCGGGCGGTCAGCGGTCGGGCCTTGCGGCGACCGGCATTGCATCGCGGGGACCGGCGGGAGGCGCGGCCGATGCCGGCTGGAACGCGCCGGGCGCCATGGCCGGCGCGTCGGCCCGTCGGCGCACCGGATGCACCACCGGTTCCTTGGCCGACAACGCATAGGCGCGGAAAATCTGCCAGTAATTGCGGTACACATAGGTCTTGTTGGCGGCCAGCCACTCGGCACGGCGCTCGCGATAAAGGCGCGGCAGTTCGTACCAGGGCACGGCGGGCCGCTTGTGATGGACGATGTGCAGATTGTTGTTGAGGAACAGCCAGGAAAGGATGCGGCTGTCTTCGACGACGACAGTACGGCCGTCCGGCGTCTGGTCCCAGCGATGTTCGCAATAGGTCCGGATTGCGATCAGCGCCATGCCGCCATAGGCAACCGTGCCGACATAGACCAGCAGGTTGATGCCCATACCGCCCCAGACGATCGCGACGAGCGCGGCGAGCCCAAGCGCGTGGTGCGCCCAGGCGCGACGCACGCCGGGATTGCCGGCAGCGAAATTCCGCGCATCGTCGCGCCAGAAGCCGAACGTCATCAATGGCGGCCCGATCACGAGACGGCCCACGAAGGTGTTGTTGGCGGCGAGCAGCGCGCGCATCGGCCAGCCCAATGCCGCATGGTCGCCCTGGGCGCGATACCAGCTTTCGGGGTCGTCATAGGGGTCGGTCAGGTTCTCGTCACGGTGATGGCGCAGGTGCAGCGCCTTGAACCGCCGGAACGGGAATGCCACGGCCAGAGGCAGCCCAACGAGCAGTTCGTTGACGGCGGCGCTGCGGGTCGGATGGCCATGCAGCACCTCGTGCTGCAGCGAGGTATGAAAGCCGGCGGCGACCGCCATGAGCGCCAGCGCAAGGACCGGCACCACCGGAAATAGCACAAAGCCGGCCGCCAGCCATACACCGTAGCACAGCGCCATCATGACCATTGTCGGCCACTCAATCGTTTGTTTTCTCATTATGATTCGTTTCCCCTGACACAAGGATGTCAGGAGCGGCGACGGCTGGGAACGCGGCAATGCGCACTAAAGGTTGTTTCCGGTCATCAAATTCCGCATATGTTGATAATTGTCATCAAACGTCGGAGTTGATCCGCATGGTTGCTGCGCAGGCCGACACAATCGACAAACGCGACGCGTCCCGTCTGTTCCGTAACCGGCTGGCCGGACTGCTCTTCCGTTCGGGCCTGAACCGTTCGCAGTTTGCTGCCGCGGTCGGGTTGGACCGGTCGGCCCTGTCGCAGCTCCTTTCGGGCGAAACCGCAAGGCTGCCGCGCGCCGAAACGCTGATCCGCATCGCGGCGACGCAATCGGTCAGTCTCGACTGGCTGCTGGGCCTGAGCCAGGACGAAGGCGTGTCCGCCGAGATCCGGCCGGCGCTTGAACTGGAGGAGGCGCAGGATTCGCGCAACGATGCCGCACTTGTGCAGTGGCACCAGGAGGCGGCCGGCACCAAAATCCGCTATGTGCCCGCGACCATTCCCGATTTTCTGCGGACCGAGGCGGTGATCGCGTTCGAGACGCGCGACAGCAAACCGCCCGTCGCCGTCCAGATCGATGACGCACGCGAAAGGCTGGCCTACAGCCGCAAGCCGGAGAACGACACCGAAGTGTGCATGCCGCTGCAAACATTGCAGGCGCTGGCCGAAGGCAGCGGCGCCTGGACCGATCTGGACGCACCCTTGCGGCACGCGCAGATCGAACAGATCGCAGCGCTGACCGATGACCTCTATCCGGGCCTGCGGCTGTTCCTGTTCGATGCACGGCGTACCTTTTCAGCGCCTTACACCGTGTTCGGACCGATGCGCGCGGCAGTCTATATGGGCGACATGTATCTGGTCTTGAACGCCAAGGATGCCGTCGATGCGCTGACGCGCCACTTCGACCAGCTCATCCGCGCGGCGGTGGTGCGGCCGCACGAGGCCGGTTCCTTCATAGGCGATCTGACCCGGTCATGATCGGTGCGACGGTGACATGGGCATCGACCCGGCCGGCGCTGATCAGGTTTTGCGAATCCGGCTCGGCGCACTGGCCGCCATAGGGGCAGTCGATGCAGGCCTTGCGTCGCCGCGATGCCTTGCGCATCGCCTGCATCGCAAGCGCGATGATGCCCGCCCGCCGCCCGTGCGCGCGGGTGTGTTCCCGCTGCATCCCGCACAATGCGCGAAAGCAAATCTGGTTGTCGGCCTGGACAAGACGGTCGTGCATGGGCGGAAGTCTGGCCGCTTTCGCGTTGGCTGACGTTGATCGGTGTCAACCAAGACTTACACATCATGCTCCGGCGCGCGAGTCCTTTCTCCGATGGCGGCCTTGTTCGATCGGCGTCGGCGATCGGCGTCAGGCATCCTCGTCGGCCAGCGACTTGACCAGGTCGATGATGCGCCGGCGCACCTTGGGATCGGCGATCTTGACGAAGGCGCGGTTGAGCTGAAGGCCCTCCGAACTCGACAGGAAGCTGACCACATAGGTGGACGAATTCTCTTCGAGGCCCGACGGGGCCGATGCTGCGCTGCCGTCCGGCGCGTCCTCGAAAAAGAACGACACGGGCACGTTGAGGATCGATGCGATGTTCTGCAGCCGGCTGGCGCCGACACGGTTGGTGCCCTTTTCGTACTTCTGCACCTGCTGGAACGTGATCCCCAGGCTCTCGCCGAGCTTCTCCTGGCTCATTCCGAGCATGGTCCGTCGCAGGCGGATGCGGCTGCCGACATGGATATCGATGGGATTGGGCTGTTTCTTCTTCTTGTCGTTCATTCTGTGTCCCCGCCGCCCGGACGGCGGCCATTGCTCAAATCAGGACCAGAAGCCGTCCTTGCGCGTCCCCCAACGCGGTCCCCAAGTGCGGCGCGCTACCTATGAGCCCCGACGAAGGCCCCTGTCAACAAAGTGCGGCCTAATTCCCGCCGAAAGCGCGCAACCTGATGCGCGCTGTGATCGCTATAGCCGAAAGTATGGAAAGGAACAACCAGAAGTTGATCTCTCGTTGCCGCTCGGGGAACAAGGGTTGTGCGGCGTCCGGCAGCAGTGCATCGGCCACCGCGCGCACATCGTGGCCGATCCGGGCAACGATACGGCCCTGCGGATCGACGACAGCCGAGATGCCGTTGTTGGCCACACGGATGATCGGCAGGCCGGTCTCGACGGCGCGCAACCGTGTCTGGTGCAGATGCTGCCACGGCCCCGGCGTCCGGCCGAACCAGGCATCGTTGGTGACATTGACGATGGCGTCGACCCGCTGGCCGGAGGGCGGCACGGCCAGTTTCGGAAAGATCGACTCGTAGCAGACGAGCGGCAACACCGTCAGACCGCCCTGGAGCGTGATTGTCGTTCGGGCGGGCGCAGCCGAATAGCCGCGGTCGGCGGCGGCGACGGCGCGCAGACCGATGGCAGACAGCAGATCGGCAAACGGAAGATACTCGCCGAACGGGACGAGATGCACCTTGTCGGCGGCGCCGGCGATCACGCCGCCGGTCGTCACCGCCATCACCGAATTGTAGTAGCGGCCAGTCACCGAGCCGGCTTGCTCTCCCGGCTCCTCGCGCACCGCGCCGGCGAGCAGCATCTGTTCCGGCAACAGTGTCTCGCCGATCGAGGCGAGCGCTGCGGCATCGCGGGTCAATAGGTAGGGCACGGACGTTTCGGGCCACACCACGATGTCAGGAGCACGCCCCGACGCCGGGCCCTGCGCCTCGGCCTGATCCCCGGCCGCCGGCGCCTCGTCAGGGGCCGCGTCCAGCGCGGTCAGGTCGAGCAACGTTTGGAACGTGGCCGCCCGCGCCTCCCGGTCCATCTTCTGTTCCTGGGCAATCGCCGGCTGAACGAGGCGGATGACGGGCGCATCGTCGCGCGCGACCGCCAAATCGCCTGCCTGTGCAAGACGCCAGATACCGAAGCCGGCATGGGCGCCGACCAGCACAACGCACAGCGCCACCGCCGTGATCGCCGCGCCGCGCCGCGCAGCCAGTTGCGCGGGAAGCGCAAAGACCAGCACCGCAAACGCGCTCACGGCGAAAATGCCGCCGATCGCCGCCGATTGCATCAGGACCGGCGATGGCATCAGCGCATAGCCGATGGCGTTCCAGGGAAAGCCGGTCAGGATGAAGGAGCGGGCCCATTCGGCAAGGCCGAAGGCGGCGGCCAGCGCGGCGATCCGGCCGACGCCGTCGGACCAGGCGAGCCGCGCGAGCGCGCAGGCCGCGCCGTAGAAGACAGCCAGAACAGCCGGCAGGCCGAGCACGGCCAGGGGGATCGCCCAGGCGAATTCCGGCGCCTCGACGAGCAGCGCATTGGCGAGCCACCAGATGCCGGCGGCGAAATAGCCAAGGCCAAACAGCCAGCCGATCCGGAATGCCGCGCGCAGCGCCCCAGACGCCTTTCCCGGCGTCGTGCCAACCGCGCCGTCCAGAAGCCAAACGAGGAGCGGAAAGGTGACAAAGCCGATGGCAAACAGATGGAAGGGCGCCTGCGTCAGCGCGGTCAGTGCACCGAGCGCGACCGACAGGGCCGCACGGCGCCAGCCGGACAAGAGCAGGATGCGCTGGGCGAAATGTTCCATGGAGCCCCGGGGCGAATCACGTCGCCCAAAGCCTTATCAGGCTTGCCGGGCCGGCGCGACGCCGGCGCATCGGGTCAGACGTTGACGGGTTCGGCTTCCGGCGTGCCGGGCTGTACGGGCCCGGGCGCGGGAAGACGGGGCGGCGCGCTCGAAGCTTCGCGGCGCCCGGCGCCGCGGCGCTGGTGCTGGCGCAGACGAACAACGCGCACGCGGCGGATGCGTCGCGGATCGGCGTCCAGCACTTCCATCTCGTAACCGGCGAACGCCGGGATCACCTCGCCGCGCACCGGCACATGGCCGAGCAGCGAAAAGATCAGGCCGCCAATGGTGTCGACATCGCCCTCTTCGCGGCGCGCGGCCTCGACGAAGGCGGGGCCGAGTTCGCGGGCGGCTTCCTCCAGTTCCAGACGGGCATCGACGATGACGGTGTTCTCGTCCACTCGCTCGATCTGCACCTCGACCTCGTCGTGCTCGTCCTCGATATCGCCGACCACCATTTCGACAATGTCCTCGAGCGAGACGAGGCCGTCCGTGCCGCCATATTCGTCGATCACGAGCGCCATCTGGATTCGCTGCGTCTGCATGCGGCCCATCAGGTCCGAGGCCAGCATGGAGGGCGGCACGAACAACACGTCGCGCATCAGCTTGAGATCGCCGATAGTGCGGGAAAAATCGATCTTCGAGAAGTCGAGCGCGGTCTTGGCCGCGCCGTTGGCACGACCGTTCGGCGCGCTCTTGGCGGCCGCCGCTCCGGTTGGCTCGGTCTTCGGGCGGCGCGTCCGGCGGCGGCCGGTGCGCGTCAGATAGGCGACCACGTCGCGGATGTGGACCATGCCGCGCGGATCGTCGAGCGTTTCGTTGTAGACCGGCATGCGGCTGTGGCCGGATGTCTCAAAGAGCTTGAGGAGATCGCCCAGCGACGTCGACAGGTCCACCGCCTCGATGTCGCCGCGCGGCACCATTACGTCGACGACGCGCACTTCGCGCAGCCGCAATATGTTGTTCAGCATGGCGCGTTCGTCGGCGGAGATCGTCTGGTCGCCCGCGGCGCTGGAGGCGGCGAGCGCGTCCTGCAAATTCTCGCGGACGGTCACACTGTCCTGCGGCCGGAACAGATAGGCCAGGCGCTGAAAGAAGCCGGGCGGCTTTCTCGGGGGGATTATAGCGGGCAAGCCCGGACTCGAAGGTTCGGGCTCCGGTTCGGGCGGCGCTTCCTGCACCTTTGCGTCAGCTTGTCGGTCTTCCATCGTCTTTCATGTCGTCCGATATCGGCGTGTAGGGATCGTCGATCCCGAGATCGGCCAATATTGCACGTTCGAGGCGCTCCATTTCGTCGGCGTCGTCGTCCAGTTCGTGATCATAGCCCAAAAGATGCAAGAAGCCATGAACAATCAGGTGGGTGAAATGGGCATCGATGTTCTTGCCGTCAATGGCTGCCTCGCGCTCGATCGTCTCGCGGGCCAGAACGATATCGCCCAGAAGCGGGCCGGGCGGATCGCCGGCGGCCATCGGATAGGCCGGAAAGGACAGCACGTTCGTTGCCTTGTCGTTGCGCCGCCATTTGGCGTTGAGCGTGCGGATCGTCGCATCGTCTGTCAGGACGACCGACAGTTCCGACGTCTCGCCTGCCAGGCCCAGAACGGTGGCCGCATGGCGAAGTGCCCGTTCGATCATCGGCCGCAATTCGTCCTCTGGCGGCCAGTTGCCGCCTTCGATCGCGATGTCGATATGCAGGTGCATGGCGCCGGTTTCAGCCGCCGTCGCGGTCATAGGCCGCAACGATGCGGGCAACCAGCGGATGGCGCACCACATCGCTGTCGCGGAAACGCACGGTAACGATGCCCTCGACGTCGCCGAGCAGGCCGAGCGCCTCGACAAGGCCCGATTTCTGGCCCGGCGGCAGGTCGACCTGGCTGGGATCGCCGGTGACGATCATGCGGGCATTCTCGCCAAGCCGCGTCAGGAACATCTTCATCTGCATCGATGTGGTGTTCTGCGCCTCGTCCAGAATCACCGCCGCATTCGACAGGGTCCGGCCGCGCATGAAGGCGAGCGGCGCGATCTCGATGACACCGGCCGCAAGCGCGCGCTCCACCTTGTCTCCGGGGATCATGTCGTAGAGCGCGTCATAGAGCGGCCGCAGGTAGGGATCGACCTTCTCCTTCATGTCGCCGGGCAGAAAGCCGAGCCGTTCGCCTGCTTCGACGGCAGGCCGCGACAGGATGATCCGGTCGATCTGGCCGCGTTCGAGCAGCATGGCCGCATGGGCGACGGCCAGATAGGTCTTGCCGGTGCCGGCGGGGCCGACGCCGAAGACAAGCTCGGCCCGGTCGAGCGCCCGCATATAGGCGTCCTGATTGGGGGTGCGGGCCATGATGGTCCGCTTGCGGGTGGCGATCTGGGCGGCCGCGATGCGCCCGGCGCCGTCCATGGTTGGCAGCGACAGTTGATCCTCGGCGGCCATCGCCATGCGCAGCGCGCCCTCGACATCGGAGGCTTCCGGTTCCCTGCCGCCCTCCTCGATCCGGTCATAGAGCCAGTCGAGCGCACGGCGCGCCTGTTCGGTCGCCAGCGGATCGCCCTTGATGGTGACCTGATTGCCCCGCGCCCGCACATCGATGCCGAGCATCTGCTCGATCAGGGCGAGGTTCTGGTCGAACTGGCCGAACAACGCACGCGCATGGTGGTTGTTGTCGAAGGTCATGACAATGTGGGCGAGATCGGACGCGCCGTGAGGCGCGGTCTGCGTTTTGACACCTGTCTGCGTCGTCAAGCGCTCTGTCCGTCCTGTTGGTTCATGCCGCCCGCCTGCGGTTCGCCGCCTCCGACGAAATCAGGCTGTTGGCCGATGCCCGTTCGATTCGCACCGTGACACTGTCGCCGATCTTTCCGACAGTTTCATCACAAATGACGGGCTGAAGCCATGGCGACCGGCCGACAAGCTGGCCGGCGTCGCGGCCGGGCTTTTCGAGAAGCACCGCGATCTCCTGGCCTTCAAGGCTTTTCATGAAGGCGGCCTGCTGCTCGCCGAGCAATGCCTGCAGCCGCTGCAAGCGCTCCGATTTGACGGTTTCCTCCACATGGCCGTCCATCGTCGCACCCGGCGTACCGGGGCGCGGCGAATATTTGAACGAGAAGGCCTGCGCATAGCTCACATCGCGCACGATCCGCATCGTGTCCTCGAAATCGGCGTCGGTTTCGCCGGGAAAGCCGACGATGAAGTCGCCGGACAGGGCGATGTCGGGCCGCGCCTTGCGGATTCGATCGACCAGCCGGCGGTAATCGTCGCCGGTATGCTTGCGGTTCATTGCCTTGAGCACCCGGTCCGAACCGGCCTGCACCGGCAGGTGCAGATAGGGCATCAGCATGTCCAGATCGCGATGGGCAGCGATCAGCGCGTCATCCATGTCGCGCGGGTGGCTGGTCGTGTAACGCAGCCGCGCAAGGCCATCGATCCGCGCCAGCTCGTGCAGCAACTCGCCCAGGCCCCACTGGCGCCCGTCCTGCGCTTCCCCGTGCCAGGCGTTGACGTTCTGGCCCAGAAGCGTGATCTCGCGCACGCCGGCATCGACCAGGCGACGCGCTTCTTCGACGATCTGTGCGACCGGCCGCGAGACCTCGGCGCCGCGCGTATAGGGCACCACGCAGAAGGTGCAGAACTTGTCGCACCCCTCCTGGACGGTGAGAAACGCGGTGACGCCGCGGCTGCGGACCTGCCGCTTTTGCTGTTCTGGCAGGTGCTCGAACTTGTCCTCCACGGCGAACTCGGTCTCGACGACTTTTTCGCCGCGGCGGGCGCGCGCCACAACGTCGGGCAGGCGGTGATAGGTTGTCGGGCCGATGACGAAGTCGACCGCCGGCGCGCGCGCAACGATCTCGCGCCCCTCGGCCTGGGCGACGCAGCCGGCGACGCCGATCATCAGGTCGGCACCGGCCTTTTGCCGCCGCGCGCGCAACTGCCGCAGGCGCCCGATCTCGGAATAGACCTTCTCGGCAGCCTTCTCGCGGATATGGCAGGTGTTCAGCAGCACCATGTCCGCATCGTCCGGCGTCGAGGTCTCGACAAAACCGTCCCGCGCCAGCGCATCGGCCATGCGCTGGCTGTCATAGACGTTCATCTGGCAGCCATAGGTCTTGACGAACACCTTGCGGGTGTTGGCGGCCGGATTGTCCGATGCTGGATCAGCTTTCTTCATGCGCCGTCCTTAGCGGTTTTTGCGTGCCAGCGGAAGAAGGGCGCTGGCCCCGAACCAGCGCCGACATCATGCGCCGCACGGCGCTTTCTGTTTCCGTAGCAAGCCGTTTCCGGTTGGTGCCGGGCGTCACCGTGATCGGGTCGCCGAAACCGACATGGATGTCGATGCGGCCTTCGCGCAGAATGCGTGTCAAATGCGGGCCGATGCCGATGTCGCCGGGCCAGGCGGCCAGCGGTCGCGACTGGCGGCCCATCGGGATGCCATCGACGCCGGTGTAGGCAATCGCAACAGGCTGGACCAGCGCGTCATCTCGGCGATCGCTTTCGCCGACGCCCAGCGCGCCGAACAGGGAGGACTTGAACGGATAGACGAAGTTGCCGCACGACGTCGTGCCCTCGGCGAACAAGACGATCGTGTCGCCATCGGCAAGACGCTGCGCGATCGTTTCGGCCTGAGTGCGGGTGGTGGCACGCGCGTTGCGCGACACGAACACCGAGTCCTGAAGCCGCGCCAGAAGACCGAAGACCGGCCAGTCGCGGACATCGTCCTTGGCGATGAAGCTGACCGGCGCGACCGAACCGAGCGCGACGATATCGAGCCAGGAGGCATGGTTGGCGACCAGCAGCACGCCGTGGCCACCGGCGCGTGCCGGGGCGCCATGTATATCGATGCGAAGCCCCATGGCGCGGGCCACCCAACGGTGCCAGGTTTGCGCGGTCGTCTTGCGCAGAGGCCAGCGCCGCCACTGGGCGACAAGGTGCACGGGCAGCAGCACCGCGGTGATCGCCAATGCCAGACAGACGACGAAGGCGGCGCGCAGGATCTCCATCGGACTAGCGCGCCTTGCGCGCGGCGGCCACGTCATGGCGCATGACCAGTGCGCGCGTGCGCGCCTTGGCCGCGCCGCGATAATAGTCGGGCCGGTCGCCGACGGTGGCAAAGCCGAGCTTCCGGTAGAGAGCGCCTGCGGCCACGTTCGTCTCTTCGACTTCGAGGAAGACCGAGGCGAGCCGCTCGCGATGGGCATGCGCCAAAACATGCGCCATCAGCCGCGCACCGATGCCGTGGCCCTGCCAGTCCGGGCGGACGCCGATGGTGAGGATTTCCGCCTCGTCGGCAGCCGTCCGCAGCAGGACGAAGCCAATCATCGCGCCGCCGCGCGCGGCCGCCTCCCGGGCGATAAAACCGGCGGCGCTGGACGTCCCCAGAAGATCGGCGATCTCGCCGTCGGTCCAAGGGCGGGCAAACAGAGCCCGGTGGATATCGGACGCCTCGACCGCGTCGGTGCGCTGCATCGGCGCGATCGCGATGTCCGCCGCTCCCCAAAGGCCCTGCCACCACTTCATGCGGCATCTTCTCCGTCCGAACGGCGCGGCAAGGCAAACCCGGTCTGCGGCTTGGCGTCGGCCCCGCGCAGGTAAAGCGGCGAAGGGGCATGCTCAAAGAGCCTGGCCGCGCGGGCGACCGCGCCGATCGTGCCCACAGGGCGGTCGACGGTGGTCGGAAGATCCGTCTCCATTCCAGCCGCAGCATCGCCGACCAGCAATGCGCAGTCGGGGCGCAGGTGCTTGTCGGCCTCGTCTTCGGCCATGGCGCGCGCTTCGTCGAGCGCTTCGCCTGCGGCGGAAAAATGCTGCATGAAGATCTGGCCTCGACCGCCGGCGATGAGAACGGCGAACGGTCCTTCGACCCTCGTTTCATTCGTTGCCTGCACGGCCAGGCTTTCCAGCGTCGTCACGCCGGTGACCGGCAGGTTCCGCGCCACGGCGATGCCGCGTGCCGCCGCGACACCGACCCGGATGCCGGTGAACGATCCCGGCCCGATCGTCACCGTCAGCCCGGTCAGATCGCCGAATCCGGCGCCCGCTTCGTCCATGACATCGGCCACGACGCCCATCAGCCGTTCGGCGTGGCCACGGCCGATCTCCTCCTCGCGCGCGGCACGGATCGCGTCTGCCGCCGGGTCATAAAGGCAGGCCGAACAGAAACGCGCAGCGGTATCGAGAACAAGGACACTCATCGCCCTGTGCTATGTCGGCGTACCGGCAGGGGTCAAGCGCGTCGCACAGCCATCACGCCGCGCGGTTCGAGCGGCGTTTCGCCAAGCAGGGCATCGCCCTTTCCGGTCCATGGCGAAACATCGACCGGCTCCGGACCGTAATTGAACAGGTAGCGGATCGCGCCATTGTCGCGGATGCGCACATCGCGATGCAGGTCCAGAGGCGCAATGCCGGCATCGGCAAGCACACGGCGCACGACGCTGTCGGCGAGCCTGGCGTCGGGGCGACCGGCCAGATAGTGGACCCGGCCCTTTACAAGATGTGCAGGATGGCCATCGGCGCAGCGCGCTTGAACGGTCACATCGTCGCCATGGCGGACGAACTCGCGCCAGCCCTCAAACAACGTGCCATTGTCCAGTGCGACCGGCGCGAAGGGTGGACGGCTTTCGACCCGGGTGACAGTCACGCCGGTGAGCGCTCCGAACGGCCCGGGCGGCAGGTTCGGATGAATCTGGAAGTCACGCGTCTTGGATCCGGTACGCGGCCCGACGATCAGATGGGTGTCGCCGCCAGAAAGGGCATTGGCAAGCGCCGCGCTGCCCGCATAGACCGATGGCAGGACGACGAGCTTGCGCCCCTGAACCGCCTGGGGCGTCGGCGGTACCACATCGACGCTGACGCCGGCGCGCCGCAAGGCGCGGTAGAAGCGCAGCGCCATGTCGAGATGGGAAAAATCTGCGCCCTGGGGCTGGATCGCCCATGCCCATGCGCTTTCATAGTCGAAGACCAAGGCAACATCGGCGCGTTCGGGCGCGGCCACGGCGCCGAGCGCGTTCAGTTCGCCGGCCACCTTCTTGCACACATGCCAGCCCTCGTTCCTGTCGCCATTGGGCAGAAGCAGCGCCTCGTGCATCTGCTCCTGGGCGAAAGACGGCTGGCGCCAGCGAAAGTACGAGACGATCTCTGCACCGGCGGCGAACGCCTCGAACGCCCAGAGACGCAGCGCGCCGGGTTCGGGTGCCGGATTGAACGGCGCCCAGTTCACCGGTCCGGGCTGCTGCTCCATCACCCACCAGCGGCCTTCGCTCTGGCCGTTTCGCACCTGGCCGCACGCCCGGTAGAGATCGTGGTGGAAGGCCTGAAGGTCCGGATCGCCGACACCGAGATAGCGCAGCTTGACCGCCTCGTCCGACGTGTCGCGATCCAGAAAGCCTAGCGGATAGGAATCCCAGGTGGCGATGTCGAGATCGGCACCAACCGCATAGTGATCGAAGGCGATCTCCGAACCCATGAAATTGTGGCTCACAGCGCGGCCCGGCGAATGGCGGCGGATGATGTCGGCCTGCAGTCTGTTGAACGCGACGACCTGGTCGGACGAATAGCGCCAGAAATCCATGACATGGGCAGGATTCGGCTCGGTCACGGTCAGGTTCGGCAGGTCGATCGCATCGAACGACGAATATTCCTTTGACCAGAAGACGTTGCCCCAGGCGCGGTTCAGCGCATCGGGCGACTGGTATTTCTGCGCCAGCCAGTTGCGAAACCCGTCAAGCGCTGCACGCGAATAGCTCATTACCGTGTCATGGCAGCCATATTCATTGTCGATCTGCCAGGCTTCGAGCGCGTCATGGGTGCCATAGCGGCGCGCCAGCGCCTCGGCGATGCGGGCGCACTCGGCCCGATAGCCCTGATGGGAGAAGCAATAGTGGCGGCGCGAGCCGAAACGGCGCGGATCGCCGCGGTCGTCCAGCGCCACCATGTCGGGCATCGTATCGACCAGCCATTTGGGCGGCGTCGCCGTGGGCGTGCCCAGAACGATGCGCAGCCCCTGCGCGCCCAGCACGTCGAACGCCTCGTCCATCCAGCCGAAATCGTAACGGCCCGGCTCGGGCTCCAGCCGCGACCAGGCGAACTCGCCGATGCGGACATGGCTGATGCCCGCTTCGGCCATCAGCGCGGCGTCGGTTTCCCAGCGCTCGCGCGGCCAGTGTTCGGGATAATAGCAGGTGCCGAGGCGCTGCTTGCGAAGAGTGGTCATGTCAGGGCATCCGGACGGATCAAAGATGCAGGGCCGGCTCAAATCGCGGTTCGATGTCCACGTCAAGCGTCACGATCAGCGTTGCACCGGCATCGGGATCGGCGGTACGGGCGGCGGCGTCCATGTTCTCCCATGCCGAGGTCACCGCAAGGCGGTTGCCGCCGACAAAGGCAGGGCAGCTCGGCTGCGTGACCGGCAGGTCGATCGTCGTGGTGCGGGTGCCGTCCGGCGCATAGCAATCGAGCGCCGACGCACCCCAACGGGCGTTCCAGATGTTGCCGCCGCCGTCACAGACCGCGCCATCGAGGCCACCCGTGCCGCCTGAATGATCGAAGAAGAGTTGGGGCTCACCGGTTGGCGCGCCGGTCGCCGGATCGGTCGCCACCCGCATCAGCTTTCCGGTCGGCGTGTCGGTGAACCAGGCCGTCGTTCCGTCGGGCGAAAAGCAGATCGCATTGGGGATGGTGATGTTGTCGAACAGCAGGTCGACCGAACCCGCGAACCAGCGATAGATGGCGCCGGAACCGGGCTCGGCGCCCTTGCCCATCGTGCCGAGCCAGAAAGCGCCGGACGGATGGATGCGCGCATCGTTGGAGCGCGTTTGCGGGTTGTCCGCCTCGATCGCGGCGCACCGCGTCAGGTCGGTGCCGTCCCACAGCAACAGGCCGGTTTCGGTGAAGATCACGTCGCGGCCGTCCGCCGCCACGCCCATGGCGCTCGCCATCTCTGGCAGGTCGAGAACGGTCTCCGTTCCCGTGGCAAAGTCGTGCGCGTATCGCTTTTTCTCCACAATATCGAACCAGAACAGCGTGTCGCGCCGGTCGCAAAAGAACGGGCCTTCGCCGAGGTGGCAGTGCGTGCGTGACAGAAAGTCGATTGCGGCCATGGTCCCTACCCGAAAACCGCGTCATAGGCGGCGATGGCGGCTCGTGCCCGTTTGCCGACCTCGCCGGCGTCGAGTCCGGGCGCATAGAGCGACGAGCCGAGGCCGAATGTGCGCACGCCGACTTTGCCGTAGGCCGCGAAATCGTCGTGCGACACGCCGCCGACCGCGCCGATGAGCGTATCGCCGGGCAAAACGGCGGAGATCGCCTTGATGCCGGACGGGCTGAGAACGCTCGCGGGAAAGAATTTGAGCGCCGATGCGCCAAGGCGAACGGCGGCCAGCGCCTCGCTCGGCGTCAAGACACCGGGCATGGTGACAAGCCCGCGTTCGGCGGCGCGGCCCATTACGCCGGCATCGATGTTCGGCGAGACCAGAAGCCTGCCGCCGGCACCGGCCAACCGGTCGACATCGGACGGCGTCAACACCGTGCCGGCGCCGATCAGCGCCTTGTCGCCGAAACGCGCCGCGATCGTTTCGATCGAGACGAACGGATCGGGCGAATTGAGCGGCACCTCGATCGCTTCGAAGCCCGCCTCGACCAGCGCCGCAGCGATGCCAACCGCTTCGTCGGGCTTCAAGCCTCGCAGGATCGCGACAAGCCCGCGCCGCAAGCCTGGCCATTGTTTCGATATGGTCATTGCACGCTCACGGGTTTGCCGCCGTCGCAGGGGGCGCGGTGGCGAACATGTCGGGCCAGACGCGAACGGCGGCCGCGAACAGGCCGGCGCGCGCCAGTTCCTCGCCGTCGAAGACATCGGTTGCGATGCCGACCAGATCGAGCGCCCGAGCGTACAGCGCGCCCAGCGTGCCGCCGCCGACCAGCGTCAGCCGCTCGGGCTTGCCGAACCGGGCGAGCGCGCCGGCAATGTCCTGGCCGATGATCGTGCCCGACAGGCTGGCCGAGGCGTGGGCCGCATCGGCGCCATGCAAAAGGGCGCGCGAGCGGATCGCAAACAGCCGCATGAGCATCCTTGCGGGTTCGTCGATGGCGGCGCGCACGGCCTTGTCGAACGAAGCGCCATCCAACCCGGCATCGCCCGAAAGCGAGTGACGCAGGACCGAGCCGCGCGACAGGGCCGCGAACAGATCGCCGGTCAGCGCCGTCGCAAAGCCGGAAACCTGGGTGGCTCCTTCGTCCATCAGGACCCATTTGGCATGGGTTCCAGGCATGCAGACGAGCCCCTCAGCACCGTTGCCCGCCATTCGCCCCAGGCCCAGAAGCTGGGTTTCCTCGCTGCGCATCACATCGGGCGTTTCGACGCTGCGGTCGGCGATGCCCGGCAGGATGCGCACTTCGCGCGGCGTGCCGGACACGGGCAGCGCGCGTTCGATGATCGTTTCGAGCCGGGCCGGCACTTCGACATAGGGCGCTTCCTGCCAGCCCTGCCGGCTGCCGACCATGCCGCACATCATGACGGGCACCTTCGGGCCGGCGCCCAGTTCGGCAAGATGATGCTCCAGGATACCTTCGAAGGCGCGCGGCTCGGTTGCGCCCATGCCCTCGCCGCTGCGCGCTTCGCCAAGCACGGTTCCGGCGCCATCGACGGCCCAGAGCCGGAGACGGGAGGTTCCCCAATCGACCAGAACGGCCGCGATGGCGGGATTGGCGATCAAAGCAGGCCACCATCGGCGATCAGGGTCTGCGCCGAGATGGCGCTGGCCGCACTCGATGCCAGAAACAGGCACGGCCCGACCATCTCGTGCGGCTGCAATGCGTGTTTGAGGCTTTGCCGCCCGAGCATTTCGTTGAGCGAATCGTCCGTCACCCAAAGCTGTTTCTGGCGATCGGTCATCACCCAGCCGGGCGCAATCGCGTTGACGCGGATCTTGTGCGGCCCGAGCTTGCCCGCCAGACCCTTGGTCAGGCCGATAATGCCGGCCTTGGATGCGGTGTAGGCCGGCATGTCGCCAATGTTCAGCATGAAGGATGTGGAGGTGAAATTGACGATCGCGCCGCCGCCCGACGCCTTCATGCCTTCAGTAACGGCCTGGGCGGTGAAGAAGGCGTGGCGCAGATTGATCGCGGTGTTCCTGTCCCAATAGTCGGCATCGACCGCATCGATCTCGTGGCGGTCGTCCCAGGCCGCATTGTTGACGAGGACCGTCACCAGACCATGGTCGCGGGCGGCTTCGGCCACTGCGGCCCGGATTGCTTCAACATCGGTCAGATCGGCCTTGAGGTAGAGCGGGGCATGGCCGTAGCGCGCCCCAAGGTCGTGGGCCAGCGCCTTGCTGGCTTCTTCGGCAATGTCGATGAAGGCGACCTGCGCCCCTTGCGCGACGAAGCCTTCGGTGAGCGCGGCGCCGATGCCCGACCCGCCACCGGTGATCAGGACGGACGCCCCTTTCAGGTCCGGATAGATCGGAAAATCGGCCATTGTCTTCTGGTTACTCCTATTGGGCTGCGACACGCATCGCGTCGCCATGCAGCCAGTCGGGCAGCCAGGCGCCGTGCGCCTCGATCAGCCGGTCGACGGCAGTCCATATCTGGTCGAGATCGAGTTCGGCGCCCGTATGCGGGTCCATCATCGCGGCGTGATAGACATGCTCGCGCTTTTCCTCAACGAGCGCCCGCACCGTCAGTTCCTGAACATTGACATTGGACCGCATCAGCGCCGTCAGCTGCGGCGGCAGGGCGCCGACGCGCGTCGGCTGGATGCCGTTGGCGTCCACCAGGCACGGTACCTCGACCGCGCAGCCATCGGGAAGACCGTCGATCAGCCGGTGGTTGGGAACATTGCCGTAAATGACCGAAGGCTCGCCTGTCCACACCGAATTGATGATGTCGGAGGCATATTCGTGGCTCGGCTCGATACCGATTGAGTCAGCCGACTGATATTCCTCATATTGCGCGGCCCAGGCGCTCTGCTGTTCGACGCAGCGCTTGGGATATTCGTCCAGCGGAATCCGGAACCGCTCGATCAGGTCCGGCCGGTCGCGCTTGATGAACCAGGGCACATATTCGGCAAAGTGCTCGGAGCTCTCGGTGACGAAATAGCCGAGCCGCTTCATCATCTCATAGCGCACAAGATTGGGGCAGCGCGGATTGTGATCGGGCTCCAGCGGGATGCGGCCCGCCTCGTAGCCGGCGTGCAGATCGGGATAGAGGTCGCGATGGGTGCCATCGTCCATCCGTTCCTCGAACTCGAGGAAAAACGCCACATGGTTGATGCCCGCCGCCCGATAGCGGATGCGCCATGGATCGATGCCCAGATCGCGCGCCAGTTCCTTCACCGTGCCTTGCACGGAATGGCAAAGGCCAACCTGACGAATGTTCGGATAGCGTTCGGCTATCGCCCAGGTGTTGATCGCCATCGGGTTGACATATTGCAGGAGGATCGCGTCGGGGCACAGTTCGGTCATGTCCTGACACAGCGCCCACAGATGCGGCACGGTGCGCAGGCCGCGCATGATGCCGCCCAATCCGAGCGTGTCGGCGATGGTCTGCTTCAGGCCAAGTTGCTCGGGAACCTCGAAGTCGACGACCGTGGCCGGTTCGAACCCGCCGATCTGGAAGGCGACGACAACGAAATCGGCGCCATCGAGCGCGCGGCGGCGATCGGTTGTTGCCTCGACGGTCGCGCTTGCGCCGAGCGTTGCGACCAGTTTCTCGGCGACCAGCCTGGACTGGTCGAGCCGCGTCTGGTCGATGTCCATCAAACGGATCACCGCGCCGGACAGCGCCGGACGGTGCAGAACGTCGCCGATGATGTTCTTCATGAAGATGGTGGACCCGGCGCCGATGAAGGCGATGGTCGGAGACACGTTCATGGAATGCTAGCCCTTGGTTGCGCCAAGCGTCAGCCCGGCGATGAAATGCTTCTGCATGGCGAAGAACATGATCACCGGCGGCAGGGCCGCCAGAAGCGAGGCCGCGGAGATCAGTTGCCATTGCTGGACGAATTCACCGTTGAGCGTGCGCACGCCCACGGTGATCGGCAGGTTCGCATCGTCCTGCAGCATCACCGTCGCCCAGAAGAAGTCGTTCCAGATGAAGGTGAAGATCAGCACCGACAGCGCGGCGATGGCCGGTTTCACCAGCGGCAGGACCAGGTGCCAGAAGATCTTGAACTCGTCGACGCCCTCGATCCGCGCGGCCTCGATCAGTTCGAACGGCAGCGCCTTGATGAAGTTGCGCATGAACAGCGTGCAGAAGCCCGTCTGGAACGCGGCATGGAAGATGACGAGTCCGGGGATGGTGTTCATCATTTCGAGCCGCACCGACAGGTCGACGACCGGAAGCATGAGGATCTGGAACGGCACGAAGTTGCCGGCGACGAAGACAAAGAACAGCGGCAGCGCCCAGCGGAACCGGTAGACCGCCAGCGCATAGCCTGTCAGGCAGGCCAGCGACACGGAAAGGATCACCGTCGGGATGGTGATGATCAGCGTGTTGAGCATGTAGCGCAGCGCGTTGGGCTGGGCGAGCACCTGGCCATAATTGTCGAACATCACGAATTCGCTGGGGATGCCGAACATGTTGCCGGTGTTGATGTCGATCGCCGGGCGGATCGAGGTCAGGAAGATCGCCAGCAGCGGCAGGAGCCAGACGAACAAAGCGACCGGCAGCGCCGCCTTGTAAGCGAACTGCGCGACCGGAGTGGCTTTTTCGATGGGGCGCGGGAACATCAGACCGCCTCCGCTCTGCTGCGCTCGGGCAGCGCCTTGCGGACCTTGGCGGGCAGCTTGGCCCGGACGATATCATAGGACTGCTCGATACGCTGTTTCAGTTCGCCGCCATCGGCGTCCTCGGGCAACAGCACCCAGCTCTTGTGAAAATAGGGTGCATGCGCGGCAAAGCCGACCGATTTCAGCATTTCGGCGGTTTCGATATCCGCGCATTTGACCGCGACGCCCGGCGTCATCGCGCCGATGCAAGCATACATCTTGCCACCGACCTTATAGGCGTCGTGGCCCCCGCCCCAGGGGTCGGACACCTCCGATCCAGGAAGGCGCTCGCAGATTGCGGCGACACGGGCGCGAAAGGTGTCCGACATCAGCGCGCCTCCCTTTCGTCCTGCCACATGCGCCACAGGAAGTAGCTGATATAGACCAGCATGATGGCGAACAGGACGACGGCAATGGCCGAACCGTAGCCGTAGCGACCGACACCCTCACCGACCGCCTGGTCGTACATGTAGTAGGCCAGCACGTTTGTGGAGCCAAAGGGCCCCCCTTGCGTCATCGTGGCGATCATGTCGAACGAGCGCAGCGCACCGATCACGGTGACGACCACGGCAAGGAAGGTCGCCGGCGCGAGTTGAGGCAGAATCACGTGGCGCAGCATCTTCCAGCCCTTGGCGCCATCGAGCCGGCCGGCCTCGATCTGGTCGGGAGATACGTTGTTCAGCCCGGTCAGGTAAAGGATCATGCAATAGGCGATCTGCGGCCACAGGCCGGCGGCGATGATGCCGTAGGTCGCGACATCGGGGTTGCCGAGGATGTTGGGCGGATCGACCGAGCAGACCGTCGTCGGGTTGCCCATGATGTTCGTGGTCTCCTCGCAGAAGAACCAGCCCCAGATCTCTCCGACGAGCCCGAACTCGGGATTGTAGGCCCAGGTGAAGATCAGCCCGACCACGACCTGTGAGATGACGAAGGGGAAGAAGAAGAGCGACTTGTAGATGCGGATGCCGGTGACTGTCTGGTTCAGAAACAGGGCGATGCCCAGCCCGATCGGCACGGCCAGCATATAGAGGACCAGCCACAACAGGTTGTTCCACAGCGAGGTGTAGAAGTTCGGATCGTCGAGCAGTCGCCGGTAGTTCTGGAGACCGACCCATTCGCCGGTCCACACGCCGTTGATGTCGCGCAGCCCGTCCCAGCGGGTGAACGAATAGGAGAAGGACTGAAAGATCGGCAGGATGACGTAGACCGCAAAGAAGATGAGGCCGATCGACACGAACATCCAAGGCGCCAACCTGATCCGGTTGCGCTTGTAGTAGGCGGTCGAGGTGACCAGCGTGAAGCCCGAGACGATGACGGCCAGCAGCAGCGCGAAACGGGCAAAGAAAGCGGGCACGCGTGCGTCGCTGCGCTGGCCATAGCCGAGCCAGTTCTGGATAACGCCGGGATCGACGACAAAGAAGAGAAGCCAGGCCGCGATCACGAGCACCACGCCCGATACGGCCACGCGGACAGTTTCGGTCTCGTAACGGCTGGCTCGAAGGCCGCCCGCGCTGGCTGTTGCCGCGCTCGCCATGGGTGCTCCTCCCCGAAAGCGCCGGGACGAATTTGCGTCGCCTGTTCCCGCTCTGGAATGCCGCGACCAAATGCCTGCCGGCGGATGATCCGGCCAGACCCGAATAGGTCTGGCCGGTTTCCGGTGTTGGCTTAGTAGACTTCGCCCTGAACGCGATCGAGTTCGGTCAGCACTTCGTCGAGCGTGCTCGGGTCGAGCATGAAGCGCTGGAAGCCCTCCATGCCGGCCTGGGCCATCGCCGCCGGCGCATCGCGGTCATAGAACTGGGCCAGGCCCGATGCGGTCGACAGCGTCTCCATCCCCTCGACGATGAACTTGTCGTCCTCATTGATCGCGGCGGCCGAGTTGGGCGGAAGCTGGCCGATTGCCTTGTTCCATTCCGCCTGCACTTCGGGCGAAGCGACAAAGGCGAGGAACTTCTTGGCGTTCTCCACATTGGTGGCGTTCGCCGGGATGAAGAAGGCGTCCGCCGGCGCTTCCTCGGCACGCGGCAGTCCGGGCGTGATTTCCGGGAACTGGAAGAAGTCGATCTGCTCCTCGGTCAGGCCCGCGTCCTTCATGCCGGCGACGGCGAAGTTGCCCATGACATACATGGCGGCGTCACCATTGGCGAACGGGGCCAGCGCTTCCTGCCAACTCATCGTCGCGTGGTTGTCGACGAACGAGCAGCGCTCCAGCATCGTCTCCCAGTTGGCGAAGGTCGCGCGGATGCGATCGTCGGTGTATTTGATCTCGCCGGCGGTCAGCGCGTTATGCACCTCATAGCCGTTGGTGCGCAGGTTCAGATAATCGAACACGCCGGCTGCCGTCCAAAGGAACTTGGTGCCGATGGTGAACGGCGTGACGCCGTTTTCCTTCATCACGTCGCACGCAGCCAGCATCTCGTCCCAGGTCGTCGGCTCGGACAGGCCCAGCTTGTCGAAGATGTCTTTGCGGTAATAGACGCCCCACTGATAATAGGAATAGGGCACGCCCCACTGCTTGCCGTCGCGCGACATGGTCGGCTTGATGGCTTCGAAATGCTGCGACAGGTTGGGGTCGGACGCCCACAGGTCGGAAATGTCCATGAACAGGCCGGCGTCGACGAAGGGCGCCATGCGGTTGCCCGGATACCAGGTGATGACGTCGGGCGCATCGTTCTGAAGCGCGCTGCGGATGGTGTTCTTGTGCGCCTCGCGGTCGCCATTGTTGGCGGTCACCTCGATGTCGGGGTTGGCGGCGCGGAAAGCCTCGACCGCAGCCTCGAATGCGGCCTTCGGCGCCGGATTCAGGTCATCGAAGGTGATGACGAGTTCACTGGCGGAGGCCGAGCCCGCCATCATCGTTGTTGCCAAGACGCCGAACGCGGCGCCCTTGAGAATGGATTTCATTCCGATTTTCCTCCCGAATGCGGATGGCGCCTCTCCGCCACCCAAACGCGCGCCGAACGGTTGATCCGGGACGGCGCAAATGCGGTTCTTTCAGACAAACGACGCCGCATAAGTTGTTCCATATAGTGGAACGTCGTTTGACTATCTTGAATTATTGAGCTAAGGTCGATAAGGAGTCAAGAGCCGGACGGTCTCCCATGCCGTCCGCCGGGGAGGACATGGACACCTGGATCGAACAGGACAGGACCGACCGGAAATCGGATGCCGATCGCGCGCGGACGGTGCCGGATACCGGCACGCTGGGCAAGGCGGTTGCCGTGCTCGACGTGGTGGCGCGCGCCGAGCGGCCGATGCGCTTTCGCGATCTGCGCGAGGCAATCGGTCAGCCGCCCGGCACGCTGCACCGGCAGGTCTCCAACCTGATCTCGGAGGGCCTTTTGCAGGTCAATCCCGACCATTCATACGGGCTGGGGCTGCGCCTTTTGCAGTTCGCCGCGCGGGCATGGTCGGGCAATCGGTTTCGCGAGATCGCCGAACCACACCTGGCCGCGCTGCACGAAAAGACCGGCGAAACGGTCCATCTGGGCGTCCTGAGCGATCTCGAGGTGATCTATCTGGACAAGGTGGAATCGCGTCAGGCGGTGCGGATGCACAGCCAGATCGGCAATGCTTCGCCCTGCTATTGCACCGGCGTCGGCAAGGCGGCGCTGTCGGCGCTGCCGCCCGAAGACGCATGGGCGCGCATCGCGCGGGTCGATTTTCGCCGGCACACGGAGCACACGCTGACCGATGCGGCCGTACTGGGCGAGGAACTGGCTGACATCAGGGCCGCCGGGATCGCCTTTGACCGGGAAGAGCATGAGACCGGCATACACTGTGTCGCCGCGCCGATCCGGTCGCATGACCGGTCTTTCGTCGGCGGCATCTCGGTGACGGCGCCGAGTTACCGCATCGCGATGGCGCAACTGGAACGATGGGCGGACGATGTGCGCGCGGCGGCGGCGGCCATCAATGCCGATATCGAAATCAGGCTGGGACCGCGCGCGTAGCGGACACCGGCCGGTAGCGGGGGAGCTTCCATTGGCAGACGTCCAACTGAGGGATCTGAAGAAGTCGTTCGGCAGCGTGGACGTCATCCACGGTGTCGATCTGTCCATCGAATCGGGCGAGTTCGCGGTGTTCGTCGGCCCGTCCGGCTGCGGCAAGTCGACACTGCTGAGGCTGGTCGCCGGCCTGGAAGAGGCATCGGGCGGCACGGTGGCGATCGGCAGTGAGGACGTGACCCGGGTCGAGCCCGCCGACCGCGGCGTGGCGATGGTGTTCCAGTCCTATGCGCTTTATCCGCACATGACGGTCGAGGAGAATATGGGGTTCGGCCTGAAGATGACCGGCGCCAATCCGGAGATGGTCCGCGAGAGGGTGCACAAGGCCGCCGAAATCCTGCATCTGGAACAGCTCTTGCAGCGCAAGCCCAAGCAATTGTCCGGCGGCCAGCGCCAGCGCGTGGCCATCGGCCGGGCGATCGTACGCGAGCCGAAAGTGTTCTTGTTCGACGAACCGCTGTCGAACCTGGACGCGGAACTGCGCGTGAAGATGCGGCTCGAGATTGCCAAGCTTCACAATGACCTGGGCGCGACGATGATCTATGTCACCCACGATCAGGTCGAAGCGATGACGCTCGCCGACAAGATCGTCGTGCTCCGCGCCGGCCGGATCGAACAGGCGGGCGCGCCGCTCGATCTTTATTCGGACCCCGACAATCTGTTCGTTGCCGGCTTTATCGGTTCGCCGAAAATGAACTTCCTGCGCGGAACCGTCACCGCATCGGGCAATGGCACCGCCACCATCGCCCTTAACGACTTTGACGGCACGAGCGCTTCGGTGCCAATGAGCGGCACCTTGAAGAAGGGCACAGAGGTTCTGCTCGGCATCCGGCCGGAGCATTTTTCGACCGATGGCAGCGCGTCGCTGGAAACCCGCATCGAGGTGATCGAGGATCTGGGCGGTGTGTCCTATGGATATTCGGGCGCCGACACGGACGAGCCGCTGACGATCGCGCTGGGCGAGAACCACGGGATCAAGCCCGGTCAGGCGATCACCGCGCGCTTCGACCCGGGCCGGGCAATGCTGTTCGAGCCCGACAGCGAACGCCGGATCCGCTAGGACCGCCCCACGGGGCCGCTCAGGCGGCGTTGGAGGCCGGCCCTTCCACCAGATGATGATAGAGCGCCTGCGGATCGCTGGTCGCCCGCAAAAGGGCAACGCGACCGGGATCGCGCATCAGGCGCGCCACGCGCGACAGCGCCTTGAGATGGTCGGCGCCGGCATTTTCCGGCGCCAACAGCAGAAAGACCAGATCGACGGGCTGCTCGTCCAGCGCATCGAAATCGATCGGCTCGTGCAGCCGCGCAAACACGCCGGCGATCCGGTCGAAGCCGGGAAACTTGGCGTGCGGAATGGCGATGCCGTTCCCCACGCCCGTCGATCCAAGCTTTTCGCGCTGCAGGACAGTATCGAAAATCTCGCGTGCCGACAGGCCGGTCAGTTCGGCGGCATGTTCTGAGACGGCTTGCAGCAATTGCTTCTTCGAACTGGCGCGCAGATCGCCGATCACGGCGTTTTCCGCGAGAATATCGCCCAGATCCATCGTTATTCCCTCTTGGGTCGGCGGCCTTGGTCTCCGGGACGGATCGAAGCAAACCGCGGCGCGGGCATCTGGTCCCGCGCGGTTGCCGATCCCTACTTCAACGATCCCGGATCGATCCAGCCGATATGTCCATCGGGGCGGCGGTACACAAGGTTGACGTCGCCGCTCCCAGCATTGCGGAACACATAGACCGGCGTGTCCTGAAGGTCCAGTTGCAAAACCGCCGAAGAGACCGGCATGGTGGACAAACTCATCTTGGTCTCGGCGATGACGAGCGGCGCGTAGTCGTCGGGAAGCTCTTCATCCTCGTCCTGGGGCAGCGCCTCGAGCACGCGGTAGGCATATTCCTCGACCCGCGTGGCCGCACCGTTGGCATGGTGGGACTTCAACCGGCGCTTGTAGCGGCGCAGGCGCTTTTCGATCCGCTCGGCGGCGGCGTCGAAGGAGGCCTGCGGGTCCTGAGCCTCGCCGGTTGCCTGGAGGACCGTGCCCGAATCGAGGTGCAGCGTGCAGTCGGTGGTGAATCGGGATCGCGACTTTTCGACCACCACATGGCCCGAGGCGCGTCCGCCGAAATACTTGTCGATCGCCTCGTCGATCCGGTCCTCGATGCGTGTGCGGAACGCATCGCCGATCTCCATGTGTTTTCCCGAAACGCGCAGACTCATGGTCCTACCTCTTCTTGTTGTGCCCCGTCGTGCGGCCGGGGATTGGCCGCGGCTCTTTGTGGCCTCGCCGCCAGATTGGTGCAATCGGGGTGGATTGTGAAGGGCAATCACCGCGAAACCGGTGGCCAAATGCCCGGTCACGTTCCGGCAAGCACAAGAGCGCGCTTTTCGCGCCGGCGTTGGACGGAGGATGCAATGTTCATCGATTCCCGGTACTTGGCGACCGTCCGCCGCGCGATGTCGATGCCGTCCGCCCGCAGCTGGACCACCAGCGCATCATCGGACAGCACCTTCTCGGGACGTTCGGCCTCTATGAGATCGCGGATGCGCTGACGCACGCTTTCGGTCGCATGGTCGCGATCACCGCCATCGGTCGCCGAGATCGCGCCGGAGAAGAAAAATCGCAATTCGTAAAGGCCGCGCGGCGTCATCATGAACTTGTTGGCGACGACGCGGCTGACGGTCGACTCATGCATGGCGATTTCGTCGGCGACCATCTTCATCGTCAGCGGCTTGAGGGCGCTGACACCTTCGGTCAGAAATCCGTCCTGCTGGCGCACGATCTCGGTTGCGACCTTGAGCACCGTGGTGGCGCGCTGGTCGAGGCTGCGCTCGAGCCAGTGCGCATCCTGAAGACATTGCGTCATGAACGACTTTTCCGCGCCGTCCAGCGCGCCGGCGGTCACGGTCGCATAATAGTCGCGATCAACCAGAACGCGCGGCAGCGCATCGCGGTTGAGTTCGATCTGCCACGCTCCGTCGGCGCCCTTCCGCACCTCGACATCGTGCACGACCGCCTGGACGGGGCTGTGTTCGAAAGCAAGGCCGGGGCGCGGATCGAGGGTTCGTATCTCCGCCAGCATGTCCACGAGATCGGCCTGATCGACGCCGCACAGACGCGACAGAGCCTTGAAATCACGCCGCGCCAGCAATTCGAGATTTTCGAGAAGTGCCCGCATCGCCGGGTCCAGCCGGTCGCGGCGCGCGCACTGCAACGCCAGGCATTCGGGCAGGTCGCGCGCAAACAGTCCGGCCGGATCGAAGGTCTGCACCATGCCCAGCACGCGATCGATCGCCTCACGCGGCACTGCCAGCCGCGTGGCGATGGCGTCGAGATCGGCCTCGATATATCCGCGCGCGTCCAGATGATCGGCGAGGTCGATGGCGATCGCCCGGTCGGCCTGGCCGCGCACGGTCATGGCGATCTGGTCGCGCACATGTTCGCGCAGGCCCGGCGGGCGGTCGGCGAATTCCTCCACCGGCCAATCGGTGTCCGGCACGCCCATCGATGGCAGTCCGGGCTGACGCTCCCGATGCGCCCCTTTTCGGGCGGAGGCCGAGCCATCGGTCCGGCCCGGATCGTCGGGAAAGACGTTTTCCAGCGAGGTATCGAGTCGGTCGGCCATGCCGGCCGCATCCACCGGCAGGGCGGGTTCGGGCATCTCGGCCGCCGGCTGCGCCGTGCCCGCCTCGTCGGCGCGTTCGAGCAGCGGGTTGCGCTCGATCTGGTCGTCGATGAACCGTTCGAGCTCCATGTGCGAGAATTGCAGCAGACGGATCGACTGCAGCAATTGCGGCGTCATCGCCATCGTCTGGGCTTGACGCAGATGGAGCCGGGCGGTCAGCGCCATGGAAGATTTCGTCCCGCTTGGTTATGGCCGGCCCGATTGGCCCGACACTTGCATAGCGTCATTAAAGCGGGTTTTGCCCGGCGTGGCCAGCCGCACGGGTGGGATCAAAGGCTAAACTGGTCGCCAAGGTAAAGACGGCGCACGTCCGGATTGGCGATGATCTCGTCGGGACGGCCATGTGTCAGCACGCTGCCGGCATGGATGATATAGGCGCGGTCGATCAGGCCCAGCGTTTCGCGGACGTTGTGATCGGTGATCAGAACACCGATGCCGCGCTTGGTCAGATGGCGCACCAGGCCCTGAATGTCTGAAACGGCGATCGGGTCGACGCCCGCGAACGGCTCGTCCAGCAGCATGAAGGCCGGATCGGAGGCCAGCGCGCGAGCGATCTCGCACCGCCGCCGCTCGCCGCCCGACAGCGCAATCGAGGGCGCCTTGCGCAGATGGGCAATCGAGAATTCGTCGAGCAGCGCATCGAGCTTGCGCGCGCGTTCGGCGGCATCCTTCACCACGACTTCCAGGATCGCCATGACGTTCTGCTCGACCGAAAGGCCGCGGAAGATCGATGCTTCCTGCGGCAGATAGCCGATGCCCAGGCGCGCGCGCTGATACATAGGCATCGCCGTCACGTCATGGCCGTCGAGTAGAATCTGGCCGCTGTCGACGGGCACGAGCCCCGTGACCATGTAAAAGCAGGTCGTCTTGCCCGCCCCGTTGGGGCCCAGAAGGCCGACCGCTTCACCGGCCCGAAGCGCCATCGAGGCGCCATCGACCACCTTGCGGCCGCGATAGCTCTTGGTCAGTCCGCGCGCGACGAGCGTTCCGCCGAGGCTCTGGCCGCCCTTGGCGGCTGTGCCGGACCTACGCTGTTTGAACAGGGACAACACGGGGGCGCATCTCGTCGGGTTCCGGGGACCGGGTCAGCGGCTTTGCGGCTGGATCAGGATGGTCGGACGCGATCCCTGGTCACGGCATCCTTCGAGCCGGGAGCGATTGGCGCGCATGTCGACGGTCAAGAGGCACCCGGTCGCGACGTTCCCGTCCTCCGACAGCGTCACCCGCTTGCCCGACAGGATCAGGACCTCGGATGCCATGTCGTAGGTGCCGGTCTCGCCGGTGGCGACCTGCGTCGCGGTCTGGATGTTGACGCCGCCGCTCGCCTCCAATCGGTCGATCTGCGCGCCGCCCGTTGCCAGCGAACCGTCGCCGCCGCGCGCATAGCGGATGACCAGTTTGCCCGTCCGCAAAACCGTATCGCCCTGAACCACCCGGACATTGCCTTCGAAAACCGCCATGCCCTCGTCCTCGAGCACCTCGAGCCGATCGCCATCGACCTGCACGGGTTCGTCACCGGACAGCGAGAAGTCGCCACCGCCGACCTGGGCATGGGCATGGGCCGTGACCAGGATAGGGGCGCATAGGGCCGCCAGCAGCGCGAAAGCTCGGGCGTTGCGCCCCCAATTCTGCCTGTTCATTGCTGTGTATCCGTTTGTACCCTGGCGGTGATGGCGGTCGGCTCTATCATGACGTTGACGTTGTTTTCAAACACCAGCCTTTTGCCGTGACCCTCAACCGTCAGCCGGTCGGCGATGATCCGCATGCCGGGCTGCTCGATCTCAACCGTGTCGCGCACGACCAGATCGCCAGTGGCCAGATCGACCTCCGCATCGGAAAAAATGGCCCTGACGCCGCCGGTCGTTTCGAGCAGGGCGCGTTCTCCCAGAACGAGACTGTTATCGGCAGGATTGAAGACACCGTTTTCGGCACTGAGAAAGGCGGTCGTGCCGTCTTCCAACTCGACATCGGCGCGCAGCTCCTGAAGTGTCAACGGATCGGCGCCGATCTCCTGGGTCGCGGACCGGGCCGAGACGCTGTAGGCGCGCTGATCGGGCGTAAAGCCGTCAAGACGCGGTTCGGCGATCACCAGCTTGCCGTCGACGATGGCGCTTGACGCCAGATCCACATCGATGCCCGGCAGGGCGATGCGCGATATTGCCATGACGCCGGCAACCCCGACAAGGGCAACGGCCGCGACCGCCGGGACCAGCCAGCGCAACAGCCGCACGCGCCTTGAATGGCTGGCGGCACGCGCGAACCGCCGGCCGCTGCCGGGCGATGTCGGCTCTTTGCGCGCCTCAAGCCCCATGCCCAAATCCTTCGCCCATGCCCAAGTCCTTCATCCGCAGCTGGCGCGGTGAGTCGTCACAGCCTGTCGCACATTGCTTTCGGGAGGCTGGAATCCCGGTCGGGATCGATTAAGTTTCCAATGTGGTCGTTTTTGGATGTCCCGGCGGCCCGTCGCCACACGCCAAGCGGAGAGAGAACCCATGGAACCGTTGCGGGCCGACGATATCATAGACCGGCAGCGGATGCGCCGGAAACTCTCCTTCTGGCGCGCGATCACCATCATCGTGATCGTTGCCGGCCTGATCGCGCTGACCGCTTCATTCAGCGGCGACCGTTTCGGCCCGCAAACCCGGTCCCATGTGGCACGGATCGCCGTCGAAGGCACGATCACGGGCGACGACCGCCTGCTGGCATTGATCGAGCGGGTGCGCAGGAGCGAACAGGCCAAGGCCGTGATCATCGCCATCGATTCGCCTGGCGGCACCACCGCTGGCAGCGAAGCGGTCCATGATGCGGTCCGCAAGCTGGCCGCCGAAAAGCCGGTGGTCGCCCAGATCGACACGCTTGCCGCATCCGGCGGCTATATGGTCGCGGTCGCTGCCGACCGCATCGTCGCCCGCCAGTCGTCAATCGTCGGGTCGATCGGCGTGATCGTGCAATATCCGAACTTCACCGGTCTTCTGGAGAACTGGGGCGTCGACGTAAGGGCGATCAAATCGACGCCGCTCAAGGCCGAACCGTCCTTTTTCGGCGAACCGCCCGAGGGCGCCGAGGAAATGCTGCGCGCGCTCGTCATGGACAGTTTCGACTGGTTCAAGGAACTGGTCGCCGAGCGGCGCGGCTTCGACCAGGCGACGATCGACCGGCTCGCCGACGGGTCGGTCTATTCGGGGCGGGTGAGCCTTGCCAACGGGCTGGTCGATGAACTGGGCGGCGAGGACGCAGCCCGCGCCTGGCTGACCGCACAAGGCATCGACGAGGACCTGAAGATCGTTCGTTGGGAGCCACGCCGCGAGGATTCGGGCCTATTTGGCCTCGGCATCGCGGCCGAATTCGTCGCCGGCCGGATCGGGCTTTCCAACCCGGCCTCATCGGTCACAAAGGCCCTGAACCAAAGGCTTTTCCTTGACGGGCTGATCTCGCTTTGGCACGCTGACGCCTTGCTGACCTCGCCGACGGCAGAGCCATGATCAAATCCGAACTCGTCCAAATCATCGCCAACCGCAACCCGCATCTCTACCAGCGGGATGTCGAGAACATCGTCAATGCGGTGCTCGACGAGATCGGCGACACGCTGGCCGAAGGCAACCGGGTGGAACTGCGCGGCTTCGGCGCCTTTTCGGTCAAGAACCGCCCGGCCCGCGAGGGGCGCAATCCGCGTACCGGCGAAAAGGTGATGGTCGAGGAGAAGTGGGTGCCCTTCTTCAAGACGGGCAAGGAATTGCGGAACCGCCTGAACGGCGGTAAGTAAAGCGCACCGCAACGCAAACCGTTCGAGCCGCCTTCATGCGCCGCATCTTCAACGTCCTGATCCTGATCCCGCTCGCCATCGTCCTGATCGCGCTGATGGTTGCCAACAGGACATCGGTGCCGCTGTCGATCGACGTGTTCAATCCGGGCAATCCCGCGCTGACCTATCAGGCGCCGCTGTTCGTCTGGCTGTTCGTGGCGGCTGCGATCGGCGTGGTTGCCGGCGGTTTCGGCGCCTGGCTGGCCCAGGGCAAACACCGCAAGCAGGAACGGACCTACAAGCGCGAGGCCCGGCAATTGCGCCACGAGGTCGAAAAGACCAAGCGGACCAATGGCGACAAATCGGCGACCGGCACCTCGCTCGTGCTGCAGCGCTGATCATCCATGAAGATCATTTCGGCCGATGACGTCGATGCTGCGCTGGACTTTCCGGCGCTGACCGACACGCTTGCGGACGCGTTCAGGGGCGGCGTCCACGCTCCGCCCCGTCACCACCACACCATCGCCAACGCGGACAGTGCCGACCAGACCCTGCTGCTGATGCCGGCCTGGAACGACCGCCACATGGCCGTCAAGCTGGTCGTGGTGACACCGGACAATGGCGCGCGCGCCCTGCCCGCCGTGATGGCCTCCGTCATCCTGATGGACAAAAAGACCGGTGCGCAGATCGCGATGATCGATGGCGCCCGGCTGACCTTGTGGCGAACGGCGGCGGCGTCGGCGCTTGCCGCGCGCCACCTCGCGCCGGCCGAACCCGACACGCTGCTGATGGTCGGCGCCGGTGCGCTGGCGCCGTTTCTGGTCCGGGCGCATCTGAGCGTCCGGCCCTACAGGCACGTTCTGGTCTGGAACCGGACTGTCGCCGGCGCCGAAAGGCTTGCGGAAAGCCTGCGTGCCGACGGTCAAGCGGCGGAGGCCGTCGCCGCCGAAAGCCTCGATGCGGCGGTCGGCAAGGCCGATGTCATCAGTTGCGCGACGCTATCGACCGAGCCGCTGATCAAGGGCGCTCTCCTCTCGCCGGGCACGCATGTCGATCTTGTCGGCGCGTTCACGCCGGCCATGCGCGAAAGCGACGATGAGTGCGTGCAGCGGGCAAGTCTGTTCGTCGACACTTATGCGGGGGCGCTGCACGAGGGCGGCGATCTGGTGCAGCCGATCAATGCCGGGCTGATCGAGCGCAGCCATGTGCGCGCCGAACTCATGGAACTGGTCAATGGCGATCATATGGGCCGCACCGCCGATGACGAGATCACGCTGTTCAAGTCGACCGGCGCATCGCTCGAGGACCTGGCCGCCGCCTCCTTGATCGCAGCGCGCTGCGGCCTTTGAACGGCGTTTTCGCTTCACAAGCCGACCGCGAACAGCCATATGCCTGCCATGAGCAAGAACCGCGCCAGGGATGGCCGCCGCACAAGGTCACAGGCGGCAAAACGCGATGGTGCGCCGCGCGCCAGGTCCGGCGAGCCACGCGGCTTCCGCCCCAAGCCGAAACATGCCGACAGGCCGCCACGGGCGGCTGGCGAAACTCCGGAACCCCGGACACGGCGAAGCGGCGCGCGCCCGGCGGAGACCGTTCCGCTGATCCTCGAGACCGATGCCACCGACGATTACGCCCTTGTCGACACGGGCGACGGGCTCAAGCTCGAACGCTACGGCTCGCTGACGCTGGTGCGCCCCGAACAGCAGGCGATCTGGGGCCGCGCCCTGCCCCCGCCGGACTGGGAAGCGGCAGATGCGGTGTTCACCGGCGACACGGACGAGGAAGGGCTTGGCCGCTGGCGTTTTCCGGCGAAACCGCTGCCGGAAACCTGGCCGATGGCATTCGACGGGGTGCCTTATCTCGGCCGTTTCACATCGTTCCGCCATGTCGGCGTGTTCCCGGAACAGGCAGCGCATTGGCGCGCCATGCGCAATGCGATCGAGGGCGCGGAGCGGCCCCTGCGCGTCCTGAATCTTTTCGGCTATACCGGGGTCGGCTCGCTGGTGGCCGCGGCTGCCGGCGCCCATGTCACCCATGTCGATGCCTCGAAAAAGGCCATCGGCTGGGCGCGCGAGAACCAGGCCCATGCCGGGCTTGAAGACAAGCCGATCCGCTGGATCTGCGAAGACGCGATGAAGTTCGTGGCGCGCGAAGGGCGGCGCAGCAATGCCTATGACATCATCCTGCTCGATCCGCCGGCCTATGGCCGCGGTCCGGCCGGCGAGGTCTGGCAGCTCTTCGATCATCTGCCCGACATGCTCGATGGCTGCCGCGCGATTCTTTCCGATACGCCCCTCATGCTGGTGCTGACGGCCTACGCGATCCGGGCCTCGATGTTCGCCATCCACGAGACGATGATGGAGGCCATGACCGGCTTTGCGCCGGAGGGCCATGTCGAATCCGGCGAACTGGTTCTGCGCGAGACGAGTGCCGGACGCGTCCTGTCCACGTCAATGTTCAGCCGCTGGACGCCGGGACACGCATGATGGCCAGTCCGATCGCGGCCCCGGGACGGGTCAAGGAAGTCACCAGCGCGGCCAATCCGATCATCAAGGACATCCGGCTGCTCGAAAAAAAGCGCCACAGGGAGGAGGCCAACAGCTTTCTCGCCGAAGGCATGAAGCTGATCATCGATGCGATGAACGCCGGATGGCGACTGAAAACGCTGATCCATGCCGCATCGGCCAAGGGAAATGAGGCGGTCACAGCGCTGGCGACCCGCGCGGTGGCGGCCGGTGCGGACGTTCTGATCGTGCCGGAACGGCTGCTCGGCCAGATCACGCGGCGCGACAATCCGCAGATGGTCGTTGGGGTCATGCAGCGGCGATTTGCCGATGCGGCATCGATCCGGCCCGGCGCGGACGATCTTTGGATCGCGCTCGACCGGGTGCGCGATCCCGGCAATCTGGGCACGATCATCCGCACCGCCGATGCCGGCGGCGCCAGGGGCGTCATCCTGGTCGGCGAAACGACCGATCCGTTCGCCACCGAAACCGTGCGCGCGACAATGGGTTCGATTTTCGCGGTGCCCGTGGCGCGCATGACAGCCGAGGCATTCAAGGGCTTTGCCCGCGAATGGCCGGGCCAGATCGTCGGTACTCATCTGGAAGGCTCGGTCGACTATCGCATGCCCGACTATGCCAGCGGTCCGATCCTTTTGCTGATGGGCAACGAGCAGGCCGGGCTTCCCGGCGATCTGGCGGATCTGTGCTCAACGCTGATCCGCATTCCGCAGGCCGGACGGGCCGATTCGCTCAATCTGGCCGTGGCCACCGCGCTTGCCCTTTACGAAGCGCGCCGGCACGCATTCCCGGTCGATGGGGACGCGTCATGAAACGCATCTCCACCGCTCTCCTGACGGTCGGCGCGATGGTCGCCGTCGACCAGGCGATCAAGATCGGCGTCGAGCAGGCGATGGACTATCACGAGCGGATCGATCTTCTGCCTTTCTTCGCGCTGTTTCTGACCCACAATCCGGGCATCGCCTTTTCGATGCTGTCGGGGTGGGGCGCAGGCCCGCTGATCGCGCTGAGCCTTGCGGTCACGGCATTCGTCAGCTGGCTGTGGGTGTCGAGCCCGGCGGACCGGATCGTCGCCCATTTCGGCTTTGCGCTGATCATCGGCGGCGCCATCGGCAATCTGATCGACCGGACGCTTTACGGCTATGTGATCGATTACTTCCTGTTCCACACGCCGGGCTGGTCGTTTGCCATCTTCAACCTGGCGGACGCGGCGATCTCCGTCGGCGCGGGCCTGGTGATTGTCGACGAAGTGCTTTTGTGGCGCAGCACCCGCAAAGCCGATTGACCTTGCGGCCAACGCGCTGGCAGGTTGCGCCGAAACAATTGAGGGGAGAGGCCGATGGCCGACGCGTTCAAGGCGATCATGGTGTCGCGCGACGACAACAAGGTTCAGTCGGTCGATGTCGCCGAACTGACCGTCGACGACCTGATGGAAGGCGATGTGGTCGTCGCCGTCGAAGCCACCACGATCAACTACAAGGACGGGCTCGCGATTACCGGCAAATCGCCGGTCGTGCGCCGCTGGCCGATGATCCCCGGCATCGACTTTGCCGGGACCGTTGTCGCCTCCGATCATGCCGACTGGAAGGCGGGCGACAAGGTGATCCTCAATGGCTGGGGCGTCGGCGAGGTGCATTACGGCGCGTATGCGGGCCGGGCGCGCGTCAATGGCGACTGGCTGATCGCCCTGCCCGACGCGCTGACACCGCATCAGGCCATGGCCATCGGCACGGCAGGCTATACTGCGATGCTGTCGGTGCTGGCGCTTGAGGGTGCCGGCATCACGCCCGACCGCGGCCCGGTCGTCGTCACCGGCGCCAATGGCGGCGTCGGCACGGTGGCGATCTCGGTTCTTTCCAAGCTGGGCTATCAGGTCATCGCCTCGACCGGGCGGACCAGCGAATCGGCGTTCCTGGAATCGCTGGGCGCGGCGGATATCATCGATCGGGCGGAATTGTCCGAACCCGGCCGGCCGCTCGGCAAGGAGCGGTGGGCCGCCGGCATCGATTCGGTCGGCTCGGTGACCCTCGCCAATGTCCTGGCGCAAACGCAGTATGGCGGCGCGGTGGCCGCCTGCGGCCTTGCGCAAGGCATGGACCTGCCGGCGAGCGTCGCGCCCTTCATCCTGCGCGGCGTCTCGCTGCTGGGCATCGATTCGGTGATGGCGCCCAGAGCGTTGCGCGAAAAAGCCTGGAGCCGGCTTGTCAGCGACCTCGACACCGAAAAGCTCGAAAGCCTGTCGACGACGATCGGTTTCGACGCGATCGTCGAGACGGCGACGGCACTGCTCGAGGGCAAGGTGCGCGGCCGCGTGGTCATCGACATGGCCGGCTGACACCCGCTGATCCATACGGGTCGTCAACGCAACCAGTTGATAACCTTCACAGCCTATCGTGCGGGTTCGCGCGGCCATCACGACCGCCGATTGCCGGCCCTCGGACGAAATTGCGGGGTCCGCGACCTGACGGCGGGGCAACGCCATGGACGAGACGAACGCATCGAAATCCCAGTTTCTGGCCATTGTAAGCCATGAGATCCGCACGCCCCTGAACGGCATCGTCGGCATGGGCAAACTGCTGGCCGACACGCCGCTGACCGCCGAGCAGCGCAATTATGTCGAGGCGATCACATCGTCCTCCGAAGCGCTGATGCTGCTGGTCAACGACCTTCTGGAATTCGGCCGCAGTGGCGCCGACACCAGCACGCCGGTCTTCTCGGCCACGGACATGCGCGCGCTGACCAGCGGCGTGATCGAACTGCTGGCCGGCCGCGCGCACGAAAAGGGGCTCGATCTCGGCTATTCGATCGCGCCGGGTGTGCCGGTATCGATGCGCGCCGACGCCAAGGGCCTGCGGCAGATCCTGTTCAACATCGTCGCCAATGCGATCAAGTTCACCGCCGAAGGCGGCATTGCCGTCGAGATCGGCCACGCGCCTTCCTCCGATGGCGGACGGGCGCACGATCTGACCATCACCGTCCGCGACAGCGGGCCCGGCATACCGATCGAAAAGCAGGCGCAAATCTTCGAACCGTTCGAGCAGGCAGATATGAGCCTTGCGCGTCGGCACGATGGCGCGGGGCTTGGCCTTGCCATCGCCAAACGGCTGGTCGACCGGCTCGGCGGCACGATCGCGTTTGAAAGTTCGCCCGACATGGGAACGGAATTCACCGTGCGCGTTCCGGCGGGTATCGAGCCGCAAAAAGGGGCGGAGCCGAGCGACGAGGCGCTATCGGGTCAGCACTTCTGCCTGATGATGCGCGCCGGATGCGAGGCGGACATGCTGGCCGATGCGATCGCGGGGCATGGCGGGTCGGTCGAGCACACGACCGCGCCGGAGCTGGCGCTCGACCGGTTGCACGACATGCCGGGCGCGACGGTGCTGATCGACAGCCGGCTGATGCGCGATCCGGATCGGGCGCTCGGCCTCGCAGACCGGATCGCCGCGCGCGGCGGCCGTCCGGTGGTTCTGATCGAGCCCGAGGAGCGCGGCACGCTGGGCGCGCAGTTCAAGGCCGACGGCCATGCATTCCTGACACGCCCGGTGCGTGGCTCCAGCCTGTTGCGCGTTCTGGAACGTACTCTGGACGGCAAACCCGCCGACGATCTGTCCAATCCGTTGTCCCTTGTGACGCCGGCCGCGCAGCGCCGGCGCCGCTTGCTGCTCGCCGAAGACAATCCGGTCAACGCGCTTCTGGCATGCAGCGTTCTTGAAAAGGCGGGGCACGCTGTCACGCTTGCGGACAACGGCAAGGCCGCGCTCGACCGGATGACCGCGCCGGACGCCGCCTTCGATCTGGTGCTGATGGACGTTCACATGCCTGTGCTCGACGGCGCCGAGGCGATCCGCCTCTTCCGTACGCACGAGGACGCCCATGGCGGCGACACGCGCCTGCCGATCGTCGCGCTGACCGCCGACGACGATCCGGAATTGGAGCGCCTTCTGCTTGCCGTCGGTGCGCAGAAGATCGTGCGCAAGCCGCTGACCGCACAGAACTTGCACGTCCTGTTCGAAACGCTGGACAGCGCAGCGGCCTGAACAGGCATTAACGCGCGCCGAAAATGTGTCATACTGGCGTCACGGGATCGTCATAGCCGACAACTCACCTTGTCGGATGCAGACCGGATTCGGGTTCGAACGATGACCATCGCACGCGCAGCGCCAAGCCAGCCGGCCCGCCCGCCCGCCGAACCGGCGGCGTTTCTGGGCGAGATCGGCAAACTGCGTGCACGGCTTGCGACGACCGGTGACGAAATCCGGGCCGCACAAAGGCTGCGCCATGCCGTTTTCTCGGCCGAGTTCGCGGCGCCGGGCGATGAAGACGGGATCGATGCCGACGGCTATGACGCGCTGTGCGACCATCTGATCGTCCTGGACACTGCGATCGCGGGAACCGACACGGACCGGATTATCGGCACCTACAGGCTCCTGCCGCAGCAAAACCTCGCCGGCAGGCCGTTTTATTCGGACAGCGCATTCGACATCGGCGCCCTGCTCGAACGGCATGACGGCCGCCGCTTTCTCGAACTGGGCCGCTCCTGTGTCCTGCCGGACTATCGCTCCAAGCGTACGATCGAACTTCTGTGGCAGGGCATCTGGGCCTATTGCCGGCGCAACGCCATCGATGTGATGTTCGGCTGCGCGTCCTTTGCCGGCCGCGTCCCCGCGCGGCATGCGATGGCGCTGGCATTCCTGCATCATCATGCGCGCGCCACCGGCGACTGGTCGGTGACGGCGCGGGCCGAGACACGTGTCGACATGGATTTCATGCCGGCCGAGGCGATCGACCTGAAGGCGGCGATGCGCGCCCTGCCGCCGCTTATCAAGGGCTATCTTCGGCTCGGCGCCACATTCGGCGAGGGCGCGGTGATCGACCATGCGTTCGCTTCGGTCGATGTGCTCGTCGTCCTGCCGGTCGAACAGATCAGCGCGCGCTATGTCTCCTATTACGGTGCAGATGCGGATCGCTTCGCCGCCTGATCATCCGCCGGCATTGTAGGCGGCGATCGCGGCCATGTTGACGATGTCCGCATCGCGCGCGTTCAGCGAAACGATCTGAACGGACTTGTTGAGCCCGACGAGAAGCGGACCGATCACGGTCGAGCCGCCCAGTTCCTGCAGCATCTTGGTGGCAATCGAGGCCGAGTGAAACGCCGGCATGACCAGAACATTGGCCGGCGCCGACAGCCGGCAGAACGGATATTGCGCCATCAGTTCGGCGTTGAGCGCGACATCGGCGGCCATCTCGCCGTCATACTCGAAATCGACGCGCCGCTTGTCGAGCATGCGCACGGCATCGCGCACGGAATTGGAGCGTTCGCTCTGCGGCTGGCCGAAGGTCGAATAGGCCAGCATAGCCACGCGCGGTTCATAGCCGAGCTTGCGGGCCATGCCGGCCGCCTCCTCGGCGATGTCGGCAAGTTCCTCGGCGGTCGGCATGTCGTGCACCGCCGTGTCGGCGACCAGCACCGTGCGCCCGCGGCACAGCGCCAGCGAAACGCCGACGACACGGTGGCCGGGCCGCACGTCGATGACGCGCCGAACGTCGCTGAGCGCGGTGGCGTAGTTTCGGGTGACACCGGTGACCATGCCGTCGGCATCGCCGAGCGCGACGGCGGTGGCGGCGAAGATGTTGCGGTCGTTATTGACCATCCGCAGGCAGTCGCGGAACAGGTAACCGTCGCGCTGCAGACGCTCGTAGAGATGGTCCGCATAGGCGGCGGCGCGGTTCGACAGGCGCGCATTGACGATCTCGATGTCGTCGCGTTCCAGATCGACGCCGGCATTGCGCGCCGCTTCGGCGATCAGGTTCTCGCGGCCCAGAAGGATGGCGGTTCCGAGCCCCTGATTGACGTAGGAGACGGCGGCGCGGACGACCTGCTCTTCCTCCGCCTCGGTGAAGAACATGCGCTTGGGATTGCGGCGGACGCGATCGAAGATGCGCTGGAGCGTGGCGGCGATGGGATCGCGGCGCGCGGACAGTTCGACCGCATAGGCGTCGAAGTCGGCGATGGGCCGGCGCGCGACACCCGATTCCATCGCGGCGCGCGCCACCGCGACCGGGATCGCCGAAATCAGGCGGGGATCGAACGGGACGGGAATGATGTAGCCGGGGCCGAACCGGGGACGCGTGCCGCCATAGGCGATCGCCACGTCGTCGGGCACGTCCTCGCGCGCGAGTTCGGCAATGGCATTGGCCGCGGCGGCCTTCATCGCGTCGTTGATCGTCGTCGCCTGCACATCGAGCGCGCCACGGAAGATGTAGGGAAAACCGAGCACATTGTTGACCTGGTTGGGATAATCGGACCGGCCGGTCGCAATGATCGCATCGTCGCGGATTTCGGCGACCTCTTCGGGCGTGATCTCCGGGTCGGGATTGGCCATGGCGAAGATGATCGGATTGTCGGCCATCGACCGCACCATGTCGGCGGTCAGCGCGCCCTTGACCGACAATCCGAAGAAGACATCGGCGCCCTCCATCGCATCGGCCAACGTCCGCCGGTCGGTGGCGATCGCGTGGGCGGACTTCCACTGGTTCATGCCGGTGCCCCTGCCTTGGTGGATAACGCCCTTGGTGTCGCACAGGATGACATTGTCGTGCGGCACGCCCATCGCCTTGACCAGCTCGATGCAGGCGATGGCGGCGGCGCCCGCGCCATTGCAGACGATCTTGACGTCGCGCAGATCACGGCCGGTCAGATGCAGCGCGTTGATCAGGCCGGCGGCGGCGATGATCGCGGTGCCGTGCTGATCGTCGTGAAACACCGGGATGTCGAGGGCCTCGCGCAGCCGGTCCTCGATCATGAAGCAGTCCGGCGCACGAATGTCCTCGAGATTGATGCCGCCAAACGACGGGCCGAGCAGGCGCACGCAATTGACGAACTCGTCCATGTCTTCGGTGTCGACCTCCAGGTCGATCGAATCGACATCGGCAAAGCGCTTGAAGAGGACGGCCTTGCCTTCCATCACCGGTTTTGAGGCGAGCGCGCCGAGATTGCCCAGGCCGAGGATCGCCGTGCCGTTGGAGATGACGGCCACCATGTTGCCCCGCGCGGTATAGTCGAAGGCGGCCTCGGGCCGTTCGGCGATCGCCTTGACGGGGACGGCGACGCCCGGCGAATAGGCCAGCGACAGGTCGCGCTGGGTCGCCATCGGCTTGGTGGGCGTGACTTCGAGCTTGCCCGGCCTGCCGCGCGCGTGAAAATCGAGCGCTTCGCTGTCGCTGATCGCGGGACGCTTTGAAACGGACGGCGCGGCGGGACGGTGAGGCTTGTTCATGAGGGTCGTCCCTTGCGCGCTGTATTCGGACACTAGTCGGGGAAAAGACCTTCTAATCCCTGTCGCGGCGCCGTGTAAACGCGCATAAGCTCGGACGGAACGAAACGGGTCCCAGGCGATGGACGGCAGGGCGGCACAGCATCGGGAAACCGGCGGCGGAGCGGGCGGCAGCGCCTCGACCGGCGCGCCGACGCCGATGATGGCGCAGTTTCTCGAGATCAAGTCGGCCAATCCGGGGCTGCTCCTTTTCTACCGGATGGGCGACTTCTACGAACTGTTCTTCGAGGACGCGGAGATCGCCTCGCGGGCGCTGGGCATCACGCTGACCAAGCGCGGCAAGCATCTGGGCCAGGACATTCCGATGTGCGGCGTTCCGGTTCATGCCGCCGACGACTATCTGCAGAAGCTGATAGGGCTCGGCCATCGCGTGGCGGTGTGCGAGCAGCTCGAAGACCCGGCCGAAGCCAAGAAACGCGGTTCGAAATCGGTCGTCCGCCGCGATGTGACCCGGCTGGTCACGCCCGCGACGATCACCGAGGACAAGCTGCTGGAGCCGGGCGAGAACGCCTATCTTCTGGCCCTTGCGCGCATCCGGGCCTCGGACCAGATGGCCTACGCCTTCATCGACATTTCGACCGGCGAGTTCCGGCTCGGCGAAACCGCGCCGGCGCGCCTCCTGCCCGATCTCACCCGCATCGCGCCGCGCGAGATCATCGTCCCTGAAGCGCTTTTTCACGATCCCGAGCTCAGGCCGGTCTTCGACCAGTTCGGCCGCGCCGTCAGCGCACATCCCGCCGCCCTGTTCGACAGCGCCACGGCGGGCGACCGGCTCGCGCGATATTTCGGCGTTGCGACGCTGGACGGGTTCGGCGACTTCTCGCGCGCCGAACTGGCCGCCGCATCGGGGGCGCTCGCCTATGTCGAAAAGACACAAGTGTCCGAGCGGCCGGCGCTGCAGCGGCCGCAGCGCGAGACCGGCTCACCCACGCTTTTTATCGATCCGGCGACGCGCACCAATCTCGAACTCGAACGCACGCTGTCGGGCCAGCGCGACGGCAGCCTTTTGAAGGCGATCGACAGGACGGTGACCGGCGCCGGCGCGCGGCTTCTGGCAGCGCGGCTGCGCGCGCCTCTGACCGATGCCGCCGCCATTGCCGAGCGGCTCGATTCCGTGAGCCAGTTCATGGCCGACGATGGGCTGGGCGCCACGCTGCGCGCACATCTGAAGGCGTTGCCGGACATGGCGCGCGCGCTGTCGCGCCTGTCGCTGAACCGCGGCGGCCCGCGCGATCTGGCCGCCATCCGCGGCGGGCTGGCGGTCGCCGCGTCGGTCCACCAGGTGCTGTCGGGAGCCGATCTGGGCGCCGAACTGCACGAAGCGCGTGCCATGCTCGACGCCGCGCCCGCCGAGGTCGCCGACGCGCTGGAAAAAGCGCTGGACGATGACATGCCGCTTCTGGCGCGCGATGGCGGTTTCGTGCGCACAGGCCATCATGACGAGCTCGACGAGATGAGGGCGCTGCGCGACCAGTCGCGGCGCGTCATCGCATCGCTGCAGGCCGATTACGCAGCCGAAACCGGCGTCAAGTCACTGAAGATCAAGCACAACAATGTGCTGGGCTATTTTATCGAGGTCACCGCGCTGAACGCGAGCGCTCTCAATGCATCCGACGACGCCAAGGCCCGCTTCATCCACCGCCAGACCATGGCGAACGCGATGCGTTTCACCACCACCGAACTGGCCGATCTTGAAAGCCGCATCGCCAACGCCGCGGGGCGGGCACTCGAGATCGAACTGGCCGTGTTCGAGCAATTGCGCGCGCTCAGCGTCGCCCATGCCGATGCCATCCGCGACGCGGCGCATGCGCTTGCGGTGATCGACGTTTCGGTGGCGCTTGCCGATCTGGCCGCCTCGGAAGGCTATTGCCGGCCGGTGGTCGATGACAGCCGCATCTTCCGCATCGTCGGCGGGCGCCATCCGGTCGTCGAACAGGCCCTGCGCCGGCAGGCCGCCGATCCGTTCGTCGCCAATGATTGCGACCTTTCGCCCAAGGACGGTGCCGACCATGGCGCGCTGTGGCTTCTGACCGGGCCGAACATGGGCGGCAAGTCGACCTTTCTGCGCCAGAACGCGCTGATCGCGATCCTTGCGCAGACCGGCTCCTTCGTGCCGGCCGGACAGGCCCATATCGGTATTGTCGACCGGCTGTTCAGCCGTGTCGGAGCCTCGGACGATCTGGCGCGCGGGCGATCGACCTTCATGGTCGAGATGGTCGAAACCGCGGCCATCCTCAACCAGGCCGGTGAGAACGCGCTGGTGATCCTCGATGAGATCGGCCGGGGAACGGCGACCTTTGACGGGCTTTCCATCGCCTGGGCGGCGATCGAATATCTACACGAGCACAATCGCTGCCGGACGCTGTTCGCCACTCATTTTCACGAGCTGACAGCGCTTCACGAAAAGCTCGACCGGCTGGCCAACGTCACCATGCGGGTCAAGGAATGGGAAGGCGAGGTGGTGTTCCTGCACGAGGTCGGCCAAGGCGCCGCCGACCGGTCCTATGGCGTGCAGGTGGCGCGGCTTGCCGGCCTGCCCGACGCGGTCGTGATCCGGGCACGACAGGTGCTCGACCAACTCGAGGAGCAGAACCGCGACAAGGGCGCGGCCGCGCTGATCGACGATCTGCCGCTTTTCTCGGCGGCGCCGGCGGCAAAACAGTCCGTGCCAAACGCCGTCCGATCGGCTATCGAGGCGGCGCTTGACGATCTTTCGCCTGACGAGATGACGCCGCGCGCGGCGCTCGAAGCGCTCTATGCGCTCAAGGCGGTCGCAACGAAGAAGGACTGAGATTGGACAAGGCCGTCACCGGAAAGACCGCCCTTCCCGACGCCGCGACCATCGGCGCGGCGCTGGAAGGGTTCGCGCGCGATGCGGGCGGCGACGGCGCGGACACGGGTGTACGCGCCAAGGTGCTCGCCCATCTCAAGCAGGTCCTGGCCGACGGGCGCGCCGAGGCCGAGCGGCGCCTTTTCGAGGACGGCAAGGGCCATGGCTGCGCAAAGCGCCTGTCGGACCTCCAGGATGCGATCATCCGGGCCACCTACGATTTCGCCCTCGCCCATGTGTTCAAGGTCTCGGATCTTTCCCGTGGCGAGCGGATCGCGCTGGCGGCGGTCGGCGGCTATGGCCGCGGCACGCTGGCGCCCGGATCGGACATCGATCTGTTGTTCGTCCTGCCCTACAAGCAGACGCCGCTCGGCGAGCAACTGGCCGAATACATGCTCTACATGCTTTGGGACATGGGGCTGAAAGTCGGCCACGCCACGCGCAACATCGATGACTGCGTGCGGCTGTCCAAGAACGACATCACGATCAGCACCACGATCCTCGAGGCCCGGTTCCTGATCGGAAACGAAACGCTCTTCAAGGAGCTGATGGACCGGTTCGATGGCGAGGTCGTGCAGAAGACCGCCGTCCAGTTCATCCAGGCCAAGCTCGCCGAGCGCGATGCGCGCCACCAGCGGATGGGCGAAGCGCGGTTCGTCGTCGAGCCGAACGTCAAGGACGGAAAAGGCGGATTGCGCGACCTCCACACGCTGTTCTGGATTGCCAAATATGTCTATCGCGTGCGGCGACGTGCGGAACTGGTCAAGCTCGGTGTCTTCACCCGCAAGGACTACAATCTCTTCGTCAAGTGCGAAGACTTCCTCTGGGCGGTGCGCTGCCACTTGCATTTCCTGACCGGCAAGGCCGAGGAACGCCTGTCGTTCGACGTGCAGCGGGACCTCGCCGAGCGGCTCGGCTACCAGTCACACCCCGGGCTCGAGGATGTCGAGCGGTTCATGAAGCACTATTTCCTGATCGCCAAGGATGTGGGCGACCTGACGCGCATCTTCTGCGCGGCGCTGGAAGACCAGGAGATCAAGAACGCGCCGGCGCTGTCCGGCCTCTTGCAGGCGCTGCCCTTCACCGGTCGCTCGCGCAAGATTCGCGGTATCAAGGAGTTCGTCATCGACCGTCAGCGCATCAATGTCGCCGACGAGGAGGTCTTCAAGCGCGATCCGGTGAACCTGATCCGGATGTTCCATCTGGCCGACCGGTACGGGCTCGAATATCATCCGCAGGCGCTGCAACTGGTCCGGCGTTCGCTGAAGCTGATCGACAAGGCACTGCGCACCGACGTCAATGCCAATGCGCTGTTCATCAAGATCCTTTCCTCGAAGAACGATCCGGCGCTCAATCTGCGGCGGATGAACGAGGCGGGCGTGCTCGGCCGTTTCGTCCCCGATTTCGGCAGGATCGTCGCGATGATGCAGTTCAACATGTATCATCACTACACCGTCGACGAACATCTGATCCGTACGATCGGCGTGCTCGCCGACATCGAAAAGGGTACGCTCAAGGAAGATCATCCGCTCGCCGCGACGCTGATGCCGGGCCTCAAAGGCGAGCGCACGCTGCTCTATGTGGCACTGTTTCTGCATGATATCGCCAAGGGCCGACCGCAGGATCATTCGACCGCCGGGGCGGAGGTGGCGCGAAAGCTTTGCCCGCGTTTCGGCTTTTCGCCCGAGGACACGGCGACCATCGCCTGGCTGGTGCAGGACCATCTTCTCATGTCGATGACCGCTCAGGCGCGGGACCTGTCGGACCGCAAGACGATCGAGGATTTCGTCGCGCGGGTGCAGACGGTCAAGCGGCTCAAGCTGCTGCTGGTGCTGACCGTTTGCGACATTCGCGGCGTCGGTCCGGGCGTCTGGAACGGCTGGAAGGGCCAGCTGTTGCGCACGCTCTATGCAGAGGCGGAACTGGCACTTACGGGCGGTTTCTCGGAAACCAGCCGCAAGAGCCGCGCCGCCAGCCGCCGGCAAGCGCTCGAGGAACGGCTCGCCGGCTGGACCGAAGCCGATCGCGAGGCGGTTCTGCGCCTGCACTACGACAATTATCTTCTGACCGTCGATCTGGAAGACCAGGAGCGCCATGCCGAGTTCATCCGCGCGGCCAATGCCGAGGGCAAGGCGCTGGCGACCGAAGTCCGCACGGATGCATTTCAGGCGATGACCGAGATCACCGTGCTGGCGCAGGACCACCCGCGCCTGTTGTCGGTCATCGCCGCCGCCTGTTCGAGCGCGGACGCATCGATCGACGGGGCCCACATCTTCACCACATCCGACGGCCGCGCGCTCGATGTCATCCAGATCGAACGCGAATTTGTCGAGGACGAAGACGAGTTGCGGCGCGGCCGCCGGATCGGCGCACTGATCGAGGATGTCCTGCGCGGCAAGGTGAGCCTGCCGGACGTGCAGGCGCACAAGCGACGCCGCAGGGCGCTCAGCGCCTTTCATGTCGAGCCCAATGTGAAGATAAACAACACGCTGTCCAACCGGTTTACCGTGATCGAAGTGGAAGGGCTGGACCGCCCGGCGCTCCTGTCGCAACTGACCGGCGCGATCTCCGATCTCAAGCTCGACATCCGTTCCGCGCACATCACGACCTTCGGCGAGAAGGTGATCGACAGTTTCTATGTGACCGATCTGGTCGGCCAGAAGATCGAGGACACGGCGCGCCAGGGCCGCATCCGCAAGGCACTTCTTTCCGTGCTCAAAAACGATCAGCGCGGCGCAACGAAGAAGCAGGCGGGCAAGGCCGCCGTGGCGGCCGAATAGACGATGAGCCTTTTGCGCAATTTCGCCACGGTGGGCGGTGCGACCATGACCAGCCGCGTGCTGGGATTCGTGCGCGACATATTGATGGCGGCCGCTCTTGGTACGGGCCCGGTGGCCGACGCCTTCGTGGTCGCCTTCCGCTTCCCCAACCTGTTTCGTCGGATCTTCGCCGAAGGCGCCTTCAATTCGGCCTTCATTCCGCTCTTTTCGCGGCGGCTGGAAGGCGAGGGCCGCGAGGAAGCGCGGCGGTTCGCGCAGGAAGCCATGGCCGGCCTGATTACCGTCCTGGCCATTGTTATCGGCTTTGCCATGATCGCGATGCCGGTCCTGATGTACGGGCTGGCGCCGGGCTTTTCGGCCGATCCTGACAAGTTCGACCTGACGGTGGAACTGACGCGGATCACTTTTCCCTATCTTCTGCTCGTCTCGCTGCTGGCGCTGATTTCGGGCGTGCTGAACGGTCTGGGCCGGTTCGCGGCGGCGGCATTCGCACCGGTCCTGCTGAATGTCGTGCTGATCGCGGTGCTCAGCTACATCGTCTCTTCCGGCCTTGCGGCAACGCGCGATGCAGGGCTGTGGCTGTCGGTCGGCGTCGTCGTCGGTGGCGTTGCGCAGCTGGCCATGGTCGTGATCGCCTTGCGGCGCGAAGGGTTCGCGCTCGGCTTCGTGCGCCCGCGCTGGAACGGCCGCATGAAGAGGCTGGTCACGCTGGGCATTCCCGGCGTCATCGCCGGCGGCGTGACGCAGATCAACATCGTCGTTGGCACGATCATCGCTTCGATGCAGGCGGGCGCCGCCAGCATGCTCTATTATGCCGACCGGCTTTACCAATTGCCGCTCGGCGTCGTCGGCATAGCCATCGGCGTCGTGCTGCTGCCGGAACTGTCGCGAAAGCTGAAGGCTGGCGACATGGGTGCGGCCAAGGCCGTCGAGGCCCGGGCACTGCAGTTTTCCATGATGCTGACCCTGCCCGCTGCGGTGGCTCTGGCCGTGATCCCGCACCAGCTTGTCTCGGTGCTGTTCGAAAGGCTGGCCTTCGACGCCGAAAGCGCACGCGGCACCGCGCTTGCGCTGCAGGCGTTTGCCGTCGGCCTGCCGGCCTTCGTGCTGGTCAAGGTGTTTTCGCCCGGCTTCTTCGCCCGCGAGGACACCAAGACGCCGATGCAGGTCGGGATTGCCGCCATGGCGGTGAATGTGGCAGCCAGCCTGGCGCTGTTTCCATTCGTGGGCCATGTGGGCATCGCGATCGCGACGAGCCTTGCCGGCTGGGTCAATGCCATCGCGCTTTATTGGCTTCTGAACCGGCGCGGACTCTGGACGATCGATGGGCCGATGACCCGCCTTCTGGTGCTGATTGCGGTCAGCGCCGTGCTGATGGGCCTGTGTGTGTGGGCGGCCGCGCAGCTTCTTGCCCCGCAACTGGCGTCCGGCACCCCGCTCGTCCCGCGGGCCGCCGCGCTTGCCATTGTGGTCGGTGCCGGCGTCGTCAGCTTTTTCGGTCTGGCCCATCTGACCGGCGCGGCGCGGCTCGGCGCGCTAAGGGCAATGCTGTTCCGGCGCGGCGTCTGAGCGGTCGACCGGCCCTTGCACGGCGGCAACGGCCATTGCATAAGGCCGGCGCATTCCAAACGGACCGTCCCATGACCAACATCTTCCACGAGCGCGTCTTTTCCGGCGTCCAGCCGACCGGCCATCTGACGCTCGGCAATTATCTGGGCGCGATCCGCAAATTCGTCGCGATGCAGGAGCGGCACGAATGCATCTATTGCGTGGTCGACATGCATGCGATCACCATGCCGCAGAACCCGACCGAACTGATCAATGCGACGCGCTCCGTCGCGGCGGCCTTTCTTGCCGCAGGCATCGATCCGGCGCAGCACATCGTCTTCAATCAGAGCCGCGTGCACGAGCACGCGGAACTGGCGTGGGTCTTCAACTGCGTGGCGCGCATGGGCTGGCTCAACCGGATGACCCAGTTCAAGGAAAAGGCCGGAAAAGACCGCGAGAACGCATCGGTCGGCCTCTTCGCCTATCCGGCGCTGATGGCGGCCGACATCCTGATCTACCGGGCAACCCACGTGCCGGTGGGCGACGACCAGAAGCAGCATCTGGAGCTGACCCGCGATATCGCGCAGAAGTTCAACAACGACTATTCCGACCGTATCGCGGAATTGGGTCTGGGCATCGAAATGCAGATCGGCCGGGAGACCGTGTCGGGCTATTTCCCGCTCACCGAACCGGTGATCGAGGGGCCGGCAACGCGAATCATGAGCCTGCGCGACGGCACCAAGAAGATGTCGAAATCCGATCCCTCGGACCTGTCGCGAATCAATCTGACCGATACGGCCGACGAGATCGCCCGCAAGATCCGGAAGGCCAAGACCGATCCCGAGCCGTTGCCGAGCGAAGCGGCGGGCCTGGCAGAACGGCCGGAAGCGGCGAACCTTGTGGGCATCTATGCCGCGCTGGCGGACATGGAGAGCGACGCGGTGCTGGCAGAGTTCGGCGGCAAGGCGTTTTCCGAGTTCAAGCCGGCGCTCGCCGATCTGGCGGTCGAGGTTCTGAGCCCCGTCGCCGGAGAGATGCGGCGGCTGATCGCCGATCCGGGTCATATTGACGGGATTCTGGCCGACGGCGCCGAACGGGCGTCGGCGATCGCCGCGCCGGTCATGGCCGATGTGCGGCGGATCGTCGGTCTGGGCGCCTGAGCCTCTCTCCGCTTGCGGGCCGGCGCGGGCCGTGCCAAAGATTCGTCCATGGTCACCAGACGCCTTTCCGGCGAAGCCGGTCATCGCCGCAAATTCCTCGCGGTCGTCGACGAAACACCGGAATGCGAGCGCGCCGTGTTCTACGCCGCTCGCCGCGCGGCCAACACCCATGGCGGTCTGATCCTGTTGTTCGTGATCGCGCCCGGCGACTTCCAGCACTGGCTGGGCGTCGAGCAGGTGATGCGTGAAGAGGCGATGGAGCGCGCCGAGCAGGTGATGTCGAAATTCGCCACGCTCGCGCGCGAACAGTGCGGAATCGAGCCCGAGACCGTGATCCGCGAGGGCGTCGGCGTCGAACCCATTCACGAACTGATCGAGGAAGACCAGGACATTGCCATCCTCGTGCTCGCGGCCAGCGCGGCCAAGGAAGGGCCGGGGCCGCTCGTCTCATCGATCGCCGGGCGGGACGCGGCCTTTCCGATCCCCGTCACCGTGGTGCCCGCCAATCTGACCGACGAGGACATTGAAAGCCTGTCGTGACGGACGCATATGTTCATAGCGAGCGCGCCCCTTTCACAGGGGCCTGCTTGCGCTTGATAGGGTGAGCGTTTCACTCTATTTTGGAATTATTCCAAATTGAGGTGATGCCATGTTCATCCAGACCGAAACGACGCCGAACCCGGCCACGCTGAAATTCCTGCCCGGCCAGGTCGTCATGGAGATGGGCACCGCCGATTTCCGCGATGCCGGCGAAGCGGGCGCCAAGTCGCCGCTGGCCGGACGGCTTTTCGATGTCGATGGCGTGACCGGCGTCTTCTTCGGCTATGATTTCGTCACCGTCACCAAGGACGATGCGCATGACTGGATGCACATGAAGCCGGCCGTTCTTGCCGCGATCATGGAGCACTTCATGGCCGGCGCGCCGGTGATGGCCGAACAGAACGGCGCAGCCGACTTTGGCGATGAAGAAGAATTCTTCGAGGCCGGCGACGAGAGCATCGTGGCGACGATCAAGGAATTGATCGAGACGCGCGTGCGACCGGCCGTCGCCCAGGATGGCGGCGACATCACCTTCCGCGGCTTTCGCGACGGCGTCGTCTTTTTGCACATGAAGGGCGCCTGCGCCGGATGCCCATCGTCGACGGCGACCCTCAAGCACGGCATCCAGAACCTGCTGCGGCACTTCATTCCCGAGGTCGAGCAGGTCGAGGCCGTCTGACCGAAGACCGAACCGGCAAAAAAGGCCGGGCGATCGCCCGGCCTTTTCGCGTTCGACTGTCGGCGATGCGGCGTCAGCCCTGGAGGACGACAACCTTCGCGCCGGGCTCGACGCGGTTGTAAAGGTCGACAATGTCCTGGTTCATAAGGCGGATGCAGCCCGACGAGACGGCGTTGCCGATCGACCACCATTCCGGCGTGCCGTGCAGACGATAGCCGGTGTCGCGGCCGCCGCGCGTCAGATAAAGCGCGCGCGCGCCCAGCGGATTGGTCAGGCCAGGCTCCATGCCGCCGCGATATTTTGCCAGTTCCGGCTGGCGCCGGATCATCGCCGCCGGCGGTGTCCATGTCGGCCAGCGGCGCTTCCAGCCCACCTTGGCCGTGCCCGACCAGCGGAACCCGTCGCGGCCCACGCCGATGCCGTAGCGCAGCGCCTTGCCGTCTTCCTGGACAAGATAAAGATGCCGGTTCGGCGTGTCGACGATGATCGAGCCGGGCCGATGCCGCGTCTCGTAATCGACGACCTGGCGGCGGAACTCCTCAGGCACTTTCGAAACCGGGATTTTCGGCAGCGTGTATTCGCCGTCCGGCATGCCCGCATAGGCATTGGCGAAATAGTTCGAATTGGTGGCCGAACAGCCGGCAAGCCCGGTTGCGGCGATCGCGGCGAATCCACCCAGAAAAGCTCGTCTTTGCATGATGTCCCTCAAACCCAACAGCCCCGGGGTTTTTTCGCCCCACATGGTTAATCCAACGTTACATGAAGCTTTGAACCGCGTGCAAGGATGGCCCCCCGTAATCTTGCAGGTCTGTGCGCTTTGGCACACAGTGTCACCGACGCACCACAGTTGACGCAACGTCATAGTCCGCCGTGACGGGATCAAATGCCGCTTGTTTCCGCCGTATCGATTAATCCGCTGGCCGATGGCCGGCAATCGGCGCGCGCCCTGACGGTGCGGCGGGGCGTTCAGATCCTGCTGCGGGAAATGGGGTTGGCGACGGTTCCGGAAATGACGCTGGCCAGCGGCCGCCGCGCCGATCTTGTCGCTCTGGCTCCCGACGGCGGCATCGTCATCGTCGAGATCAAATCCTCGCCCGAGGACATGATGGCCGATGCCAAATGGCCGGGATATCGGGACTATTGCGACCGTCTGTTCTTTGCAACGCTGCCCGACGTGCCGCAGCATCTTTTTCCCGACGATTGCGGGTTCATCCGCGCCGACGGGCACGGCGCCGCCATCGTTGCCGATGCCCCGGAGCACAGGCTTGCGCCGGCGCGGCGCAAGGCGGTCACGCTGCGGTTCGCGCGGTTTGCCGCCGAGCGGCTTCTGGCGGCGGAATGGGCGTCCGGCGGGCAGACCGCCGGACCGTGATCAGCGCGGCGCGCGCTTAGCGAGGATGCGCTGCAATGTGCGGCGATGCATGTTGAGCCGGCGCGCCGTCTCCGAGACATTGCGGTCGCACATCTCATAGACGCGCTGGATATGCTCCCACCGCACCCGGTCGGCCGACATCGGGTTTTCCGGCGGCGGCGGGGTGCCGTCCGGCGCGACGGTCAGCGCATTGTAGACATCGTCGGCATCGGCGGGCTTGGCCAGATAGTCGATCGCGCCCAGTTTGACGGCATTGACGGCGGTCGCGATGTTGCCATAGCCGGTCAGGACGATCGCGCGGGCCTCGGGCCGCTTGGCGTGCAGCGCCTTGATGACATCGAGACCGTTGCCATCCTCGAGCCGCATGTCGACAACCGCATAGGCGGGCGGCGCGGCTTCAACGCGGGCAAGCCCCTCGGCGACCGATTCGGCCATTTCCACGGCAAAGCCCCGGCTTTCCATCGCGCGGCCGAGCCGGCGCACAAAGGGCGCATCGTCATCGACGAGCAGCAGGCTGGCATCGGGACCCGGTCCCGGCACCACATCGGTGTTGGTGTTTTCCTGTGTCAGCATGATCTCACCTTTCTGTCTCCTCTACGCGGCCGCCGCCTCAATGGATGAGCGCGGCCAGCTGACCGTCACGGCGGCGCCGGCTTCGGGCCGTCCGCCATTTGCAAAGCGCAGCGTCGCGCCGTTGCGTTCGAGCAGTGTCTTGGCGATGAAGATGCCAAGGCCCAGGCCGGGGCCGCCCTTGCGGCTGCGTTGAACGTCGCGGGTTGCACCCAGATCCGGCTCTCCCAGTTTCTCAAGCTGGTCAGCCGGGTATCCGGGTCCGTCGTCGACGATGTCTATGCGCACCTGGCGGTCGGACCAGCGCAGATCGATGCGCACCGTGTGTCGCGCGAAATCGACGGCGTTCTCGACCAGATTGCCCAGCCCGTAGAGAACGGCCGGATTGCGCCGCATCACCGGTTCGGGGCTGCCGTCTCCATCGTGTCCGGTGACGATGCGAACGCCGAACTCGCGATGCGGGGCGGCGAGTTCCTCGATCAGTTCGCGAATCGACATGAGGGAAATGAGGTCCTCGGACGTGTTGAGCGTCGACAGGCGCGACAGAATCTCGCGGCAACGATCGGCCTGCGCGCGCAGCAGCCGCACATCTTCCTTGAGCGGATCTTCCTCGGCGGTCGCGCGGTCCATTTCCTTGGAGACAAGGGAAATGGTGGCCAGAGGCGTGCCCAGCTCATGGGCGGCGGCGGCAGCCAGCCCGTCGAGCGCCGACAGATGATGTTCGCGTTGCAGCACCAGTTCGGTGGCCGACAATGCATCGGCCAGGCTGCGGGCCTCGTCGGCGACGCGGTAGACATAGAAGGCGGTGAAGGCGACCGACGACAGAACCGCCGCCCACATGCCGGCGACGAAGATGAAGGGAATGTCGAGCGGCACGTCCGCATACCAGGGCAGCGGCAGATGCGAGAAGACCAGCACGCTGGCCGAGACGAACACCACCAGTCCCAATGCGGCCGTGTACCGCGCCGGCAGCGTCGCCGCCGAGATGATCACCGGCACGATCAGCAGCACCGAGAACGGGTTTTCCAGCCCGCCGGTGAGGAACAGGAGTGCGGCGAGCTGGCCAATGTCGAAGAAAAGGACGGCGAAGACATGGGCCGGACCAAGCCGCATGTTGGCCGGGAAAACCCATGTCAGGACAAGGTTGAGCGCTGCGGAAACGGCGATCAGCGCGAAACAGGCAACGATGGGAAAGTCGAAGCCCAGCCATGCGGCAACGACGGTGACGGCGACGCTCTGGCCCAGAACCGCAATCCAGCGCGTGTTGGTGAGCGTCGACATGCGCAGACGGCGGCGCTCGAACCGCTCGCCTTGCATGACCGGGCTGTCGTCGACCTGTTGATCCATGGGCGCTTATATGGCGCCCAAAAGCCCGAATTGCCAGAAAATCCGATGCTTCTCGCACGCAATCATGATTTGCGTGGTTTGGCCCGTCGGGTCGGCGCGGCATTGGCCGGATCGTCGGGCCAGACATGTTTGGGATAGCGGCCCCGCATCTCGGCACGCACCTCGCCCCAACTGCCGGCCCAGAATGCGGGGAGGTCGACGGTACGCTGGATGGGCCGCCCCGCGGGCGAGAGGAGTTCGACGACCAGCGGAACCGCGCCATCCAGAAGCGCAGGATGCCGGGTCAGCCCGAAAAGTTCCTGGACGCGGATCGCCAGTGCCGGCGCCGAACCATCGGGCGGATAGCGCAGCGCGAGGCGCGAGCCGGTGGGCGCGGTGAAGTGAGACGGTGCGAGCCGGTCGAGGTCTGCGGCGCGGACGGAACCGGCGCGCATCAGAAGCGCATCGATCAGCGGTACGCCGGACAAATCCGTGCGACCCGCCAGGAACGGTGCCAGCCAGTCATCGAGCGTTGCGATGAGCGCATCATCCCCCATGTCCGGCCAGGGGTCACCGGCGCGCGCATGCAGCCAGGCCAGCCGGTCGCGCACCGAACGCGCCTTTTCGGTCCACGGCAGAAGCGGCAGGCCGTAAACGCGCACCGCGTCTGTGAGCGCCTTTGCCGCCGCATCGCCGGCCTCGACCGGGCGCGGCGCCGAAGACAGCGTTATCGCACCCAGACGCCGGACCTGTCGGGCGGATAGCCGGCCCGATCCGGCATCGAACGCCATCTCGACCCGGTCGGCGATCCGGTCCTCCAGCCGGTCCTCGATGTCGGCAAGCGATATGGCCGCCCCGGCCAGAAGCCGCGTCTGTGCCGCCGCACCGGTCGCATCGGCGGCGACGACGAACTCCTCGCGGGCCAGCGGATCGGTCTCTTCGACCACAACACCGCGCCCGCCGGCCATCACGAAACGGCCCGGCTGGCCGGAACGGGCCTTGGCAACCCGGTCGGGGAATGCGTCGAGCAGCATGATGCCGGCGGTTTCGTCCTGTCCACCGCCATCGGGCAAGTCGATCTGTGCGGCGATGCGGTCGGCCAGTTGTCGGGCCTGCCGTGCACGGGCCGATCGATCGTTGTCAAAGGCCTGAAGCCGCCGGTCGAGATCGGTCGACATGCCGGCCAGACCCCGCTCCGTGATCAGAACGGCCAAGCGCGCGCGGCGCCTTGCATCGCCTGAATTCTCCGCCGCCGCCACCATCGCCGCCAACGGCACGGGCAGCGCGATCATGCGCAATTGGTGCCCTTTCGGCGTCAGGTGTCCCTGCCCGTCGATCGCGCCGAGCCCTTCCAGCCGCGACCGCGCCTCGGACAGGGCAGCCTCGGGCGGCGGGTCAAGAAAGCGCAGCGCATGCGGATCGGCGACACCCCAGGCCAGACAATCGAGCGTGAGCCGCGTCAGGTCGGTGCGGGTGATCTCCGGCGGATCGAACGGGACAAGCGCCGCCGTCTGGCCTTCGTGCCACAGGCGGATCACGATGCCGGGCTGCGTGCGGCCGGCACGACCGGCGCGCTGGTCGGCGGAGGCCCGGCTCTCGCGAACCGTCTCGAGCCGGGTGATGGCCTGTCCCGGCTCGAAGGCCGGCTGGCGGGAAAGTCCCGAATCGATGACGATGCGCACGCCGTCGATCGTCACCGAGCTTTCGGCGATTGCCGTCGCCAGCACGATCTTCCGCCGGCCCTGTTCGGCCGGAAGGATCGCCCGGTCCTGATCGGCGATCTCCATCGCGCCGAACAGGGACGCCAGATAGGCATCGGGCGGAAGGAGTGGTTCGAGGCGCGCGGCGGTGCGGCGAATCTCCGCCTGTCCCGGCAGGAAGGCGAGAATGCTGCCCTCCTCCTCGCGCAACGCGGCGCGGACCGCATCGGCCACTGCGTCCTCGACGCGCTGATCGGGCTTGCGGGCACGATAGCGGATCTCGACCGGAAAGGTGCGGCCCACGCTTTCGACGATCGCGGCGTCATCAAGGAGTTTGGCGAGACGACCGCCATCGAGCGTCGCGGACATGATGACAATGCGCAGATCCTCGCGCAGGGCGGATTGCACATCGAGCGCCAGCGCCAAAGAGAAATCCGCGTCCAGCGAGCGTTCGTGGAACTCGTCGAATATGACGACCGAGGTTCCCGAAAGCTCCGGATCGTCGAGGATCATGCGCACGAACACGCCTTCGGTGACGATCTCGATCCGCGTCTTCGGGCCGGTCTTGCTGTCCATCCGCATGCGATAACCGACCGTTTCGCCGACACGTTCGCCGAGCAGCGATGCCATCCGCCGTGCTGCCGCACGAGCGGCCAGACGGCGCGGTTCGAGCATGACGATCCTGCCGCCGCCGACCCACGCCTCGCCGAGCAGGGCCAGGGGAACCAGCGTGGTCTTGCCCGCGCCCGGCGGCGCGACGAGAACCGCGTTCGGGCAGTTGGCAAGTTCCGTTTTCAACTCGCCGAGAACCGCGGCAGCCGGCAGGCCGGTTGCGGCAAAGTCGATCATGGTTCGTTGCCGCACGACGCAGCTGGTGCCAGTTCGACCAACGCCCCATGGGCCGCCTCGGCATCGGCGGCATCGTGGGTCACCAGCAGCACCGGCAGTCGGCGCGCCTTGGCCCGTTCGAACACAAGCCGCCGGATCTGATCGCGCAGACCGGCATCGAGCTTGGAAAAGGGCTCGTCGAGCAGCATGAAGGCAGGATCGGAGACAAGCACGCGCGCCAGCGCGACGCGCGCTTTCTGGCCGCCGGACAGCGTGTCGGGATCGCGATCGAAGAATCCGTCGAGACCGACATCGCCCAGCGCGTCGCCGGCGCGCTGCCGCCGCGCCGTACGGCCGGCGACCGAGGGCGGCACGGCGAACACGAGATTGCCGCCGACCGACATGTGCGGGAACAGCAGCGGATCCTGGAACAGAAGACCGGCACGGCGGGTCTGCGGCGGCGCGCCTGTGATGTCGGTCCCGTTGCAGTGCACGCGGCCGCGCGCGGAAAAGACCGGATCGAGAAAGCCGCCGATGAAGGCCAGAAGCGTCGACTTGCCGGAGCCGGAAGGACCCATCACCGTCAGCACGTCGCCCGGCGCGATATCGTGATCGACGCTGACCAGCGTGCGGCTGCCCAGCGCTATCGCGACGTTTTCGAGCCGGAGGCCCGTTGCATGCGTTGCGGATGGATCGGTCATGAAAGCCCTGGTTACAGACCCCTGATCGCGCGGCGATTGCGGAAAAGCAAGGCCGGCACGAGTGTTGCGAGGGCAAAGCCGACAAAGGGCAGAAGCATCTGAAGAAAGGCGTAGACGCCGATGACGCGCCGGTCGCCACCCGATCCAAGCGCCACCGCCTCGGTCGTGATCGTCGGGAACCGGCCCGCGCCGACCAGCAAGGTCGGCAGATACTGGCCGACCGAGACAGCAAAGCCGACCGCGGCCGCCACCAGTACGGCGCGCAGCAACATGGGCATCCGCACACGCCAGAAGATGCGTCTGGAGGGCGCGCCGAGCGCTGCGGCAACCGCCTCATAGCGCCTGTCATAGGCCCGCCATGGCGCGGACAGCGACAGGAAGACGTAAGGCAGGACGAAGACGACATGGACGAGGATGAGCGCCGCCCAGCTGGCGTCGGCATCGCCGGCGATCAGCAGCAATTGCAGGCCGAAGAGAAAGCCGATCTGCGGCACCAGAAGCGGTAGATAGACCAGCGCAAGCGCGCGGTTGCCGCCGGTGCGGCCGGTCTCGTTCTCGCGCTGAAGGCAGGCGAGCGCGATCGCGACCGAGATCGCGGTTGCGGCGAGCGCGATGATGATCGTCGTTGCAAGCGGGCCGGACAGCGCAGGGCCGGTGCGCTGCCAGGTGCGCCATGTCAGGGCGTCGGGCAAGGCGGAGGGAAACTGCCACAGGCCGGAGACCGACCAGAGCGCAAGAACACCCAGACCGCCGAAGACGAGCAATGCCGATGCCGCCATCATGCCGCCGGCGGCAAGGCGCGCAAAACCGTCGCGGCGAAACCGGCGCCCGGTTTCACAGATGCCCTCGGCGACCGGGCCGGCGATCCGCTCGAGCGCCACCCAGATCAGAAGCGCCACCGCCGTCACGGCGATCTGCAGACACGCGCCGGCGCATGCCATGAAACGCATCGACAGTTCGGGGTCGTTCATCCAGCCGACAAGGCGCACCGGCAGCGTCTGCGGCGTCGTCGGTCCCAGAATGAACGCAACGTCCACATTGGCGCTGGCATAGGCGATCACCGCGAAGACGGCGAGGCGAATCTGCCGGTAGAGCGGCGGCCAGGCGGTGAACATGAAGCCCATCATGCGGCCATAGCCGAGCGACTGGCTGAGCCGCAGCGAACGCAGCGCGGGCACCTGCGGCAGGGCGGCGAGCGTGACCAGAAGCAGGAATGGCACCTCCTTGATGACAAGGCCCGCGATCAGCGCGAAACCGGCCGGATCGTTGACAACCAGCAGATCGGGCGGGCGCTCCCAACCGGTCGCCCAGGGCGAGAACAGGCGGGCCAGATAGCCCGACGGCGCGATCATGAAGGCAAAGCCGAACGCGGCGGCGGCGTGCGGCACGGCCAGAAGCGGCGAAACCAGATGCTGGATCAGGCGGAAGGCGCGCGTGCCGTACCAGGCACAGACGAAGCCGGCGACCATGGCCAGCGAGATGGCGGTGGTCAGAAGACCGATCATCAGCGCCTGCAGGGCAGACCGCCAGAGGCCGGGCTGGCCGAACAGATCGGCAAACGGCCGGGTCGACAGCTGATATCCGCCCAGCGCCGGCAAAAAGCCGAACGCGGGCAGCACCGTGCCCATCAGCCCGCATGCCAGCGGGACCGCGAGAACGAACAGGGCCAGCGGCGGCGCGAAGCGGAGCATGGCGCGCCGGGCCGCCGACGGTCAGTTGCCGACGGCGTAGCGGGCCGACCAGCGCTCTTCCAGACGCGACATCCATGTCGGGTGCGGCTCGTCAAGAGCCGGACCGAGCTCATCCGGAAGCAGCGTGGCGATGCCCAGATCGAGTGCCTCGAACAGTTTGCGTTGCGGGGCCGACAGCTTGTCCATGGCCAGAACGGTGGGATCGCCCCAGACTTCCGGATCCTGCTTGCGGGCCTGTGCTTCCGGCGAGATCAGGAAGTTGGCGACCACCAGAGCGCCGGCCTTGGCGTTGGCATTGAAGGGAATGGCGACGAAATGGGTGTTGGCGAGCGTGCCGCCCGAGAAGGTGAACGAACGCACCGTGTCGGGCAGGAGCTGGTTGGCGATGGCACTCGACGCTTCGGCCGGATTGAAAGCGAAGGTGATGTCGAGTTCGCCATCGGCCAGAAGCTGGCTCATCGACGGATAATCCTTGGGAAAGGCCCGTGCGCTGCGCCACAGATGCGGGTGCAGCCGGTCGAGATAGTCGAACATGGGCTGCGTGACCGTCTCGAAGCTGGCTTCGTCGACGGGCTTTTGCAGCACCGCCGGGTCGGCGACCGTCTCGATCAGGATCTGCTTGAGAAAGCTCGAGCCGATGAAGTCGGGCGGCTGGGGATAGGAAAAACGGCCGGGATTGGCCTTGGCCCACACCAAAAGGTCGGCGGCATTGTCGGGCAGGTCTGCGGCGTCCGTGCGGGCGCTGTCATAGAAGAAGACCAGCTTGGCCATGCCCCAGGGCGATTCAAGTCCGTCGGTTGGCAGGGTGAAGTCGACCGTGATGGTCGGTTTGTTCTCCACATCCACATAACGCCAATTGGGCAGCTTCGTCGCCCAGTCGGGCGCGAACAGCAGGCCCTGCCGTTTCATCGAGGCAAAGTTCTCGCCGTTGATCCAGATGAGGTCGATCGAGCCGCCTTCATCGCGGCCGGCGGTCTTTTCCGCGACGACCGTGGTGACCGCGTTGGCCGTGTCCTCGAGCTTGACATGCACCAGCCGGACGCCGTGGCGCTCTTCCAGTTCCTCGCCGACCCAGCCGATATAGGCGTTGATCTGGGTGGAGCCGCCCCAGGCGTTCCAGTAAACGGTCTGGCCGCGCGCTTCTTCGAGCACCGCATTCCAGTCGGCCGGGTCTGGATCGGCCATCGCCGGGCCGGCGGAAAGGGTCAGCGCAAGCGAGAGCGCGGTTACGCGGATCAGGTCGGTCACGGGCTGGCTGTCTCCGGTTGGCAAGCGGTGCGCGAAAACATCACGTGCCATGCCGGCCGGTCAACACGCGGCTCGTCACCTCCTCTCACATTCCGGTGAACTTGCCGGCAAGAACGGCGGGCTCAGCCGCGATCGTTGATGGCGATCCGCTTGACGAGGCGCTCCGGCTCGGGGCGCTCGAGATCGATCAGCAGGAGGCCGTTTTCGAGGTCCGCGCCGATGACGCGCATGCCGTCGGCCAGCACGAAGGCGCGCTGGAACTGCCGGGCGGCAATGCCCCTGTGCAGGAACTCGCGGGCCGGATCGTCGGCATCGGCGCGCCGGCCGCGGATGACAAGCTGGCTTTCCTCTGTGGTGATTTCCAGATCGTCCGAGGAAAAGCCCGCGACGGCCAGCGTGATCCGCATGATCGACGCGCCATCATCGCGGCGGATGCGTTCGATGTTGTAGGGCGGGTAGCCGTCGCCCGACTTGGCGACCCGTTCCAGCGATTTTTCGATGGTCTCGAAGCCGACCAGCAGCGGGCTGGAAAAATTGGTCATGGGCACCGCCTTTTCATGTCCTTTGCAAGCGACATTGCCGCGAGCACAAGTTTTGACTTGCATTTGTCGCGCGGCACGGCGAACCCGTCCGGCATCCGCCTTGATGTCTTATGATGTCTGGGCGGGCGATTTTCAAGAATGTCCGGGGGACCGCCATGACCGACACGCGTGCCATCATCATCGATACCGACCCGGGCCAGGACGATGCGATCGCGCTTTTGCTTGCGCTGGCGAGCCCGGAACTCGACGTGCTCGGCGTGACGGCGGTTGCCGGAAATGTGCCGCTCAGCTTGACCGAGAGGAACGCGCGCAAGATCTGCGAGCTGGCCGGAAAGCCGCAGACCCGCGTCTTCGCCGGTGCCGAGCGGCCATTGATGCGCACTCTCGTCACCGCCGAATATGTGCATGGCAAGACCGGGCTCGACGGGCCGGGCCTGCCCGAGCCGACCATGCCGCTCGAAAGCCAGTTCGGCCCGGACTTCATCATCGACACCGTCCGGGCCCATCCGGCGGGCCATGTCACGCTGTGTCCGCTGGGGCCGCTGACCAACATCGCGCTGGCGCTGATCAAGGCGCCCGACATCGCGCCGAAAATCCGCGAGATCGTGCTGATGGGCGGCGGCTTCTTCGAGGGCGGCAATGTCACGCCGACAGCCGAATTCAACATCTATGTCGATCCGGAAGCCGCGCACACCGTGTTCACCTCGGGCGTGCCGATCGTGGTGGCGCCGCTCGACGTCACCCACAAGGCCCTGACCACCCAGGCCCGGATCGACGCGCTGCGCGCCAAGAAGACACCGGTCTGCGATGCGGCGGCAAAGCTGATCGACTTTTTCGAACGGTTCGACGAGGACAAATACGGCACCGATGGCGGACCGCTGCACGATCCGTGCGTGATTGCTTACCTTCTGCGGCCCGATCTGTTCACGGGCCGCGACTGTCATGTGGCCATCGAGACGGGCTCGCCACTGACCTTGGGCATGACTGTGATCGACTGGTGGGGCGTCACCGGCGAGCCAGCCAATGCGCACGTGCTTGGCGATATCGACGCGGCCGGCTTTTTCGACCTGATCACCGAGCGGCTGGCGACGCTCTGAACCCGCTCATGCCTTGAAGGCGTCGACCCGCGCACGATCGGGGATCGAGGGCTGGGCGCCTTCGGTGAGGCAGGCCAGCGCGCCGGCGCGGCAGGCCAGATCGAGCGCTTCGGGCCAGTCCTTGCCTTCGGCGCGCGCGGCAGCCAGATAGCCGCAGAACGTGTCGCCGGCGCCGACCGTATCGACCGGCTCGATTGCCGGCGACGCTGCCCGCGCCATCCCGTCGGCGGTCGCGGCAAACGCGCCATCGGCGCCCAGCGTCAGCACGATCGCCGCCTTGAGTTCGGCGGCGAGCCGCGCCATCTGCGCGTCAATCGAATCGTCGGCAAGCCCGATTTCGCCGGTAAGGGCGGCGAATTCGGTTTCGTTGGCAATCACCACGTCCGCATGGCGCGCCAGTTCGGCTGCCGCCGGACGGAAGGGCGCGATATTCAGATAGGACACGGCGCCGGCCGCACGGGCCGCTTCCAGCGCGCGCGCAACGGCCGTGTCGGGGATTTCCATCTGGAGCAGCAGCGCGTTGCCGGCGGACAGGATCAGATCGTCAGTGGCCTCCAAGACACGGGCGTTGGCGCCCGGCACGACGGCGATCTGATTTTCGCCCGTCTCCGCATCGACCAGGATCAGTGCGACGCCGGTCGGCTCCTCGGCGAGCCTGCGCACGGCGGACAGGTCCACCGAAGCGCCGTCCAGAAGGGACAGGGCAGCGTCCGCATTGGCGTCATCGCCGGTGCAGCCGGCCATGCGCACCTCGTGGCCGGCGCGGCGGGCGGCCAGTGCCTGGTTGGCGCCCTTGCCGCCGGGCGCCTCGGCATAGCCGACACCGGAGACCGTTTCGCCGGGCGCCGGCAGATGGTCGACGCGGGCGACGAGGTCGAGATTGATTGAACCAGCGATCGTGATCATGGCGTCTCCTCCCCGTCGCATCGGCCGCGACGCTTGCGTCCGGCAACGGCCTTTGCGGGCGGTCGCGGCGGCCCGGCATGCACCAACCGCCCATGGCGTTAGTCGATCGCGGCGTCCCCGGCAAGCATGTGCGAACACGCCCGGACCTTGGTTGACAGCACCGGGTGGACCGCATATGTCACGGCTCGATTTCGTGCCCAGATGGCGGAATTGGTAGACGCGCTGGCTTCAGGTGCCAGTGGCCGCAAGGCCGTGGAGGTTCGAGTCCTCTTCTGGGCACCATTTGTTCTCCTCATAGCTGCTCTTACGCGTTGATTTTTCAGCGTTTTTGTGCTCTTCTATTGCCCATAGAAGAACGTGCGATACCCCCATTTCGCATCGTTTTTGGGGTAACGGTGGGGGTATCGGTACCGAGCATCGTGAGGCGATACCCCCATGACCGGTCTCTCCGAATTCAAAATCAGGAAGGCCAAGAAGCGCGACCGGCCATACAAGCTCTCCGATGGCGGGGGATTGTTCTTATTGGTGAAGCCCAACGGCTCCAAGCTGTGGCAGCAGAAGTATCGTTTCGCGGACAAGGAACGGCTGTTGTCGCACGGGCCGTACCCTGATGTATCGCTGGCGAAGGCGCGGCGGAAGCGTGACGACGCCCGAGAACTGATCGCTGACGGCAAAGACCCGGCCACCCAGAAAAAGCTTGATAAGATCGCCGCCGAGAAGGCGGCCCGGACAACCTTCAAGCTGGTTGCTGAGGAATACCTGGAAAGCTTGGAACAACGGGGTTTGGCACCTGCCACGCTGCGCAAACAGCGCTGGTATCTGCTTGAACTGGCGAAGTCCCTGCACCGGCGACCAATTGGCGAGATCACGCCAGCGGAAGCACTCTATCTCCTAAAGAGCATTGAAAAGAGCGGACGGCGGGAGACGGCGCGCAAGATGCGGACCTCCATGTCCGCCGTGTTTCGGTTGGCCGTGGTCACGATGCGCGCCGAGACTGACCCCACATCAGCACTCAAGGGAGCACTGGTGCCCCCGAAGGTCACCGGTCGGGCTGCCATCACGGATGAGCAGCAGTTTGGCGCCCTGCTGCGCAGTTTTGAGGACTTCTCCGGCTGGCCAATCATCGTGGACGCGATGAAGTTCCAGATTTTGACCATGAGCCGCCCCGGAGAAGTGCGTGGCGCCGAGAAGGATGAATTTGACCGCAAGAAAGGGGTGTGGACCATTCCCGCCGAGCGCATGAAGATGCGTCGTGAACACAAAGTGCCGTTGTCCAAACAAGCGTTGGGGATTGTGGAGGAGAACTGGCCACAGATTGACGGTGTGGAGCTACTGTTCCCCTCGCTCGTCTCCAATCGCAAATGGCTCTCCGAGAACGCCTTCAACAGCGCTCTGCGTCGTATGGGCTACCGCAAGGAAGAGGTGACCGCGCACGGCTTTCGGGTCACCGCTAGCACCATCCTCAATTCGCGCGGCTTTGATCCGGATGTGATTGAGGCGGCGCTAGCGCACCAAGACACCAACGCTATTCGGAGGACATACAACCGCTCCACCTATTGGGATCAGCGGGTGGTGCTTATGCAGGCGTGGGCCGATTTGGTTGAGGAGTTCAGAGCAGCAGTGCCGGGATGACGCCAACGACAGAAGCCACGCCACGCTGAACGATCTACTGTTTCCGTCGCGATACGCAGATGACCGGCCCATCAACAAGTGGCCAAAGGCGAAGTGTCAGTTTGGTGAGCCGCTGGCAATGCAAACGTAGGCGCATTTCGTGGATGAGTTACAGGCAATTGTGGGAGCCGAGGTTTAGAGGGCAATGGCGTGAACCTTCTGATTTCTTGTTTCCGCCAGATAGGAAGGATAATCATCTATAAAGCGGCCAAAAGATCGGGTTCGCCAAAACACAAATCATGTTACAATATTCAATAGTCATTCAAATAAACAATATACATTGAATAAATATGATTAAATCAATAATAAAAAGACTCAATCAAGAGTTATATTATGCGAAACTATATAGATCCGCAGCTACGCCTTATACCCTGATTAACGGAATGATCAGAAATCCAATTCGCACTATGTCCGATTCGGCTATTTCATTTCTTAGAATTACTACCAATAAAGGTGATATTTCTTTTAGTCTATTTCGTGATTTTGTTTTTATATTATTTGCATTGGTTACATTATTATTATTTTTTATTTTTATAGATCAGCCAAACATTTTGGGTATATTTATTTTCTTGATGATAGATTTTTTGGCGATAAGGATAGCGATTCAGATATGGGCAATATCAATAATTGTATTCTCTGGCGCAATGCCACTCCTATGTCTTTTGTTATTGTCAAGTATTATTTACGCTTTGCAAGTTCTATAAGAATTTCCACCTTTCTATTGACCCCAGAAAAAGCCATATGTGTAAGCTGTTCCGATCGCAAATGCTAGCTCAGTCGCTTCAATCGGTGTTAGCGTAATTCTAGCTCCGCTTGGCACAACGTTGGTTGGAATAGTTATGCCGTCCAATAAAAGACTTGATATTTGATTAACAGTTCCGATAGCGAATTCGTAGTAATTATTGTCCACAAGTTCTGTCAGGTTCCTGTCAGCTTCCGCCAAATTTAGAGCAATGAAAGCGCCAAGCTCACCTACCTGCCCGAATGCCAAGGTGGCACTCCACTTGGTCGCTATTGATAGCGTTTTCTCTTGGACGGTTTTGTTGTTCACTACGTAATCAACAGCCCGCCTGTGCCTTGCCCAGAGGTCGTTGTTGGACTCAATTGTTGACGCAACGCCATTGTTCCAAATCAAGGCCGGTTCAGGAAGCGGTGAAGAACGCAGCCTTGCCGGAAATGGCTGAACTGGTCCTATGAACAATTCCTCTTGAGTGTTGGCTATTGTTTGCTCAACAGGCGGAAGTGGAGGCAACAACTTCCGAACCACCGCATCCCGCCCCGCGCGATCCGTAACCACATAGAAATCCACCTTCTGGTCAAACGAAGTAGCCACCTCGCCAACCGATGCCAGCCCGCCGCCAGCATGGAAGTCAAACCAGTCCACAATCGGCTGGCCACCACGAGCATTGATATCTGCGAGCTCGGTAGCAAACTCGGGCGGTGTACCATTGGTGACGAGCTCGGGAACGCCATTTAGTCTCGCGTCTGGGTTCACACCCACCGCACTGAGGCCGTTGTTGAAAAACTTGCCGTTGTTCACATCAACGACAATGGCCAGATCGTAGAGTTCGCCGGTGATTGGCTCATCAAAGGCCAATGTCACGCCGTTGGGGCCTGACCGGTCCTTCAGAACGACTGCGTCGGTGCGAAAGACAGCGTCCCGCTCGTTGTACGTGAAGTTGACGATGTCGTCGTCAAACTGAACATCCACGCGACCCGTGCTGGTTCCTTTCCCTGAATTCGCCAAGCTCAAGATCACCAGAGGCGGCAGGTCTGATCCGGTTTTGAAACGAATGTCATCGCCAGCCCGGAGCACGAGATTGCCGCCGTTCAGTTCCACCCGGCCGAGGCGACTGCCTGAGATATCGTCTTCGGCAAAAATGCTGAGGTGCACCGCGCCGGACGTGGAGACCAGCTCCACACCAGGTGAAAACCGCACATCGTTCGCGGCATCAATGATGGCCCGCACATTCCCGCCGGCGGTCTTGTAGATACTGTCTTCTATGGTGATGTTGCCGCGCTCGCTGCCCACTGAGCCACGGTTTGTCACCAAGACGTTGGTGCCGGCATTGAGCGCTGTTTCTATGTTCGCCACGTTGATGACCGATGGGGACCCGCTGGGTATGCCCACTTCAAACGGCCCTGCCGGGTTGGCAACAAAGGCCGTGGTGACGTTCTGCTGCGGTGCCCGCTTGATGGTGATATCAATCGGATCAAGCAGCCACGTGCCCGCCTGCCCGTTCGGAGCGGACGCGTCGGCGGCCCTCTGAACGTCAAGATAGGCGCCAGAAGTCTCAACAAAGCCGCCATCACCGCCTGCCGGGCCACCGCGGGCACTGATGGCCGCCGCCGTTCGCGTGGCCACATCGCTCCAGACGATAACCTTGCCGCCATCACCCTGCTGCAGTGCGTCAGCCCGAACCGTTACGTCTGGACCCAGGAAGGTGTAGGCGGCGGTGGGGATCGCGTATTCCTCAAGGGCAATGCCATATCGGTCGAGAAGGGTTGGATCGGCGTTGCCACCGAGATAGTCACCGCCAATCAGGATGGTGCCACCGCCGGCGGAGCCCGAGGCATCAATCTCGGCGTTCTCGGCAACGATGGATTCACCGGTGATTTCTATGCGTCCGCGTGGCGCCGGTGAAGGCACTGGCAGTTGTTCGTCGGGGATCCGGGCCACGGCACGGACTTGGCCCGAGACGCGCACCCGCTGGACTGGGGCGGCAGCCGTTTTGGTGCCGGCCGTCTGCGCACCGAGCACGATCTTGCCGCCATGCATGCCAACGCTGTTGGCTTCAATGACACCGGTATTATTGATGACGGAGTTGACCGCCCGGCGCGCTGTCGTGGCCGACATCATGACGGTGCCGCCATCAGCCTTCACGGTGCCCGCATTGTCAACGAGGTCGTCCATCGGCTCGCCGGTGGCCGCATCATAGACCTCGTCCGCGATCTCATCGCCGATGGCCAATTTCACCAACCCATCTCCATAAGGATCAATGGTGAAACGGTTGCCGGCAGACAGGCTCACCGTACCCAGACGAGCGGCGATGACACCGGAATTACGCACCCCGGGCGCCACCAAGGCCGCCAAGCCATGCTCGCGAATTGAGATGGTGCCCTCGTTGACGATGGAGGCCGACGGATTGCCCGGCTGATCAAAGATCATCCGCCCAGCGAGGAAATTGTCGTTGTTGATATTAGCGGTGGTGGCAATCAGCCGGTTGACGTCAACGCGAGCTCCCGGCCCGAAATGGACGCCATCGGGGTTGACGATGACAATGTTGCCATTGGCTTCCAAGGTGCCGAGAATGCGGCTTGGGTCGCCAGTGGGGCCAACCCGGTTCAGCGTCCACGCCTCCACATCAGGCTGGACGAACCGGGTTGTTTCGCCGGGTGCGATGTCAAATCGCTTCCAGTCAATGATGGCCCGCTGACTGGCCTGGTTGATCTGAAGCAGGTTAGCCGCGGGACTGCTGATGGTCGCTGAACCGGCAGTCACCGTCCCGCCTTCGGGATTGGCAAAGGCAGGGCCAACCATCAAGGCGATGCCCAGTGCGGAGACTGAACTTCCAAGGCGCCGTTTGCAGCTATCTGGCATCAGCTGTTCTCCTAGAAGCGGATGGTGGCCTTGAGCCAGCCACGCGTTGCCGCAACGCCGGGCTGGCTGGCCGGACGGTCAAGAACCTGAGAAACCGCCAGGTCGGCAGAAAAGCGCTCGTTGCCAAAGCGGAGCCCGAGGCCCGCTGACGCGCCGTCGTCGCGCGTCGGCGTGCCCACCGGCGCGTTGATGTTCCAGATGTGGCCATAGTCAACGAACGCGTAGGGCTGGGCGTAGCTGAGAAGCGGGGCAAAAGGCTCGCTGAGTTCAAGGGCATGACGCAGTTCCAGCATTCCCTGCACACAATGGTCACCGGTGATGATGGAGGTGTCAAAACCGCGCCCATAGGTGCGGCCGCCAAAGCCGCATTCCTGCGACGAAAGCAAGGGATCGGCGCTCCACTGGCCAAAGATGCCGCCATACAGACTCCAGCGCGTGGCCAGCTCCTGTGTTCGGGTTACTTCCCCGGTGACTTTGAAGAAATCAACCACGCCGGGAGTGCGGCTCGCCAGGAAGTAACCGTTTTGCGTACTGCCGAGACCCTCTATTCCGAATGACGCGGTGCCGGTCAGTCGGTTGGCACCGGCGAACCGGTCAATGAACTCGTAGTCCAATTCACCGCGCACAATCCGTAACCGATCCTCGGTCGTCATGATGCCGAGGTTGGATGAGGTGGAGTCCTTGTAGTCAAAGGCGACGGTGCCGGTCAGGTTCTGCTCGCGCGTGCGGATAAAAGGGAAGGTGAAGCCAGCCGAGACGTTGAGGCCACGGGTCTCGGTGTCAAAGGCCAGCAGCGCTCGGGTTCCGGGATTGCCCCAACTGGCATTACCGTCCGAGAAGAAGGTCAACCCTTCTGCCGTCAGAACCTGCTCATAGCCCCAGGAAAGGTAGACCAGTTCAAGCTGGTCGGTTTCCGAAGGGCCGGCAATGGCGATGGCGCCGGTGATCTGTTCATGGTATCCCAGCAGGTTGCTGGCGGTGCCGCCGATCGTCGCCTGCGCGGTGCCGCTTGCTTCTACCCCATAGTTGTCGCCGCTGATGTAGCCCGAGAAATGATCCTCTTCGGTGGTGACAACCAGCGTGGAGGCGCGTGGGTTGGTTTCCGAGGCCACCAGATTTGATTCAAAACTGAGGCCCGGCAAATCGTTGGCAAGCAGAAGATACCGTTCCAGCGTCTTGATGTTGAGCGGGCGATCAGCGGTGATCTTTTCCTCGTAGGACGAGAACAGATCACGGTAGTCGCGCCGAAAGGCCGGCCAGCGGACGGAGTCTATGTATCCCTCTACGATCTCAATCGTGATCCGCGCACCATCTGGATCAAGTTCCTGCGGCGGCACAATCGCACGGCTCAGTATGTACCCGTCCTCGCCATATCGGGCCGTGATGGCAGCGGCGATGTCAAAGATTTGGGCCAACGTCACCGTTGATCCGACAAGGCCCGCATAGATGTCCGCAAATCCGTCATCGGCGTAGACGGTTGATCCGGTGACGGAGACGGCATCAAGACGCAGCGTCAAGGCTGCAGCTTCAGCCGGAGACGTTGTGCTTTCCAAGCCGCGCACCTCGCGCGGTGCAACGGTCGTCTCCCGACGGTCTTCAAACCGTCCCTCAATGCGACCGGGCTCGGCTCCGGCGGGGACTTGCTGAGCAAACGCCGGTGCCGGAGAAACGAGAAGCGCCAGCAACAAACCACTCGTGGCTTGAACTAATCCCCCAAACAAACGCATCCCGGTGACGCCCCCAACGCCTCGTGTCCCCTAGCGGATCGCAATAGTGCTTCCGCAATCAATTCAGCCGCACGATCTTCAAGAGACCAGTGCCGAGCGAACACTAGCTACCGTGCAACAGTGTGTCGTCGCAAAATCGGAGAAAAAAGTTCGACTCAATTCATACGGTTACAGAAACCGGGCGACACCCTCGTGCGCGGAGGGCGCTTCCACTTCGTATGTGAAGTCATGAATTGATGCGATGCGAAAGAGCGTCGGACGTGGCCCAAAGAAGGTTTCCACGACAGCCGTCTGGCGGAACTCATCCGAGGTCGCTTCTTGCCAATTGCCACTTTCGGCAATCAAACGAACTTGATCACCAAGCGCGATGATGACGCCATAGGGCCTCCAGAGACGATCTATGGCGTTCTTCTGCTGATAGGCAAAATGGAAGACGCGTGGATGGTGAGGCGGCAGGTCTGGAACCGTCCGCAACAGTATGGCGGCATAGACATTCAGAACCTCTTTCGCATTGTGTTCAAGTTCGGCAATGCACCAGTCGCGCCCATAGTGCTTCTTGGCGAGCGCGTGGTTGGGCCAACGCCAGCCGGGCAGATAGACATCGCGAAAGGGGGCTAGAATGGTATCGCGCTTGTCGGACATTTGAAACGCGCGTCGCTCTTTGGCGAAGTTCGTTTCAATAAAGCTGCGGCTCGATTCAATAATGCCGATCGGGTCAACATCAAGCAGGGCGCAGAACCCGTAGAGCACGTCTCGCTTGGCGGGGAGCCCGGCATCCAGCCACTTGTATACGGTGGACCGATCCCGAGGGCGGACCGTCCGTCGTGGTGCCGCATCGTGGCGCAATTCCCAAGCCCCAACCAACTCATCCACTGAGCCATATTGCTGCTCAATGAGAGCCTCAACCCGCAGTCGATCTACAGGCACAGCCATTCCGAAACCCTCCTACTGGGGTCCACCCTCACCCAGAATGCCACAGATTGACGATTCCCATGGCCATTGTTGTCGGATTTTCCCAAGTAGTTTTGCGACAAAGCGAGAATTGAGGGTTGGCCAATACGGTTCTTGCAGCGCTCAGGTTCTTTGCTATGCTCGCCAAACCCTGGGGCAACCCTTGGGGCATCGCGATGCTCCTCAATCTGAGGAGTATCCGATGCGGATCATATCAAAGCGTCAGCTTAAGGAGCTGGTTCTGTACTCGCCCCAACACATTGCGCGTCTGGAAGCGGCCGGCAAATTCCCCAAACGGGTCAAGCTTGGCAACAACCGGGTGGGATATGTTGAACAGGAGGTGCTGGATTGGCTTCAGGAGCGCATTGACGCCCGCGATACGGCCAACTGACGCTCCTAGTGTGGAGCGGGATGACGCCGCCTTCTTTGTGGCGTCATCCCAATTCGCTCAAATCGCTTCTCCCAGACGAGTCTGGGCCATGTCAAAGTGGCTCTTATCCAGCTCCATGCCGAAGAACTGGCGACCAAGTTCCCATGCAGCCACCCCGGTGCTCCCCGAACCCATGAAGGGGTCAAGAATGACGTCGCCCGGCGCGGTCGCGTGTTCAATCAACGTCTTCATCAGCTTGACCGGCTTCTGGTTTGGATGTTTTGGCCGGGGGATGCGCGGGATGTTCAGGACATTGGCCAAGACATTGCCATTGTATGTCGGCCGACCTTTTTCCAACACCATGATGAGTTCGTAGCGCTTCCGAAATCCGCGTCCGAACCCGTTGTCCCTCTTGTCCCACACCACCACGTCACGGATTTTGAAATCGGTGTAGCGAGACACAAAACTTTCGGCGAAAGGGTACTGCCGCACATTCACAAAACTGAAGCAGGTCCGATTTTGCCTCAGCACCCGATAACACCGAGCGATCGCCGATAGAGCAACCAACGGATGTTCGTCACCCAGAATGCGCCGGCCGGCATTGCCGTAGGTGCCGTTGTTGCCATAGGGCGGATCGGTCAGGACCAGATCAACGCTGCGATTGGGAAGTTTATCCAAGAGGCTCAGGCAGCAGCCCTGTTCAATATCAATCATCGTGTTCTCCATCGTTCTGGGAACACTTCATGTGTCATCACATTTGGTGGTCGTAAACGAGCGGTATGAGCGCCGCAGCTCACCCGCGAGCCGGTATGTGTCCGGCGGTTCAACAATCACAATTTGCAACCGGAAACATGGCTAGCCGGCCTGACGCCCGCATCGGGGATAGCCATGGGGATACGGTATCCCCATGAATACATCCCTTTAGACCGGCACCATAGCACCCCATAGCGATACGGGGCGGCACTTCTCAATCAAATAAAATTCCAATAATCAGTGAAGGGCGGGTGGTGGGCGATTGAGTATCTCAAATAGATCGGCTTCTATTGTTCCTTTATGGAGGGGTAATTGTGAATCTCTTGTTCAAGCGCGATCAAACGTCGGCATCGGTGTTTTCGTTGGTGCCACTGCGTATCGGTAGTGGCGTCATGTTCAAGCTGCACGCCGAGTTGGAATTGGATGATGAGGAACAAGAACTCGTTCAGCGCTATCGGCTGTCAAACGTCGCGTTGGTGGTGAGCGATCCGCTGGACGATCTGCGGCAAGCCTTCCGACCGGCGCTGTTCTTGGGGATCGTGACTTTTGCCGTCGTGTGGTTTCTGCAGGCACTGATGACGGCTGTCGGAGTATCCGGGCTCGTCGTGCTGGTCATGACCATTATCTATTTCCGGACGCTGCGAGAGCAGATCATATTGTCCAATCTCACCGAAGGCGGGCGGACCTTTTATTGCGACAGCGTCGTCACCCTGATCCACAAGCAAGCCTATCTTGAACGCATCTGCAGCTATCTCCGGCAGGTCCTTGAGAGCGCCAAAAACTGGGACGATCGCGAACGGATCAGGATTGAACCGCTGAAGAAGGCCGAAGCCACCAAGGCCGTTCTGGAAAGCAGCTTCCTTGTCGTTTGATCCCATCTATCGCGGCTGGGGCCTGCGCTCCGAGACGGCCCGGCGCCTGAAGCAAGCCATCACCCGCTTCGGCCTGTCTCGCGAGGCGCGGCAGGTGGCCGAGCTGGCCGATCGTGTCGCCGCCGAGTGCCACGCGTTTGGCTTTGATACCGAGAATGGCCAGCACGTTCTGGCCGAGACGATCGCATCCGATGTCCTTGGTCGGTTTGTTGATGATGAAGATCAGGTTCAGCACCTGCCGCTCTTTAGAACGCTAACGGACTGTCTGCGCGAGTTGATCATCACCGAGCGCTGGTTCGCGCTGCCGCACGAGACGGTCGCGGGGGTAACGCCGGCGCGCAGCGAGCTGTGGGAGCTTGAGGATGGGCTGAAACGCACCGCGTGTATCCTCGCGGACTTTGATGCGGCTATGGCGGCCATCGCCGATCTGTTTGCCGTCTCCCTCGCCCCCATCATCAAGCAGGTGCCCGCTCTTCTGGCTGACCACAGCGACACCGAAGCCGGCGATGTGCGGTTTCAAACAGTGCTGACCGAAACGCTGAGCGAACTCCCCGACATCGTGGAGAGCATGCTTCACGCTCCGTTTGCGCCGGAGTTCGCGGAACAGGACACGATGCAGGCGTTGAGAGCACGGCTGCAATACAATCTGATCCTGGCTTCAGGCGGCACACCCGAAGACCCGCGCGCCTTGGAAAAAGCCACGCGTTTCCCCACCAAGGCGCCGCCCATGCCGCCGCGCACGCTGATTGAGACCTATCTTGGCGGCACATCGCTTGCCGGCCTTTTTGATGTCCGCGTGCCCATCACCATCCCGCAAGCCACGCGTTTTGAGCACCAGCACATTGTTGCCGGGTCCGGTCACGGCAAGACACAAACGCTGCAGCATTTCATCCTGCACGATCTTGGAGTCGTCGCTGCCGGCGAGGCATCCATCATCGTCATGGACAGCCAGAGCGATCTTATCAACACGATCGCTGGTCTGGCTGAGTTCGCGCCCGGCGGACCGCTCGCCGACCGGCTGGTCTTGATTGACCCAACCGACGTTGAATGGCCGGTGGCCCTCAATCTCTTTGATTTCGGCCTTGACCGGATTGATCAGTACTCGCTGCTGGACCGCGAACGTCTCATCAACGGGGTCCTGGAGCTTTACGATTTCGTGCTCGGGTCATTGCTGGAAGCGGGCATGACGCAGAAGCAAAACGTCATCTTCCGGTACATCACCCGGCTCTTGCTCCATATCCCAAATGCCACCATCCACACCTTCAGGGAACTGCTGGAGGATGGCGGCTTGGATCGCTATTGGCCCTATGTGGACCAACTGACCGGTTCGGCCCGCGCCTTCTTTGAAACCGAGTTTGAAAGCCGCGAGTTCGTCTCAACGCGCCGGCAGGTGCTGCGCCGCCTTTACGGCATCCTTGAAAACCAGACCTTTGAGCGGATGTTCAGCCATCCCAAGAGCAAGCTGGACCTCTTTGCCGAGATGAATGCCGGCAAGGTCATCCTCATCAACACCGCCAAGGATCTCCTTAAGGAGAACGGAACCGAGATTTTTGGCCGCTTCTTCATCGCCATGATCGCCCAAGCCGCGCAGGAACGCGCCGTTCTCGCAAGGGATCGGCGCTTGCCGACCTATGTCTACATTGACGAAGCCAACGACTATTTTGACCGGACCATCGGCACGATCTTGAGCCAAGCTCGCAAATATCGGGTCGGCATGGTGCTCGCCCACCAATATCTCGGGCAGCTGGACGGCAAGCTGCATGAAGCCATCGCCGCCAACACGGCCATCAAGCTGGCCGGCGGCGTCTCAGCCAAGGATGCCCGGGCATTGGCTATCGAGCTGCGCACCGATGCCAGCTTCATTGAGGCCCAGGACAAGCTTCAGTTCGCAGCGATGGTGCGCGGCACGACCAAGCGCGCGGTTTCCATAGCCATTGAACCGGGCCGGATGGAAGCGCAGCCCCGTCTCTCCGAGGAGCAACGCCACGCTCAGCGAAACGAGATGCGGGCCGCCTATGCCGTGCACTATTCCACGCTGACGGCCAGTGTCGCCGACACCGAGCCAACCGAGGAGGAGACACCGGACCCAGATGCCACCGACCAAGAGGCCGACGACGATCACGAACCGATGGAGTGGAGACTGGACTGAGCAAAAAGAAGCCCAACAAGCCGACCGGGTGAGGTCATACGGCCTGCCGAGCCACCAAACGTGCTACTCCGAAAAGATGGTCAAAATGGGAAAGTGATCCGACCCGAACACCTGCTCCACTTTTGTGGCCGTCGTGAACCGGTCAGCGGCTTCAACCGGCACGGCGAAATGATCAATCGCCAGATCGGAGAACTCATCACTGTCGTAGGTTTTTCCCAAACCTTCAGTCAGGACGGCCCAAGCCTGATCATCAACGAGGCCCGCCGTCAACATACCCAGCGTGTCATCAAACCCATCCCCTCCGGAGCACATCGCGGCAGGGAACGGGCCAGCCTCACAGGAAAACGGTTGCACGGTGCAGTCCTCAACGGCGGTGCCATACTTGCCGGGTTCAAAGCTGGTGTTCAAGTCACCGGCAATGATGGGAATTCGCCCCTCGGCCATTGTGGCTGCTGCGATGCGCGCAGTGGCCGCCATGACTCGTTCGCGCTTGATCGCATTGCTGACATGTCCCTTTGCCGCCGCCGGAAATCCGTTTTGTTCGGCATCAATGAGGGCCGGATCGACTGGAAAGCCATTTTGGCGCAGAAAGGACAGTGTGTCGCCGAGATCAAAACACGCCGCATTGCGGTTGGACTTGAGGTGCAATGGGAACACCGACAAGCCGTTGGCCAAATCAACTCGCAAAGTTCCACGATCAGTGGCGGCAAGTGTTTGCCCAAAACCGGGAATACCGTCGGCGGACAGCTCCATCTCCTGAACGCGGCCGGGCATTGCACCATCGTGTGAAAAGACCTCATGATTGGTGTCTGGGCTGGCGTCGTACTCAATCACCGCTTCAATTGGAATCTTGCTGATGACCGCCGCCTCCAACGCGAAGAAGACATTCTGGCGAGCAACCGACCAGTCTGATGAAATCCCGTAAAATTCGTCCCAGCCAAGCGCCTCGGCTATCATCTGGACTTCATGGCCACCGGCAGTTTCAACCAGCACCAACACATCAGGCGAAAGCGCATCATCCAGCGCAGTGAAATCCGACAGGCGCGATGCTAGGCCCTCTGCAAAAGTTGGGCTCGCGTTCCAACTGACAATCCGCAGACCGTCAGCTGTAGCCGATCCGGTGCCAGCGCAGATCGCCAGCGCTACGAGCGCTCCAAAAGCATATTGACGCATCATTGACTCAAACTCCCTGTGTCAAACCACGACCGAACAGTCTTATGGTATCTTCCAACCCTCATCGTAGGTCGCTCCCAGCCACTCAACGATGTCTCCGGCTCCGCCGTACGGGCTGTTGTAACCGCTGGCTTCAATGTACCGGAAGTATCGACCGTCGCCAGCTTGATAGAGGTGCATATTCACATAGCCATCCTCCGAATCCTGATCGACGTGGTTATGAGATGCAATTAGGACACTATTTTTAGGAAATTTCTCTTCATCATGCATACTAGTCAATTTATCCCATGCAAAAGCACCTTCGTCATATTAGTGGCACTAGATCACTAATTTGCAACACCTTTATTTCAATCAAGCGCTCTGCCGGGCAGATGTAACGCCAGTGCGATTTGCATCGGGCAACCGGACGGCGAAGCTGGTTGCTAGACGGAGCATTGAAGACGTGGAAAGCCAGCGCCACTGTGCGAACCGCCGCCGACCACATGGTTCCAATCGTTAGCGAGAATCAGCCGATCACCGACCAACGCCCATCCATGAATCGCTTCGCGCCGCTCAGACGGTTCCTGAACGATCTCAGATTCAGCCACCCATCGCAAAGGCAACAAATGCGCGTCATCCTGTTGTCATGCCTGCCTGACGTGGCCCCGCTTAGTGCCGTTCGCGCGGCTCTTGACGAGCTTGATGTCTTCCTGCCGCCCCTTCAACTGGCCGCCGCTGCCGGTCACCGCGAGGCCGTGGATTTGACGCTTGAGATGATGCACGGGGCAATTGACCGTCTGGACGCGGCCTGCAGCATCGGCAATGGTCCGTCAAAGATCGGCGCCAATGCCGGGAAGGTCCACCGGCACAATTTTGGGATCGGTTGAATCAGCCCGCGGCTCGCCGAGCGCGAGGGCGTAGACGGGAGCGTGGAGCACAGGATCGTTGAGGTCGCAGAGCGTCGCGATCTCTTGGTGCCGCAAGGCGGCGGTGGGACAGGCCGTCAAACCATGGTCCGTTGCCGCCAGCATGATGTTTTGCCCAATATGCCCGGCCTCAATCAGGATCACGCGATAAGCATTGGGATCGGCATATTTCCACATCGTCCGTTCAAAGTGCGCGCATAGGAAGACGATGCAGGCCATATCGTCTACCCAGAGCTGATCGCCAACCAAGGCGCTCGGTCGCTCAGGCACATCTGAATGAAGCGGCAGCAGTGAACGGTCCAGCGCGCTGTAATGGTAGAGGCCGCGTGCCAGTCCGGTCACACGCTCTACCAAGACATAGGCTTCAAACGGATTGCGGGCGCCGCCCGAAGGCGTCATGCCGAGCGGGAGCGTTCCGGCTGCATTTTGGGTGAAGCCGACAATGCCCAGCCCGGCAAACAGGCAATCGGCTAACGCCTGCGTGCTGATCGGCGTCTTAGCCACCTCCCGACGCGTCCGTCGCCTTGCCATCAGCGATAACACGCCGTCCGGATGCAGGTTGGGCACCATGGCGTGCGTGTCGCTGCCCGCCCCATGGCGTCGCATGAGCGCCGGCTGTGGCGTGTGTTCCACTTTCGCCACCTGCTCGGCTTCCAGCGCATTAACAGCGATCAGCTCATTGTCCTGAACCGAAAAATGCAGCAACGCTGCCGGCAGTTCCCAATCCCAAGTACTGGCGAAATGGTCTTCGCGCTGGACTTCCACCGAGCCGGCGCGGAGCAAGGCGCCGCAGGCCACCAGCGTTTCAATCAGGCTTTCAACATCGCCGCTGCCGGTGTCCGCCAACCGAGCAGCAACAGCGTCGTGACTGCTCCATTGCGTCAGTTCAAGCATCGTCTCAAGCAGTGTCGCCGAACAGGTGAAGGTGGTTTTTTGGATGAAATTGCAGCCGCACAGGTCCTCATCATCCACCGTGAACGCCAAGGTTTTGGCAGCGCGATACATGGTTGCCCCCAATGCTGCGCAGGGCCGCCGCCATTGGCGACAGCCCCCAGCGCATCAGCGCTTGTCGAACATCATGCCCGGCTTGATGAAGGTGGTTTTCTTCGCCGGGGCGATGGTCACTGGCTTTTTCATGAGTGTCTCCATTTCCTGATCTGCGGCCGAGGGCCACGACGCCACAATCGTAAAGAAATGGTTAACGAAAGCTTAGATTACCGCGTCATCGTCTCAAGATGACGTCATCAGCAATAGATGACAGTGGTCGGCAAACTGTTGGAATTGAAACAACTATTCATCTTCTTCCGTCCGCCAAACACGCTACCATCGTGCCTGTGGAGTGGACCGAAATGACCCAACCAGCCAACCATCTGGACATTGGCCGCGTGGTGGAAGAGGCCGGTGCCTGGACCGATCCCGATATTGAACAACTCTATGATTCGCTCTGCGCGCTGCGCGCCACCGCAAGGCTCGTTGGCGACGAACGCACCAGCCGGGTCTTGACCACCATCTATGATCAGGTCGCCTCAGAAATGCTGAGTGCCGCCTACGCCCAATTGCCCGACTAACACGCAGTCAACTCGGCTGCGTCTCGCTCCGTCGGCACCTGATCAAGCAGTCTCGTGCCCAACCGCCGAATATGATCGCCAACAATGCGCGGCGTCTCGTTGGCATGGATCGCTGCCGCGCCGACTTGGCCAACTGCCTCGCGCAGCGTACTGCAGTCGTTCGGGACCATGACCGCCATCGTCACGACCGGGCCTTCCAAACCGGTCACCGTGCCATAGCCGCTGAACACGGGGTCAGACGTGGCCGCCTGTTCCAGAACAATTAGCGTCGGTTCAAACACACTGATGCGATTGACCCCACAAAGGTAGAGCGCCCGTTGGGCCTGCAGGACGACGCCATAATGGTCCCCGCGATAGTATTTCCAGTCGTCGCGGCGGCGCTGCTGATAGCTGGTGACGCGCCGGAACTCCATCACGCCGTCCACCCGCTTGGTTGTGACCAAGGTGCGCACTACCAAATCCGGCTTTGTAGGGACGGTCAGATAAAGATCAAACCAACCCTCCGGCAGGTTCACATACCGCGTGCTGCGAATGGCCTGCAGTATCGCCGGGCTGAACTTCTGTTCAGCTCCCGCCCGATCCGGATGAAAGTTGGGGTCAACCAGGTCGGTTTCAGACACACCAAACAAGGTACTCAGTCGCACAATGATGCGCTCGGCCGGGATCACCTCGCCTTGCAGATATTTGTTCAGCTGTTGCCGGGAAATGCCCAGCTTGCGCGCCACATCCGAACGGCTGGGATAGCTGCTGCACAGCAAGCGCAGGTTCCGTGCCATCGCCTCTCTGATCCGCATTCAGCGCCGCCCCCTGTACCGCCCACAACAACTCACCGCGCCACGCACCTTTCGCAGTTCGGTAAACTCGGCGGGTCTAATCCAGACGCAATTGAGATGGTTTGTCAAAGCAGTCTTCAAGCCGAATTGCGGCAGTGGGCGAATATGGATTCGTTCAAACCCGAGATTATTCAAAAGTGTGATGAGGAAATATAGCGGAACATTGCAGCTCTAGACGCAGTGAACCGAGCCATAGCGACCGTTGAACTTTGGCTGACCACCGGTCAGGAGTCAGCCAAAGGGAAGCACGATGGCGCTAGACCGATCCGGCCGCCGCAGCCGTTTTGTCCGCACACCGCGCGGCAAACATATTGTCCTCACCGAGCGGGACCGGTCGGTGATGCGCTGGCTCTATCGCTATCGGTATCTGTCAGCGGTCCATCTGCACGACATCATTCAGCCCCGCTCAGTGAAGCGTTTTTCGGAGCGCCTTGGCGACCTTTTTCACGAAACCGGCTTAATTGACCGGCCACCGGCCCAGTGGCAACTGGCCGATATTCGCTGGCGTCCGCTCATCTATGAGCTGTTGCCGGCGGGCGCCCGGTGGCTGACGGGTGAGGAAAGCCTGCCGCACCGCGCCGTCACCTTTTCGCGGCGTCGGGCATCCGGCCGCACGCTGCAATTGCAGCACACCATGATGGTGATTGAAGCCGTCTTGGCCGCCGAGCGCGCAACTGCATCAAAGCCCGAAGAGCGTTTCGTGCCGGTTGACGAAATTCTGGCGCGTGCACCCGAAAAAACCCAAGCCGCCCGCAACCCGCTCGCCATACAGATCACGGTGCTGCCCGAGGACGGTGCTCCCGGCATCACCAAACCCTGGCACACTCACCTCATTCCCGATGCTCTCTACGGCGTTGAATATATGGTTGAGGGACAAAAGCGCTACCGGTTCTGGGCACTTGAATGCGACAACACCACACCGACATGGCGGTCATCCGTCCCCCACTCCAGCATAGCGCGCAAAAAGGCATCCTATCGGGCGCTCCAGCGTTCCAAAGCATTCACGGTCCATTGGGGCATCCCCAATCTGCGGCTCATGGAGGTGCGAGCACCGGCCCGCCGTCCACCAGTGCCGGATGACAGGCCAGCACCGCGACCGGGTTCTGAGGAGACGGAGTGAGCCAAAGTCGCGGCCAGCGCACACCCGCTTCACTGCGCAGCCGGGCGCGGGTCCAGCCGCACCCCAGATCATCCATCCGCCCGGCTATGAAGTAGCTGGTTGTCCACGTATCCCACGAAGGAATGCCGGCATAGCCAAGCATTCGCCGCAGCCAGCGTTGGCGCGCCTCGGCATGATGGGTGAGTGCCGGGATCGCCTCGCTTACCATGGCGGCTGACACCATGCGTGCGCCAACACCGTTGCGATAGGTGTACAGGATCAGCTTCTCAGGGACGTGCCGCACCAGATAGTCGGCGGCCATTGTATCCTTGCGGACATTGAAATCGGTGAAGCTGCCAAAGCGCCCGAGAAGGCCCTTTGTCTGCCCAAACCGCTCGCCGTCAATCCGACCGCCAATGGCCAACACCCGCGCAATGCGGTCGGCGGCAACGTGGCCTTCCGCCAGCAGCCGCGCCGAAACTGTCATCGGCCCCAATTCAACCACCACAACAGGGTGACCGGCAGCGTTGATCAGTGCGGCAATCGCCGCCAATCGTTCGGCATCTTGCCGGTTGGTGAGGGCGCGGTGGCCATTTGGAAGACGCGGCCTTGCCGAGCGAACTGCGCGGTAGCTCCGATCAGGCCCACGCAGAAGCGGCCAGTGGTCCGCCCCGAGACTTGGCATCCGTTCTTGCAGATTGGCATGGATCTCGGCGGTTGTGCTCTCGCCATTGCCGAAGATGGAGACGACCGCCAGCACCCGCACGCAGCCCATCCGTTCCAACTGGCGGTACAGGAAGACCGAGATGCTGTCGTCAATCTCGCCGGTCAGGGTCAGGTCAGCAACCAGTATGACCGGGATCGGAGCAGCGGAAACGCAGCGCGGTTCTGACCCCCAAAAGTGCTGTACCAGCCGTGAAGACGCCAGCGTTGTGGTGCCGGTGGTCAGCAGCGACGCGATGGCCAAAACCGTCACAAGAAAGCGCGATCGGACGCCGAGGCGGAGCCAAAACAAGCTCAACTCATCGTCCGAACGTCACCGGCACGATGCGGCCCGTGCGGCTATGCCGGTACACATAAGAGCCGCTTTGTCGGCGAAAGAAGGAGTAGTTGGTGGTCGCGCCTTCTATGACCCCATCAGCGCGCAGCGTGTATGCCCACGGGCCGCCCCGCCGCCCATCATTGCGCACATAGGTATAGGTGCCGTCGCGCTGAAAGAGGAAGCGGCCATTGGGGCTTCGCCACGGCACGCCGATGAACGTGGACCGCACCTCGTCCGCTGAAAGCTGGGTGCGATCCGCGGTGCCAGCGGTGGTGCACGCCGCCAGTACCATGATCACGAGAGCCAAGAGCCCGGTCTGAGTCATCCGCATCGTTGTCCCTTTCCTTATTGGATTGTCGGCGCATCGCTCGCCGGGCATGCTGGTGAAGGCCAGAGTGAGCCAGCCGCCCAATCGGCGGCGAGTTTCAGCGCACAATCCGGAACCGGCCCCGATCAACCAGATCGTCCCGTCCGCCACCGTAGAAGTTCACCTGAAACCGACCGTCAGCGGTGTATGTCACCACGACCCGTTCGCCGTTGTCCGCCAAGAACTCAGTCCGCATGACGTTGGCACTGCGTTCCACAACGGAAGAACGGCCCACACACAGCGCGGCGGCACAGCGGTTGGTGTTGACGACCGGCGTGTTTCGTGTGCCCGCATCGAAGGTCCGCCGGATGCGGTCGCCAGGTTCAAGGTCTGCAAATGAGATCACCGGCGCGGTGGTGCCGGGCCGCTCTGTGGTGGAGCAGGCGGCCAGCACCACCGAGCCGAAGATGGCGCAAACCGCCGATGCTATGCCGAACCTTGTCCTGATCGGCGATAGATTGCGTGTTCGTGAGCGGAAACGATGCACGTCGGCCATGGAATCGGGTCACAGCGCTCCGAAGAACGCCAGATCAAACTCAATACCGTACCCTTCATCGCCGAGATCAACGATGCCGAAGTACGCGCCGCCCTCAGGATGCCTGACGAGATCGGCACCGGTCGCCGAAAAGTCGCCGGCCACACAGCGACCCGCCTCCACCTCTTCCCGATAGGCAGATTCAAAAGCCGACATGTCCGCGTCGGCTTGAACGGATGGCAACTCCATGATGACACCAAAGAGACGCTCGGCGCTGGCCCGTTCTGAGCAGATGACCGAGTTAACGTCTGCCGCGTGAGCCACTGAAACGGATAGACCGATCAACAACGCCATCGCCACGGACGTTTTTGCGCCAACGACGCGATCTCGCTTGAAAAGGACAGATGGGAGGGTCAACACGTCCACGCTCCAAGGTGTGGGCGGGCGTGCAACACTATCGGACATAGTGTTTCGTGATATGCTGTTTAAACGTTAATCACGGCCAGGTAAGATTGACGGGGCTCATGCACACTGGCTAGCACTGGCATTGAAAACATCGGCACTTCGCCGATTTTCGTTAGTCAGATTGGCGGCGATGCAACACTATGTCCGATAGTGTTGCGGTTCTGCAACAATTTCGTTGCCTAAGGTCGTCGTCTCAATCATTCCCCCATTGCCTTATGTCTCATCCAAAATCCGAAATGCGCCTCTACGGCCATGATGGCGCACGCCTTTATGTCAATGAAGATGAACGCCAGCGGTTTTTGGTAGCCGCCAGCGCCGCACCAACGCGCCAGCGCAGCCTCTGCTTAATCCTCGCCCTAACCGGCTGCCGCCTGTCTGAGGCATTGGAACTGTCTGCCAAATCCTTCCAGCACCGCCCGGCCACCATCGCCATCCGTTCACTGAAAAAGCGGCGAGCCGATCATGTCCGCGAGGTCCCGGTTCCCGATTGGTTGCCGGCACAAATCGCAGCGGACCATTCCACGTGCTTTGCCGGGCAGCCCGATTCCACACCCCTCTTTGCGATGTGCCGGAGCACGGCGTGGCGTCACGTCAAACAGGTCATGGATCGTAGCGGCATCCAAGGAGCGCAAGCCACCGCCAAAGGGTTACGGCACGGTTTTGGTGTCCACGCGCTGCAAGCCGGCGTGCCCCTCAACCTGCTCCAGAAATGGCTGGGACACGCGGACATCGCGATCACGGCCATCTACGGCAATGCAGTGGGTCCCGAAGAGCGGACGATCGCCGCGCGGATGTGGTAGATAACGGTGCCATCCTCGTTTTCTGGGCAAGATCACCACCAATAGACCAAGACGGTGGCAACGTTTGCAAAACCAACGCTACTGGCTTGCACGATAGCGTGCGATCATCTGAGGCGTAACGTCGCCTGGAAAACACAGTGGCGAGGCTCCGCCAGGACGGGAGTGCGCGCTACGGCCGCCACAACGTCGGCCACCGCGATCAGTGTTGTATGGGCAAGGACAACTACCGCTGTATCGCGCGATTGATTGGCGGATCAGAATCTGAGTGATCTCGGAATCCGATGGCCCGTGACGTGCTCCCCTGAATGTACCCATTCATAGGTTAGCCCTGTTCACGTTGTGGTCCATTGCGGACCGGGTTGCAAACTCGTTCGGTGTGAGCCCGTCGAGGCTCGTGTGTGGCCGGTTGAGATTGTAGTCGATCCTCCATTTTTCGATGATCTGCCGGGCATGGCGGTAGCTGCGGAACAGATGCTCGTTCAAGCACTCGTCCCTCAGCCTGCCGTTGAAGCTTTCCACGAGGCCGTTCTGCATCGGTTTTCCGGGCGCAATGTAATGCCATTCGACGTTGCGGTTCTGCTGCCAGGCGAGCATGGCATTTGCGGTCAGCTCCGTGCCGTTGTCGCTGACAACCATGCAGGGATAGCCGCGCCTTTCGGCGATCGCATCCAGTTCGCGAGCGGCACGTTCGCCCGAGATCGAGTTGTCCACGACGGTCGCCAGGCATTCCCGGCTGAAGTCGTCGATGACACACAGGATGCGGAAGCGGCGTCCATCGACCAGCGTGTCCGACATGAAGTCGAGTGACCATCTCTGGTTTGGATCCTGTGGAATGGCCATTGGCGCTCGCGTACCCAAGGCTCGTTTGCGGCCGCCGCGTTTTCGAACCGTCAGACGCTCTTCCCTGTAAATCCGGTAGAGCTTCTTCCAGTTCACCGCCACGCCTTCGCGCTTCAACAGCAGGTGCAGGCGGCGATAGCCGAACCGTCGCCGTTCCGATGACAGGTCCCGCAAGCGCTGTCGCAGACCGGCATCGTCCGGCCTGCTCGACTGGTAACGGAAGACGCGCGGCGCAATGCCGACCAGGGCACAGGCCCGCCGCTGCGAATAGTCCTTCATCTCGATTGCCCAACTCACGGCTTTTCTCCTGGAGCCGGGCGTCAGAAGTTTTTTGTCAGCATCTCACGAAGCGTCGATACATCCATCATCTGCTCCGCCAGAAGCCTCTTCAGCTTCGCGTTCTCTTCTTCAAGCGCCTTCAGCCGCTTGGCGTCCGATACGTCCATGCCACCATACTTCTTGCGCCACGTGTAGAACGTCGCGTCACTGATGCCGTGCTTGCGACACAGCTCAGCCGGTGTCATGCCCGCCTGATGCTCCTTCAAAATGCCGATGATCTGCTCTTCCGAAAACCGTGATCGCTTCATTGCCTGTCTCCTTCGTTGAGGAACAGGCTAACCCAAAAACGGGGACATCTAAGGGGAGCACGTCACGCGGTTCCCGCGAGATCTGCTGCGCCCGCACCACCTGACATCGATTCCTCTTGTCCCCTCCCATCACCGTCCTCGCCGGAAGGCAGGGTTGCATGGCGCAACCCACTTTCCAAAGGAGGATAACAATGACAGTGACGTTTTATGCCCAACCGAAGCCTGTCCTCGGGCGGATGCAATCCGACCAGGGGAACCTAACGGCAGCGGGCTTCTATTTTGCCGATGCAACCAGTTACCGCGAGACCATCAACAGCGTGGTCAATGACTTCGCCCATCTGATATGGCTCGACGATTTGCTCAATCAGCAAGGCGACTTGTTTGGCGTTTAGCTCCGCTGCAGGTGTCAGCTATCGGGCAAGGCAGGCTTCTGTAAGAAGTCGGGGAACGGGTGTCCTTGGGCGATCCGGTCGCACATATCCCAATAAAGCCATTCCATCAGGTTTTCCGAGAGTGTCTTGTTACCGCGATGCTCGTCGCAGCGCATGATCCACGCTTCCATATCCTCACCCTGATCGTCGGCAACCCAATCGGCATAAAGCCAATAGGTTTGCGGCAGAACGACCCGTTCTTGGGTTCCGAACACGGTCTTGCAAACCCGCCCGACTGGCGCGGAGTCATCGGACATCACTTGCCGGTCGAGATAGGCTTCGAATGTGTTTTGATCCATGCCCACAGAATATCAAACCCCATGGCTCGAAAGCTATCGGATCATATTCCTATCGGTCATGTCCGCGATCCTTGCCGATGCCGCGCGCGATCGGCTTGAACTCCCGGCTCAGATCACCGGGGCCGGTCAGCCTGGTGCTATCATCGGCTCGCTCATGCTTTGGCGTTGGCAGGCCGCGTTTGGTGCCAACCATGCCCGGGGGCGCCATGGTCGGATGGTTGGCTTTGGCATGTCTCGGCGGCTTTGGGATGTGACCGGCACCGTCCTTGTCGCGTTCGGGATTGAGATCAAGCGGGTCTTTCAATTTGCTTTCTTCCGGCTGGGTATGGTGGCTGGCATCCCAGAAGTCCGGGGTTGGTCGCTTCACCATGACGCCGCCCCCGTCCAGATGTTGAGAAAGCGCGCGGTCGCATCATCGCGCATGGACCAGAATTCCGGCTCTATATCGTCAGGATAATGTGGCGGATAGGCCCGGGCAAAGCTGTCATGGATGGCGGCAACAATGCCGCGTCTGGCGCAGTGGCGCACGAGTTCCAGCGACAGGTCGGGATTATCGATGAGGTGATCGGCCAATCCCATCGGTAGGCCGCCCAGCCCTGCCGCATGGGAGAGTTCGGTCGCATCAAGGGTCACCATCAATGTGACGGTTTGGGTCGCATGATCGGTCATGATCATCTCCGGTGATTTTGAGAATTGGGAAAAGACCGGAGGGGTCGCAGTGGACCCCTCGGGCGCGCTCAAGCGGTGGTGCCATCTTCCAACGACTGTCCGCTGTCACCCGACAACCGATCCCCGTTATCAGCCCGCAGATTGACGCCAAGGTCTTTCAGCTCTGGCGTGGCGCGCCAGCTGCGTTTGGCTGCCATGATCGGATTCATGTTCTCGATCAGGATCAGTTGCTTATCTTTAGGCATACGCATCAACTGATCAGGGTATGCCAGTTGGCGTTGTTTGGCGGCTACTGTGTCCGTGTCAGACGTCCCTTTGTTGGTGCCGCCATTGCTGCCACTCGTGATCCCGACGGAGCGCCCTAAGGCTGTTGACCAGTCCCACACGGTTGTTACACCGCACAGCTTCGAAAAATACTCCGCCGTGAACCTGTCCCTTGACCCAAAATACTGGATCACGCCTGCATTGGCGATAAAGCTTTCCCAGCCCTCACCATAAATGCGCTTGAGCTGGCTGGCATCCTGACTCACCGCTTGCAGTTGCATGCCAAAACCCGCCATCAGCCCAAAGGCTTGCTCGACCATGGTCAGCTTGCCGAGCGCAGGCAGTTCATCAAGGATGAACAGGACAGGCTTGTCCGGCTGCACCTCGATGTTGCGGGCATTGACGGTCAGGGCTTGCTGGATCAGCAGACGCAGCCACCGCCCGTGGCTGTTCAGCTTGTCGGCAGGCAGCACCAGATAGATGGTCATTTTGCCTGCTTTCAAATCTTCAAAGCGAAAGTCAGAGCGGGATAAATTCTCACGCAGGCGCGGACTATCCAGAAAATGCGTCTGGGCTTGCACCGATGCCATCACGTTGGACAAGAGCTTATCGTCCTTTTGCAGACATCGCGCTCCTGTTGATTGCACGGCGTGATGGGGTGACTTGAGCATGGCCATGAACAGCTTGCGTAAGTCATCGCCATCAAGCAGCAACAGGTCACGGACGCGCCCCAAATGCCTTTGGCCTTCCTCTTGCGGCGCGGTGGCAACATAGAGCATGATACCGAGCAGCAGCGCCTTGGCCTCCTCGGTCCAGAACTGCTCGTTCTCGCCCATGGTCATGATGATGGCATCGGCCAGCAACATGGCATTGTCGGACAGTTCGATATCGCCTGCGACCAACCAGTCGATTGGGTTGAAGCAAGCCGTGGACAATCCCGTGATCGCCCACGGATCGACCACATACACATCCTGACCCAACACCTCCTGGCGGTGCTCGGCCGTGATCATGGCGTTTTCCCCTTTGGGATCGATCACAACCACCGAGCTATCGCGAATGAGCAGATTGGGAATGATTGAAGTGGTGCCCTTGCCGGAGCGATTGGGAGCTATGGTGGCGATATGGCGCTCTCCTTCATAGTGAATTGTTTGCCATTCCCCACTCTCGTCACGGACACAACCGACAAGGAAACCGTCACCGCCAATCAGATCGGCGGCGTAAAGCTCGGCATAGTCAGCCCATTTGGAATCACCGAAGGTGGTTGGCGTTCGCGATAGACGATCAGCCAGACCGGACGCAGCGCCGCTGATCCAATATCCCAGCCCGACAATAAAGGCAGCGACGGAGAGGAACGTTGAGCTGCCCCAGCCCATGGCCCCGTGATCAAAGAGCAGCAGGAATCCGACAACGCCCAGGACCAGACCGAGCAGCATTGACCGCAGGGCTTTGTGTTTGCCCGAGAAAAACCACCCGATCCCAAACCCGATTGCACCACAGAGCGCTACCCAGCCAACGCGCATGGCCGTGGTGTCTGCGAAGACTTCATTGCGCCATGTGATGGCGCGTTCCATGAACAAGCCATCAGTGACATTCAGAAACACCGCCGTCGCAACGGCTGTCACTGGCAAAATCACCCGATGGTCTGGGCGATTGATGAATTCCGATAGGCGGCCGGCAAGCCGCTCAAAAGGATTGACGATATCTGTCATGATTGATCTCCGTGAGACAGGTTGAAAACCTGTCTCGGCTATCAATCAGACCCCGCACAAAGCTCCGGCAAAGGCATGGGTAATAGGGGTACTGTTCAGGTTTTACTAGATCGAACACTGCGAAGGCTAACGGCCATTCCGTTAAGAACGCCACCGAGGAAGGCAAATGCTTTTATGACGTGGTTTCTGAAGGTCGTTCTCGATTTGATTGTTTTGGGCGTGTACCCAAGAACGCCGCTCGCCCACTTTCGCAGATCGTCGTTATAATCATCAAAAAACAGCTCATGAGCAGCCTTATTGCGGATGCGATTGAGTTCTTTGAGATGGCCGTGTTCTTTTCTGACGAGATCGGAGTCCAAAGCCATAAGCAGATCAATCAATCTGGCGAATGACAGATTCATTCTCTCAATGTGCTTTTCTTCCAGCCCGTGAGCAGTGATCACCTGATAAACCAACTGTTCAAGGATCAAGTGACCCTTGAGCAAGATGATTTCGATATCGCGATATTCTTTGAGATTTTTCGTGATCGCGAATTCGAGAGCGGGTTTAGGAATCATCGCTGCCGATACGCTCTTCAATATCTTGTTTGCCGATGATGGCCATGATCTGCACCGCATCATCGGTCACGCGGTAATAGATGCTATGCACGCCGCAGACGCTGCGCCTGTAACCTGCACGAACATCGTCGATGGCAGCATACAGAAAAGGGTTTTTGCAGATCAGGTCGAAATGGTCGATTAATGCATCATAGTAGCGGTCGGCTTGTCTTTCACCCCATTGATGAAAGCCATATGTGTAGATGGCATCAAGATCGCTATCCGCTTGTGCACTAAGCTCCAGCCTATAGGTTTTTGGCATCGTTCAGGCGTGCTTTCGCAACACTTCGAATTTGTTCTGGTGTACGATCTGACAAACCGCCTTGCTCTGCGGCAATCAGCTTCGCCCTGATAACCTCAATCTCACGGGCCTTGCGAATGAGGTCATTCACCACATCGCTCTTGCTTGTGTACTCTTCGCTCTCGACCTGCGCTTTCAGCCATTCATCATTGGGTCGTGTCAAAGAAATGCTCTGTCTTGTCATTTTGAACCTCCAATCTCTTTGGTGCAATTATACACCAAAATCGCACCAATTTCCACTAAATTTGTGGCCCGCGATACTCGCGCGATTTATCCTGCTGGCGCTGGATCGATTGGTTCTGTTCCACCTGCTGTTCGCCCATCCGCATAGTCTGCGCCAAATCACGGGCCAGGATTTTGCGGTTGAGGGCGTGTTTGCGCCGTAACGCATCCATCTTCTCTTGCAGGATGCGCTGTTCGTTGAGATGCGCTGTCACAAGATCATCCCGTTGCTTCTGATCGCGCTTGGCCGCATCCCAAGCTTCGTGTTCGTTTTGTTGTTTGATCGCTTTGGCCTTACCCGAGACACGATCCCATAATCCGGCCAGTCCCTTGCGTGAGCGTTTGGCGCGGTCGCGTGCCTCTTGCTGCCACCGTTCTTTCTGTTTGGTTTTGAGCGTTTGGCGCTCTTTACGTTGCGCCTGTTTCATGGCCTGCTTTTGCTGATCGAGCGGTGCCATCTCGCGTGTGTGGTGTTCATCGACCTGATCGATATAGCGGTGGATATGGTCCGTGACTTTTTCGGCAATCGCTGATCGAGTCTGATCTGTTGATTGTAGGTCTTGCGGATCGCCCAATCGCGCGGCGACATCTTTGGTCTTGAGGCCTAGCATGCGCGGGACTGAAAACACTTCACCATGGATATCCATTGCCACAAAGCCGCGTCTGTCACCGCGACACAGGAAATAGCCGCGATCTTCCAAGGCGTGTTGGAACGCTTTTTTGCTGTCGGAATGCTTCCATGCCTCCTGGAAGCTCTGTTTGATTTCTCTGGGATCAAGAGCCAATCGCTTGGCCTGTTGCCATTCATCCAGTGTGAAATTGAGCGGTGATTTGCCGCCGTCACGCCGCAGGCCGTTGGGCAGCTCCCAGCCATGATCAAGAAACAGTTCTCGGGACAATGCCATGAGACGGTTTTTGAAGTGCGGCAGGTTGATGGCGCGCATCGTATCGGCATCAATGCGTGACCAAACGGCATGGGCATGGCGGCGGCCTTGCTTCTCATGGAAGATCACCGCACGGGGCTGTCCATCCAGACCAACTGCTTTTTCTGCGCGCTCAATCGTATCCAGCAAATCCTGTTCCGACGCATTCTGGTCCTTGGGTGGATTGACTGACAGCGAGAACATGAATTGCTCGCATCTGGTGCCTTTCGATATGGCATGGGCTTCCTGTAAAGCTTCATGCAGATCGCGCCCGACAAAGCGGCGCAGCTCATAGATGGTCACATGATCATTCTCATGGATGTTCATCAGATGATCGGCAAGATTGATGGCACCAGCCCGTTGAGACCCGACAAGAATCATGATGCACCGCCTTCGCGGCAATCACGATCAGGATCGGGCAACGACGCTCGCGTGAAGGATTGCGATAGGCTTTCGTTCAACCCATCGAGATCAATCTGAAAGCCAAGTGCCTTCATCAGCAGCAGGCGCATGACTGCGATATCTTCGCAGGCCGTCTTGATCGTCGCTGGCGCATCATCATCCCATTCCAGCAGACCTGACTCGGCAGCATCCGCCAGTCGCTGCACTGTCTCAGGGATGCGTGATGACCCGAGACAAGCCAACACTTGCGCCAAGGCTTGATGGTCTTTGATCGGTGTTCGCGCCGCCCGTGACCGTCGCTTGGCACCACCGGCAAACAACACACCCTTGATGTAAGTGCCCACGGCAATTTCGCCTGCGCGGCGTTGCAACTCGAAGCGCTCATCATCGGTCAGGCGAATGCCAAAGGTCTGTGTCTTGGGCTTACTCCTTGCCGCACTCATGGTCGCGGCCCTCGCAATGAAGAGGGTTTGGAGCGCACAGTATCCAAGCAGTCTTCATCCGCATCGTCTTCACGATCTAACGACCGCAAAGCGCGCAGGACATCGGAATCAGACGCAATCTGTGCCGACCAACCTTCCAGCTCATCCAGCACATCAAATGTCGAAGCGAGTTCTAGCTTCGTCTGGTCAACTGCACCATTTTTGATCTCACGCCATTCGCTTTGCTCAAGGCTCCGATGGGGCGGACGAAAGTCCGGGCCGCAGTCGCGGCCTTGGCGCAGTTCTAGGTTTCTCCGGTTTGCCGCACCATCTATCTTCCGCCTTCAAGCGTATCAGATAGTTAAGCCAAATCAGGATGTTGCGCTCGCAAGACTGTGTTACAGTGGTGCGTGACAATGCTAATCCGATTGGTGCAACCGATGAAGCGAAAAGGCACCCAGAACCACCAGTTCGCCAAACGCATCCCGGCTGACCTCCGCGAACGCATGGTCGGAATGAAGCTGGAGGTGCCGCTTGACGGCTCCACGGTTCCCATCAAGATCGGGCCGTCCACGCAAACCATCCGGTTTTCCCTTAGGACCTCAAAGCCGGAAGAGGTGAAGGCCCGCACAGCAGCAGCCATCCAATACCTTGAGCAACTCTTCCGGTCTCTACGAGCCGATGCCCCCGTGGTGCTCACGCATGGGCAGGCGGTTGCCCTCTCCCGCGACATCTACGACGCTTGGAGCAATGACCCCGGACATCAATCCGCTGACACTGTGGCTGTTGAGCTCTCTGAGGACGGGAATTGGCGACGTTCTGAGCCTGACATCAAGGAAGTCGGCGAGGGCTGACCTGAGCCCTGACTTCCCTCCAGTTGTTTGGAGAGTCCTGGGTTTCATTTCTGGCCTTATGCGGCCTGCATTTCCAGCCTGATTTTCGTGGCGAACTCGGCCGGCGGGATGTTGCCGAGAGCTGAGTGTGGTCTGTGGTTGTTGTAATCCTCCTTCCAGTTGGCGATGGCGGTCCGGGCTTCGGCAAGTGACGAGAACAGCGTCTCGTTCAGCAGTTCATCGCGAAAGCGGCCGTTGAAGCTCTCGACAAAGGCATTTTGCGTGGGCTTGCCCGGGGCGATGTAGTGCCATTCGATGCCGGTTTCCTGGCACCATTTGAGTATGGCCATACTGGTCAGCTCGGTGCCGTTGTCGCTGACGATCGTGTTCGGCCGGCCGCGACGGGCGATGACCGCATCGAGTTCGCGAACCACGCGCCGGCCGGAAAGCGAGGTGTCTGCAATCAGCGTCAGGCATTCGCGGGTGAAGTCGTCGACAACGGCCAGCACACGGAAGCGGCGGCCGTCGGTGAAGGCGTCGCTGAGAAAGTCCAGGCTCCAGCGTTCATTCGCCTGTTCCGGCACAAGCATGGGGCGGCGCGTTCCCAGGGCCCGCTTGCGACCGCTGCGCTTACGGACCTGCAGCTTCTCTTCCTGGTAAAGGCGTCTGAGCTTCTTCAGGTTCGTCGCGATCCCCTGTCGTTGCAGCATCACGTGAATGCGCCGATAGCCGAAGCGCCGGCGCTCCGCGGCGACCTGCTTCATTGCAGCTCTCACCGCCGCATCGTCCGGACGCACGCTGCGATAACGCGCGCTCGACCGGTCGACCGCGAGCACATCACACGCCCGACGCTGGCTCACACCGTGCACTGCGCACAGGTGAGCCACCGCATCCCGCCTGGCATCGGGCGTCACCATTTTTTTGTGGCGACATCCTTCAGCATGGCGTTGTCGAGCATCGCTTCGGCCAGCAACCGCTTCAGCTTGGCATTCTCGTCTTCCACAGCCTTCAGCCGCCGGGCGTCCGACACCTCCATGCCGCCGAACTTGGCCTTGTATTTGTAGAAGGTCGCTTCCGAGATGCCGTGCTTGCGGCAAACATCGGCGGTCTTCACCCCCGATTCTTGCTCCTTCAGGATCGCTATGATCTGCTCTTCCGTGAACCGTGAACGCTTCATTCGTCCGTCTCCGTGATCGACGGACTCTACCAAAATCTGGAGGAGATTCAGGGGCTCAGGTCACTCATCATATCGAGGCCGAAAACCAAGCTTCACACGAGAGCAAGTAGAAGTCGTCCAAAGT